GGTAAAAAAATTCAAGTTACCTTACTTCAAGTTACCGTAGGAAATCCCATCCAATTTATAGTTTTGGTAGTCTAAATTGGAAATCCAAAGTAAAATGATTACCCAATTATAATGCAACTTGTTTCTTATTTTTTATATGAAACAAACAAAAAAGTGAATTAAAGTGTATAATTGGGTTGAAGATAGTTAATGAAATGTTTGATTGTTTTTTATACAATCATCTGGATCTAGTTAGACTCATTTGGATTAGACCCAAATGAAACACAAGAACCAATTCAAACCCAACCCTCACTGAAAACCATATAAACTGCATATGGATCCATATGAGTCATGTCAATTGAATCAAATTACTCAATAAGTGATTCATTGTCATGTAACAGAGTGAACCTCAAACCTTAATTAGTTCTCTAAACTCTAAACCACAAGATCAACATAATAAAAAACAGTAACAGACAATTCTGACTCTTCGAACTACATCGAAATACATCATGCAGTCCCTAAAATTGGGTCGAACATATGCATGTATGCAAATTGCAAGTCTCGTTATATACACCGCTCGGTTTTGAATGCACGCCTGCAGTATTTTACCACAACCTTGCAGTTTTGAATTGACCGAATTGCAAATCACAAGCCGCTGTTAATTCAAATCGTTTATTAAACCGCAAGTCTTACGATACGATTTGACTCATCAACCACAAAAACGGTTCGATGTGGTTTGGAGTATTTTGATTGCACCAATGAAGTCCACCCCTATTTCGATCTCACCCCCTTGTAGTAAAAGGTTGTTTTGTCGTCTGAAGCACCTCCTTTAGAGGGTTTAGGATAGGGTTTCTGAAGCACCTATTTCGATCTGACCTATGAGTAAATAAATCTGGATCTTTAGATCTAAGTGGGTCCAGAAAATTCAGATCTAAGGGTTATCAATTTAAGGCATTTTATTTTCCCTAGTTTTCTTAATCGGCTCTTATCTTCTTCGTTCTAACTCGAATTTAAAATTATTTTGCACAAATGAAACGAGTTCATTGTGCTCTACAAAATTATATCAATTTTCAATATATTTCGAGAAACTTTTTTTTTACCAACTACATATCATATGGTAACTTCTTCGTTTTTAAGTCGTTTTTGAAAACACTTGCTCAGAAGGAACGAGTTCATCATGATCTATTGGATCTATAAATTTCTGGGTGAAAAAAATACTGGATAAAAAATTATCATACTTTACCACTATGATATCAATTTTCCCTAGTTTTCTTAATCGACTCTTATCTTCTTCGTTCTAACTCGAATTTCAATTTTTTTTTTTTTGCACAGATGAAACGAGTTCATTGTGCTCTACAAAATGATATCAATTTTAAATATATTTCTAGAAACTTTTTTTACCAACTACATACCATATGATAACTTCTTCGTTTTTAAGTCGTTTTTTAAAACACTTGCTCAGAAGGAACGAGTTCATCATGATCTATTGGATCTATAAATTTATGGGTGAAAAAAAATACTGGATAAAAAATTATCATACTTTACCACTATGGTATGTGGGTGGTAACTTGTGGTAAACAATGATGAAAGTCGTAAATGACAGTTAGTATACTCCTACTATCATGTATTCAACCTTCTTACCATATTGTTACGTTCATACCATCATGACACACTTTCTTCCCATATGGTATTAAATAGGAGCATACCATGTGGTAACGACTCGTAAAAAATTATTCAATTTTTTTTGTACTAAAAATATATCAAAGTGGATATCATTTTAAAGAGCACATTTAATCTGATTTATCTGTGCAAAAAAAATTAAAACGAGAGAGAAATCGTCCGCAAAAGATTAAAGGGGAAAAATAAAAGACTTTACAGAAGATAGGGGATACTGATGTCATGCTGATATGGACAGGTTACTCATGGTTATTGACCATTGAGTAACTGACCTGATTTGTTCCCCTCTAGAGAATATAATCAACGACTTAGCCATTTAACTAAACCAAAGAGCTTAGTCGTCACCTAATCTGAATTATCCATCTACAAGTTTAGTCACAAGCGGACGTAATAAATTCAAAGTCATTGTCATGTCACACTCACGAACCTCATAAGATTAATATATACATCAAGTAAAATTAACGAACGTAACACACATATGTGATTGTGATTAGATCATTAGAATAAATCCAACCACAGGTACAAGCCAAGAATCAGAGAAGTAGGAATCTAATTATTTCAGTTAATTAAGATACCTCAAAATCATTCATGGGTAGGGTGAACAATTTGTCTTCTTATACTCCTCGACGCAGACAATGATATGAAACTAATTAATTAATAATATAATTAGTATTGACGTACATTCAAATTCTACATTTTTTATATAATTAAATTTTTTACAAACATTAGTTTTGGCGCACATTCAGTTTGTAATTATGAAAATATTAAGAAACATACCAAATTAAAGTCCATTATTATTTATTATTTTATCATTTACTTATCTATTTTGAATATGACCGAGTAGAAACTGAATTTTTTATTTTTACAATAATTATATTCTTATATATAAAGTTAAAGGCAAGTTACTGTTGCCTAAACTACTACATTTTGATACTCTAAATTTAATTAAATTACAACTCAGTCACTATAATGTACATTTTATATTTTGATACCTCAAATTTAATTTTCATGTAAAATCATTGAACAATTATGTTTTGGTATCTAAATTTTATATATAAAATCATTGAACATAGACAAATTCACACCTTCCATTTCAAATAGGATTTGTCTCGTGGACACATGAGCAATCCAACCCGTACGATTTCCTTTTACTCTTCCCATTCTTACTTCTGTAGGTTTCCCTGTAATAGGGAGATCCGCGAGAGCCCTTGCCCATATCTTACCATTTCTTCTGAATTGTCCACTTAAGGAACGAAGTCACTCGGCCAAAAGTTTATCATATGTTCAACCGAGGGGAGAAGGGGAGTTGAAGGCAAGTTACCGTTGCCTAAACTATTACATTTTGATACCCCAAATTTTATTAAATTACAACTTAGTCACTAGAATAGAGTGTACATTTTACATTTTGATACCCCAAATTTAAATTTAATGTAAAATTATTGAACAATTATGTTTTGGTATCTAAATTTTATAAAATTTTCGTAAGTACATTTTTTTATTTTTACACATATTGGTCCAATGTTTAGATTTCACTTAAATACATGAATCCAATCGACCAATCCTTTTGAACAAATCCATGAATCCAATCCACCATAACAATATAAATTTAGTTTGTACCAGACAAGATGTTGTATCACTCAACTGTAGGAGAAGATTCGACCATTTTATATTTGCTCATTACGCGAAACATTAAAAAATAAAATAAAAGTGAGACGATTCTAAAATATTGCAAGAGCAAATTTATAAACTCATTTAGTACATTTACGGGGTACTACTTATACTAACTACATCTAACAAAATATGCGACATCTATATAAGCAAGTGTCAATAAAATGCTACGGTGAAAATGGTTGACTATTGCATTGACGGCCAACTAAAAGAATTGGTCAAAACCTTTCTATCATCTATTTCCACTTCGTTTCATTTTTCACTTGCCTTCCAAAACCATTTCTTTATTTCTTTCTTTGCCTTCTTCGTCTAACCGTAATTAGTATACTATTTTTTGTATTCTAATCACAAATATGAACGGGTCCATACTCAAATGACCAACAATCTAGAGAATTAATAATTGAACCATGAACCACTAACATTTTCAGCTCAATGTTGAGTCCAATTAAAAACAAATATATATGACTATTACTTATTAGAAAGTCGTCATTTTCCACTATAGGATTTGAAGGCATGAAATTTTAAGCAAGTTTCAGTTTGTATTCCTTTTGCTTCTCTCTAGAGGTTTTCTTTTTCACCCGGGTTAGAATTTTTAACAATTATACATGGAATTTTCAACAATTATACATAGCAATTTTTTTTCTATTTTCTATAAAAAAAGTAAACAATTATCATCTTAAATACATTACCATAAAAAGAATTAAGCCTCAACTATGTAAATTGCAGTTGGGTACCTAAACTTAACAGATCTTTAGACTTATAACCTAATTTTTTTTTGGGCATATAAGTCCTCAAAATATTTATGAAATATTACATTTTAATACCTTTTTTTACATCTTAGTACCAGAACTTTTGAAGTTCTATAAATAGGTATAATATTTATATTTGTAATTAAAACACCCCCGAATAGATGGGTATCCATACTCATCATACACATCTTTAGATTATGAAAGTAAATATCCATACCCTACCAAACCCATCTACAAACTTCCAAACTCATATATATTAGCCAAAAATCAATGAGTACCCTACCCATAATCAATGAGTCTACTTGGATTTAGGTAAATATCAATTATTAGCCAAAAATTTTAAATTGGATGTTGACCGCCATATATCTATTCTCTGTGAATATCATATTGTCAAGTCGATATTATTACTAACAAAACTGCTAACAAAAAATTAATTTTAGGCTAATAATACTAACAAAACACCCATAACGGATCACATAATACATGCAAATAGCCTATCTCCGCCCCGCGACAAGTCGCGACATCACCACCTAGTTATATATTAATTTTCCTTGTACTTACACCCCATTCAATCGCATAATCAATTTTTTCTCCTAATTCATCAACCCACTTCGTATTTCGTCATTAGTAGAATACAATATCCCCCACCCCCCACCCACCACATATTATATGAATCCAATAAAGGTGAGAATTTTATTCGATCGATCATTTGTTCATGTAATTGACCAAAATGATTGTCACGTACCAACTGCTGATGAACTATGCACATACGTAGAAACCCCAAAAGATTAATATTATTTTAGATATATAAAGTTGTAAGTAGTGGTTTAAGAAGCAGCAGCTCATCATCATTTCCTTTACACCCAAAAAAAGCATCCTTCCTTGTCAATAGTTTATCTTCTTCTTTGCTCAGTCATATATTATATTATGGGCTCCATTATTGATGAAGCGCCTACTCAAAAGCTTCCATTCATCGATTTCTCATCAAAGCCTCTGCTGGAGCTGAAACCAGGCAGTGCCTATTGGGATTCTCTGAAATCCCAAGTTGGAGAAGCTCTTGAAGAGTATGGCAGCTTCGAGGCATCCTTCAAACCTGCTGGGATTCAAAATGACAATATTTTCAGGTCGGTGAAAGAGCTGTTCGACTTGGATTTGGCCACAAAACAGCGCCGGAGTTTTGCTGTTGGCGATGCATCTTTCACGGGTTACATTGGGCAACATCCTGGCTATTCATCATCCTTTGAGAGCTTTGGGATAGATGACCCCAACGAGGCTGGCGAGGTGGAGAGCTTCACCAATGCCTTGTGGGACCAAGGAAACCCTAGTTTCAGGTGATGTATTATTGTTTACACGGCGTCTGTCTAATTGTGTTTAATATATAACTTTTATATGGTTCAGACTAGCGGTAGCGTACGTCAGACATACATTTATCGTTGAATTTTTTTTTTTTTTTTCCGAATCATAACTAACATCATCATGGACATGTTTTGGCAGCAAAAACGTCCAAACCTGGTCAGAAAATGTCTCAAAATTGGATGAAATTGTAAGGAGGATGATAGTGGAGAGCTTTGAGCTTGAGAAATATATGGATGAACACATGAGCTCCATAAGGTACCAACTGAGAGTGAATAAGTACGCAGCTTCCCAAACCCAAGGACCAGAAATTGGGCAGTTAAAAGCCCACACTGATAAGAACTTGATTACCATACTGTGTCAAAATGAAGTCAATGGACTGCAAATTCAAACTAAGAAAGGAGATTGGGTGAAATTCCAACCGTCTCATGCCTCCTTCGTCATCCTTGTTGCTGACTCTCTATATGTAAGTAATTGCAAGCTTCCTCTTTTATCGATTCTCTTCTGGAGTTGGACAAAAAGGATTTAAATATGTTTTATATCAAAGCATTGTACGTAATAACTGAGACGACTAATTAGTAGTCTCGTATTCGAATCTTCACGACTAGTTTATTGGTGTTGGTGTGGCAGGCTTGGTTGAACGGCCAGGTGCATTGCCCCTCTCACAGAGTTATGGGCGTGTATGGAAATAAGCCCAGATATTCCATTGGGCTTTTCTCACGCACAAAGACAGGGTACGTTATCAAAGCTCCAGAAGAGTTGATTGACCAGTATCACCCCTTGTTGTTCACGCCTTTTGAGTATAACGAGTATATGACCTTGGCTTATAGCACAGCAGGTAAGAAAGATGCTTCTCCATTACATTTGAGAAAATTCTACGGGCTTTAGAAGTTCGAAGTACAGTACTTTTCCTCTCTACTTGTGTTACAAGATGATCCAAATGGTTGGGAGGTGGCTTCGAGCAATTTTTTCAAACAAGTCACTTACAAGTTACAACAATGGGTGAGGAATGAGGATTGGGAATGGTGGATGGTTTGTTTGTCTTGTTTCTTGGTTTTTTTCTCCATGTATAGGTGTTATTTTTGGAGCCTTGTTTGTCAAGTGCATTTCAGTTGTTTTTATTTCTCTTTTAGTCCTAGTTGTTTGTCACCAGTCCAAAGAGTTATCATGTATTTTCTCTTTGAGTTTTGGCGTTGTTGCTTAGCCAAATCTTTTTTCACTTTTTTCTTCTTTCTTGTATCGATATAGGTGTTCGTGTTGTTGTACTTTTTCTTCCTTTTTTCCGATAATAAAGTTCATCATAAAAAACTGCCTTCGATCGGGTGAAAATGTAATAAGGAGGTGTGTTTGTGTGTGTTAATTGTGTGCGATGATGATCCCCAAAAGCATAGTTAGTAAATACTCCGTTTAATACACGTATATGTACCCGTATGTATTTTATCCGTTTAAAACTTTCATATTTGTATTATTGTCAAGCCGTTTCATTTCCCCCCGTTTATTACGTATAAAACCCATATAACACGTTTAATATCCATATTTAATGAATTAAATTATTAACTTTACTATTATTTATATATTTATTTATTTATAAAACAATTAATTTTATATATTTATGAATATTAACGTACTATTAAACGTAACATTAGTTTAGAGACGAAGTAAAATACCCGTTCGTATTTTATACGTAACTTCCCCGTACCGTATTTTACTAACTATGCCCAAAAGTACGTTGTATGGGGTGAATGTCAAACCCCCAACAGTTGGTCAAAGTAACCCATAAAAAAGAAACAGTTCGAGACGATAAAAAATATACAAAAGAGAGAAGAATGAAAAAAAGCCTAGATGGAGACTCAAAAACAATACATCTGCGCGGCAGTGGAGGTTGACAGAGAGGGCGCTGACGGCTAGGGTTTGGGGGCTTAGCCTTTGTTTAGGCCATGGGTCTGGGCCCTATTGGGTTTTTGGGTTTTTCTGTTGGCCTGTTTTGTGTTGAGTTTCTTCCAACCCTTAGCTAATTTGGTTCGCTTGTACGACTCCTTTGTGGGCTTAGCCCAGTCGTATTAATGAACATCCTCTTTCAAAAAAAATGCTAAACTGGAACTGTTATACAACGGTAGAGGTGGCTGTAAACTTTCACTGCCAAGAGAGACTCTCTACCTTTGAAAACTTAAAATGCAACATTAAAGGCATTCCAAGCATAAGACAATTAATGAGAAAGTTGTAAGCTTCCATTTATAGATTTCTCTGACGATAGATATTGTTTTGACATGAATCGCATGCTCATAATGACGCATTGAAGACAAAAACATATGAATGTTGAATTCAAATATAAATGTTCATGTTGTACCTCAAATCTACAATTCTTTAGAGAACAGTAGAAGTGATCAAACCCCTAACCTAATGGTTGGAGGTAGGAGGAAAAAAAGATAATGTTCTGCTGTTCTAGAAACCAAACTTAATCAAGTTAATTATTTCGAAGTAGAATATTTAATTCTGAAGAGAAGAACAGTTGGCGACAAGGATTAAGTTTCGTTGAGTTTCGAGGGAGACTTTGCTTTGTTTTATTTTGCTTCTTGCTGCTTTCCCGGGCTACTGCGGCTTCGTCATTTTTTTTTTTCTATGACCTATGCAGCTGGCTGAGATTGGAACTCTGTTGTTGAGACCCGGACTGGTGTTTGCATGCCTGGTCTTAATTGTATCTTTTTATCTTGTTGATTATTAATTAATTGATGTCACCATTATAAAAAAATGCTGCAGATAACTTAGAATATTTCATCGTCCTGATTGGTGATTACTTTTACGTAAATCGGCTTGTCAGGACAACATGACGGTGTTGCAGAGCATAGGCTCTTGTGTTGCATCTTCCCTGCCAATAACAACATCAAACAGATCCAATATATGAAAAATGATTGTCTCTTCAACTATTTGATCCCAAAACTAAATGTAAAATAACTTTATTCGTCATCTTGAGTTTCTATATGAAATGATTGTCTCTTCAAACTATTTTATCCCAAAATTGAATGCAAAATAACTTTATTCGTCATCTTGAGTTTCTATATTATCTCCAGAAAATGCCAAAATAAATACATTACTTTGTACTATCAACCGACTTAATCATTGACTTGACAACTGGGCCAAATTTTTCATTAAATCTCAGCCGACAAAGAGAATTATGGACAATTGTATCAGGGTATATTACGTTGATCAACTTCCACATCTTGAAGAATGCGATTGATACTGGACCAGACTTCATATAAAAGTACTCCGCATTGTTAGTATTTGAAACCGTTGAAAAAAACTCACATCCAATTGAAATTTTATCTTCAGATCCAAACAACAAAAGTGGGTTTCTCTCCCACGACAAAATTACATCCTGCAAAATTAAAAAAACAGATAAAAACTTCTTTTTTCGAATCGAAAAACTACTCAACATTCAAAATAAAATTCATAGAAATGTATCATTATATATAGATAAGATTTCGTAACATGCACCTTTTTTAAGTATACTATACACTTTTTCTCATAGTCACCATCCTTTATATTTGGTAGAATAATAATCCAAATCCTTAGCTAAATTATTGTAAACCACAAATGGTACAAAATGAGAGCAAACACTTTCAATAAGAAAAAAAATAAGTGATTCATCAGATAAAAGGAATTAAAGAAGGAAATAAGGAAATGGAGGGGAGGTCAATTTACCGTATAAAAGAAGTTGTATCCAAATTCAAGCACTTGCCGTAGAAGCTCGTTCCTGAACAAGCCAACTAATTTATGAGGCTGGTGATCGTGGAGGCTATTGAAATTTGGGTACTTGAAGCAGTGAGGATGGATGGATTTGCAATAATGAAAAGTTTGGGGATCGAAAGTTAAGATCACCAAGTGATCCACAAGGTGTTTCGTGGCCGTCCCATTCCTTAAACTCTCCAGGAAATCGTCCACCGCCGGCGGCGAGCCAGGACGACGAGGGGTCGTCGTCGAGTTGTCGATCGCCGTTATGATTACTGTTCTGGTTTCCATTGAAGCTCGTCTCAGCACTTGCCTCAGTCCCTTCTGTAATTACAATACTCATCATCTCATAAAATGACAAAGCCAAGATTTTATCCATTTGACAACAACAAAAAATTGTCTTTTATTAGGATGCAAACTCTAGCAAATAATTAATAATAAGAGGGATTATACATATGTTAATCAACTGACATGAACCTGATCTAATCCTAAGTCATACAATAGAAGCCACTCTAAGTCTCCAACCATGTCCTCTCTTGATAATTGTACGTTTAGAATTCATATGACACTATCTTGTTATGGAGTTGTTACACCACATAATGTAGACAATCTTGACGAGAAAATATGAAATTGATAAATAGGATGGCTATTTCATTAATTTTTATAAACTCGGGTGACTAGAGCTTCAAATCAAAGTTCATTTACCATTTTATCAATAACCCCAAACTTTAACCATCTAAAACTAACTAGAAACCAGATTTTATCAAGCATTCCTTCATATGAAGACGGTAGACATTTAGATCAACAAATACCGTAATATATCATATAAAAGCTACATTAGATTTGTATAGTACGATATGAGTAACTCTAATTTGGTGTGAAGATATTGAGATTTTTTTAAGTAATGCATTAGAAATGTTAAAAATTGCATAAGAGGACTTACCCATTGATCCACAGGAGAACTCGTTTTATGGAGCTGAAGAAATGAATTCGATGAGTGACAGGAAAAGAAGTAGAAGAAGAGGAAGAGAATGGAGACAGTGAGTGGTGGGATGAATGCCTTGCTTAGTAATACTGTTCTCATCGCCATTAGTTCCAATTCCAACGATAAATGACTTCTATTAGTCAGGGAGGGAGGGAGGAATTGGAATTTGACGCATATTGCCAAAAGCATAGATTTATAACTTAAAATGTGTAATTTTCAAAACCTTAATAAGGATAGAATTTAAATTAAAATATATATCTAATCAATCATTCATGGTATATACATTAATACCAAATTCACCCTCATCAAATCTCTTATGTTTTGTTCCTAAAGTTTACCAACTAGAGACGTAGACAAAATTATCATAAAGATGCGGATCCAAATACATCCTACTAATTATTATAGGCAATCATAATATAATATGTATAAGAGGAATGGATAATAGTCAAGAATTAGTCGAACCATCAATAAAAGAGCATTTTTCACTACACAATGGGCGGCTCTTTGATACATGTACAACATGGCAATATCCATCACTTATATTCTAATCTATTATATCCCCAAATAAATTTTTTATTATTATCTAAAATAAAACAGAAATTGTCTACCAATTATTTAAGGACCATTCATTAAATAAACAATTATTCAATGACCCCTATGTAACTTTGTTGGCCCATATCTGATCAATCCGACGAAACAATAATTCTTTTTGTGGCGTATCGAAACTGCTTTGTTTAGTTTCATCATCACACCGACGGATCAGATAAAAAACTAAAAAGTCACCCCATCGAATGGCTCAGAAAGCGCCAAGTAGCCACGGGCGCCGCCTGAAGAACGACCACTTTTCTTTCTTTTTCTCGGCACCACAGAAAATATTTAAAGGGAAAAAAAAACATTAGTTGCGGCCTGCGGACGGTCTTAGTTGTCAGTTGGAGGTACGCCACGTGGGCCGCCCATTACCACGTTGCTTTGGATTGGACAGTGGGGCCCAAAACTGATCCTGTGATGCCGGCCGTGATGGATGGATGGGCTTTTTGCCTGATCCAACTCCAAGACTTTGCCATCGTGCTGTCACGAAGGAATTTTTTGGTTCCATAGATGAACTTATGCATCTTCTATATTAATCCGACGGCTTAAAGAGACCAAAGGTTGGGGGTGTTCTTATTTCTCAAAGCATTAGGTCTTCTAAGAAAATATTTTAGAGAGGTGTTGAGAAGTGGGGTTCTAGGACTAGTAAAAAGTTGAGCCACATAATACTTTAGATATATAGGGTTTAGTACGATCCTATAAGTTTAGGATCTCATACTATCATCGATGTTAGCTCACTTAACGACCCCAATCAATTCAAAGTTCATTAGATACACAAGTTTTAGTGTTAGTAAATCTTTAACGACCCCAGTGAGCTCAAAGTCTATTGATAGGTAAAATGAGATTTGATGCATTAATACGACAACAAAAAAGGGTGTCATATTCTTGATAGGTGAGATGAACTATATGGCAAAGTTGATCTCTCAATCAATATTTGATCGGATCCACTTTGTTATTGAATGTGATCGTCTAATTATCAGTGGCGAAACTGTATGAGAAGTTCATGAGAGGCTACACTACCCCTTTCAATATATTATATGAGGCTATAATGTGTGTATTCAAATGTTGTAAAAATATTAAAAAGTGTTAGAATTAGCACTATTCACGATCCTTTTCTGATAATTATATTTAATCTTACGAAACTGCTGTCATTTCTTCTTTTTAGTCAATTATATCATAATAAATAATTAAATATTGACATCAGTTAGCAACTTGAATTTCTGGACTAAAAAATGAAATATGTAGGCACATACCAAAAAACAAAATTGATTAGGATTCTTGATCTGTGATTCAATTAGCAAGTTTTTTTCTTGGTACAGGAAAGTTCCACATGGAAGTTGCCCAAATCGCATCACGATGGGGAATAAGAAAAGGACCAAAAAGAAGAAGAACGACCTTTGGGTTTCCTGAAAGGGTGCTTAAAATGGAACCCTAGATTTGGCTGATTTGCATTATTTGGGATAGGGACACGAGTCTAGTTGGACAAGTGGAGCTGCTTATCTGGCTGGATCTGAAAGGTGTTCGATGAAGCTGCCAAAAGAATGAGAGTGAGGTGGAATTCTTTCTTATTTTCGGTATATAATAAATAAATAAATAAATGAAAGAGATTTGGATTTGGATTAGGAATATTGTCCACCGCATCATAGAATTGACATCTCCTATTTTAAGCTTTGCAACCACGCTCTTTTAGTTCTTGTAGTTCAAATTGAGTAATCGCATATGGTTAGGGGAAGTTACCAGTATATGTCACTAATTTTTCAATAAGTAATCGATTTGAGGATTGCAAGATGTAATTGGTGATAGAATAATAAATGTATGGTAATGCCTTTTTACTATAGGAAAAGTTTGTAGCGGTTAGGATCAATTGATCTAGCCAAGTATGATAGGCTCATAACGAGCCCAATAGGACAGGTAGGGTTTAAAATGAATCAAACACACAATCTTATCAGTCTCAGTCTCACATCTCATAGTAAGATTAGGAGATGACAAGGGGAAAGCAGTCAATTGTAAGGTCGAACATATCTAACTGTCAAAATCTTAATTGAATCATTCACTAATTAATGATCTCTCGTTGTCCTCACAAAAATAACTATTCATTATTATCTTCAATTTTTTCATTCTAAAATTTTCTTTACTAATTTGATGGTCGAAATTAACTTTTAAACTCCGACCAGTAAAGAACTTATTGTTCTTGTGGAGCTAATGCCTATCAATAATCCACCAAGATGCTTCATACCCAAAACAGAGCTACATGCAAGGTGTAGTAGACCTAGAAGATTGTAGTCTGTAGATGCAGATTTCACGTGCATGCAACAACTATAATTATTTCCTTGATTTCCAGTTTTCCACAACCATATCTGGAAAAATGAAGTTATAAGGAAAAGGACCTTTCTTATTGCATTTCATTTTGAACAAAAATTTATGTGCTAAATTCATCCAAAAGGTCAATTAATGACCCCACAATTTGGAAAGTTACATTACCAACTACCCTTTTATAAAATAATCAACCAAGCCACTTGTTCCATTACAACTTGATCCACCTCCCCAATTTGCTTCTAATTCATCCAAAATATAATTTTAATGATAATTATTATAATAGTAATAATAAGCACAATCATTACAAAAAAAAAATTAAATGTAAGAATTTTTTGCCCATTGGGATCATCACAAAATTAATTAATAAAGGAAATGTGGCCACCTTTTGTACCTTCCCACAACTAAACCTTAACTTTTATAAACTAGTTCATCTATTTCCTTGATCTGATCAATACAAGAATGGAGAATGGAATACAATCAATACATGTATGAATACATTACTAAACCCAATGAGACAAAATTATACAAGATCTAGACTTGCTTACCTTTACACTACTACTATATAAGTTCCTGCTCATTTGGCTCTATGTTCCCATTTCTTAGTATTTTTAAATCATGAAATAGCCTCCACTCTTTCTACTCACCCTTAAGCATCATCACCACAATCATTATCTCCTCTGCCTTCATTGCTCTGCCTGCTTCTGTTGCTGCTCCATCAATGGAGGAAGACCATTTCTGCACATCCCAATTGCCAGCAGAAAAGCAAGCACCAGCAATGGAAGAAAGAGATCCAGAGAGCAACAGCAGCACACTCCAAGAGCCACTCCTGAAGAGAAACAGAACACTCTCTTCAACCCCATTGGCAATTGTTGGCACTAAGGTGTCCCATATAGAGAGCTTGGACTATGAGTTAGTACTGAGGAAACCCCATCTCTTCATTTTCCTTATTTTCCTTTATGGGTTCTTCAAAATTTCAGATTTTGTGATGTGGGTTTTGTTTGTTTCATTTTCATGTTTACAGGATCAATGAGAATGATCTGTTCAAGCATGATTGGAGGAGTAGATCCAAAGTCCAAGTGCTGCAGTATGTGTTCCTGAAATGGTCACTGGCTTTCCTTGTGGGAGGCTTGACAGGTTTAATTGCCACTCTCATTAACCTTGCTGTGGAGAATATTGCTGGGTACAAGATTCTGGCTGTTGTCAACTTGATCAAGGAAGAAAGGTTCAAACTTTCTTATCTTCTTTCTTTTCTTATCCATATTTCCCATGTGGGTATTATCGTGAATCAGTTTTGTTGTTTGTTTGCAGGTATTTGACAGGGTTAGCGTTTATGACTGGAGTCAATCTGGTGTTGACAGCTTTTGCAGCTGTGTTGTGTGTGTTCTTTGCACCAACTGCAGCTGGACCTGGGATCCCTGAGATCAAAGCTTATCTTAATGGGATTGATACACCAAACATGTTTGGTGCCGCTACTTTGCTTGTTAAGGTAGGATTCTTCAGTAATCTGACACTTAAAGTACATTTGGTAGTCTTATTTAGGATGGTTGGTTTGGTCCAAATTCATCCGATAAGAGATGTAGCAAAATCCACCGCTTTTGAGCACTATTTGAATATTCATTTGTTGATGTTAGAATTTGAGTTCTCTCTTATATAACCACAAGTTCATCAAAGAAGAGATCTTAGCAAATTATATCTTTGGAACAATTTTTGTAAAAGTTTCAATATATTTCTGTCGATATTTTAGGATTCTCGTCAATTAACACATATGCTACAAAATTCACCAAATTTAACAAACTATTCATTTCAAAATCCACGAAGTGAAACCATTTACCCATTTCAGTAAACCTAGCACACTAGCAAGAGCACTAATGGATCAAACTTTTTAGTTCTTGTAGAGGTAAAGCCTTAATCTTTGAGCTAGTGGTCAAGTCACATGTGAATAAGTACGAAATGGTTGCTAGCTTTCTTGGCTTACATTTCCTATCCTAGCATTTTACTTCTTTTTAATAAAAAGGCAGAACACCTGTAGCCACAACAATCTGCAATGAACCTAAAACAAGATTCCATCACTTTTCTTCTTCCCAGATATTTGGAAGCATTGGAGCAGTCTCCGCAGGGCTAGACCTTGGGAAAGAAGGCCCTCTAGTCCACATCGGCAGCTGCATTGCCTCCCTGCTTGGACAAGGAGGACCAGACAACTACCGCCTCAAGTGGCGATGGCTTCGATACTTCAACAACGACAGGGACAGGCGAGACATCATAACCTGTGGAGCTTCATCAGGTGTGTGTGCAGCTTTCAGGTCTCCAGTTGGTGGCGTGCTATTCGCCCTCGAGGAAGTCGCCACCTGGTGGAGGAGTGCATTGCTGTGGAGGACTTTCTTCAGCACAGCTGTGGTCGTGGTGATCCTCAGAGCATTCATCGAGATCTGCAATTCGGGGCGATGTGGACTGTTTGGGAGTGGTGGGTTGATCATGTTTGATGTGAGCAGTGTGGAAGTGAGGTATCATGTGATGGATGTCATACCAGTGGTATTGATTGGGGTCATTGGTGGAGTTCTGGGGAGTCTGTACAATTATCTGCTTCACAAGGTGCTTAGGCTGTACAATCTCATCAACGAGTAAGCCACACTTAACATTCCAGCTTTCTTCTCTTCACAAGTTCCCCATGGGTGAGTCAATCATAATAACCACCAACCTTCGCTTATATGATGCAGGAAAGGAAAGTTTCACAAGCTGCTCTTAGCCTTAACTGTCTCTATCTTCACCTCAGTGTGTCTCTACTGCCTCCCATTCCTAGCGAAATGCCAGCCCTGCGACCCTTCTCTGCCTGAGATATGTCCAACGAACACAAGGTCAGGCAACTTCAAGCAATTCAACTGCCCAGATGGGCACTACAATGACCTTGCAACTCTCCTTCTTACCACGAATGATGATGCAGTGAGGAATATCTTCTCCACCAACACTCCAACCGAGTTTCAGCCGATGTCTCTGGTCATTTTCTTCATTCTGTACTGCATTCTAGGACTGTTCACTTTTGGCATTGCTGTACCTTCTGGCCTTTTCCTCCCGATCATCCTAATGGGATCCGCTTACGGCCGCCTGCTTGCACTCGCCATGGGATCTTACACCAAAATCGACCAAGGCCTTTATGCAGTGCTCGGTGCAGCTTCACTCATGGCTGGATCAATGAGAATGACGGTCTCCCTTTGTGTGATTTTCCTCGAACTGACCAACAACCTCTTGTTGCTCCCCATAACAATGATAGTTTTACTCATAGCGAAATCTGTAGGGGATAGCTTCAATCCAAGCATATACGACATAATCCTGGAGCTGAAAGGATTGCCGTTCTTGGATGCTAATCCTGAGTCGTGGATGAGAAACTTCACAGTTGCTGAGCTTGTTGATGCCAAAGAGCCAGTAGTTACCTTATGTGGAGTAGAGAAGGTATCGAAGATTGTTGATGTGCTTAGAAACACATCCCACCATGGGTTTCCAGTTGTGGATGAAGGAGTTGTGCCGCCATTGGGAGTTGCAGCAGCAGGAGCAACTGAGATACATGGGCTGATTCTAAGAGCTCATCTGGTTCAAGTGTTGAAGAAGAAGTGGTTCCTGCAAGAGAAGAGAAGAACAGATGAGTGGGAAGTACGGGAAAAGTTCTCCTCGGTTGACCTGGCTGAGAGAGAAGGCAGGATTGAAGAGGTGGCAGTGACCAGGGAAGAAATGGAAATGTACGTAGATTTGCATCCTCTAACCAATTCAACTCCTTTCACAGTGGTTGAAAGCATGTCAGTAGCAAAGGCAATGGTGCTCTTCAGGCAAGTCGGGCTTCGGCATTTGCTTGTGGTTCCTAAGTATCAAGCTGCAGGGGTAAGTAAAATTTGGTAAAGTTGAAGACTTTTCTGCAGAAAACATACCTGTTATAGTATCCGTAATACTGATCCTACCAGCTTCTTGATTTGCAGATTCCTCCAGTGGTTGGCATTCTGACGCGGCAGGATCTAAGGGCACATAACATTTTGACAGCCTTCCCTCATCTGGCAAGATCCAAGAGCAGAGGAAAGCACAACTAAACCTCAAAATATCGAGCTTCCTATTTCCGAAATAAGATTCCTATTCTTTCAATCAATTTTTACAGTGGGTTCATCAACAGTACAAGATTGTGCCAGAATCCCATAGGCTTCTCAGTTTGATATGATAAACTCAAACACATAATTTTTTTCTGTGTAAAAAAGAGCAAATACAACAAAATGGCTTCTGTGATCTGTTACATCCGCTGATACCGAGTATCACAGATGTATGCTTGTTACATGCATCTTGAACTCTTCTTGATCCATTGAAAATTCTGCATTACTTCCTTAGCTCATCTTCTAGTCCCCATTTGCGATCAGTCAAGCTTCCTGATATATAACACCGATTTTCCAAGATGCTCAGGAGCGTTTTTTCTTCTTTCCTAGTTTCTTTTTCTTGAGGTTAGCTACTTTGCCCCTCTGGAAGACAGCCAAAACCTCTATGCTACAAATGTTACCAAAACAATTTCCATAAGAAAATCTGACGAAAGAGAAAGAAAGAAGAAGAAAAAAAAACAAGAGCCCATCCTCTCAACCTTGAGGAGAGGCAGTACCTCTGAGTTCCAGGAAAGAAATTAAAACCATGTGCGTGTTCCAACCGCCATTTGTTCGTAGACAACAGCGCTTTGCAATCCTGTCAAAGGTAGCAGCACTACTAGCCTTAGTAGTTCGTACATAGTACATACCCTACACAAGCTTGACAAGTTGAAAGGTAAATGTCTTCCAGGCAACAGTACCTCTTTGAAGCTCTCCCAACCACAGCTTATATAGATCAGCGTTTGAGGGAGAACTAGGGGTCCATCCGAAGTTGTTGAACTCCTAACATAAACTGAAGATTCTCTTGCACGTAAGACCCATGGTCTTTTTTCTTCTTTAACTTGAGAGCTGAAATGACAGGGAAAAAAGTTCTTGTGAGCATCACAACTTCAACTGGTATTGATTTTGATTCCTGAACCTCATGCTTGGAGAGCAGAGAAGTGAAGCCTACCTATCAGTTGATGACATTGGTTTAAGATTCCGGAAGGATATAGTCTTCAATGCATCAACAAGAGATGCATCAAGTCCCTTCCTTGGTGGATCAACGATGACTACTTCAGACCCCATGAGCCAAGAAAGAGGTTCCTATGCATTCAAATTAGATAGCATAATTAGTAAACTTTTTTCCAAATGAAAGCTACACATTATCTATTTTGGTAACTAGTGAAAGTAAGAGTTGAGACTATATTTCCAAAAAACTGGAGTGTAGCACTCACCGCAGAAGTGTCTGCTTGGTGCCAGCTGATGCTGCCATCTAAAGACTTTGGAAGGCGTTCAACAGTCTTCTCAAAGGACAGTTTTGACTCTTTATTAACCTCGATGCACTTGACAGATCTGAGAAAAGCAGAAATGCAGAATATCAGAGCCATTCATTTAGTTCGTCATGGCTAAACAACCAAGACCAGGGGAGCATTGAGAGGTGTAATTAAGGGTCTTACCTGCATTTTCTACTGGCGGCAACTGACAACCCAATTACTCCAGCTCCAGCATACAAGTCAGCAACTGATGATCTTCGAGGTACATATTTTTGTAACTTCCACAGCAAGGAATCAAAAGCCTGAAAAGAAGCACAGATGTAATTTGATAACGAAATGGAATCCCAAGAGGAAAATGATATATGCATTACAAAAACTATGATGAATGGCATATGATATTGTTTAAGAGTTCTCACGCGTGTATTGGCTTGGCCAAAGCTAGATGGAGCCAAGGATACATCAATACCTCCAACATGCTCCCACAAATCCATTTCTCCTAAAAGATGTCTCCACCTATTCCCGAAGATAATCTGCATCATTTTCCAAACAACTTAAATTTATGACTGTAACTGCCAGACTTATATTCAGCTGTTCAACAAGTTTTTGCCCTCACTTTCTCTAAATAGTACGCTCTATCAGAAAACACAGTTGGCAATTTGATAATATCCTTTTCAGCTATAAAAGAAGAGTAAGCCTAACTTACATTGTTAGACGATGTCTGGAAATTAGCCCACACAGAGTGGATGATATTTTCGTTGCTCCTTGGTCCACCATTTCTCCACAAGAACTAAATCAAAAGTATATAGCTAAATCCACAACAGAACTGAAATAGCTGGAAAAAGATATAAAGTGATGGAAAACAAAAAGAATGGAAGGAGTACATTAGAATACCTGAGCCAAGGCAGTTAACTTTTCAGAACTAGGAGAGGTCTCATTTCTTGTATTCCAAACTAGAGAAACCTGTACTTTACCTGAAACAGGTTGAAAAAGAGAACTCTTATTAAACCAAGAACTCCCATAAAATTCATAACAGCTTCACATAAGTTCAGTAGGGGACCATTTTTATATCTATCTGAGACAGGAAGTGATGTGTTGTGAGTGGTAACGGCCATCTGCAACAGCCGAATCATTTCTCAGCATTCATCAAGTAAAAACACATTATGGCTTGAATTCTGAACACGAATTAACATGATATCAGCCGCTGCATTCACTAACCTGCACATATCGCAAGTCACCGGTTCCCTGATCTTCATCATAAGGCAGAATCCTCAACGAAGTAATACCTGTTACCCAGTATCCAGAACCCCAAAACATCAGAAATGCTATTCATTTCCGACACAGATATATCAGAGAAGCATTTTTCAGAAAAATCCATCTAAAACCTTTTCTCAACAGTTCAACAGCAGCATTGATTCTTGGATGATGAGCTGCAGAAACAAAAGGAGACTAAGAAAAGAGAATTCACAAACAAACGCAAAACCTAATCTCAAACACCAAATTGTGCAACAATCCAATCGAGATTTTTCATTAAACCTTTGCAATGGGGAATGTCGACCACGTTATGAGTCCCCTCCTCGTACAGTCCAATCAAGGGGGTCGCCGACGAACCACGGACAGCAAGCTTCGCTCGACACCTCCATTCCCACTTTATAACCAGAAGCAAAGAATCAGTACCCGTAAAAGGGGAGCGAAATCAATCTCCGGTCATTTAACTTTTAGAGCCTACTTACAAGTCTAGAACTATCGAAAGTGAAATCCGAGACTCCGAGCTTGCTGAAGAACTCAGCCGCCTCGTCGACCACGGACGGACGATCGAGGTCGAGCTCGTGAGTGCAGCCTGAGCATCTGAAAGAACAAATCAATAAAAAATGAAAAAACCCCAACCCGCGTCTTATCAGAAGCACAGTAGAAACGGGGAGAGTACGAGTGCGGGGAAATTGGGGAAGATGGAACGAAAGCGTACGATTGGAAGTGAGGGCACTCAAGAGCGCACTTGCTGTTCGAAGGAGGAGCGGCAGCTTCTAATTTGAGGCTCTGCGGCTGCCGCGACGACGACGGCGGAGGGATGGGTTTAGCCGTTGCCGGAGCGGGGAAGGGGAGGGTGGCGGAAGAAGATGCATGGCAGAAGACGGGCGGGGAGAAAGAGACGCGGGAAGAAAGTAAGTAGAGATGCATAATGCCGGTAAATGGAGTAGAGTTGCCAGCCGGCGACGGAATAAGACGGAGGTCCTGGCGGGAATGGATAATGAAAATATCTGCAACTCTTTCTAAAGTGAGCTTTCGCTAGGCAGCTACGGAACTGCAAGTTGTGCTGTCAGCGCGAGTAAATCAATTTTCAAAAATGAGCTTAATTAATGGCGGGTAGTAACTAGTAAGAATAAGTTTTTGACTATTGGTAAATAGTAAAAATTCAAAAGCTGAAATAATATGTTTTACTTTGGAGAGTTTAGTACTTGTGTGGTGAGTAGATAATCTAAAATGGCACATAAATTGGTAATCAACAACTATTCATTGGTGAGATTTTATGTCGTTACATTTGCATACTCATGTTTCACATATCGTGGAGCAATCAACCTAATAAGTCCATAACTCACCCAACAATACAGGAATACCAAAGAACTATAATACATCCCTCCAGCTGGGTGGAATAGACCTGTTTAATTCATGCAACATTACATAGTCATACAATACAAGAAAGACACAAGGTATCATCCAAAATGGGGATTCACAGGGACATAAACAGAGAGAGTCAGCCAAAGGAAGCAGACCATAAAACCCACTTTGCTTGGGCAACTTCAATGGCTGGGAGGTAAGAAAAGGAAAGCTGAAAACAGAAGGAGCCTCTTGCATTTCTTTTGTTGTGTTTGAATAAGGGAGCCTCTTACATTGCAAAGGGGAGGAAGATTCTACAAATCACAAAAGAAGAGGAATCTGTGAACGAAAGAGAGAAATCACTCAGTAAGGAATCGGCCCAGCAGGGACTTCCCAGTTGTCTCCGTCATCGTCGTTTTTCTTGTTCTCGGACCCTGGTGGCGCGGTGCTCTGGTTCGAAAATCTCGAAAATGGACGCCTGGAAAATACGGAACGATATCAATTACTGTATTAAGATAGAAAATGCGAAACCCCACTTATTAAGCACTCCACATTAATCTATACCCTCTTGGAATCAAAGCAGGAAATCGCTTCAGGTTTCCATCACTTCATGCACACTTCGGAACATCCAAATTGAACAATCAAGCAAAAGAAAGAAGAAAAGAGTGCAGCCAGCTAGATGGGAAAAGCCTAAAAGGACTATAGCCAGGGTCATGAGCAGGCAATGCATTTCGTTTAATTTTTGGTTTTTGGCAGAGTTGATTTTGCCGTTCAATACTCTCGGACCGGATGTAGAGCTGTCGCGATGAGATCAAACGCAAAAGGCCAGACGAGGGACTGAGGGAGTATGGCAGACTCCCCAAATGAGTGCAGAAATCAACAATAAAGTAGCTGCTGATTCCTGCTAGTACTACTAACACACTATTCTGCTACTTATGATCAATCACAATCAGGCTAATACCATGTTTGTGTTTCCCCTTTTCCTACTACCATAAGAACTCAACTAACAGCTTCTAACTTCATTCCTCGCACAATTTCAAGACAACCCTCTCAGACGCAGAGCAAGAGCTTACTGCAACAAGAGTTCCAAGTTCTTCATTCCATCCAAACTAAACGCTCTATCTCCTCCCAATAGACAAATTCCCTCATCCAAAGTACATCTAAGCTCTTAAGACAACAACATTTATAACTTCTTCCATTCATCCAGGTCCAAGCAAAAAATCCTCTCCCCTCCCATAGAAGAATTTGCCCACGAAACTCCAGTACCCTAAACCCCCAAAATTTCAAGTACTCGCTAAAATGTTCCAGTACGCAAACAGAAACAACAATGCATTCGTTCGTTTCGTTCAGTTCAATTCGATTGTCTTAATATTACCTCTTGCGATTCCGCTTAGCGGCGTCGCGAACCCTCCGCTTCTTCTCGTCCTGCTTGTTCTCGAAGTACCTCCGCCGTCTGCACTCCTGAATCACTCCGGCTCTCATCACTTCTCTCCTGAACCTGTTCAGGAGCCTCTCCTCCGGCTCGTTCTCTTCCACCACTATCTGGACATTGTACGACGAGTTGAGGCAAACAGTGCTCGGGGACGCCGCCGAAGAAAACTCGCCACCGGGGAACCGACGCGGCGCCGCGACAAGCGAAGACGGAGAGGAGTAGGTGGAAGGGAAGAAGGAGACGTGAGGCGGCGGCGAGATGGAGGATGGAGGCGAGAGGAAGGAGAGGAAGTTGGAGAGAGCGAGCGGAGCTGCCATTGATGGAATAATGGATAGCTCGATGAAATTCTGGGTGAAGTTCTGGATTAGGTAGTTTTTCTATTTTTCTTGTTTTGTTTTTTCTTTTCCCTTTCTTATTCTAATTCTGAAGAATTTTGGGTGTGGGCCTGGGTTATTGAATGGGCCGTTAGGAAAATTTCAGGATCCGTAAGGTTCATGGGTGACCCAAAGAAACATTGGGCCTGAATATGGTTTGGGGTAATTGCATTGAGTTATATGCTGATCATGGGTTGGATTGAAATCTTATTCCCTAATTTTGTCAGCCATGTCATCTAAATGAATTATTTTGCCTTCAATTTTGGATGAAATGATTGGTGATTCCCTTAATTTCTTTGAAGAAATGCTAGGTTCTTCCAAATCTAAAAAAAATTAACTTTGTTAAACATGTGAATAATAAAGTATTGAAAAATGTCTCTTGATCGGTCCACGAAAATAATTTTAACATATTTTCAATCCTAAGTTTGTTGTATCGACTTTCAAAAGGTCAAGGTACACAAAGCTTTCATGTAGAATAGGGTTCATATCTTTGTATCATCGTTTGGCCCAAGCAAAGGCATGAGGTTGTTTATGAAAGTTTTTGTCTCTCCAAAATCCTAATTAAGCCATAGTCTCTATACATAATTGGATGTTGAATCATGTGTGTTCCTTCTGCACATTTTACTGATCTCCTCTTGTTATTTTATACATTCTTCTCCTCCAATCCACAGTCAGAAAAAAAAAAACTCAAGTTATCTTATCTTAGCTTTCATCATACAAGTCTCAATCTATCATGGAAGGATTGAAACTAAAGGATAAAAGTGAATCAAAATTCACCACAAAACCTATCATTGTTGCTTCAATATAAAATCGTCACGAGAAAAATATGAACTTAGAAGACAACTATTGTATATTGTTACATAACATCTATTGGTGCAACCCTTCTTGATGAAAAGGTAAACACTATTGAACTATTAGTGCTCTCTTTTAACCATCCATTAGGGTTTTTGCTGTAAACCTTTTTATCTACACTTTCTGGATGAATGGAAACCTTTTTAATTAAATTTAAAGTGTTAACCAGGTAAGAGAAGTTTAGTGGGTTTGGTTTAAAAATACAGTATCATGTTTCATCTCAACTTAATAAACTAATTTCCTACTTCTTTAACATTTAGTTGTTCTTCTCTTGACATTTGTTGGCTAAGAGCTGATTAGGCTTTTTGTCTTGTATCTAATTACCAAGCTTTGTGAGGTGATCAGCCCTTAATTAAATTATACTTAGACACCCCATCACCACACAAAATGCTAAACCTACACGATCATGACAGTGAAACTTGGATTTCCATATTATTAAATTGGGTAAATGCCATATTTGGTCACTAAGATTATTAAATAGTGGCATATTTAGTCATCAGAAAAATTTAATATCAATTTTGGTCACTCGAATTACTGAAACATGTCACTTTTAGTCACTCTCTCATTAGTTTTCGCCCAACTCCATTAATGGAATTGGACGAAAACTGATTGGAGAGTGACTAAATGTGACCTGTTTCAGAATTCGAGTGACTAAATGTGACAGGTTTCAGCAATTTGAGTGACCGGAGTTGGACGGAGGCTAACGTGAGAGTGACTGAATGTGACTTGTTTCATCAATTAGAGTGACCAAAATTGATATTAATTTTTTCTAGTGACTAAACATGACACGATTTAATAATCTCAGTGACCAAATGTGGCATTTACCCTTATTAAATTGTTTGATTGGTTCGTATTAATGGTACGTGTCTATGATGATTATGTGTTGTTTCTACTAAATCATGTCATCGTATCACCATGTCGTGATACAATGATATAATCGAATACAAATCAAAATTTTGTAACTTATTCCTTCCTTAATGTAAATTTTATTTATTAATACTTTATACATTAAAAGGGTAAATCCCGCCCTCCACCACTAGTTAGTGGACACCCAACACATATAGCATTCAAACTTTTTTCTTGATATATGCTCCCACCTTGTACTAATTATATAATTAATTAGGCGCAAAAGTTAGCAGGTGTTGGTAGACTGCTTGTTTAGTTAGTTGTTTCTGTGGGTAATTGGCTCATTGTATTGAGAACCCATTTTATTGGTGTAAATCAAAACGACAATTCTGATATTCAGATACAGTTAGTACTTAGTAAAAAGCATTTGGGAGTTTGATTACGTGGAAAAAGAATGTTGAGGATAAATTGGACATGATGCTTACAGTAAAGACCTAACAAGTTTTGGAAGTAGCCAATAGAAAAATAATAATATTTTTTTTTTGCTTTTATAACATATTCATAGCTAATAGTAATTGTATTTCATTAACATCGTAAGTGTAAAGAAGTGATTAACATTAATACATTATAGGTGAACCTCTTCTAACAACTCGAATTATTGAAACCAGACTACTCTAAGTCATACAAGCTGTGAACCTAGAGTTATACCTCTATCAATGTCATTTCCCTTTGCCTTCGGGTTTTTCTTTTCATGACTCTTTTTAAGTCCAGTTTGTGGAAGCTTTATTTTACATGAATCATAAATAAATAAAAATCCAGTTCTTTGATTGAGAAAATAGAAAAAGATAATAAAAAAAGTCACCACATTTCTGTAAGAACATGTACAACTACATAGTTTTCTTGGTTTTGTAAAATTATTTGTTTGAAAACTTCTTTAGAGGGCAATATCATTAACTAAGACCTATAATTAAGAATATCAACTCTATTTAATTGCCAAAAGGAAAAAAGTAAAGTAGTGAAATTTGGCTTTATATATCCAACAATGGGCATCCACTTTCAAGGGTTGGGACGTGGCATCCTCTTTGTGTGATTGGTTGGATAATTAAACCTTAAACACTATGCAATCAATCGAGTATCGACCTCCTAAACATTTGATCTCGATCAGCACAACACCTACGAAGAGGACACATGTAATGGTGTGAGTATGTATATTTTATCTTTGCTTTTGCTCTTTCTTCTAGACCCAACTTTGCCACTTGTTTGTATAATCCTTTTGGAGTATCTCAATAAACAAGATCAAGATTGTGGAGTGCTTGTAAAAATGTAATTTATAATTATATAATCTCACCATGTTGTTCATGTAGAGTTTTCATTTCTCAAAATGGTTTAACAGTAAGAAAATGAAAAGCTTGTGGGTGCTTATTCGATTTTATTAATGCATGTTATCATTTTGAGGTGAATATGATCAACTGATGAAGTATGGGTAGCATTGTCTTTAGCTATGATATTTAGGTCTATGTAAATAGTTAATAGTTTGTTTGATTTCATAGATTTTGAAGAAAATGGGTCTTTCTGTAGACTTGGTGTTCGACCATTAGTTTGACTTTGAAGGAGAATAAAGAAACAAGTATATATACCGACACAATATAAGTGCGTACTTAATCGAAATGTTCATAACAAGATATGTGATTCATCTATATGCTTGATTATGGTTGATACAACACCATGGTGGTGACAACTGACAGCTCAAACACCAGATTTACATCGATTTGGCAGCACGTTGTGCAGAGACGTCAAGAAAGTTTGTCAACAAGCAACCACCATTGAAAGAGTGTACTAGTTCAGTCATCAAGCGCTCTTAAGCTGAAGAAAAACGAGGTCAAGCAATCACATAAATGATAGGATGCAAGAAATTGAACCCATTGACACCTTAGATCTGCCATTAAACATATTTTATACTCTTAACACATGGTTTCAACAAAGAGGGCTCCCCATCTTATACTGCTAAAAGAATTCTACATGCATTTCGTTTCTGCTTCATCTTTTTGGTATATTGTTGGCAAGAATCACAATTATATGGAACACTTTTTTAGTTATCAATCAAATCAAATCAATCAATCTTTAGAGAAATAAACGGAACAAAACAAAAAGAACTAATACCTAAACTTCATAAGAGAATCCTCCCTGTTCACTCTTCAGGCTTTGTTCCCAGAGAAGTCAAACATTACATGCATCCTTATCAAGACAGCTATGGCTAGCTAATGAAGCTTGTTCTTCACTCCCCCTTAGTCAGAATCTTCTCTGTTCATTCCCTCCCATTTTGCTATATATGCATGAAGAAGAATAAGAACAACAACAATGGCTGTCGAATTAGATTGCCAAGTGGTCACTGAAACTATCCAGCAATTTGTAACCAAAATGATTTCTAAATAAATAAATAACTCGTGAATGTTCTGGGAGATGGAGGAGGTGGTGGTGATCATAACAAATTTTGTTTTATGGGTTGGTGACCATAATATTAACAATACAACAACCAGCCAACAAGTAGTTTATTTTCCTAGATTATATTATCCAAAGGTGGAAACTTTATCCAAGCATAAAAAAATTGGTTATGTTGTACTTATGTTAAAAGAGAATAATAGTGGTACACAAATAGATTAATATACTCCGGAGGTATTTAAGGCGTTTATAAGATTTATTGAAATGCTGAATTTCAATTATCATAATCAATGTAGTCAAAATCGCGCTTTAAAACTCAAAATAATAGTATGGTGTTTCACTTACCTAAGGAAATCTTGGTTTCTTACTTCCATTGTGTTACCAACTTTTTAAGAAAATATATTTATCATTTGTAAATAACTCCTAAATGGTTGTAAATGTGAGCCGTTAATTTTACTAATCAAATATTCAAATTATCATATGTAATTCCACTAATATATGAATTATTTTCCAAAAATTCCCTCCTTTCTTCCCCAAGGCTCCTCTAACATATGGTTGTGCTAAGGTTGAAATCTTTCCCCCCACCACCACCATGATAAAAAAGGATGCTTACACTCTCTTCTTCCCTAATGCTCCTTTCTTTCATATTCACTTTTAATTCTTGAGCTCGATGCCACTCCAATTTCTGATAAATTCCAGGTCTTTTTGTCCTCTCTCTTGTGTTGTTTATTCATTTCCTCCCAATCATATACTCCCATTTACAGAGTTGTGTGTATTTTGCTGCAGTCTCCTGTTTGTTTATATGTGTAGTTTCTGAATTCTGATTGATGGTTTTTTATTCCTTTCCGTCCATTACGCTATTACAAACTCTCCATGGATAGAGCCGTCCCTTCTTTTACTTCTACTATAGCATTGACTTGACTGTTAAAGACTTGGACTTTGCTGGTAACCCCACATCCATCCCCTCCTTCCTGTTTTCATTTCAGTTCCCGTATTGTTTATGACACGCCTTTTACCTGTTTGTATAAATGTCAAAACGAGTTTTCGCCTTGTGGGAATTGCCTCCATTTGTGTGTTGTTTCTGACTTTGCTTACTGGGGTCTGTTCTGTTCTGTTCTGCACTTCGGCTTTTGAAGGTTCCCCACTTTTCCTTCTCCTCCCTTGGGTACTTTTTTTACTTCTTGAGGAATTGTTGAATGGTGATGGTGAAATGAAGCTCCTTTCTCCTACCTCGTTTGCTTACTTTCAGCTTTCCTTTTCTGGGTTGTGCATGGTTCTGTTCTTATTATTAGTCTTCTATGGCGCTTATCTATAGATGGTTTTCTTCTGTTTTGAATGTTTGATCATAAAAAGGAATCTAAGTTGGGTTCTTTGCCCATTTTAAAAGAGTTCTCAAGCTACTGATCAAGTTCTGTATATTAACTGATCAACCTCTGCTGCTTCAATCAACCCATACTTTCCCTGGCTTCATAAAGCTTGTATTTTGCAGGAAAAGTGCAGGCATGAATGAACTTGATCCTTTAGACTATAGCTTTAATCAATTACTTGCCCTGCCTAGATCCGCTAGTGGGTTCTCAAATTTCGACCATATTTCATGTTTCTACTCTACTTTGAATATGGTTTTTGTTCCATGCCTAAATTATACCTTTAGGCCTCTCAAAGCTTATTCCTTTCTCCTTTGTTGCTTATCGTGATGTGCTGTTTTGTTGCTTATCCATATTCTGACAAACAGAGGAACTTGAAGATCGCTTGCAAAGGCTAAAAGCCTCTTTCCTTAGCCATGTCCAGAGGAAAGCAGATACTGACTGAAGATGAAGCAGCAGAAGATTCCATTACCAGAAACGACCTCTCCCCCAGCAAGAGAGGGAAACTTGTTGTAGTTGGAACTTCTTCTTCAAGTAGTGGTCAGCTTTGTACTATACCTCTAAAATTTCCCTCCCCAGAAAGAAACGTCACTTGTGAAACTCTTTCCATGATTTCTCTCAACGAAACCACCACAGGAGTTGTTGTTGGCAGTTCATCATCATCTTCCAGTGTTGTTGAACCTCAGGATGCAGATTATTACTATTATCCTTCCAATGATCTCCCTTCGCTTAGCGACGAGCTGGAGAACTTGATCTTCGCAAGGATGCCAAGATCAGAGTACTGGAAGCTGCTGTTTGTTAACAAGAGGATCTTCTGGCTGGTGAAGAGTGGTGAGCTGTTCAGGATCAGGAGGGACATTGGTGTTAGAGAACCATCTGTTTTCATTTTTGCCACTGGGGATAATAGCTGGTGGGGATTTGATCGACAGTTCAGTACAAGAAGACAGCTCCCTCACTTGCCAGCTGATCAGTGCTTCTCTTCTGGTGACAAGGAATCTGTCTGTGCTGGAACCCATCTCATCATTTCAGGTATGGAAGAAGGGAGTGTTCAAATGGATCCGGGTAACATGGTAACCATTTTAATCTGTGGAATTTAGTGAATTTGGTTGGGCTCATGATTTTTTTCATGTCAAACTTTTTAATTGATTTAGTTAGGTTGAAACCCATCTCATCTTTCAGGTAAGGGGTGTTCAAACTTTTGGAGGTAGTTTAGTTAATCTGGTTCTCTTAGTTGGTGTTGTTTGATCAAAAATTTTAGTTAATAGTTTAAGTGGATTAGGTTATAATGGATGTACCACCAACCCACCAATTAGCCAATATAACTTTTGGTTAAGGTAAATTTGGTTGGTTTAGTTGAGTAATTAGATTAATTTTCGCGCTTAATTGGTTCAGTTGTAGCCAAAACTAACCATCAATCTTCAGGAAGGGAGATAGAGGGAGTGGTGGCATGGAGATACCAGCTGGAGACAAACACCTGGAACAAAGGCCCCAACATGATCCAACCGCGGTGCTTATTCGCCTCATCCTCTTGTGGCGCCACATCATCAGCCTACGTGGCCGGCGGGGTCACCGAGACCGGCTCCGAAGTCCTCAACACCGCCGAGCGCTACGAATCCCGCACCAACACGTGGCACCGACTGCCACGCATGCACAAGCGCCGAAGGCTCTGTTCGGGCTGCTACATGGACGCCAAGTTCTACGTCCTCGGTGGCAGGAACGAGTCCGGCCAGCTCCTCACGTGCGGGGAGGCCTACGACCACGTGACAGCCACGTGGGAGCTGATCCCCAACATGTTGGAGGTGGATGCGCCAACCGAGGTGGCAAGTTTCCAGTCGCCGCCGTTAATCGCGGTGGCGAACAACGAGCTATACTCGTTGGAGACCTCGACCAACGAGCTCAGAGTGTATGTTAAGAGGAGCAGGAGTTGGAGGAGGATGGGGAGCGTTCCGGTGCGGGCGGATTCACACAAGGGTTGGGGTGTGGCGTTTAAGAGCTTGGGGAATGAGCTTGTGGTGATAGGTGCTTGTGACTCGGGAGATGGGATGGCGATTTACAGCTGTTGCCCTCCTGGTGGTGGTGGTGATGATCAAGGTGATGGTGAGCTTGAATGGAGGCCGCTTGGATGTGGCAGGAATAGATTGAGTAACTTCATATTTAACTGTTCTGTGATGGTGGCTTGATCATGATGCACGCATGGAGCTAATTCCTGGTTTTCCTTAGGGGTAGTTGATTGGAGAGAATGATGTTTTAGGGTTTTGTTTGATGGTTTAGGGTTCCTATTGGGGATGATATGTTTGCCTAACTTCATTGGCAAGTGTGTTGGTATGTATGCTTATATGTTGTAATCTCTCGGTATTTGATTCAAAGTTATAATATGTGTATCCGTATATTAAATAAAGATTTGAAAATATGAAATGATAGATTATTAATTCCCCTCCTTCAACACTCCTATTCAACTCTAGAAGTTGTTGGTATATTGGGTTTCCTTTGAAGCTCCAAAACTGCTGATATATAGGATGCATCTGGTTTTTAGGCCCTGTTCATCTTTGAAGGAATAACCTTAGCTTTCTGTGGCATGCAGTGGTGCGGGAGCTTTTCTTATCCAAGTGTGTACTTGTATTGATGCTGGAGTCTTTGTTCTTTAGTTTGGGTGAAGGACAATAATAGAGAGCAACAGTGTAAACCAAAATATATAGACTTTATCAAATTTGGGCACCTGGCATACAAAAGAGACCTCAAGAACAGGGAGGTTGTCCTTTCAGGAAGGTGCTTCAAATGGTACATGATTGTCCTATCTTTGGGTTGGGACTAAATAGGGGAGGAACAAAGAGTAAGGATGCCCTATGTATAATGGATAGGTGTTCATGTATTTACTTTTCTTTCTCTGCTTTGGTTAGTTGAACAAATCAACTCTCTCGACAAAAATTTTGCAGCAGTTAACCTTTTTGTTACTTGATTTCAATGAGAACACCTCTGTTTTCATGAAAGTAGTTCAGTAAGTAAGAATTGAACTTATAATTTATCGATACAAAGATAAATGTTTTTATTTATACGCCACCTAACAATTTACAAGAATTGCAATTTCTACCTAACTTGCTATCCTATGCAAGAGTGCATCTTTCATGTCTCATCTTATCAGAACCTACTACACGAACATCCTTACTCTTAAAGTTGTGTTTTGGGTATGAACTAACCACTACTCTTAAGTTCTCTATCTTCTTGATAATTGGGTATCCTTTGTCACACTAAATTTTTGTCTTTTTAATAGTTTTATCAATAATCCTCTAATCATATATCAAGATGGTCCAAAATGTTCTCACGGTATGTGAATAGTGGTGGCAATTTTCAATCCAATCCACCAACCCATTAAAAATATCCACCTAATCCAATCCACTTGATCAAAATGACAAATTACGGTTTGATACCTATACTTTTTATATTTTACATTTTGGTACTCAAAATTTAATTTTTTATACAAAAAACTCATTGGAAAATTACGTTTTGGTACCTAAAATTTTTCATTATGACATTTTAGTACCTAAACTTTCCACATTTAACATATTGGTCCTTGGTTGAAGATGTCATTTGAATTCATGGATGATCCACCAACCTACTTGATCCAATCCATGAATCCACCAATCCATTTGATCATGCTCATACTCATACGTATATGAAATTATGAATACGGTGATATTCGTTTCATTCGGGCTTTGGCCCCATTCTCTGAGTCTGAGGGAAGGGATGCGCCAGAGCCCAGTTCAAGTGAAGCTCTTAGCAGCTGAAGGCCCGGTAACTCGGTACGTTACCAGCCCAGGCCCGTGTGAATCCCATCCCACTCTCCGCTCTCTCTCTCTTCAGTCGAGAAATCACCCAACGGAATGCTCTCTGATAGAGAAACGAAAGGACGAAACCGAGAAGAAAACAAATCGAGAGAGAGAGAGAGAGAAAGAGACGCAAAAGGAGGAGAAAAGGAAGGTTTCTCTCTCTTCTTCTCCCTTCCGCTTCAGCAGCAAGCATCAAGAGCTACAGCAGCAGCAGAGCTCCACTGAATCCACTGCACCTTTCGCTTTTTTCTGCTCTGCCCAGAGTAAGATCTTCGAATTCTCCATTCCATACTTTCTCTTTTGCCCTCCCTCAGCTTTCATTTTCAATACAGTCAGTGCGAATTGCAAAATTTCTGATACTTTCAGTCTCGTTCTGCTCCTCTTCCCAGTTGAACGAATTGGAAGCTACCTATTTTCAATTGAGATTGGTTTTCCGCGGGAACGAATTTAGGGATTCGGTTTATGTTGGCTTTCATTTCTGGCAGCAGGGAGGGTTTTCTTGGTGATTTATGTTGATTTCCTCACTTCAGTGGGGAGGAATCCTGTGAGTTATATAGTCCCAATACTCGGTTTCCAGTTGTTTATGTAGAGCGTTGTTGCCTGTTGGCCATTCAGAGGGCTGAACTGCTGTGGAGCTAGGTTTTAGAGTTATCTTATTAGAGGTTAGGTGAGTAGCTGAAAACCAAATGTCTGGTGGTGGCAATAACAACAACCCGCCAAAGAGCCTGGGGCAGTCTTCATCTCCATTTGGGAATGTTGGGATACTCAACTCATCTCCGATGCCTACGAATCAAGGGTTCCCACAGTCACAAGGGCAGCAGCAGGGACAGATTAGTGTAGGGTTCCAGAACCAGTTCCAGCAGCTGTCTCAAGCTCAAGCTAGCGTCCAAGCACAGCTGAAAGCACAAGCAGCCCATGCTGCTCAGGTTCAAGCACACGCCCAGTTCCAAGCGCATTTACAAGCGCAGGGGATCTCCCTCAATCAGGGCCAGAATGCCGGGATGGGAGGAGGCTTCGGGACTTCCTCCTCGACTTCATTTGGCACCCCTGGGTTGGCCAGTGCAAAGCGGGTTGGTCAGAAACCACTGGGAAGACCTCCTGGTATTCCCATGAACAACATGGTCTCTCCTCCCAAAATGATGGATTTAACTCCAGCTAATCGTAAGAAGAAGCAGAAGGTGCCAGAGAAGCAGCTGCATGAGAGAGTGGCGGGGATTCTTCCAGAGTCTGCACTTTATACGCAGCTTCTCGAATTTGAGTCCCGTGTTGATGCTGCTCTAGCTAGGAAGAAAGTTGATATTCAGGAGGCACTTAAGAGTCCTCCATCTGTTCAGAAAACACTGAGGATCTATGTCTTCAACACGTTTGCCAACCAGATAAAAACAATTCCCAATAAACCGAATTCCGAACCTCCTTCCTGGACTCTAAAAATTGTTGGGAGGATTTTGGAAGATGGAGTGGATCCTGACCAGCCTGGTGTGCTTGCTCAGAAACCGAATCCCTTGTTACCAAAGTTCTCGTCTTTCTTCAAGAGAGTGACCATATCATTAGATCAAAGACTATATCCAGATAATCACATGATCATATGGGAGCAGGCTCGCTCGCCTGCTCCACATGAAGGTTTTGAAGTGAAGAGGAAAGGAGAGAACGAGTTCACTGTTCATATTCGCTTGGATATGAATTATGCGCCTGAGAAATTTAAGCTATCTCCAGCTTTGACAGAAGTTCTTGGTATCGAGGTAGAAAGCCGCCCTAGAATAATTGCTGCAATCTGGCATTATGTAAAAGCTAGGAAACTGCACAGCCCAGATGACCCTGCTTTCTTTAACTGTGATCCACCTCTTCAAAAAGTATTTGGGGAGGCAAAAGTGAAGTTCACTATGGTTTCACAGAAGATATCTCAGCATTTATTTCCTCCACAACCGATCCATTTAGAACATCAGATTAAGCTCTCGGGGAATAGTCCTGTGGGGACAGCCTGCTATGACGTGTTGGTAGATGTGCCATTCCCGATTCAAAGGGAATTGACAGCATTGTTAGCGAATGCGGAGAAGAACAAGGAGATTGATGCATGTGATGAATCAATATGCGGTGCCATCAGGAAAATTCATGAGCATCGTAGAAGACGAGCATTCTTTCTTGGGTTTAGTCAATCACCAGTTGAGTTTATTAATGCTTTAATTGAATCACAAAGCAAGGACTTGAAGCTTGTAGCTGGAGAAGCCAGTCGAAGTGTTGAGAAGGAACGCCGAGCAGAGTTTTTCAATCAACCATGGTAAGAGTCCACTTAAATTTTCTTCTTGAATCTTGATAATATGAATCAATATCTAGATATGGTAGATGAACTGATTTAACCCTGCGTAGTCATCTCCTTAGGTTTATTGCATTGCCCTTGCTGCATCTATTCACGAATTGGTTGGTTCAATTGTGCTGTGTACTCTCTCTTTACTGCCTTGCGCTTGGAAAGAGAAAAAAGAAGAAAGACTTGAAATTGAAATGTTATGTTCCTAGGAATATAGCTGAATTTTGGATGCAGTAGGAATATAGGAGAATAGGATGATGTAATCATGACCTGTACGTCCATGCAACCTTTCTATTCAAAACTGATTTTTTTTTGGGCGAATTGTGCAGGGTTGAAGACGCTGTAATCCGATACTTGAACCGCAAGCCTGCTGCAGGAAGTGAAGCTCCTGGAAGTGCATAATTTTATAAAATGGTTTTCCATCTTGCTTGCTCATTAAGTGGTGGATGATTTAACCTAGGATGTTTTAAGTTATGATCCAAATTTGTTGAGAGGAAGAGGAATCGCTCCGTGCTTGTATAACCAGAATTCTGCTCTGCACTGTAGCTCTTTCTTGAAATAGGAATTATGCTTGTGGGTCTATTCTATACATGTATTGGATCCCAGAATCAGAATGTAGTTCGTTGGCAGTTGTGTTAATGGCAGAAAGGTGGCGAGGTTCGTAGCCCTTTTCTTCCCTTCTCGTCTTTTGTTTTGCCTGGGACTGTCGTGAGATATAGGTAGCAAACAGAAGTTGACCGAAATCATTTACATGTTAATTTATCAGATACATTAAGGAGTTGTTGGTTGCAGTGATTTTGATACTGGCTAGGCTAGTCATAATGATTTTACCATGCACTTGTGATGAGTCTGTGCCTGTTGAAGGTTGATATGATTGTATTGTTATTTTAGAGGTTTTTAGTATCTGGTTCTCTCCGTCTTTGCAAATCTTTAGTTTCATTGATTTTATCTCCAGTGACCAGTGTGGTTAAACAAAGATTAACAAATTGGATGATAATTTTGGTTTAGATCTATCCTAAAGAATGTGGAATTGTGGATCATCCTTTGTTTGACAAAGCAGAATGAGGTCAAATTTCACTAAATTTCATCATATACACAAACCCCTGGCTCGTAAGAGTCGTAATAGAGAAAGCCCAAATCATAAAAATACACCAGGCCTGGCTCGGCAGCGATATAGACATTGGATATGCAATTTGGTGTCCAGTCCAGCCCATGGAGAACTTCCTCTTTCCAGCCACCCGGACCTATAAATACCAGGCAAGAATTGGCGGGAGAGGGCAGAAACCAGTGTCAGTCACTAATTCTTACTCCACTTCGAAAATTCAAAAATGGAGAACTCGGGAGAAAAAGCTCAGCCGTCCTGGCGCAAGCAAGTGGACGACAACCTCAAGCGCCTTCACTCCCTCCAATTCGGCGCCGATCAGGCACTGGAGAAGGGCGATTCCTCCACCGCCTACGTGCTCGGTCTCCGCCTCCTCGGCTTCCTCGACTCGCACTCTCTCACCGACGTCGACGAAGCTCTTACTCGCCCCATCCGCCGCGAAGCCCTCTCCAAGCTCGACGCCGCTCGCCGAGCTTTCGTTCCTGAATCCGACCGGTAAAACGATTCGAAATTTCCGTTTTCTGTTTCTCCGATAGTTCGTCGTAATCTATTTCGCTGTAAGCACGTTCTAGGGATTTCGAATCAGTTCGTGATTTCAGTTATCGGTATTTGGAATTTGGTTTAGGCGAGCGTTTGAGCGAGCAGAAACAGCTCCTGGAAAAGTATTTGGCAAGAAGATTGACATTGACGTAGAGAAGATTAAGAAGTCGAAATACTTCCGAGCTCTTGTTCAACAACAGAACATCAAGCATCCATCAGATCTGGTAAGAGTGCAAATCGAACCGAGATTTCTCTGTATTCTTGAATTTCTAAGTGGTATATCTTAGTTGACCAATGTCAATGAATTGAATGCGCTTTTCTGGTCATAAGTTTGCCATCCAAATCAGTATATTGAATTTCTAGCTCAGTCTATCTGCATAGAAGCGTGATGTCTTGTATCTTGTTTTAAGATTGAGTATTGTTGTGACCGTGTGATATGATATCGATCGTATCTCTTCTTCTTGCCAGGGAAACCAGCTGGATAAGCAGCAAAACCCCAGCTGCAAGCCTGCAAAAGTTTCAGGGCAGGCTAAGTTAACATCACTGTATGGGAATAATGTCACAAAGGCCTATGGCCGCTTACAACGAGGTTCTTCTGTTCCCAAAAGTAACTCGAATGCGGATTGCATGATAGGGAAAAGTACTCAGTATACTAATCCTAGAAGTAATGGTGGTCAGTCAAACTATGGGAAAGCTGACGAGAGAGAAAAGGGTTATGGAAATTCAACGGGGTCTAAGCGTTCGTTCATGGAGATTAATAGCCCTAGAAATGACATTCCAAAGTCGCCATCATGTGATGAGGAGTCAAATGTGGATGGTTCTGGCAAGGGATTTGTAACTGCAAGGGCAAAGCTGGTATGTGTTCTCTTCTGACACTCTTACGCTTCTCATATTTTCACTAGTTGTGTAATCGAGAGAAGGAGGTAGTTATGTTAAGACTTGATTAGTATTCCAGCATAGATGTGAAGTGTCATTTTAACTTTTGTCCGTGATGATATTGAAACATTGTGTTGGCTGAAAACTCACGCCTTCAATCTTTCCGTTCTATGTTCACCTAATTTCTTCAAATTATAGTCACACTGTCTCCAATTGATAATAGGAAATGGATGCAAGGCAAAAGCAAGGGTTGACAGGATCACCAAGTGCATCCTTCTCCCCACAGAGCAACGTCATGAACCGAGGTTATGGTGCACGATCTTATGGGCATTCAAACCGTGGAATCCGTGGAAATTTTGTTCCTCCAATAAAATCAAATGGGGGATATAATCCTGGAAATGTGATTGGACTTCAAGGAAAGAACGATGACTCAACAAGGAGATGGTAAGCTATATGCAACTGTTTGTCTCTTTATTTTAAAGTACTTGGAAGGAAGTTCAACCATCTGTGGTGTCTTGCATTATCCACTAATCATGGACTGAACCATTGCTGAAAATATCATTTCTCTTTCTGGTCTTTCTTCCGCACTGCAAATTTTTCAGTACAATTGTCAGATAGACAAACATATAGGGATGCTTTCTCTGTCCTAACGTGTTATCCGTCCATGTTAGTATGGAATTGCTATGTGGTCCAGATGGCGAGCTTCCTGAAAAGTTGAGGAACTTGGAACCAAGTCTTATTGAGCATGTCAGCAATGAAATTATGGAGAGGGATCCTAATGTTCGGTGGGATGATATTGGTAACACAAAAGACTCGAATCCTCTTGTTATACTACAACTACTGTTGCACTTTGTAAAATTTTCATTTGGCTTCCTTGAAAACACTGCAGCTGGATTGGATCATGCTAAAAAGTGTGTTACTGAAATGGTGATTTGGCCACTGCTGCGACCTGACATATTTAAAGGCTGTCGCTCTCCAGGAAGAGGTCTTCTTCTATTCGGTCCACCGGTACGTACTACCTGTAGTTAGAACATAATGGAGACTTACTGCTTCTTATTTTACTTGAGACGCTCTCATCTCAAAAGGGGACTGGGAAGACAATGATTGGGAAAGCCATAGCTGGGGAGGCAAAAGCAACTTTTTTCTCCATATCCGCCAGTTCTTTAACCAGCAAATGGGTATGCATTGATCAACCTCTGACGTTATAAACGGACGGTGGATCTTTGACAAGCTTTATTAATTGAATCTCTGAACAATTTGTACAGCTTGGCGAGGGTGAAAAGCTGGTGAGGGCCCTATTTGGTGTTGCCTCTTGTCGTCAGCCAGCTGTAATTTTTGTCGATGAGATAGATTCACTTTTGTCCCAGGTATCGTTCCTTCCAGCCCCCATGTTTAGTTTAGTTTTTTGCACTTAGAAAAAGCACTTAATGGGATAAGGAAAACAAGAGGCGAGTGACACATCGTGCTACCTATGTTTAATGAATTGTCTTTGTGCATGCGATCAAGTCATTACTTGTGAGATTCCACTAATAATAGTATAAAGCTATGTTATTCCATTTTTGCAACAGAAAGAGGTCATTCGTTGCCAATATACTTTCTCACTTAGAGGGAAAACCTTGAATATGGTTGCAGCGCAAGTCTGAAGGTGAACACGAAGCTAGTAGACGTCTGAAAACGCAGTTTCTTATCGAGATGGAAGGGTTTGACAGTGGTAACGAGCAAATTCTGCTAATAGGTAAATGCTTAACAGCCCTATATATCATGCATATTGTAGTTTAAGATAAAGTTGCTGTCGTCTTTTCCACCAAAAAACCTAGACTGAAAAGGAGCAACATAGACGGCTCTCTATGCTGTCAGCTTCCCACTTCCCCGCACTTTTCCTGCGTCTGTGTTCACTTATTTCCTCACTATCTATGGTGTCCCATGTGATATATATCAGCTTACATGTAGGACAAAAGTCAGTAGGCCAGTATCGTTTTGTTGGGTGGACTTCCTTTTCTGTTTCGATGAAAGACACTCAACCAATGGTTCAGTTTCTCTGTTGCACGTCTTTCCTTTAGCTTGTCTTGTGCATGTCTCTGCCAAAACATGCTCAAGTATCGGCCATTTCAGCCGGTCATTTAGTTCCCAGGTACCGTTGAACGACAAACAAATTCTGGAATTACTATTGTTGTCAGTTGAGTTGGAATGAAAAACCAATTACCCCATGCTGCATCTTTTGATCCGTGTAAAATTTCGCAAGAATATTGCCATGTTTCTAAAATGACCTATGCCAGATATGTAATCTTACATCACCGGGACTTAGTTCTTTGGTAGCGCCACTCACTTTTAAATCGAAAAATTTGTTCACCATCATCTTATGAGTCTTAATTCTTTCATTTTTAGCCATGACACTGTCAGTTAAAGATTATTCTCTTATTAACAGGGGCAACAAATCGGCCTCACGAACTGGATGAAGCAGCAAGGAGGCGACTCACTAAAAGACTCTATATCCCCTTACCGTCATCAGGTTCCAAACTTTCAGCCATACGTCTCTCACAACCTGTTCACTCTGAATCACTAAAAAAATCATGACCTTCTTCTGGTTTCTTGAAGCAGAAGCAAGAGCCTGGATAGTACGTAACCTATTACAGAAAGATGGACTGTTCAAGCTGTCACAGGAAGAAATGGACACCATCTGCAATCTCACTGAAGGTACTCACTCAATTCATCCATACATCTCAGCCAAACTCGATATCCGAATCCTCAACTCCTTCGCTTTTGCTTGCTTGGTTACTAGGATACTCGGGTTCAGACATGAAAAATTTAGTGAAAGATGCATCAATGGGGCCCCTTAGGGAAGCTCTTAAACAAGGAATAGAAATTACTAAGCTGCAAAAGGAGGAGTTGCGGCCCGTTACTCTTCAGGTATAATCTACCATCTCTTTAATTTACCACCACAAATCAGTGCAGTTACTTTTCACATTGCTGGTATTTTAACACGGTAAGTTTTCCTATGTAGGACTTTGAAAATGCATTACAAGAAGTAAGGCCCTCTGTTTCACTTAATGAGTTGGGCGTCTACGAGACATGGAATAAACAATTTGGAAGCTTAGCCTTGTAATTCAGGTACGCTTCCTCCATCCAAGTGCCCTCCCCATCGGAGTGTGATTAACTCAAGCACAGTCTTACCAGCCGATTGGACTGTAAAAGCCACCTATAATCATTTAGACTGCTTAACACACAAATATTATGAAAAATTTACTCTTAGTTAAGTTAGTAGTAGTCTTATTATTAGTTTCTTTTTCATCCCCACATTTTCCAAATTGTATTTGGATGATTTAGAATTAGAATGATAAAATACTTATTTAGGAAAAAGTAACGGCACTTGAAGTTGAATGATTGAGATAAAGCTGGTGGGCTTTGTCCTTTCATACTAGAATACGAAAAAGTTGAGTTTGATAGAAAGTGCCTTTTCATTTTAAAGAGGTTACTATACTAAATCCTTTTAAATTGTTAACGGAGTATTATATATAAACATGAATCCGGAGTATTGCGTATATATTTTAGTCTTCTACATATATTATTACTATGGTCGATTCCTCTTATAAGATTGTTTTTTATGCTGACATATCAGGTAGTGTTGGAAATCTTATCTTTCTTTTCAATTAATCTGCCAATTAGATTTTATCTCCCTTCAAATCTTCATGATCCTAACGAGATTAAAATTGTAAAGTGAAGATCTAATTTTCACACTATTAATATATTTGAATAAATTTTTTAACCAATACACTAAAACCAAATAAATGCCTGTACAAAAATGTTTTAGTATGATGACGAAACTGTCATGGACTAGCGTATATGAATAAAATTGTGACCTTCATAATTTATGAAGATCGTTTGTGTCCAGATCAAAGACCGATCTTGGTTTGTACAAGACCGGATCAATAACTTTGAAGAGATGTGACCTGATGGACCATGTCCATGCCCACGTTTATTTTTAATCTAATCACCAGTCTTGTTTTCGAGTTCTGGAGTTGGGACTTGGGACAGTATGTAGGGCACTGAATAAACAAAGACCGACTTGACTGAGACTGAGTTCTCCCCAGAAGTTTCCTCGTCTTTGTTTGACTACTAAAACCCCAATTTGCTCCTCCCATGTGAGGCAATAATAATAAATCACCCTATGTCGTCCCAAAGCATGCAACTTCTCCTTTCATTTCTCGACCCAATAAATTTTAGATCACCGTCTATGCTTTTCATCATTGATAACATTGTTTATGGTTGGTATACATGATTTGATTTAGTTCAAAATCTCACATATAAAAATGGATATCAATCGGGTTGTAAATAAAATATATTTAATGAAATTATTCATGATTAGATCGATAAGACATTTGACTCATTTCAATTTTATCTAACTTTCGTTCAGTTAGATTTAGATTTATACTCATAAAACACAACAAAAATTATGAATGTAATCAAAATTGAATTCAATTATTCTTTGATTTTTTCCGATTTGATTTTAACACGAATTACATTCAACTTGATTTTTAATATGAAGTGAGCTTAATAGGGGTGTCAATTTGGTTTGGTTGACCAAACCAAAACCTGTAAGAAACCGAAAAATCTAACTAGGTTGTTTCCCCAAAATCAAAATTGAACCTGATAAGGTTTTAATGGGTTCGGTTTCAGTTAGAACAAAATCTAAAACCTAAATCCATGCACTCTCGATCAAAATTGATACCCTCTGCAGTCTGCACCTTTCACTTAATATTTTCTGTTTTGGTTTCTTATATGGTTTTCGATTTTATTTGAAATCAATAAAGTACAAATTGAATTGGGATAGAAAAACCATCTTATCAATTTAATTTCGGTTTAAACCGAAAAAACAAAATTAATATCCCAACCCTATAGTGTATTGACATGGTCATTCCTCCACTAATATGCAATCATACTCATTGATTTTCTAAAACCACACTTATGGTTTGGTCTTTGGAGAGGTAATGAATGATGGAAGAATAATTCCATGTTACTTTACAATTATCCACCCATAAAATATCGTTACCATTGACTTTCAAAAAAAAAAAAAATCATGATCTCCCCCCTCCACTACCCTCACCTTGTCTCAGTTTTACTTTGACACCTCCTTTTGACCACAACATTTAAGCCGCCGGCCATGTGAGCCGTCAAAAGCGGCACGTACACCGGCCTCTTTTGACTCACCGGCCGGATCTCAAACCGCCGCAGAATCGATGCCACCACATACGTCATCTGCACGAACGCCATCTCCTTCCCCAAACACACCCTTGGCCCCGCCTGAAATATTGGGTACTTGTACGGACACACTCTCTTGAGCTCACAACTATTCTCTTCGTTATCGACAAACCATCTCTCCGGCCTAAACTCGAACCAATCCTTCCCCCATAGCCCTTCCATCCTCCCCATACCGTACGGGAAGTACGTCACCCGATCCCCGGCCCTCACCGGAGTATTATCCGGCAACAAATCGTCCACGACGGCGTGTTTGGAGTCCCACACCACCGGCGGGTACAGCCTCATTGACTCGCACAAACAAGCCTTCAACAGCTTCATATCTTCCAACCCTTCCATCCTCGTCGCCGTCCTCGTAGCTTCCTCCACCACCGCTGACTCCATTCCCCGGTGACACGACAGCAGCCAGAACAGCCACGTCATCGCCGCCGACGTCGTGTCCCTGCCGGCCATGATCAAGCTGATCACGATATCTCTAATCTCCACCTCCTCGTACCCAGCCGCGATCAACCTCGACAGAAGATCTTGATCATCACCGTTATTGTTCCCCATGACCTCTTTCTTAATAGCAATCATTTCACTAACCTCCTTGTGAACTTCCCCGACGGCTTCTTTCAGCTCCTTCTCCGACCCAACTCCGAGCAACCTCTTCACCTTCCACACCACAACCAGCGGAGCCGCCCCTCTCCTGGCGCAGATCGTCGACGCAGCATCAAACGCCTTGCTCAGCGGCTGCTCCGGTTCCTTAGGGTCCAAGCAACACCTCTCCACCCCTAACGAAACCCTACACACCATGTTAAAAGTCAACCTCCTCAGCAACTCCTGCAAGTCAACCACTTTCTCGGTCTCTGCCAAGCTCTCCATCATGGGTACCAGCTCCTTCTCCACCTCTTCCTCTAGAGTCGTGATAAAGAACTCCTTCAGCGACCTCGCCGTGAACTCGTGGCTCACAAGCTTCCTCTGCGCCCGCCACGCGTCGCCGTCGACGTTGAAAATGCCGTACCCCAAGAAGTCGCCGAGGATGTCGGTGAAGGGTTTCCCCTTGGGGTAGTTTGGGAAGTTGGTTTTGAGGATGTACTCGACGTTGGAAGGGTTGGCGGTGACGATGGTGCGGCGGGCCCCGAGGCGGGTGATGACGATGGTGTTGGTCGGGGATTGGGAGAGGAGGGCTGTGTACCAGTCGAGGAGGCGGCGGCGGTTCTTGTAGAAGGAGATTAGGCAGCCGATGATAGGGTATGTCGGTGGCCCGCTGATGGCGTGGCGGCGGCGGTGGTGGAAGGAGATTATGGTGGTGATGAGGGAGAATAGGAGGGAGAGGTAGAGGAGAAGGAGAGACATTAGGGAGTTCATTGTTGTGTTGTGTTGGGGGAAGAAGGAAGGAAGGAAAGAGAGAAGAAGCATGTGAAAATGATGGGTTGAGGAAGGAGGCATGTGGGTTTCTTACGGTTATAACGACGGCTATTATCTTGGTTTTGGATTAATCGCAATTCGCAAATGAGACCGTGAGGTTTGGGAATCCATAACGATATAATTTTGTTTTTGAGTTTGAGTTTTTTTATGAAAGATTTATAAAATGGAATGGTAGTAATTAGGATTAGTATTGTGTTAGTTCAAATTGTTTTGAATCAATATGGATCATAGAAGAACTAAGTTTTCAATGCAAAAGAAAGATAATCTTGGACCAAATTCTCAAGGGTGGATAGAGTTGTTTTGTTATTCTATGGTAACGTGTCTTCTTTAGTTAATTAATGAAAAGATAAGTGAGTAAATACATGTTTTTCTTCGAAATAAGAATGACATTTTTTATCTGATTTATTTAGGTCTATTTTGAATGCATTAAAAGTGAGTCTTTTTTGTATCGTATCTTATCTTGCCTTATAATATCTAACTTTTAAATCTATTTATAATGTTGGGAAAAGAAATTCATTAGAAAGTAATTACTGGAGACTAAATCAGTAGGCGGCCTTTAGCATTATGAAATGTTAAACCATAACTTTAGTAACTTTAGTATAAAGTGTCGTAACGTTAATTTTTTCAGTGTAATTTTCAATACGTTCTTTTAATTCTCGCTATTTTGAACTTGATTTTTCTAAGAAGATAATCTATCATAATTAAAAATACTCAAGAATAGTAAATAGCAAAAAGCTTGTTAATTATTAGCCGGTAAAGTAACAAACACACTTAAACTTATCGAAAATGACAATAACCAATCTGACAAATCCAATGAATGGGGAGGGTGACAAGAAACTTCTTGAGGGGTTATTTTATTTTTGTAGTGATCGATCAACAACTCGAGCAAAATGCCAAGAATAGAGCAGAGTAGACCGACAGTATATAGTATATATCAGAAATAGCCCCCTCTCATATAGACACGTTTCTGATAGAAGCCTATAAAGAATGTGAACTATGCTCAAAAGGTTGAATAGAGTATATGGAAAAGCAAGAAAAAATCTCTTACCACCACTACCCTCGTTTATCTCTCCACCAGCACAACTGGAATGTCTTATTGGTTCATACAATTAATGAACTCTGTCTTAATGTAATGGTATGCCATTCCTGATTTAGTCTTATTGAAATCACATGGTTATTCGTATAGTATTAGAAAATCTTATTGTGAAATTTCTGTGTTTTATTAATTATGAACCTCACTATGAAATATTTATGGAAACTTCAAACTATATATTAACTTTCGATATCTAAAAAAAATTATTGCAACCTCGTAATTCTTCTAGTTTTCCCTCACATACGAAAGCATTCATTGGTATTTGATATTGTGAGTCAGTTTGAGATGAATATAATATTGAATGGTTTAGAATGAAGAGTAAGATGTATTAGTATAATTATTGGTGCGGCAGTTTTAGTCTTCTAAAGTAGGCTTCTACGCATAGTATTAGTGTTGTTCTATTGCGCCACTTCAGAGGGTTGGGCAGTAAAGTGGAGAAAAGGTTAGGGGGATATGAGAAGGCTAATTGATAGAGTAATTGTAAAGTAATGGGTTACCAACTTACCTTGCCCACTACTCATTACTTACCAGTACTAGCGTTAGGGCTAATCACTTTGTATTATGCTCTTTATTATGAAAGTACTATATAACATGTGGTTTTATCCTTAATAAGACATAAGAAATTTAATACTTTTATCATTTACGGATCTCGAAACTTAATGATTAACTATTAGGTTAACTTATAGGTTGTTTTTCTTATTGCGAGTATACAACAGAAAATATATGTCAAATTCTGTAAAAAAAAAGTTGATCAATCATTGTGTTAACCTCGTTCAATTCTTCTTCTTATTATAAGTCAGTCTTAAGGTCCAAAACTCATAACTATGTATTAGTCTATTAGATGATATCGAAGGTGCAAACCTACTCCTAAGAATCTTTTGGAACTGGTGCTTTGAATATTCTGTCTCTTGAACCCCTTCTCATATTAAGATTATCGAGAGAACAGGCAATTCCTTTGCCTTCTTGCTTGCTTTTCTTTGTCTCGTTTCTTTTGTTCTCTTGTTAACCAAATGCTGGTTTACACGTTCTCACTTCCAGAGCAGGTGTCCTCTCCTTCTATGGCAGATGCAGACAAAGGATATGTGTTGGAAAGAAAGTACACGCTCAGGAAAGTGACAGACAGACAGCCAAGCGAGTTCGATGTTGAAACTTTGGTGATACCAAGAGTTCTTACAACCACATACAAGAGAGAAGAGTTGGGGAAAAAGAAGTGAAGCAGATTAGCCATTAGTTATATTCCAATCAAATTTGTTTAGTTATGGCCTGTCATGTTTGTCATCAATCAGTTCAGTTCAGTTCAGTTCCCACCCAACTTGCAGGCCAACCCTTTCAAGTTTGGTTGGCCTTGGTGTAGTGGATCACATGAAACATGTCTCTTCGCCAAAACTCAGACAGCAATGGATGGGATTTGGAAATGGATAGGGGCAAATCTTTTCACTCTTATCATCGACCAATGGTATGGTGATCCTTGATGTGTAGGGTTGGGTAAGACGGGTAGGGTCTTTACATTTATGTCATTGTTTTTAGGTGATTTGGATCCTTAAATAGCCAAAACATTTGTAAAATGGAATGAGTTATGTAGATTCATATCATTATGATGAATGTAGTGATAATCATCGATGAATATGTGAGTGATGACACTAGTTGAGGTTTGTAATTAATTTCTTTTAGTTTGTTTGTTCAGATTTTGATATTTGTGATCGATGTTTGTAGTTTGATGTTTCAGTATAATATAACTTTTTGCATTTGAACTAATATAACATTAGTCATTATATGTCTTTTCATTAAAATAATGTTATTTCTCTACTTTTACAAACAAGGGTCTCAAAAAATTCATCATATTACACCTCGCTATGCATTGACCTAACTTGAACTCATGTAGCAAACCCAAAATTTGCAACTATGGAGAGAGAAATACTTGCTAGCCTGGAGAAGAACTAAACAGCTAGTCGAGTTTTTACCTGTTGGAAAGGATATCAAACTTACAAAATTTTATGTTTTGTTATCCTTAATAAAATTCATATAATAATAAATTGTAGGATTCTTATTAGAAATGGTAACATGGAACATTTTATAGATTTTGCACTCGGAACCACGAAGTTTTAGTATGGGTCTATGTAACTAGTTTTGTCTTGGATATTTGGGCCAGACCTTTGTTAAGTCAAATTAGTATTGGATTTGACAAGCGTGAGCCTTGAAAAGGAGCCCAACCCCGTTTACGTCCAAGTGTTTATCAAGTAGTCGAATTTTAGACTTGCACAGCCATGGCTCATCAGCCAACTTCCACACTTTCAGAAACGAGCAAACATAAAAAGAAACAGCTTTTTACATCACTAATATGACTATTGTTCTTATTTCTTTCTAATAGACCATGAGATGGTTTCACCACAGTTTCTTTCAGAGACTATGACTATGACTATGACAACAGAAAACCACAGTTTATCATTGTTCTCTAGACCAACAACACCACACACCTAGATGCTAATTGATCTCTACATCTTCCAGCAAAAGCCACTGCTTTCATTGTTTACATGGATCGATTTCTACAAGTTCGAGTGCCCAACACGGAGTTGAACCTGGTGCCACGATGTGTTCAGTACCCCTCTCAGGTTCCAGATTTCTTGCACGCTTTCAGGCTGCACATTTGCTGCTGAATCCACCTGCATTTTTGTTGATCAACACACCATACAAACTCATATGATCATTACTCCGACAGAGTGACAAATCAAATTATCCGTTTCTTGGAAATCATATAGACACATGATGCGGAAAAAGGGAGCAAACAACTTACTGCTTTAGCCACAATCTCTACACTATGAGGGACATCCACAGTAGCCTCAAAAAGAACCCATGCCCATTTGTCACTGTTCGTATCATCGGATACATATGAAATTCCGGGCTTTTGGTACCTGGTAGCTTCCACCCAGGTCTTACCACCATCCATTGACACATCGACTCTCTCGATCCCCCGCCCACCTCCTGATACTGCATACCCGCTGACCCTAACCTGCAGAAAGCAAGTGAACTGCAACCCATGAGTGTTCTGAAACTATGAACATACAAACTTTACTGGGATTCTCCAAATTAAAGAGCCAGAAAAGTATTGGGTTTTAAAATATCGAGGCAGTTCTATCACGTCATTACTACATCCTAATGGAAGGACGAATACATCATTTAATATGTAGTGCTGAAGGGAAAACTAACCTTCCCAGGCTGCTTCATGATAGTCAGATCCTCTAAGGAACAAATGGCACTCTGTAGGTTCATGAATTCATTTGTTAGTCGATTAACTTATCAATGTTTTCTCAAGAATGCAAAGTTGGAGGTTAGTTGGAAAGCACCTACCTGGACAGGGAAGTCCATTTGTGGCCTCCTCGTTGACCAATCAATGTTATCCCAATTGACTGATGGCGGGAACATCTTATAGTCTTTTTGCATGAAGAAGCCCTGTTCAATAGCTAGGAAAGTTTTTGAGGTCTTGGAGGGATTTAAGATGAAAAATCTGATTTCTTATGGAGGCAAGAAATCTACACGAACCTGACATTCATTGGCTAATATGTTGATGGAATCCAACCACTTCACAGAACGAGCACCTATGACACCTGGGACAACCACTCGTAATGGGTAACCGTGGTCCCTGTTTAAACACTTTCAACATGACAAACATACACATATAATTTATTAGATTGGTCCAGAACTTCAGTAACCTATTGCCTAAAAGAACAGACGTGGCAGCATTTGGTCCTTTATCGACAATCATTCAAGCCCAATTCTCACAACAGGTATCTTGACCACCAAAAAAAACACGCGTTAGGTTTACTGACCTCTCCATTCATCTCATAAGCAAGTAGAACATCAGCATCAGGGTTTGTGGCTTGGAAGAGCGGAATCGATGCTTTATAAGGTCCCCCATTCTCCTCCTAAGATTTAATTTTTCCAATGATATGAAGAGGCAAGTCAAGTATACGTCAACCATAGAAGCCAGAAACCTTATACCAAAGACTGTAGTCAGTACCTTGCACTTATCAATGCTCACAAATTCAACATGCTTCCCACCAGATTTGGTGGCAGCGGTGAACTTAGGTATGCCAACAAGTTCAAGAACATCAGCCAGTTTGGCACCACCCCAAACAGCTGAAGGAAAAGTAATCATCAGCACATTCAAAAGCTTAGAATCAATATGCTATCAAAATTATCGGACTAAAGAACTCCATCAAAGATTAGGCCATGCATGTTATTTTCAGCACAGCTTTAAGAGGTGGTTAAAGGACTAACCATTTCCAATCGCAGAGATACCCCAACCAACTCCTTTAACTGTCTTGACTTTGCTCATGGCAGTCCTCCTGTTACCAGCGCACTATATACCCCACCAAAAAAGACCAAATACCTTAAGTCCAAGCAGAAAGTAGTCCAAATCAAATTTAAGGCAGAAAAATGGCTAAGACTTAGTAAGACATAAGATACAGACTTCACCTGCAAGGTAGCTGCAACACTGTACTTTGGAAGCGACCTATCGATGATGAAAGAATGAAAGTCACTTTACTAAACCAATGCTTCTGCTGTTCTGCATACTATTAACACAACTACATAAAATTTACCTGATATCTCTCATGGTCAGCTCCTTGGGGGTTTCAATCAGCCCATTCAAAGAGACGGAGTATCTGCTCACGACAGTCAAGAAAAAAAGAATCAATAAAAATCAAACATAAGTAACTTTCAAGGGACATTTGCATCAAATGGGTAATTGTGATCACGACCTTTCTATATCATCAACGACTGGAATGGGGCCATGATTTCTCTTGTAGAAGAAGTCCACAGGAGTCACATAAGAAGTCACCAAGGCTGAACGAGGTGGCTCCGCATTGAATGGTTGCTGGCAGAAGCATAAACAATTGAGCTCAGAAACCACTCAACAATGCTATAATCTATAAATGAATATTGGGGAATTCCAGCATAAAGGAAGCTCAGCTAAACAATTCACGGGTAAAGAAGCTGGATTCTTAGAATTGTGAATTATCTCATTCTCAGTTAAAGAGCATGAGCCATAGAAAGAACGCTCCAGTTTTATGCTTCCATCACACAGTTCGCAGTCATCCCCAAGTGAGAAAACCGACTTTGAGGGAAATAAGAACAGTCCGAATGGGGAAAAGCCGAGGAAGTGAAGCAGACCTTGGAATTGATGACGAGGGAAGGATGGCGAGTTGGTTCCCGGGAATACTCCGACGGACCCTTAATTCCAGGCATTTGTTTTCTTTCTATCCAACGAATCCCTTACAATTCTGAGAACCGCAGATGGAAATAGAGACATACAAAGAGAGAAGGGAAAAAAGAAGGGATTCTGAGTTTTCTATTGATTCCTTTCTGCAATATCAATGGCGATGAGAGAGCCAAGCAAAACAAGGTGGTAGAGATCAGAAGACAAAAGGCCAAACCTTTTCGGTGGTTTCAGACTTTCAGTGAGTGTAGTTGAAGCCTGACTATGACCAATTGACCATGGCCGGCCCACTAAAAGAATGACGAGGCATTCTGGTGTGGTGGGACCGAAGTATTCCAGCCCACCGTTTCAGCTTCGAATCCTCAAACGGAAAACGAAACACGAGAAAATGGAAAAGAGAGAAATTGGCGGATATGTTCGGTTAATATTGCACCAAATTAACCCGATAATTGCATCTCTTCCTTGTGATCTCCTTGAATTAACACATTACCAAATTGATCACTACCTAGTGTTCATGGACTCCACACCAATAACCAAGCCCTTTGTTGACAGACACCTACTTGACCACTCGGTCCTCAGTTTCATTGCAAGGTTTGTCTACAGCTATTCCCACGTCATTGATGGGTTTAGCACTGCCACAACCCTTTGGAGCTGAGATTTTCATGGTATCCTTACTCCATGAAGTTGAGGCCTGAGGGACCAGCCAATCGAATACGCCACTATCCACTCCCCCGAGTCCTTGGACCTCATTGGTTGCTCCGGAACTTGGGAGGTGTCCCACTATAGTGAAGAAATGATCATTGGAGTTGTAGGCATGGGCATCTAGCCGGAGAATCCAAGCTTCAGCGACCACGGGATGGACCCCCCGACTGCTGCACGATGGAAAGGATAGTGTCGATTCTCCAACTACTCCTCGTGCAACAACAAGTTGGTTGGAACTCAGGCCTAGAAACGTTTTTAATATCAGTATCGCAGAGGTTAATTTGATCTCCCCGAGACAAGGGTTCACAACGCGGGGTCTAATCCTCTAGCATAACAGCCGGCAACTTCATCGACTGGGCATCCTACTTCGACTATGCTCCTGGAACCGCCGAGGGAGTGGCTCCTAAAGCACACATAGCAATGTCCGTACCTGTGGAGGAATCAGATTTCATTGCGGCAATTGATCGAGCAATTAGTGACGACGTAGATGTTTTATTCATGTATGTGGGATTTCATCAACCCCCGCTCTACGAGGACACAATTGCCTTGGCGACATTCGTTTTGCCGTTGAGAAGAACGTCTTCGTCGCCCTTGCAATTGGATCCTCGTAGAGCGGAGGTGATGAAATCTCATGGTCAAAACATCCACATTGTCGTCAACTACTCAATTAATTCCCGCAAAAAAATCTAATTCCTCCACATGTATGTACATTGCTACGTGTCCTTTGGGAGCCACTCCCTTAGCGGTTCCAGGTGCGTAGTCGTAGTAGGATGCCCCGTCCACGAAGTTGTCAGCTAATAAGCTGGAGGTTTGGGTCCTGTGTCCCGACTTGTTGTGGGGTTAGATTACATTAACCTTTGTGATATTGATATAAAAAAAAATGTTCCTAGATTTGTCGAATACCTGAGCTCCAACCAACTTGTTGTTGCACAAGGAACGGTTGGAGAATCTACCCCCTCCTTTCCATCGTGCAACAGGCGAGGGGTTCATCCCTTGGTCTCAGAAGCTTTGACTCTCCAGCCAGATGCCCGTGTCCACAACTCCAATGATCATTTCTTCACCATAGTTGGACACCTCCCAAGCTATATATGGAGCAACCAGCGAGGCCCAAGATTTCGGGAGAGTGGGTACGTAGTGGCGTACTCGATTGGCCGATCCCTCAACTTCATCAAGTAAATGTACCATGAATACCTTTGCTCAGAGAACAGCTCCAAAGGCGTCATGGCAACACTAAACCCATCAATGACGTGGGAGTAGCTGTAGATAAGCCTTGCATTTGATGAAACGGAGGACAGAATGGCCTAAGTACCACTGGTGTCTGTCAACAAAGGGCTTGGACATTGATGTGGAGTCGAGGAAAACTAAAGGTAGTGATCAATTTGAGAATGTGCGGGGAGGGAATTCAAGGAGATCACTAGTACCAGAAGGAAGAGAACGAAAGTTGACGAGGCCATGATTTTGGGTGGAATTGGGTTTTCTTGGTTCTGGCCTTGATTTCAGTAGTGTGGATGAAGTTGTAATGGATAATTCATCATATATAGACAGCAGAAGAACATGCAAGCTGCATGAGTAACCTAATCTCTTGGACTGATTCCTAACTTGTCAGTTATTCCAACCACTTTCCAGATTTTAGTTGATATGCTTTCATCATATACAGATAGCAGAGCATGCATGCTGCATGAGTAACCTAATTTCTTGGACTCTTCTCTAACTTGTTAGTTCTTCCAACCTCTTTTACAGATTTTTTAAAAGTTGAAGTATAATGCATTCCTCATATATGGATAGCACACAAGCTGCATGAGTGCATGTGACCTAATTTCTTGGATTGTTTCTAACTCACCCTCCATATGTTAATTTGTTCGCCCACTAACATTTGGATTGGATAAATACATAAACCCACAAAAATTAATTACAAAAGAAACATGTGAACTAAGAAAAGACGGTAAAATCAGTGTATAAAACCGTATCGACAGTCCAACCGAAAAAGTCTCTTTTTGGAGGCTAAACCGATAAGCGAATTTTTGCGGTTATGAAATTATTTAATCACGGTTTCTGCATAAAACACCCTATTACTGGTTTTACCGCTACAATTTGATTTGATTTGGTTGATTTGTTTAATTCGGCTAAGAGCTTCTTGTTTGGTTTGGTTAAGGTGAAATGTTGGGCTGCAAAACGGGGTCTCGTCGATGGTGTCAACGGAATCCAACTGGTGGGCCCAATCAGGCTTCCACTAGCCTTCACGATCGGCAAATGTGAAATGGCGCCACCACTACCCGTCAATAGGATTGCCTCTCCGTCACGGCAGTACAGGCGGCGGTTCCCATAACCGGCGGCACCTGAACCTTGATTTGTTTCCTTCTCTAATTCACTCCCTCATCAAAATCATTACAAATCTCAAATAACAGCGATAAAGATAGTACACACTACACAGTGATGATATGTTCCAAAATGGCAGAGAAAAAACAAGTACCATCACCACCATCGCTCGCTATCTCATGGAAGATGATGATGCTTCTTCAGCTTCAGCTTTACGAGCCAAATCCTGAGCTCGATCCCTACTGCGACGCTTACCTCCTTCCCCAGAGAAGCTAGCTTTCGCCAGCTCCCTCAGCTTCCTAAGCTCACTCCTTTCCTCAACCATGGCTTCTGTTTCCCCTCTCCCTCCAGCATTATCTGGACTCGCCATGGGTACCACCGTAGCAGACATAGCTCGGAATGAATTCCCACGTGGCGGTGGCACATCTGTGTCGGGACTCAACTGAGGAACGCTGGACAGTCCGGTCTTTGGTTGGGGTGAACTCGGTAAGACAATACTCGACCATTGCTTCCTCGGCAAGAAAGGTAGGATGAGACCTCTGGCCATGAACCGTGGCGTCCACGAGAGTCTTACCAGCCAAGAAACCAACCCATACCATTCGTTCGTGATATGGGCAATGGCGGTGAGCAGGAGAAGAGCCACCATTACATATCCTAGAACTGTAGCCTCCGTCGGATCTGGCTTCTTAGTCGTGACAGCCATGGAAATGGAGAAGATGGCTGCCTCGCATAGCAGGGAAATGCTTTCTACTGCATGGACACTCCTCTTGATGAAAGGTTTGAGACTCGACAGGTAGACAAATTGTGTCATTGTGATCGCCAAGGCTATGAGGTTGTGCATCCAGTGATCTTTCGAGGTAGCTGCTACTCCGGATATTACTCCCAAGCTGACTCTTCGAATGAGATCGAGAACTAAGTATGAAGATCTAGCATACCCAAGACACTTCATGGGGCCAGGAACCTTCAAATCCTCTTCATTGATGTCGTTCGAACTGATGGCTCGCATTCTTCCAATTCCACCACTTCGGCCACTCTCGCTCCATTTTGGAACGGTGCTTTGATCAGTTTTATCAACGAAGATGAAGAAAGGGGGGCCCTTTTGATTCTCAAAGAGGCTTCTGAAGTTCTGTACGAGAGACGAAGTGGAGCCTTCTCTGTAGACCCACTTCCCCATTACTGGTCTACTGGTGATAAAGAACCACAGCTTTTCATACCATGCCTCCCTTACAACTGTATACTTAATCTCCTTGTATTGGACAAATTTCCCCGGAAGAATGGCGACTAGGAGGAAGAGTAAGACGGATAAAATGAATGCTGCCGGGATGACCAGCAACAAAGCTCCAGTTATCATGCCTCCAATTGTTCCACCTGCAAAAAATGAGACATATTATTTTGCCATTATCTAAAAGAAAGGAGACGTATTTTCTGCTGAACATGACTGTTTAGAAGATGAACAGGATCAACAACATTAGTTCCTCTCACCTTTGACGACAAATGCTGCAGACTGAGAGATACAAGGTAGCATGACGATTAGAAGAAAGATCTCGAACCTTGGAAATGAGACCATTCCAAAATTAACCGATGTTGTTGATCCTGTCCTCCATCTCAGGAAAAGGAATATTGATATATGGAGTGCAAGCAAACTGCCTGCAATCGCAGCAAGCCAAAATAGGTTCATCCCCATGTCTTCCCACCTAATAAAACAACAGCATTGCATCATGAGTTGATGAGTTTGTTTCTCACGGTTAAAGCCATTCTGAATACGAATTGAGCAACGTCTCACCCTTTATTGTTTTCCAGTTTCTTCACGACATTGCTGGCAGACAAGGGCTCTCCTCTCTGCAATGAAAGGACGAATAAGGCTGTATTTAGAGAGATTTTTTTCTTCTTTCAAATCAAGATATCACCAGAACATGGTAAGCTGAGGATACCAACCAAGAAATAAGTAAAGTATTCGGCTGAATTGAGAGGTTGTCCATACTGAGCACTTCGCGAGCTCATAGCTTTGCCGTGAAGCCCATCATAACTCGTGAAGTTCCCCTGGTGCTTATGCTCACCATCAGGAAGTATAGGAAGTCCAACGGCCATGAAATCTTTTATCCCACTAGTAATATGAACATGGTTGGTCCAAGTTAAAGTTGAATCCTTTCTCCATGGAAGCTTGCCACGAGGTATAAGCCACTTGAGACCTTTTACTGTCTCTGAATATTCAATTGGATGATTGGGAGCGAACCAATCTGACATTACAAAGACTTGGAGATGCCCAAACATTCCCTGCAAAGAATGAATTTCAGCATATAAACAATAAACCAGCACAAAGCCACAAACGGATAGATTTTGGTCCTGGAATGCTGGACACTCAAACTTACATGCAGATTAGTTGATGGACTGGGAGCAACGAAATTGGTTTCTCCTGTTAAGAGAGCACTTATTATTCCGATATTAGCATAGGATAGTGAAAGACCAGCCACTGCAAGTGATGTTGCTAGCACTCCAGCAGTGACAAAGGATTGGAGTGCCGTTGAGGCTGCAGGGGTTGAGTCTGCTCAAGTATTCAATATGAAATGTCAGAATCCTCATTGTTTGTCTGAACATAACCAGGTACAGTTGCAAGAGAAATGATTCTTACAGTGCTTCAGTTGAACTCTGTTGGATGCCAGATTCTGATTTCCAGAAATATCACTTACTTTGCCAGCAAGAACAGAAACAGAGAGTGTTTTCTGAGCTTCAACAATGACGGTCAATGAGTATAGTGCTCTCGAGAGTTCCTTAAACCTGAAGAAAGTAAAAGATTAGACCTTTTTGAGCTGTTTGTTCAGCCTCGGTTTGCAGCACTTCATTTGTACCTGCCTTGCAATCTTCCCTCCATGTACTTCTACCATTGAGGGATCAAAGCCAAAAACTGGCTTAGTGAACTCCGCAACCAAATTGATGTGAGAAGCTTTTGTAACATTTTGCAAGTCGGAACTTAGCCCTACTGCAGGGTCCTCCGTATCTAAGATGAAAACTTACTTCAATTACTCAACTTCTCAAGATAAGAGTCAATGAAAAACTAAGAACAAATTTTATATGGGAAAAGGACCTACCATAGAGAATTGTCAGTGGGGAAACCGGTGAAGTGGGAGTTCCAGTCCTGCCAATTATCAAACTGGTTTCAAGCTCAATCACGATGATTTCAGTACGGGATACGTTCATGAGCTGGAAAAATAATGTTAGTCCAATTCACGTTCATTTCTAGGCAACAATGCTGGTCATGGAAGTCTAAGATAAGTGCTCACTTGAAAAGCAAACTTGTGATTCCCCCGATGTCCACTAAGAACAGAGGATACAGAACCTGACTTGACATGTAATGCACTTAGGACTTCCTCTGTCGAATTCTGTATAGGATTACTGAAATCCACGAAAATTCTTAAGTCTTCCATCTTGTTTGTTGCGAGAACTGTTCTTGGCACGCCATTGATCTTCAGCACATAGGATGAAACAGGCATCCATAAATCTACCACCACTGGTCTCCTATCTAATGGCAATAGTGATTATAAATCAAATTGAGAAATAAAAACATATTGGTAACTAATTGTCCCAGTGGAGACTGATGTAACTAACCAAAGCGAACAGTCATCGCAGAATTTTTGCTCCTTGTAAAAGGGTTTCCAGCTTTATCTGTACAAGAACCATTCACCATTCTGATAACAACACGGCCATACATACTTCCCAAGGAGAGGGCTATGTCAACTTCGTATTTCAGGTTCGGTTTAATGACCCGCAGAGAAGAAGCATCAATAGAACCTGGACCATCTATCAAAACCTGCAAAACACCAGGAACACATCAATTTCACATCACGTATTTGACATTAGTGTTAGAGATGGAAACATTTTCTTACATCACAGTGTGATGAGTTCAAGCACTTCAACCCACAAGCCTCACTGAAGGTGACATCAACAGTTATTTTTGCAGCATTTGTGTAGCTATCTTCACTAGACAAAGTGGCTGTTGGCGGAATTGTATCTGCCGATATATTGGAAGCTTCTGAATCAGCAGAATGAGTTACAAACAAACAGGAGCAGATGAAAGAAACTGGATGGAATTGGTTGCTAACCGATGAACCATGAATAAGAGGAAGAGTTTCTGTCCCCATTCTGAGTTGTGACATTCAAAAGGAAAGTATGCTTCTGATTCACTGTCAAGTTCCTCAACACAATGGAGTCAGCTGGGCATGATCTTAAAGCTTGGCCATCAAGCTGGTGGAAAGCCAAGTAAAAATGGTTTAAGGGAAATTCTGAAGAAGTTCTCTTTCCCATTTATGATTCCCAGGAAGTTGTCCAAATAGAAGAAAGTTTACCTCACAGGCAATAAAGCAGCCATTGCTGCTGCATGCATTACTGGCATCCGACCCTTCAACGGAATACTTGAATACGGCAGTTGAGAACCTTGAAACCTCAGATGGTGCCTCGTGGAAAAGAATTATTACAACAGATTGAGCTGAATCCAATGCACCTGCCACAATCACTGCTGTACAAAGTACAAATAACTTGAACAACCCCATTTTGCAAGAATCAATGGCCTCTTCAGATTTGAGATGGGAACTGAAGAAGGGACAAACAAGCAAGCAAACAAAAGAGAGCTTTCATTTTATTGTGTTTTGTTCTCTATTTTAATGATTTATGTTGGACGACAAGGAAAATACATAAAAGATGAAGACAGCTACCAAAATTTATTGTTGTCAGACCATAGCTGCTCACCATAAAGACTCACATTTCTCATTAACAACCACTATTCGAAATCCATATCCGTGTATGTATGCCTTCTGCAGACCATGTTTCTCTTTCCTCGCTCTCTCTCTCTCTCTCTCTCTCTCTCTCTCTCTCTCTCTCTCTCTCTCTCTGCTTCTCTCTTCTGTCCTCCAATGTACTCATCAGATTCTAACTGTACCTTCATTATTTATAATTGCTGATAAAGTAAATGCATTCAGCTGCACAAACAGGAGAAGGAGCTTTCATTACAGCACAGTAAGATTGGCCTAATGGACCAATGGTTCCAGAAGATGATAAGGAAACCACACATTGCAGCTTCACTCTGAGGCTGTGGGATTGATGAGGGGTGAAGCAAGTCCACATTTATTATTTTCACCTTCCAAAAAGACCAAACTCCATTAAATGTTAGTCATTCGCCATATATAAACTGTGTACTCCGACTCTCCGAGTAGTAATGAACTATAGCAACATACTTCCTCTTCTGTGCTTTTATAACAAAGAGATCATGATAATCACAATGGTCAGCTTCAAGACTAAAATTGAAGGCCACAAATCTTATGTTAAATTTAATTCATACCCAATTGAGCAAGTTAGCAGGAACAGACAATGGAGTTGCTCATGACAGGTCTTACTCCCTCCAGCAAGATTTCATTTTACTTGGATCATCAACAAGATGTTGAATTAGCTGTACAATGTCGTCTTAGAAGTCCCGATCAAGCAAGATTCAGTGGGATTTACATATCTCAAGTAGTATAAGGTATAAGGTCTTCAGGCTTTAAAGCTGATTCACTGTCCTCTTCAGCCTCCATCCATGGCAGTTTAGGTCCCTGCTCATTTTCCATTCACGAAATCAGTCCACGCAACATCAAAAGTAAAACGAACTGTTCTTCCTTCCTTTTCCCCAAAAAAAAAACTTTTCCTCCTTATTGCAGAAGCTCGATTACCTTTCCTTGCCGTACGACTACTGGAGTTATTCTTGTAATGTCGACCACAGTGGAAGGATCAGCCACTCTCACACCACCGTCAACAATGAAATCCAGTCCCTACATCAACGAGCCAGAAGGGTTGAACAGTCCAAAAAGAATAAGAGGTGAAACTTTAGCAGATGGATAAATGGTACCTCTGGTCCATATGCATCAGCTATTGCAACAGGATCCAACAACCATTCATTTTCCTTAAGGCCCTTCACGCTGATGCATAGAAAAATAAAATACAAGGAAGCTTTCAGGTTTCCTTTCACAAATTGCTTATGTAACCTCATTGTCAGACTCAGGCATCCTTTAGGCCCTTATCCAGCCAAAGTTTATGTGTCTTCCCAAAACAGCGAAGGAAATTCAAGTGGAACAAAAACCTTGTGGAAATCAGTGGTGCGTCAAGCTTTTCAAGTATTGCCCGGCAAATGGAATCATCCGGTATCCTGACACCCACATCCTTCCGAGCAGCATATTTGGCAGATGGAGTTCCATATCTCATACATCGTTTAGGCAACTCCTTGCTTGCAGTCAATATGAAAGTGTACTGTAACATAAATCATAAATGCATAGCCATAAATGAGGAAGTAAGACTAGCCATGATCATCAATCCAATCAAGTCTAATCAGCACATCCTATTGAGATGGAGTAATGGAAACTTCGCAGTGATTTAACCAATACAACCAAATGAGGAACTACATCGCCTTCCCATATGCCCGTAACGTTTAAGAGCAGACCCAGGCCAGATTACATCCTTACTTACCGGTCCGGGTAAACAATGCTTAACAGCTCGGAAGATACTCGCGTGTCCTTGGCCATCACCTCGAGGGAAACCAGTCGTGTACGTGTCTATATCTCTCAAAGAGCGGCACAAGATGCTGAGAGGCTGCATTTCAAAGCATGCAAAATAATCAATTTAGAACTACTCCAATCTGCAACAGTAGGAGTAGGTTGAATAATCAGAAACAACAGGTTTGCTCCCTGCCTTGGATGGTTCAATGTGTTTAATCCTGCAAGCAAAAGAAAGCCATAAGGTCATACCACCATGAAAATCCAATGCCAGGGCTACCAATTCAAAAGAGGGAGAAAACTAGTACCTACGAAGACGTTCTATCGCTGACGGGCTCTTTAGGTCACAAACTATGGCGTACCTAATAAACGAACGAGGACCCGAAATTCAGCCTCCCTAATTAAATTGAACGAGATACTACCGATCGCAAGGAAAGCAAAACTGCTGAAATCGTACACAGTATCAGTGGGAATGACCCCAACAGCGCCCTGCTTCAGAAGGGCAACGATGGGATCCATCTTCCAGCTATCCTCTCCACTAGGATCAGCTTCCACATAAACCAACCCGCCCTCCTACCCATTTTAATTGCGATTAGAGGAGAAACTCAGAAAAAACGGAAACCGAAAGAAGAAGAATCGGGAACCTTGGTGAAGCGAGGAGCGGAGTATTTGAGACGCTTGGGGCTCCTCTTGACAGCCATGGCCAAGACTCGGAAGCGAAGAGGAGGTTTGGCGGGGGCGGGAAACGAGACGCGGGACGGGAATTGAGAAGGGCGGAGCATCCGCGGTACGGCCAAATCAAGCCAGGGAATTCTACCTCCCACTCGGACTGTTTTGCTATCCGCCATCTTCGGACTGATTTTCTTGCAGGCTGCAGCTGAAGCTTCTTACCCCAAGGTCTAAACTCTAAAGGAGACTTTACACCATCCTCCTGCTGCTGAGCTCAGTCTCCGGTATCGCAGAGAGAAGAAACGAGAAAAGGGATGATGAAAGTTAAGCAACGGCTATCAGAGGAACGACCTGTCGTTTGTCCAGAAAGGATAATAATGGGCCGCAGGCCCGCAAAGCATTATGGGCCTACAAATGAAACATGAATGAACGCACCGCGAGAAGCATCGAGATGGGTGCGCTCTCTCTTTCTCTCCTCTCTTTCAGTCATTTTCCCACTTCTTAATTCTGACCCTTTTCTAGTTTTCTTCCTTGTTCCGTTAAACCCCACACTTCACTTTTCTTCAGTTGCCCCCAACCTTTACACCAGATCTGATTCTCTTTTACCAACCGTAGGCTCTTCTTTCTCCTCTAGAAAATCATCCCTCTACCCCAAATCGAAGCGGAAAGGAAAGGCTATTCGAATCTATATATGGCGGACTGGGGCCCAGTGATAGTGGCGGTGGTGCTGTTCGTGCTGCTGACTCCAGGCCTGCTGATTCAGATCCCTGGGAGGAACAGAGTGGTGGAGTTCGGCAACATGCAGACCAGCGGCGCTTCCATTTGTGTCCACGCCATCATCTACTTCGGCCTAATAACCATCTTCCTCATCGCCATCGGCGTCCACATATATGCTGGTTAACCAATCAAGACTCTGTACAACGGAGGCAGTTTCCCAGTTCGTTCTCACCGCTTTCGTATATTCAAGTTTCTCCGCTTCTTTTGCGTTTCTATTTTCCTGTTTTCGGGCTGTATGTCAAATTCTCAACAGATTGAATCAATAAATCTGGAAATCGTGTTTGTACAGTAGGGATTCTTTCCCTTTATATATGACTCTTACAACTCAACTAATCTATACACTGGTTAACTCCTAACCTACCTGACCGGTTCAACCATGAACCAATAACCTATCTAACCTATCTACACGGAAACGTTACCGTTTCCCTCAACACCCCCCCGCAAGCTGACCATTTATAGAGTGAATGGGCAGCTTGGTTATAAGCTCCTGAAAGGTGGAGACTCCAACAGCTTTGGTGAATGGGTCGGCAAGTTGCTGTGCTGTTGGGATGTATGTGACATGGAGGAACCCTCTCTGTACTTGATCACGGACAAGGTGGCAGTCCAGTTCTATGTGCTTTGTGCGCTTGTGTTGGACAGGATTGGACGCCATGTGAATAGCAGATTTGCTATCACAATGAACCTGCAATGGGAACTGAATAGTCTGGTGGAGTTCTGTGAGCATGGAAGACAACCATTGCAGTTCACAAGTCGTGTCTGCCAGGGCTCGGTACTCAGCTTCAGCTGAGGAGCGTGAAACCACTTGCTGCTTCTGAGCAGCCCAGGAAACCAGAGATTTGCCGAGGAAAACACAATAGCCTGATGTTGATCTTCTGGTGTCAAGACACCCTGCCCAGTCAGCATCAGTATAGGCATGGAGATCCAAGGATGACTCGGCAGAGAAGAGAATTCCTTGAGCTGGTGCTGCCTTTATATAACGAAGAACTTGGGGGATTGCTTGCTGATGTGGTGTGCGTGGGCTGGAGACAAATTGTGCCAGGTAATTCACAGCGAATTGCAAGTCCGGACGAGTGTTGCAGAGATACTGCAAACGTCCAACAAGAGTTCTGTAGCTGGTGGCTTCATCCTCAGGAAGAAGAGCACCTGCTGTGTTGGATAGTTGAAGACCTGGATCGAGAGGAGATTTGGCTGGTTTGGAGGCGAGCATACCCTGATCTTCCAGCAATTCCAGAGCATATTTTCTCTGGTTCATATGTATACCTGCAGAAGATCTAGCTATTTCCATTCCAAGAAAGTATTTAAGCTGTCCTAGGTCTTTTATGGTGAAAGTTTTGTCCAAATGCTCTTTGACTCTATTAATCTCAGACATATCATTTCCAGTTAAGACAATGTCATCCACGTAAACAAGTAAAGCAGTGTAGGAAGCAGATTTGTTTTTAATAAACAAAGAATGGTCAGACTTAGACTGTGTGTAACCAAGTGAAATCAGAGTTGATGTCAGCTTGAGAAACCACTGTCTACTGGCTTGTTTCAGGCCATATAGACTCTTAGTTAATTTGCAAACCTTGTTTGCATCAGCAGGGTCAGTAGAGAGTCCAGGGGGGAGAACCATGTAAACCTCTTCATCGAGGTCACCATGTAGGAAAGCTGTGTTAACATCTAATTGGTGAAGGTACCAGTTGTTGACAGCAGCTAAACTAAGCAAAACCCTTATTGTAGTTATCTTAGCTACAGGACTGAATGTATCAAAATAGTCTATGCCATAGGTTTGAGTATAACCTTTGGCAACTAACCTAGCTTTAAAACGTTCTATGGATCCATCAGACTTGTATTTAACTTTAAATACCCATTTGCAGCCAATTGGGATCTTACCAGGAGGTAAGTCGACTAGTTTCCAGGTTTTGGTATCTATAAGAGCTTTAAGTTCTAGGAGTACAGCCTTAACCCATTCTGGATTGTTGATGGCTTCCTTATAAGTTTTAGGTTCCTTAATTTGCATGATGGCTAAGGCAAAATGTATATATGTGGGTGATAAGTCAGAATAGGAGAGCACAGATTGTAAGGGATACTTACAGTCTGTTTCAGGATTGAAGTGGCAAGCATTGGCAGTGGTTTTGAGATTATGGTGATAATTGGATAGGTATGATGGAGGACGACTTTGTCTAGTGGATCTGCGTGGCTGTGGTTGTGCTGGTTGTAGATCTGTTGTGGGAGGGTCTGCTGGTGAAGGGGTAAGGGTGGGTGATGGTTGGGGAATGATGTCAACAGTAGGTGGAGGGGAAGAGGTACTAGTGTGTAAGTGAAGGGGTGTGTCAAAAGAAATGATGGTAGAAAGATCAGTGGGAGTAGTGGAAAGGGGAGAGGGAGCAGTAAGATGGGGAGAAGCAAAAGGAAAAATATGCTCATAAAATGTGACATCACGAGATACAAAAATTTCCTTAGTTTGAATATTAAGAAGTTTATAGCCTTTTGTTCCTGGAACATAACCTAGGAAAACACTAGGAGTGGCTCGTGGAGCTAGCTTGGATCTATTGTGTGATAATGTAGAAGCATAGCACAGAGAACCAAACACCCTAAGATGAGTATAACTAGGTGACTTAGCATGTAGTAATTCATAAGGACTCTTATTGGCTAAGAGTGGAGAAGGAAGACGATTAATAATATGAACAGAATGACTCACAGCATGATTCCAATAAGTAGAAGGAAGAGAAGATTGAAAAAGTAATGCTCGTGTCATGGCAAGTAAATGCTGGTGTTTTCGTTCTACAATTCCATTTTGTTGGGATGTTTGAACACACGTACGTTGATGAAAAATGCCATGTTCAGTGTAGAAATCAGTATACAAGAATTCTTGTCCATTATCAGTTCGTATAGACTTAATTTTCTTGTCATATTGAGTCAAAACAAATGTATAGAAAGATTTTAACAAAGGTCTAACTTCTGATTTTGATTTCATCAGAAACAACCATGTATGTCTAGAACAATCATCGACTACTGTTAGGAAATAGAGATGACCAGAAGTAGAAGTAATGGAAGCAGCACCCCATATATCAATATGTAGAAGATCAAAACAGTGAGCAGATACAGTTTGGCTAGTAGGAAAGGACAATCGTTTCTGTTTTGCACAAGGACATACAGAACAATGAAAATGCTTATTCATAGTAATAACAGGATCTATGGAATGCAAGAGTGGAAACTTGGTATATGGCAGATGTCCTAAACGATAGTGCCAGAGATCAATGCTGGTTTGTGAGGTAGAAGGGCTCTGAACAGAGTTGGAAAAATGTGAAGGTGATAATCCATCAGCATGAGGATCCAGTTGGTATAAGCCATCTCGAAGATTAGCTATACCAATCGTCCTCAGTGACTGAAAGTCCTGTAAGAGGCAGTGGGAACGAGCAAAGGTCAGTCCAAGTGCTACCTTGGCTGCCAACTTGCTTACAGAGATTAAGTTGAATGTAAAACTAGGAACAAGAAGAACATCATGTAAAGGAAGAGAGGGAAAAACACGACACTGTCCTATATGGGTAATTAAAGCTTTATCTCCATTAGGAAGATAAACATATGCTGGGGAAACAGACCTATAGTTATCAAGATATTCTAGGGAACTAACTATATGATCAGTAGCGCCCGTATCAAGTATCCATTTAGGTGATGTATTAACTAACATACAAGAGGATTGGATAACAGAAACTGTACCTGAAGGTGTGGGAGGAGCAAGAGTAGTGATGGAACAAGCCTGACTTGCAGAAGGAAGCCCATGAGAGACTGGAAACTCAGAAGTAGCAGTTGGAGTGTTGTAATTAGGATGAGGCTGAGCAGAAGTAGAAGCCTGAGCCATGTCAGAGTAAGGAGACTGCTGTTGGAAGTACTGGGACTGCATAAACTGAGTCATCTTCTGGTAAGTCTCTTGGATTTGATTCCATTCTTGAGGCTGGAATGGAATAGCAGGATGAACTGGATGTGCGGAGTCATCAGAAGAACCATCCTCTGTGGATACACAATGAGCTTTGGCCTTCCCTTTGTACCCAGGAGGAAAACCATGTAGTTTGTAGCATTTGTCAACAGTGTGACCATAAGAGTGGCAATGAGTGCAGAATGGCCGATTACTACCAGGATGAGGCGGCTGAGGATTAGTGGAAGGATTAGGAGTGGGATAAGGAGATCTTGGAGGTGGATAAGACTGATTCCTACCAGGAGGGAAAACTCTAGAGTACATCGCCATTGAATCAGGCAAGGAAGGTGAAGCTAAGATGCGATTCTGTTTTTCTTGCTCAATGATCATAGCAAAGGCTTGGTTTAGGCTAGGCATAGGGTTCATCAACATAATCTGAGACCGAGCAGCAGCAAAAGAATCATTGAGTCCCCTAACAAACCTAAGCACATAGTTGATTTGGTGATTCTGACGCACTATAGCTAAACCACAGTTGCACAGACCATTGCATCGACAAGGAGGAATCGGCAAGAAGTTATCCAGTTCATGCATCCAAGTAGTCATCTGTGTGAAGTAAGCACTTACAGACTGCGAACCTTGCTTGAATCGGAAAAGATCCTCTTGAAGCTCAGCGATGCGAAAATTGTTACCGCGAGAGAAGCGTTCGCGTAACTCATTCCAGACCAGGAGAGCGTCTTCAAACCATTGAAACCCTAGGGCAATCGATGGAGAGACAGAGCGAAGAATCCATCCAAGAAGCAAGGTGTTATTTCTTGACCAGGCACGGAAGAGAGGATCGCCAGCAGCAGGCTTCGCGATGGTGCCGTCGAGGAATTGCAGCTTGTTCTTCGTTGATAGAGCTCGAATCATGGCGCGCTGCCAGGTGGAGTAATTGGCTTCGTCAAGAACAGGAGAAACCAACTGTTGGCTGAGACTCTCAGCTGGATGGATGAAGTATGGACTATTGGGATCGAGATCGCCAGCGGTGGAGTGCGGAAGCGGAGGAATAGACGAAGGAATCGGAGGAATAGACGAAGGAATCGACTGTGCGGAAGCGGTGGAGTGCGGTGGGACAGAGGTCTGATTGGCAAACGCCATTGTTGCAGTAAAGGAATGAATCGAAGGATTTGGCAAAGAAAACGAAAGAAGAATCAAGAACGCCCTGATGGCTCTGATACCATGTCAAATTCTCAACAGATTGAATCAATAAATCTGGAAATCGTGTTTGTACAGTAGGGATTCTTTCCCTTTATATATGACTCTTACAACTCAACTAATCTATACACTGGTTAACTCCTAACCTACCTGACCGGTTCAACCATGAACCAATAACCTATCTAACCTATCTACACGGAAACGTTACCGTTTCCCTCAACACTGTAAGAAGGAATTAATGGCCTCCGTTTGGACTTTGTACTACCCAATATGCAGGTATAGTGTTGATTCTCATTTCACCGTCACCATATCTCTGATCGCCGCTCAGATTTCATTTCTGTATTTTCACTATTTTGTATTTTCTTACCTTTTTAATTAATATTTAATGCGTTTTTTCTGGACCGTAACTTGAAACCTGTGTGTGGATATGTTTGAGGCTTTTAGCCCGCAAACATAAACCCGAATGAGGCCCACATTTCATGGACTCTTACTGAAATAGTCAACCTAAAAATCAGCCCATTAGGGAAGTAAAAAAAAAAAGATGGAGGGTTCCGACCTAAAATTGAACCAAATCGGCATAAAACCAGATTGAAAGAGGTTTAACAAGTGCTAGAATTAACCTTCATCGGAACCAAATTCCATCGTCATTAAACTCGACCATCCAAACGATATAAAGGGTCACATTCCATCGACGACCAAAATCAGATTCATAATTAATAGAATTTCATCGTCTCGATGTATTAAACCGGAAAGAAAATGACATCCGGCATACACTCCTCATCGATCCATCCAAGCCAATTCCTACATAGATGTTTTTCTTTTTACCTAAAGAACCAATATGGCAACACAAGAACCACAGAAGTGATGATAACAACTCTTGGAACTCATTATTATCAAGTCTACACCGAGAGAAAGATATATGCTACCAAAAAGGTCAAAATTTAGGCAATAAATAGACGGACCACTACAATTCATTTGTTTCCCCTTGGCAGCAGGAGCAGCTCCGTTGCCAGCCTCCAAAAGGCATGCTTTCCAGGTTGGAAGAACCGAAGCTGTCTTACCGGGGAGCTGGTGGAGGGGCGGGAGGCATCTGGGATTTAGCGAACCCGATCCAGGCGACAATCCCAACAGCCAGAATTACCCACCCGAATGCGTCGTAAGTAAAATCGTTGTTCTTATTCTTCTTCTTCGTACCCTGGGAAGAAAGATACGCACGAGACACAAGCACCAAGGTTTAAACGTCATCGAAGCTTAATCGTTGAAGCCCATGTCTGGGTACTTCTTGCATCATGCAAAAGAGAGAAGGAAAAAGGTTCTAGATAGATCATTAGAGAAATCGCTACAACCTACAAGTGAAGGTAGATGGGAGGGACAATAGAATTACCCTTGTGCTTGTTGAGGTGGAAGGACCTCCCGTATCAGGTTTGTTGAACTCAATTGGCTGACCTCCTATTGAACTATGCTTATGGATCTCCGCGTGCAAATCTGGTGCCTTGCATATGTAAGAATTACGACCAGACAAGCATACAAAAAGATCAATAACACAGTAACCAGCCAAGGAAACATACAATTTCACCGAGAAAAAAATCCCAAGACGGCCTATTCCGAATGAAATTCTTAACATGAACAGAAGATCAAGTACGTTCAAGAGAGCAGCTGCATAATTCGTAATCCTTGAAATTTCTATCAACAACCCCATCAAAATGTTCCAAAAAAGACAGAATTGAGAGTTCATTTTGCTGGAGAGAGAAAAACTTCACAGTTCACTGAGTCACACATAGATCTATTGGAGCACAGAACCGGGGGGAAACCCATTTACAGTCTTTAGCGAAAGATCAACCAAAAGATTTCCATCAAATCTGTTGCCAAAATAAATTGGCTTTGTTAACATCTTGCCAAACAGTTCAGTACAGATGTGTTTCCTGGATGAAACTGGCTGTTCAGAACTCACTAGCAAGAAGAGATAATTGGCAAGGTCCGTGGTTAACCAAGACATATTATTGGTACAATTAAGAAACAAAATGATGCTTGGAAAGGTAAACACATAGCCGGCCACTCTACACTCTTGCCAACAAAATTGCAACTCCAATTACTCTACGACATTGGAAAGGTAAAATTAGTACTTTAAAACAAAGGCTCTCCCCATCCTTTATAGGATCAACATAATATATAAGATCTTGAAAAGGGGTGAATGAAAGTTACCTTAGAAGCCACTTCTAGAGATTTGAGGTACAACTCATTGGTTGGATCCTACAAAAGAAACCAAACTACTATCATCATCACACATCTAAACAACAATAGCATAAAAACCAGCTAAACAGCAATGCAGCTCCACTAGGACAACGTTGACACGAGAGGGAAAGGTACCTCATCAACAGCTTGCTGAAAGTACGCAGCTGCCTTCTTGAAATATACATCTGCTTCCTCCTCGTCGGGGGTTAAGAATGCAAGTGACGTATGAGCATTTCCCAAGCACCATAAGGTGTCATGCTTCTTGGGGTTTATCAACAACGCCTCCTCAAACTTGTTCACTCCATCTGGCCAGACGGAAAAAAAAAAAAAAACTCCCAAATCAGCTTATCTCCAAAGATCCAGGATTTGGAGAGAAAACAAAAAAGAACTACCCATTGTCGAGAGACCTATGCACGTTCAATCACCTTGAATCATTTTCTTAGAATCTGCAACGCTCTGAAACTGAGCCAGCTCCAACAGAGATCCACCCCACCTCGTCAAGTTCTGCCCAACCGAAACAATTCATAAAAAAATGTTTTATCCAATTCAAGCAACCTACAATCGATTCACCAGCCCTCCTAATTCAATTCAGAAGAACCCAAATCGATAGAGCTTATCTCGCAGCAATCCTAATCGAAGGATGAGAATAAGAGTTAAAGGATTGAACGCACCTCGGCATCGAGAGGATTGTTGGCGTAGGCGGCCTCGGCGGTCTTCCGAGCGTGCTCGAAAAACAGTATCCTATCGAACTCGTTCCCAGCAAGTTCCATGGTGGCTGATTTACTGAACCACCGCGGAGGAAATCCGGTGGAGCTTCGAGAGGGAAAGGACAGTGTTAAGAGTGTGTTCCTTCGTGCCTAAACCCTAGGGATGAAGCAGCGAGCTGCAAGCAAATGCAATAGAAAACTTGGGGAAAGTAAAGCAGTCATGAAACACGCGCGTGAATGTATGCGCGTGCGCGAGAGTCCCGTACAAGCCTGAAGCGACGACGTAAGTTGTTCTGTATGACTGTCTCGAATAACATTCGAAGAGGGAAGGGTGAGTCCCCCACGCGAATGAGTGATCGTGGGTGGAGTACGAACCTCTTGAGTGATGTGGAATCCCCTCGCGGTTGGGAACTATGGAACGACGTGATGTTGTCCACGTGTAACGTTGATAGTCTTGTATAATTGCAGTCTGGGATTTGGGCTTCGATTAATAAGTAAGAGTGCAGGCCCACCTTTGCCAAAAGGTCACAAGTTTTTTTGAAGCCCTAGGCTCGGGCTTTGAAGTTACGAGGCCATACTAAAGCTAAACATGTTGATCCACACCAAGTTAGGTCTTTGAATGAGCCAGGAACGGAGCGGGAGAGGACATAACAAGTCGAAATTAGATATTCATGTCCCGTCCCATACTACTACGGGTCAGGTCGGATAATACTCACGGGTGGATTTAAATTGTCATCATTACTTATATGGAATTGAACGAACTCAGGTGAGTATGAATCGGAACATCATTTGGCGTTTCAGTTTGTTCACTCAAATCTAAGTAAGTACCGTATTAATGTTATTGATCAGACTTTATGGATTGCCTTTGGAACCTGAAGGTCCTGCCAAAATTAATTTTCTTTTCTTTGGCAATGTTTGCACCGCGAGGTCTTGGTTGTTTGAGGGTTGGACTTGATTCATGTGTCATTTGTTTGCAACAGAAAAGAATAATATATTGAACATTTATTCTGCTTTTGTCATTTGGCTCGTCGTTTCTGGTGTGACATATGTTTTCATCATTCTCTTTCGACTAACAAAGACAATTATAAGTCGTTGCATTTTGTTTGTGGGTTGTGAATACTATGGAAGAACCATTGCAAGGTCGTGTTTGATTATCTCCAAGCACTACTCAAATTTTGGTTAGGCAATGGGGTTATCAAGTCAGTGAATTTGATTGAGTAATTATTAGCCCTGTTGAGGACTCTGATATTAGAATGTATTGTTGAATTCGATGCATTATAAAATACAATATTTGGTATGTGTGTTTGTGTATGTCACATCGGTTAAAAGTCGAGCTAAAACAATATCAACTCAGTTATCTCAACAATCTCAGCCAAAGGTTGAGGTATAACAATCACTCATTTTGAGTGATAGTTTCTGTCACATCATAGAAAACAATCCATGTATTGTGTCTGCTACAAAATCAAAACAACAATGCATTCTAAACAATACAAGTATAGTAACAATCTCACAAAAATAATTGCAACTTAAGGTCGTTTGGTATTTGCGATTGTTAGAATTGATGTATTGTATGAATACTTGCATTGTAATTGATGTATTGTCTAAATGCATGTATTATAAGATTACATTGTTTGGTAGATGTGAATGTAATTTTATGAATAAAATGAGAAAGTGACTTTTTAAGTGAAAGGTAATGTTTACCCTTTCTTTAACATAGAAGTTTAACAATGCATAAAAGTTGATAGGGATATAAAGGGAAAGAAAAATGGAATAGCAATCTCAAAACACAATCTCAACAATCTCACCAAATTGTTGAGATTGTAAATAAGTCATATTAAATGATTTCAAGTGGCACATCATCAATCAAATGCATGCATTGTTTTTCATTTTGACACAAAAAAACAATGGCTGGGAAAGAGGTAGTTTTTGTTTGTATTGGTATGTATTTTGTTTGTAGTGGTAGTTATTTTTGGGGCAAAGACAATATATTAGCCATAACTATTAAGCAACGGGGAATTATAACCACAATCATCGAAATACAAATTATTAGTCAATCGCTAAGTTTTCGTTAACACTTCTGTTAGTAATGATGACTAAACTTTCAAGATGTTGAGCTGGCTCCCACGTGGCAGTCATCATATCATATTTTTTACTAATGCTGACATGGCCTTCTCCGTTAAAAATTTGAAAACAGTAACTGTTGTTAGCCAAATCTTGACCTGCAACAATAGTCATGACTAATAATTTGTATTTCGATAGTTGTGGCTATAATTCCCGGCTACTTAATAGTTATGGCTAATATATTGTATTTACCCTTATTTTTTCATAATGGTAGTGTTTTTTTTACATTGGTATTGTTTTTTTCACAATGGTATTGTTGTTTTGGTAGCGATGTTATTGTATTGGTATTGGTTAAATCTGCAATGGTCTTGGTTAATAAGTAGTAGTGTTTTTATGGAATTGTATTGGTATTTTTTGAAATGGTAGTGTTATTTTAATGGACTAGTATTGGTGTTTTTTGAAATGGTAGTGTTAATTTAATGAATTGGTATTGATTTCTTGTTTTATTGTTGCAGCGGTATTAGTTCGACTGAACGATAACAAGGATTAGTTTGGGAAAAAAATATATGACCGAAGATTGCGAAAGTGAAAAAAAGAGAGAAAATTGTAATTAATATATTTTATAACGTCATAAAATGTAATTTATTAAAAAATTAATAAATTTTTTTTACTCAATTTGACTTTAGTTCAAAGTAATCACCATAACCGCACCCATCTTATCCGTCTCTTCTCCTTATAGACAACAAAAATAATGTCAGGAAAAGCTGTTTGGAGTTCACAAATGATAAAACAGCTCACTTGTATACTTGTCTATCAATCTTCCTCTTCCACGACCACGACACTAATATATTATATCAAATTAATAGGAATATATATAATACCCATCATTACCATTCGAAAACGATTTGCCAGCTATTTGTTTTTTGGATTATTGTTATTAGAACACAATACACCTCTCCAATTTTCGGTTCTTGTTTTATTCATTATTGATATTTTATTTTCAGAGGATATTCGGACAGTTTTTCTGTATCAAACGACCGACTAATTTTTTATTAAATAATCAAAGACCCATTAATTTTCATTTTTCAATTGCAAAAAATTTTGTTTAAGCTTCTGTCGATTAGTTATCTACAACAAAGCTTCCTTCCAAATCTGATATCAGACAAAAACATAGCAGATCCACCTTATAATACCTCTTGCATAAGTATTATATTTTTTGAGAATGAAAATTTGGATGACATTTATTGACTTATGAATTAAAAATTTGCACAACTTCAATAATAATGTGAAATGACATACTATATAATTGTCAGAAAGAAGAGTTCAGAGTAAACATATAATACGATACACATTAATAATGTCAATGTGAAACAAGCAAACATCACATTTTCCCCTAATATGTGCTCATTAGGCTTCAAATGTCGTTTTAAACCAAAAGTGTTTTTTTTTATAAAAGAATGTGTTTCAAATTGTGTGTAATGTGTTTTGTGGCAATGATTCTTCACTGATGCGGATGAAGTTGATAGCGTGAATTGCAAGGGTTATGGTCATTGTCATTGTGATTTTCTTAGTGGGAATCCGCCCATCTTTGTTTTCATTATCCATATTGCTTTAAATTATGTGCAAAATATAAATCTAGTCGATCTAGGACCCTAATTAATTACGCTTCACTTTTAATATGGTTTAAGAAGAAAAAATTTAATTGTTAATTGCTATTCATAAACAACAAGATAACGAGGAAAGGAAATATGGGGAGTCGCGGGGAAATTTTATGTTTGATTTCAGAAAATGAATCGATTTTTCCTCTTTTCCCATTTCCTCGTCGGCGTTGAACCGACTTGGATGTGAAGAGGACGGGGTTTTTCACCCATTGGATTGGCAAAGCTCTGAAGAAAGGAGGAAGACGAAAGTCTGGAAAAACTCGGTCATGCAAGTGGTCGAAGGAGGAATTGAGCCTCTGCTTCTGCTCTGTTTGCTAGTCTCTGCTTTCATCCTTAGTTTGCTGGTCTATTATTCCAAATTTACTCTACCCATAATATGGAATTAGCAGTAGTTATTTTCGGTTGGATTTTTTCTCCATATTTGGTGTTGGTTTGGCGTTGGTTTATGCGAATTATGGGCAAGATTGAGTTCAGCTCTGGTTTTGCAGATTGGTGTTGGTTTGGTGTGCTAGTATGAAATTAGCAGAAGAATATGGTTGTTTTGTTTGTTCCTTCATTCCTGTTCTCTCGGACCTTTAGTATGGGAAATGTTGAGGGCATAATTGTAATTTTAGGTTTTTGTTAGAAATAACTCATACAAAATAACCCTCTAGCCAAACAAGACAATTTTAACCTCCAATTTTGTGAAATAACACACAATTACCACATTATCAATATCTGAGTTATTTCACTCTACAAATACCTCATAACCAAACAACTCATCTAAACAACTTCTAAAGTTATCATTGAATAGCGGAATAAGTGATGATAAATATGTATTTAGTAGAATAGACGTATTCTACTTTGCATATGATTTTATGGTTAGACTCATGTTAAGTGTAGTTGAACTAGATATATTAAAAAAATTGCTAAATACGAAAAATGGAAGGCTTACCTGGCCAAGGCTCCTGGTCATTCCACAAATAGTCAAGACAAGAGGAGTGGCGATAACACAATAGTTGGGTTTGGAAGGGTTAGAAGCCAAGTGCGGACTTTAAGTTAGCTGATTAAAGTTTGATCAACAAAATTATTACACAAATAAGCATTTTGTCACATCACCTATAATTGCAATGAACATTTAGTTAATTTGACGTAGTTTAACGGCTATATGAGCTCTTAACCCTTATTTTATTTCTCAAAATGAGACTTTGAGAGACTAAAGAGGCAAAGGCTCCGGTTGACAAGTAGCAAAAACACACATCGAAAGAGTTTGTTGCAACGTGAGAACGAATTCGTTTTAATTTTTTTTTTTGCATATTACTATGGACCCAACCTTTCATGTCAATGGATTAAACGATTAAGATTAACATTTGTTGGCACAAAATTCCGATTTCCGTAGTATTTTTGTAATGAATACTTTTGGACTCATCAAAAGATATTACGAGTAACCCCATTAAACTAATTGAAAACACTATCAAATCAAAGCAAAAGAAAATCACATTTCGTCTATTTCTACGGTGTGTATGATTTTGTCCCTCCCCCTCGTAATCTCGATCACTACGACACTAAAGGATGACTCGATCATCTAACTTGAATATACCCTCTTCCTTGTTGTAGTCTCCTAATGACAAATAGAAAGGAAAGGAAGGGTGCCAATAGCTTGATTTGTTACTATGACTTCAATTGCAACATATTATGAGATTGTGATGGTTGAGTTATAATGATTTTTTCAAAAATTTTAAAAGTGATAGGAGGAAAACAAGACAAAACTTTGAGACATTCTTGTTGACTCTTAAATATATAATAATAATTTAGAAAGATTTCTTTCCCATACAAGTTTAACTATTGATGTCAAAATTATATGAGAAACACATTCAAATTACATATTCTTCATGTTCAATTGCGCTGTAAAGTTATCGAACCTCATATTCGAATAATAACAATAATTCAAACAGGTAATATCCTTTAATTTTACCACAAAACATGTAAATATAAATCATTTAATCAACATATTTTTTTGGGTAGAATTAATCAACATATTTCACATACACCCAATATTACAAAATACGAACTATTCCACCCATTATAATTCCAAACTACAAGAGAAATTTTACAATGCTATATAGTATTGGTGCTATAAGTTTTTGCCTCTATTGTACAACTTAAAATTGTACATTTATGTTATGGTATAACTTCAGATTGTACCTATACTTTTTGTACAAATTCTTTTATGGTACAACTTGAACTTGTACCTTTATGTGATGGTACAACTTCAAGTTGCAAAGTTGTACCATAACATAATGATACAAATTGTTTTATGGTACAACCTAAACTCATACATTTAATGTTATGGTACAACTTTAAGTTGTACATTAAAGCACCAATACTATATAGCATAGTAGAAGTGCTCAAACTACAAATGCAAAATATTGGAAACGACAAAAACAAGGCACCAGGCAAAGACGGTAATTACTCGAACTTTCGAGGGGCAGTTCCGGGATGACGAAAGCAATAAATACCAAAATTAAATTCCTCCACGGATTTCTCTCACTTCTACTGAGCCTTCTCTCTCCATCCCACCATTTCCCTCTCTTTCTTTCCCATTCTCATCCCACTAAGTAACTGTGTCGTGTCTTGCGGGATTCACAGTTTCAGAGAGAGAGAGAAAGCCAAAAGGTACTTCTTCTTCTCCCACCTCCTTCTCTTTCTCTCTGCCATTTCTCTTCCGTCATTCTGGATCCCTCCCTGAATCTAGGGCACTTCTCCAACTGGTAAGAAAATCCCCCTTTCCTCATGACAGTCTCTCATAACTGACCCTAGCTTCGGCTTTCAGTTCCCATACCCTCGCTATTGGCCGTCTGATGGGTTTGCTTGCCTCTTTCTCGAATTCGCAATGTGGGTTTTACTGTATAGCTCGATTTTGGGTGATTGACTTTGATTTGCTGATTGAGAAATGTAGGTTGTTTGGAGTAGCAGCTTTCTACGGAGTTGATTTTTTAGGGAACGTTCTCCTGTTTGGGGTTTGGGCCTTTGGGGGGTGTTCTCGAATTCTTGTTTTCTGCAATTTTAACTTCTGGGTTGGGATTTGTTTTTGGAATGTAGCTAAGGTGTTTGAGTTTTTATGTTCGTTAGAGAGATGGTGGCAGGTTTTAAAGTTGAATGCTAACTTGTTTTTAGTTGCCCAGAGAGAACAAGGGATGGCCTTTTTGTTGGGTGCTTTACAAATACACAGTGATCGTTCTCATGGTTGGTGGTTCTTTTATTAGGATTTGTTTTAACAGTGTATTATATGTATTTTTTTTGGTAAGACTTGGATGGTAAAATTGTGGTTAGATCCAATGTATTTGCGTTGCGGTTTCTTTGTTAAATTTCTGACAAGGATCCAGTTTTTGTTTCCCCTCTTGAGATTGCTTCCCTATACAAGATCAGTAACTGTTGTTGACTTTTTTGATTCGTGACCAAATAACTGTGATTGCCTGTATTTAGGTTCATTGTCTGGCATTGTTAGGAAGGTATTCCTAGATCCATTACTTTGTCATCTTGATGGTAGCTCTGGCTTTTTATTGAGGAACCTTTGGATCAATAATACTTAAGTTTGGTTTCTGTTTTAACTCGCATTCTAGATTATATGCTCTTTTTTTTTGCTGTTTGGGTTCTTCTCACACTACTGCTGTAACTAGATTCCGTTGCTCACCAGGATCTATCTTCTTGGTTTGCCTGTAGATATTTTCTTCGCAAGATGGACAACATCAACAGCTTCTGGCAGTTGGGTGACGAGCTTCGAGGGCAATCAAAAGTCTCCGAGGATCATAAGTGGTTTGTGGCTGCATCTAAATTGGCCGAACAAACGAGGCTAAAGGGCGAGCGCATGAACAACTTGGACATATCAAAAGGCATGGCTGAAATGAGGCCACCAAGGGAAAAGATTGGGTTCCAGGAAGAGAATAAGTTTGAGAACCTCAACTTTAGCATGTTGAATTTGGAGTCTTCCAAGGCGATGATGGAAAATGTGAGCAAGAATCCTTTGAGGAGCGGTGTTTACAACATGAATGCGGTGTATCAGAAGAACAATATGAACAACATTGGGAATCTGAATATGAATCTTCCTGGTAGCAAGTATAGCGTCAACATGGTCAGTGAGAAGGAGCTTAATCACAACAGCAATATTGACAACAGTGGTGGAAATGGTGCGGTGGATAAACGATTCAAGACACTGCCTGCAACTGAAACGCTCCCAAGGAATGAGGTGCTTGGAGGATACATATTCGTTTGTAACAATGACACAATGCAGGAAGACTTGAAGCGCCAGCTATTTGGTAGGTTGTCTTCTCCTTGGTAGATATACCTTCTGATTCCCTTTTCAAGCTTTACAAGTGGATTACTAGACCACTAAAACATGCAATTATCTATGCTGCAACTCGAATTGCCTTTGTATGACCAAGAAGGTGATTTATATGCTCATGTTCATCTAGGACGAGAATGGAGTTTGCTTTTATGAGTCTAGATTTGTTAATTAAACACTTGTTTTGAAGGTCTGCCTCCAAGGTATAGGGACTCTGTTCGGGCAATAACACCTGGCTTGCCTCTCTTTCTCTACAACTACACGACCCACCAGTTGCATGGTATCTTTGAGGTAAGTTGTTTGTGTTTTTTGATCTTCTTAAGGTAATGGTTCAACAATTGCATTAAGATTTAGTTGCCAATGCTTAATCAATGTTATGAACAACTGTAGGCAACAACCTTCGGAGGTTCAAACATTGATCCAACTGCTTGGGAAGATAAAAAGTGTAAAGGAGAGTCGAGGTTTCCTGCTCAGGTAAGATCAGAAAGCATCAATGTTATGTACCTTTGTGTAATATGTATGAAAAACTCCGGCTGATTCAAACAAATTTTCTTGCTGTAATTTGCTTGCTATATAGGTGAGGATCCGTGTTAGGAAGGTCTGCAAACCATTGGAAGAAGATTCATTTAGGCCAGTATTGCACCACTACGACGGTCCAAAGTTTCGCCTTGAACTCTCTGTCCCTGAGGTACTGCTTCTAAACTGTCACACATTATGAATCTTTTCATCAATCCTTTCGTTCAGAACAAGCATCTAATGCAATTCAATCCTGGTTTGTAGACCCTGGACCTGTTAGACCTCTGCCAGCAAGCCGGGTCAGCAGCATAAGCAAAACTACTTCACGCTAGCACTCAAGTGTTGGTGGCAGTGAGGAGGGTATGCCAGCTTCCTACTTTCTGCAGATTTCCCGTTAGAGTGCAAGCTTTTGGACGACGAATCGTGTGGAGAAAAAGTAGAGGGAAATGAGTGTTTGCATTCGTGCAGGGTCTGGAGCTGAAGAATAATAATGTTTGTTGTGGTTTGTGTGTGTGTGTTGTCTAATGGCGGAAGGTGCTTTTGGGTTCCAGCGCCGGGAGTGTGGTCTCTGCTATAATAGTAGGTGTAGTATCTATCTCTATATATTCTCTATAAATAGAGGATTTGCAAGATGTAAAACGAATGAGTCATAAAATTATGTAATGGTGACTGAATCTCCTCGCAAGTGGGGGAAGTCCCTTCCTTTTTCTATGTATTACCCCTTGTTTGGTTTCTGAATCCAAACTTACAAGAAAGAGCTATAAAAGATGGTGTTTCAGTGTATGGTAGTGTCCATGTGCTTGATTCTTTTTGGAATTTTAAATCGCACTTCTTAATTACCACTTATGGTTGAGAAGGTAATGCCTAGGCTGTGTCCCAGATCACTAGTATTCATTAGTTCATGTACAGGTAATCAGATCTCTCGATATAGAAGAAATCAATGCACTGTCTAACCAAATTTACATTCATTTTGGTGAAGAGTATGTTATTTTACAAGTAAAAGCCAATTTGACTTGAATGGACAGGTTGCAAAGGCCAAAATTTAGGATTTTGCTACGGTGACATGCATGTCACCGTGACATGGATTTTTCGGTCGATCTAATTCTAAAGGCGGTCGACCGAATTGACTAATTTGGGCAGCACAAGAAAGCATTGCGGTCGACCTAATCCTAAAGGCGGTCGACCGAATTGACTAATTTGGGCAGCACGAGAAAGCATTGCGGTCGACCTCAATTCATAGCATAATTGATGAGTCTTTGTTATCATTATTTATGACTAGTTATGATGGTTTAAAGTGTAATTTATACGAGCAAAAGAACCACACAAATCGACATACATAAGCAAAAAAGACATGGGGCATAGGTTGACTTTCTTGTATTCGGTCGACCTCGACACCAACACTTGATCTTCATTTTACGTCAAATGATTGGCTAAATTGATAGAACACTTATCGTCTATCTGGTCGACCTCTTTCTTTATCTGGTCGACCATGTTGTTAATGACTGCCATCAAGTGGTCGACCTATATACCTTTACGGTCGACTATGTTGTTTCTGACGCCAACAAAATGGTCGACCGAGGTTTATTCTGGTCAACCAAAAATAACAACTTAAGCTAAGAACGGTCGACCAGGTGGTCTTTGAGGTCGACCGTAATGCTTTCTCGTGCTGCCCAAATTAGTCAATTCGGTCGACCGCCTTCAGGATTAGGTCGACCGAAAAGTCCATGTCACGGTGACATGCATGTCATAGTAGGCATACCCCAAAATTTATTCGTGACCAAAATTATTTTTGTTGTTTGTTGTGTTTCTTCTATGACAATTTTCAATATGATCTGCGAGACCTGACCTACTGACCTGTTTGGGGTGGGTATTACGTTATCCGTAGTAGTGTAGGGTGATGTATGTGTATTGCTTCCAACCTACCCTATCCGTCATGTCTCATTCTCGACTTGTTCTATTATGATTTTCATCAATATCTACCTGTATGTCTCTTCTTCAGGTTCCTTTTCCCCCGGATCAATGAAGAAGGGAGAAGTCTGTTGATTCCTCCTACGTCGATGACGTAATTTTAGCAGGAAACGATAGCCAAACCCAGTTATTTATTCTATTATATTTCTCATTGTTTTCGCGATTTCTTTTTGTAAAAAAGTTATATATCGACATTGTTTTCAAATAATATATTAGGATGTATCAATCCGCCGGGGATATTACTCGACCTAACATGCACTTAGTACGGAGCAGACATAGGTATCGAGTTACCGAACCACCCCTCAATACTTCTATATTGTTACTATCTTGGTACAACCACAACAATAAAACTATACTATTCATAAAAATAAAATAAAAATAAAACTATACTAAAGAGGTCCATAATAATTGCATCGATATTGACTTGTTTTTGCTAGAAGTGTTCCATCCGTTAACTCAAATGGGCGGCAGTTTTGTATCAAAGTGAGATGGGTGGAAGGTGGACAAAGGGCCCAACAAATCAATGTGAGGATTGGATTCATTTGGCCGATGATTGTTGCGCCTATTATCAGATTGGGAAAAAGAACAACTCATCATGTGATATTGTGATTACAACTGTATCAAATCAAACGGGACCAAGGAGTCAAAAGGTAAGTCATGTTGATTGATTTGAAACCAAAGGCGAAACAAATGGATTTTGAATCACTCATCCGAATGATAATGCTTTAACCTTGTGCATCTCCAATTAATCCATTCAAAAATGCATAAGCCAAAAATATCAGATATGATATGATGTTCTTTCACGTAGTAATGCAGAAAAAACACGCAAAGAGCCAGCTCAATCCAATTTCATATCACAAATTTCGGAAACATTACATAAGCAATCTGCTAAAATTCGCTCCAGAAAGCACACAAGTATGTTATATAATGATACATTACACATTTTGTAAGTAACACCTAATATTTCTGAGCATTTTGTTCAAGATTTGCAGCATTTGGGTGGATTGCAGCAGACAGACTGCAGCAGCAGCAGCCCGCTTGGTTCCTTCCAAGTAGACTATGTCAACATCTGGAACAGTTTCTCTTTCGTACGAGACTTGGTTCGAAGGTTCCGTGCAGGCAATCCACTACTCTAGCTAAACAGGGTAGGGCAAGGGACAAACTAAACCGAGGCTTGCACTAGAAAAGCACGAATTCTTTGCAACAGCTCGGCCTTTACCGAATCAGGAACCGAGGCTGCATAACAGACACAAAACAGGAATGGTTTAGGGCTCTGAGAAATTTCAACCAGTTTGATGGGACTGTTCTTTAGCTGCGAAAAATGATTTGCAACTAGAAGTAGTGAGAATGTAAAAGATATCATCTACCTCTGCCTTTAGGTGTAATCACATGTACAAGATCATCCACAGTCACGTTACTCCTGCCTTTCTTCTTTATGAAAGCCCTGAAATGAAGCAAAACTACCAATATATTTCCAACATGTGTGGACAAGTGCAGTGAAGTCTGCAACTTTGACTTGAGAAAAGAGGGGATAGTTAACAAGCTCATCAAACACTCGGAAGAAGTTTGACAAAAGCTCAAAAGATGCAAGCATAACTTTGATCATAACATCCTGAATTCCTCACAACATCACGTTCAAAACATATTCTTGCAGGAGTATTCTTCGCTCATCCACATTCTCTTTAGCCAATGATATATAAACTAGACCCTTTCAAGGCGCAGACGTTCAATCAATAACCGAGCATTCAAGGGCTATAAGCTCGCACAGGTTGGACGATGGTGAAGTTTCGTGATTGCATAGTGCACACCTGAAGCTGTCGAGCCATAAATGGAACACCCAATTCATAACTCTACACAGCAAAGGCTGAAATATGGTGGAAAGCATCCCATCTACTCATTCATAATCAATAGTCCATGGGATGATTTCATTCGAATGAGAGCATATATGACCACTGAAATACTTCGGTGAGGCAAAAGCAATCGCCTTTGGTAAAGCAGCGGATCAAATGCGCAAGCTATGTGTTCTTCTCTTATCCTAGTTCTAACCAAGCGAAAGAAAATTTACCTGCAGAGAGCTTTCATCTCGTCTTTCCATCCACACTCGATCAGCCTCTCCCTCAGAAGCTCCATCAACCGCTCTTTCTCTCCACTCTCGACCAACTGTTAAATCAATACAAAAATTCAATCCACAAGTTGCCGACAGCTAGTATCATCGAAAACCGACGAGAGTTTCCGAAATCGATTACTCAGCCGAACCTTGACGTTGATTACTTCCTGAAGCGAAGGCTCCTTCTCTTCCTGCTCCTCCACCGCGTCTGGCGTCGGAGGTCGATTCACCGACTTCCTCCTGTGACAAAAAGGAACCGAGCCAAACACTAGTCAGTCGAACCCTAGAATCGAGGAAATTGATTCCAATCAGTTTCGTGGAGTTCCGAGCTGCGGGAGAGTCTTGAAACCCTAGCTCTCACATTTCACAGCCGATTCAGGGAAGAACAGTCGGAGGATTTCTGAAGCTCTTGACGACGATGATGATGAGGAAAGTGGGGGCCAGAGAAAACGGATTTAGAAGAAGAAATTGAGTCCGTACGACGCCGAAGGAGGAGCAGGAGAAATCTGCAGAAGAGCTCCGGCTAGAAGAATAGAGAAGACGAGGTTTCCCCACTACAGGTGCCGAAACCTGATTGGTCCTCTGGCGCGGGCCTGCCAATTCAGGGAGAAGGTGCAAGTGATTTTCCCACGGCGCTTGAGGGATGCTAACTCAGTAACTTTTAACTAACCAGTAAGTCAGTAACCTCCAAAGTAGTTTCTTTGTAAAAAAATAAAAAATAAAAAAAAATCGTACACTGCTGCTTTGCTGTCTAACCCTTCCATAATTAAAGACACGCCTTTTCCTTTCCTTTATTCTCTTCCTCTTCCCTTTTTGTCTTCCTTCGTCTCACATTTCTTCTCCGTCACTCAAATTATTTCCCGTTCGTCGTCATCTAACCTCCATCCGGCACCATTTTCTCTGCTTCCTTCATTATTATGCATCGCTGTATCTTTTCTTCCCCCTTTGCAACCAAAGCAAAGCGGAGTAGCCTTTAGAATTTAGATGTCCGATTTCTTCTCTCTTTAGTTTCCTTTTAGTTTTATTAAAACAATAAAGAAAAAGATAACCAGACGCGGATTAGCATCGCAGCTCCACCATTTCCTCTCGCCCGTTCTCTCTCTCTCTCTCTCTCTCTCTCTCTTCGAACGGCGGCGGCCGCTCTCTGTGTACGGTTTCTGTTATGGCGTGGTAGTGACTGTTGTTGGCCTGGAACGGAGCACCGACTGTAGCAGACGAACGAATCTCGGTTTGAGTCCCGTTTGGTTTTGATTTCTTCTTCGTCAGTTGAGTTCTGGTTTCGAGTTGGAGAATTCGTAAAGCCGGAGAACTAGTAAAAAGAGATCACCGGGGTGAAGGCGGAAGAAGAAAGAAGATGAATCTGAGGAACGTGGTGATAGGGATGCTCTTCATCACTGTGATTGCTCCCATTGCTCTTTACACTGACAGATTCGCCGCCTTCGCTCCCTCTTCCTGTCAGTTTCCCTTTCTCACTCTTCTTCTTCTTCTTCGATCGATTATTTCCCCTTCGCTCATTCTTTGTGTCTTCCTTTTCTCTGCAGCTCGAATCGATTTCTTTGGAGACGTCACTTCCTTCGTAAGTTTCATTCTCTTTCTCTCTTCGGTTTTCGTTGAATTGAATGATCGATAGGAAATCGGAGAGGTTCCTTATCTTCTGCTGCTCCTTTTTTTCCAGACTGTTCCTGCTGATTCCGGCCGTCTCAACGTGTTGCCTCAGGTACAATTGATTCGTATTTCCGGCTTAAATCCTTTCGCCTTTGTATGGCCATAACATATCCTCAGTTTCCGCCATTGATTGGCTTTATAGGAATCGTCCACTGTCGTCAAGGAGCCGATTGGGGTTGTTTACACCACCAACTCCACCCAAGAAGAGGTGGTGGCGTCTTCTGATGATGGGATTATTCAAGATTCAATTGCAGCAGCAGGTGATTCATCGTCTTGCAAGCTCGTTCCACTAGTGTGGTTACATCGGCCAATTTTGAAATTAATCCCTTTGTTTTGGCTCATTTGTTTTAGATTCGCAATCTCAAGCTGTGAAAGAGCACAAATCTAGAGTTTTGTCGGCGACTGAGGAACGAGTGCAATCTCAAACGGATGCTGTCATCAAACGGGTCACTGATAGTGTCAGTGCTCAGCAGGAATCGAGGAGTGATGGCACGGATGCTGCCTCCAACTCCATGGACCCAAAATCCTTGGCTTCCAACGTTGTTACCCAACTTGCATCTCAAAATCCGGTATGCCATTTGAAGCTTCTCATGCCTTAGCTTGAAGAGATCACTCCTCTTTCGTTGTGGTAGTGTTTAGTTTATTGTCTGATTGTGATGGCTGATGTGAGAGCTTTCCCACCTGGTAATTGGTAATTTTGTCTATTATTTTGCCGACTCCCAATATGGTGATCACAATCTCAAAGGAAACTTAAACCCCTAGTTACTTGGAGTTGAATAATGTATGTAGAATATTCCTCCATTGGCTTTCGTGGTAGCACAACTTCGAGTTTTGAATTGATCTTCCAATATATCCTGTTATTCATTTCCTTGCAATATAAACTGAAATCATTCCCACTGGAGAAGGAATTTGAGAACGCTTCTGATATGGCCTTCTATGTCGATCGAGTATTTGGTATCACATACAGTCATGATTTAGTGCAGAACAGTAAAATGTCTCTCCACTTCTTTTATGTAGCAATAATGATTCTTTATGTTGAAGTTACTGTTTTGAGTTTAACCAGTGGAATTACTTATTTTCTTTTGTGATATTTTTTTGGCTAGTTTGAGCGAAAACCAGGTGCGAAGCCCTACAAAGCTAGTGGAAAGGATCACCCAAAAGCTAAAGTGGGTAAACAGACAGATCAAAATGCTATGTCAGATATTCGTGTACGTCAACTAAGAGACCAGCTGATTAGGGCAAAGGTATACCTTTCACTTCCTGCAACAAAGAATAATCAACACTATACGAGAGAGCTCAGATTGCGGATCAAGGAAGTTGCACGTGTCCTTGGCGAAGCAACTAGAGACTCAGAGCTGCCCAAGAAGTAAGGCTTATTTTCCTGAATCTAGTATGCGATCACTGTAATATCTGATTTCCATTAAATTGGTTTGATGTTCTTCATAGAACTATAATGAAATATACAATCAACTATTAGTGTTGTCTTATTGATTAAAGTTGATCTGTATGCAGTGCCAGTGAGAAGTTGAGGGCAATGGAACAGTCCTTAACGAAAGGCAAGCAGATACAAGATGACTGTGCTATTTGGGTGAAAAAGCTTCGTGCTATGCTGCATTCCACGGAGGAGCAGCTCCGTGTGCATAAAAAGCAGACCATGTTTTTGACTCAATTAACTGCCAAAACCCTCCCCAAGGGTCTTCACTGTCTTCCTTTGCGCCTGACAACCGAGTATTATTTGTTGAATACTTCTCAGCAACAGTTTCCAAATCCGGAGAAATTGGAAGATCCTCTGCTATATCATTATGCTTTATTCTCAGACAATGTTTTAGCAGCTGCAGTTGTGCTGAACTCTACTATTACACATGCTAAGGTGAAATATAGTTTGTCTTGCAGATAATAATTACAATGCTAGCAAGATTAGTACCAGCATGAATGGTAGATCCTGATTAGATTTGTTTGGTTTGTTTGCAGGAGCCTTCAAAGCATGTTTTCCACATTGTTACGGATAGACTCAATTATGCAGCAATGAGGATGTGGTTTCTAGTGAATCCACCCGACAAGGCAACTGTTCAAGTTCAGAATATCGAGGAGTTCACATGGTTAAATGCAAGTTACAGTCCTGTTCTGAAGCAGTTGGGATCTCCATCTATGATAGATTACTACTTTAGGTCACATCGTGCTAGTTCGGATTCAAATCTCAAGTATCGGAATCCAAAGTACTTGTCCATTTTGAACCATCTCCGGTTTTACCTGCCAGAGATATTCCCAAAGTTAAACAAGGTGCTGTTTGTTGATGATGATATAGTAGTACAGAAGGATCTCGCTGCCCTTTGGTTCCTTGATTTGAAAGGTAATGTGAATGGTGCAGTGGAGACTTGTGGAGAGAGCTTCCATCGTTTTGATCGGTATCTCAACTTCTCCAATCCTCTGATCTCTAAGACTTTTGATCCGCATGCCTGTGGATGGGCATACGGGATGAATATCTTTGATTTGGATCAGTGGAGAAGGCAAAACATCACCGAAGTGTATCACAAGTGGCAGAAGCTGGTGAGTGACAAACTTAACTAGCACTAGTCTATTTTCCGTCATCAATCGACTTGTATTGATATTGTATTGATTTATTGGTATGTGGGGAATGGATGTGCAGAATCACGACAGAACGTTGTGGAAGTTGGGAACACTGCCGCCAGGTTTGATTACGTTCTGGAAACAAACCTACCCATTGGAGCGATCATGGCATGTGCTGGGGCTGGGGTACAACCCAAGCGTGAACCAGAAGGAGATAGAGAGGGCAGCAGTGATACACTACAATGGTAACATGAAGCCATGGCTGGAGATAGGATTGCCCAAGTACAGGGGGTATTGGGCCAAGTATGTGGACTACGAGCACCCGTATTTGAGGGAGTGCAACATCAACCCTTGAACACAGATAGGCAAGGCGCTAAAATGGTTTGGTCTGTAGGGAGGAGGAGGAGGAGTTGAGAGAGTGAGTAGCACCTATTCTTTGTCTTGTTCTTGTACGCAGTTTGTGTGTATTCCTTACCTTTTCTTTTTCTTTGGAGGGTGTATGTTTTAATTTTTGGTTTCCCACTCCTGATCATTTTCTAAGTAGATGGAGCACACAGCAGAGAGCAGGCAATGTAAAAAGTGTGATGAAATTTTTTGGAGTAGGATGGGGAAAGAGTATTAGTAGCTTGGGTATTTTGTAAATTGGAATAAGATTTATGGTTGGTTGGGAAGAAAGGAAAGGTTTCTTCCTTTCAAGAATTACCTTGTCTAGGCCACGTTACAAGTTTTTTTTTTATGCTAATATGCGTTCCTATATACACTAGATGAATTTTACCTCAAGTTAGGTTGTTATGAAGGTTCGTCATGAAGAAATTACCTCATTCTGTCGTATTTTATTCTTGTTTTGTGTTATTTATGATATTCCAGGTGTTATACTCGTCATAAATTGAATGGATATCAATTTGGGATGCATTCGAGCACGTTTGCAATGTTTAGTAGCAAGAAAAGAGTCTTTAGACAAGTCACAACTATGAGGTTCTTTAGACAAGTCACAACTATGTCTATGAGGTCAAGGTGACAAACCCTCCGACACAAAAATGTTGCTTTCACGATCCAACTTGTAGCCAAAAAGGGTTTTCCCCATGAGAAAGATTACGATCGCGACTTTGAAGTCAAGGAGTCTTTATGATTTACTGTACTAATGGATGGAATGTTGTTGGGGGTAATTCCAAGTCGAAGTCGAACCAGTACGCGAGCACGTCTCTGATTCAGATTGAGGGAGTGAACACCAAGAAAAAGGTGAACTGGTACCAGGGCAAGCACTTGGCGTATGTCTACGAGGCTAAGGTCAAGACCAACGGGAGCCACTCTCGTTGCATTTGGGGCAAAGTCTCTAGGCCTCACGGTAAAGTGGCGTTGTCCGAGCTAAGTTCAAGTCCAACCTGCCTCCCAAGTCCATGGTCAGCTTCCTGATTATCTGCTTCCCTTTGCAGTATGTGTTTTGGTTTTTCATTCATGACACTAAGTGTGTGCTTGTTGAACTTTACAGGGCGATAAGGTCATTGTCTCCATGTATCCATGTAACATCTAAACTTTTCAGGGTTAACAATATTGTTAGAGCGTTAACCTTTTCGTTAGATAGTCCGGCAATTGTCTAGGAACTGTTTCTCTGTAATGCAACCTTTTCAACTGATTGTAGTAGGTTAATATTTAGATTGACAGCAGAAGCTTGTTTTAATTGATGACTGAGTTGAGTGGAGAATTGATTGGGTGTTTTAGCTGTTAGGTTACATAATACAGTCTTGATTCCATTTGGGATCACAATGTATTCGTTCTAGGTTAATGTGCTCCAAGAATGAGTACAAATTGGACATGGTTAGTGTAGAAATGAATGTGGATTAGGTTCCAATAGGCAATAGTTGTAAGATTTAGATATATGCAGACTGGATTCTCTATACTTCAAATGGAACTATCTCTGCAGGGTTGTTATCCTCTACTGTCACTGTACATGGTCCTCTAGAGTGAACATCTGTCGCATTCTGCTATTGTGGATTCTGTTAAGTAGCAAATTGTATTAGAATTAACTTTAGCTACTATCATTTTCTTTCTTGGTCAACTTGTGATGGCACGGGATAGCGTCACAACCCCCATAGGGGTTGTGATTTTCACATCCCACTTCCCAGCCATTAGATCCACCATCTCTTTTGGTTTTTCAAATTAACGGTTTAGATTAAATGAAGGATATTTTTGGAAGAGAAAAACTTACCACACAGGATCCTTTCTCATTTTCTATATAATCTGATTTCCAAAAAAAAAAAAAAAAACTATTCCTCTCTCCCCTCTCTCTCTTTCCTCTCCCGAGAACCCTAACTACTCTCTGTCTCTCCCTCCCGTTGTCGTCGCCGCCGCCGCCGCCCCCTCCCGTCGCCACCGTCGTCGTCTTTCCCTCCCGTCGCCACCGCCACCATCTCTCCCTCCATCCGCAGCCGTCGCGTCCTCCGCCTCCCACCATCGCAACCCTCTCTCCTCCCTCCAACTCCTGTCACCGCCATCTCTCTCCCGTCGTCCTCCTCAGCCGCCGCCGCTAGGTAACAACCTCTCCCCTTCCTTCTCCTTTCCTCATTCCTTAATTTTTTTCCAGATCTGGGATTTTCCAGATTCCAGATCTTGTTTTTTTATGTTATTCTCTAGTGGTACTGATTTCTGTCTAGTGGTATGCTACCAGTGGTAGTGGTAGCGTACCAGTACTTAGTGGTAGCGGTACCAGTGAGTAGTGGTACTGATTTCTGTCTAGTGGTACGCTACCAGTGGTAGTGGTATCGTACCACTATTCACTGGTAGCGGTAGCGTACCACTACTCACTGGTAGCGGTACGAGTGGTATTTGTAGCGTACCACTACCACTAGTACGTATCACAACTACTGGTAGCGTACCACTAGATGAAAATTAGTACCACTAGCACACTGACGGAGTGGTTTTTTTGCAGTTGGCCGGATCGAGTCTGATTGGAGGATTTCACCGGAAAAATTCGTCGGCCAGAGAAACTTTGGTGGTCGGAGTGAAGAGGTTGCTGGAAAAGAAAGAGAGAGAGAGATATAAGCGTATTAATTGTAGGATTTGAATTAAAAAAGTATTTAATCTGGGTTTTTAATTCCCAATCTGTAATTAATACAAAAATAAATAAATAATAAATTCTGTTTTTTTTCATACCCAAATTGCCCTTGGATGTGAATCTCACATCCCTCTTAGGGGATGTGACGGTATCCCAACCCACTTGTGATTGATCTTTTTTCGTTATTTATTCGTGCATCAACTTTGCTTCATGCTATTATCTAGTATGTAGTTGTGCTCTTATCTAATTATGGTATTTTCAATTTTGTGCCGATAAACTATGTTGCCATGACAAATGCATTGATTAAAAATAAAATTATCGATATATGGTTCTTTAAGACTTCAACTATGCAATTTTATCCCAAAAAAAAAAAAAAACTATGCAATTTAATTCTTGTGCTATCATAAAAGTAATCCACCGATAATCTTTGTCCAGGCTGGGGCCTACAGTGTGTAAACTGGCGCTTCCCATTCGTGCACGTCGATCACCCGGTTGCCACCGCGCGCCAAACAAGTCAACAGAAAACGAAATGGCGCCACAGAATTACCACACGGTACGGCTGTGGACGCCACAGCAAGCCATAAAAAAAATCCCATTACCGCAAAAGAAAAAGCTAGGCCAGATTATCGCAACTGTCGCAGTAATTACTCCACAATTCCGAGAGCTCAATTAGCTCTGTGCTGCTCGGATGGCCGCTCTTCTTCCTTATTCATCATGCTTCCCTCGGATGGGATCGGCCTCTTCGCCGCCTCCTTATCCTATCGGTTTCTTCTACGGAGTCTCCGATTGGTCAAAATTCGGCGGTTACGTCTCCGGTGGAGTCGCATTGGAGAAGAAGAAGGCACCGACCGGAAGTCAGAGCGTCGCTAGGGTTCCTCCTGTTTGTAGAGCGGCGGCTCCTTCCTCCTCCAACGTGTTTCGCGACCTCGACGCCGACGATTTCAGGCATCCTCTCGATAAACAGGTGATGACTGAAATCAAACCTCCGAATCGATGAGCTTCTGGTTTTGAATTGCGGAGTTCTGGAGCTTTTTGCTTGGTGTTTCTCAGGATTGGTTGTTTGTGTGCAGAACACGTTGTTGTTGAGAGCGATTCCAGGATTGAACGAAATCGGCAAGGCCTTATTAGGTGATTCAATTTCTTCCTCGTGATTCTTACTGTGATTGATTGCTTTAGTTTCCATTTTCTGCTGCATAATTGAACCGAGGAGGATGCCATGTTTTGGTCACACTTGCAGGAAGCTTATCCGAGCAAATTATGCTTCTCGAGAATATTGGAACTTCAGTTCTCGTCTCAGAAAACCAGGTAGTTTGTTTGTTACTCCTTAAGTTCATGGGAGTGAAATCATTAAGAACAACTTCGTTGCTGTAAAAGAATGTGGGATCGATCTTATGCTCATGGGTGCATGTTTAGAGAGACCGGTTAATGAACATTTAATTGCAGCAGTGTAGTTTGTTTTGGGTTATGATGGTTGTCTGTTTCCGGGTTACCACGTATTATGTCTGCTTGTCAGCTGCCAGAACTCCATCAGCTGATGACGGAGGCTGCATCGATACTAAACATCAAGTCTCCTCCTGATCTTTATGTCCGGCAAAGTCCCGTACCAAACGCCTACACTCTAGCTATAAGTGGGAAAAGGCCATTTGTCGTTGTGCACACTAGCCTAGTGGAGCTCCTAACAAGAAAAGAGTTGCAGGTCTTTGAACTGTGTCTTATTGAGTCCTAACTTCATTCTTGGTATTGTAAGTCTTACTGAATACACCAGCTGCTAACTGTTTCTGGGCGATTCAATTGTGATAGGCTGTTTTGGCTCATGAGTTGGGACATCTGAAGTGTGACCATGGCGTGTGGCTCACATTCGCAAATATCCTCATGCTTGGAGCTTATACTGTACCTGGTAGGTCTTATGAGTCCTGATTGTTGTTTTGTGCTCTGATTCCATATCTCATTAGGATAAATGTTGTCAATTCTTAGTTAGAAGTACACCACAACATAAAATTTGACAACTTACTACTATAAAACCTCACCTTCCAAATAGGCCATCACAATGGAGGACTTGTGTTCACCTTTTGATGCATTTGATACAGTTTGAGCTGACCCTATGTATTCCATAGGAATTGGTGGCATGATAGCGCAAAGCTTAGAAGAACAGTTGTTCCGTTGGATTCGGTCAGCTGAGCTGACATGTGATCGTGCAGCGCTTCTTGTTGCTCAAGACCCCAAGGTCTGCAAATACTAAAACTTAAGCTCAATAATTTATTGCTTATCAAGCTTCATTGTCATCCCCTTTTGTCCTTTATCTGACTTTGGATTTCTGACAAGAGGTTGTTATCTCACTGCTGATGAAACTATGTGGGGGAAGCCCATCGCTCGCTGATCAACTCAACGTTGACGCCTTTTTGGAACAAGCTCGATCTTATGACCGAGCATCATCCAGCCCAATGGGATGGTACATAAGGTAAGCAGACTTGTCATAGGTTAGCTGTTACTGCTTTTCCCATCAGTTTCTTCGTCCCTGTCTGATTAGCTGCTACTGCTTTTCCCATCAGAAATGCCCAGACGAGGCAACTATCACATCCACTGCCTGTTTTACGTGCTCGCGAGATCGATGAATGGTCGAGAAGCCAGGAGTATAAAAAGCTTCTGAATCGTGCGAATGGGGCGAACATTGTAAAGAAAGTATAGCTTAGACACGAAGAGCACTGGATTCCAAATTAACATGTACAGGTAAGCTTCCTACGATATTTCAACCGAGATGCATCTTACATTTACCAGTTCAACTATGGTCTTGAATTTACCTGTTTTAGTTGATTGTTTGTAGGTATCCGCTCACTATACTGTAGCAGTTGCATGAGAGGGGCGAAGGATTAAGATGAGAGTGAGAGTACTGTTATTGTATGACAGTATATACAATTGTATAGCATGAAGAATAATATAGTTTCTGTTGATTTATATATATAGCTTCTGGAGTTCTGGTCATTATATGAGTGTATATCCAAAAACAATTCATAGATATTTATGATAAAAAAAACAATTCGTAGATTAAGTATGATCCAAAACGGATAAACTGACATCTAACTAACTCTGCTGGTCAATAGCAAAACATTATCTAGAAATAACAAGGTGGTCTCCCATAGAACTAACAGAGTAACAGTGAAACCTAGTCTGAAACTAACAACTAACGGAAGAAAACACAACCAACTTAAACAACTATATATAAGACTAATTAATACCTAATAACCATCTACAGATTATGGTGTCCCCTGTCAAATTCAAACCCACCAATATTATTCTCATCCAACTGGTTCAGAAACATCCTGGGATGGGAAGAATAACCTGCTGGAGCAGCCATTGCAGGAGATGAAAACTGATGCGTCATCTGCTGAAACCCTGAAGACGATATATACCCCATCTCCTCCATCCCTCTTCCGTCAGAATTTTCTCCGAACATCCGATCAGAGTCGAAAACCCACTGACACCCAACATTCACAGGCATCAGCATCCCCTGATGATGACCTCTGTTCGGCACAGGTTCCTGCCGCACTGGCATGGGCGGCGACTGCATCATTACGGGGACATTATTAATCTGATGGTACTCCTGCATCATCCCAAAGTTCATTCCTTTGTCCGGACTGAATTCAGGCATCGATTGGGGATTGTTGTACGGAGGGAATTCTCCGACTCCTGGAGCAAAGTAATTGAACCTGTCAGGAATGTAGAACGAAGAATTGGTTGAGTACAGGTTGTCCGAGTAGCCATTAGCCACAGCCGAGCTCTGCCACTGCGACAATGATGGAAGAGGAGGGGAGTTGAAATCGGAGCAAATTAGCGATTTTGACGCGTGCCCTTTATCAATCTCCCTCCCGGTTACCGAACCCCCATCCTGAGTCACAGGATTATGGAAGTTAAACGGCGCCGGAGGAACCAGGCCTGCAGTAGCCCGTTCGGCGGCTGTCAAGGCCGTGATCCTCTCGTCGGCAAGCTTCAGCTTCAAATCGAGCTGACCGAGAACAACTCCGAGCTGATCCACGGAGAAATTGTCCAGCCTTTTGTCCCAAGTCGGGAACTTCAACTTATAAATCTGCTTCCTCACCTTCGACAGCTCGACATCCAGCCTTTTCTTCTTCTCTCTGAAGTAATCGGTGACGGTGAAGTTCTTCATGGGCTTGTCGGAGCTTCTGTACTGCTGGATCAGCTCCTCCACGGTACAGGACTCCGGGGCCCATGTTTCAAGCTCCTCCCCGCCTTTGGCACCGTTGTTGCCGGAGAAGATGATAAGGCAAGCCTTGACGTCGCAGAGTATGCAGAACTCGCTGATCTTCTTCAGCAGACTCGCCTTCCTTTTCTTGTAAGTCAGCAGCCGGCTCCTCTCGTTCTTTATCAGCTCAATCTTCACCCTTTTGGCCCCCATTATGAATTGATTCTTCTGCGTCAGAAACAGGAATTGTTTTCAAAATTGGGTAAGATACGAATTCGCCAAAGGGAAGGTCTCAAGATCTTACCTTTTGGGGCAGAAAACAGAGCACTCCAACAATGGAAGTTCTTGCAAGTTCTCGTGGTAAGAACGAGCCTTAATGGGAAAATGAGCAGTGAATTTATTAGTTTTTTCGGTTCTTAATAAGGAAAAATCCAGGAGTGGGATTTCATTTCACCAATGGCCGCCATTAATGAAGGGACTAATTTCTTGGGGGCTTTTTCTTCTGAGTTCTGTGTGCGTTGGAAGGAAATAAATCTTTACCTTAATGGTAATAAGATCGTCAACTTTGATTTTCCTTCCATAATATGAATTGAAAGGAAACTTCCTCCTTCATTTATTACAGTTATTTTAGTTTTTAGTTATTATTACCCGCCAAGCTTAAGCTCGTACGGACAATGATTACAGGGGAGTGGAGATTGGAGGATGCGTTGGGAAGGTAGAGTGTCGGGCCCGGGCGAGTTAATTGGACTTAAACTTAACAAGGGCCCCTGAAACTAGGCCCATAAAAACGAGCCAAACGGCCCACGTGAAGTGTAGGCAACCGTGAACCGACGCAAGGAAAGCACGTTGCATTCTCGTGCAGCCACGAGTACGTCTCCAGTCTCCACTCTCCAGTCTCCAGCCAGTCACCAGATTCCACAAACACTTCCCCCGCCCAATCAAAATTCTCCCGCCCAATCAAAATTTGGCTTCCCTCGCAAGCCTTACCTTCTCTCTCTCATCCCAAATATCAGCCACTGATTCCACCCACCTCTAGGGATGGCAACAAAACCCGAACCCACGGGTACCCACCCGACCCAACCCGGTCAAGACGGGTAAAATCCTGTTGATGGGTTTTGAGTCGGGTTTGGGTTTTAACCCGTAAACTATTCATCGGGTTGGGATGGATTTGGGTTTAGGTAAACCCGATCCATGGGTACGCGCCCACACCCATATAATTAATTTTCTAGGTATATTTAATATTTTAAACAATTAATCTTATTTATGTTTGTGGGGACATACATGTCTAATTTTTCTTTCTAATTGTGTAGAACGAAGTTGATGTTATCGAGTGGAGAGTGAAGAAACTTAATTGAAAGGAAGAAGTTTTCAATTAATCATGTTATTTATGGATAATTTATGATTTGCTTCAATTTTCTTGAGTTTTCTAGATTGGTGTTGAACAATTTTTATAGTTAATTTGTGATTTGCTTGAATTTCTAGAATGGTGTTTTATGTATGAATAATTTGAATTGAGAGATTGATATTTTGGTTTTAATTTTGATAGGAACTTGTTATTGTAATTTTTTACGACAAAAAACACGTGGGTACCCATGAACCCGCGGATACCCAACGGGTTGGGTTGGGTTTGAGTTTTTCAAACCCAATGAGTTTTACCCCGGATTTTTTCACGAATAAACCCATGGGTTTGAGTTTGGGTTTGGCAAAACCCGATCCAACCCGACCCATTGCCATCCCTACCCACCTCCGCCTTCTTTGGCTCAATTACACATCCAGCCAATATACTTTTTTGTCATTAACAGAACGACACACCCAATCCGATTTTTAACAAACTCGTCCCTAAAGTCAAATCCTCCATTCCCTTCAAATTAATTTTACAGCTCATAATTCAACCCAATCAAATATGTAACTAGAGGGTGTAGTGATCAACTATTAAGCAGTTAATTTGTGAATGAACTAACAAGTTGGTTGGATCAATTTAGATTAAAAAAATTGTGATATTATGACAACTTTTTTGGTAAAAAAAATTGTAATTCATTCAAATGTATATGTTAGTTGTCCGTTTATTGATAAATAAATATGTGAATTGAGCACTACCACGAACATCGAATGAGATTATTGACACTCTTCGATAGTTCGATTAATGCATCAAGAGGATGGTTGGAGCACTTTCCATTAAGGATAAGCGAAATTGCAATTTAAAAGTCATAACCTAACTCGATAAGTTGATGAAAAAAGAGTTCAATGTACACTTCATCTCTAATCAACCAACATTATGAATAATTTGAGTACTACAATTAGCTAGTTCAACCTTCGAGATATGAAGTACACTAAGAGATTGACCCATTTGTATATGGACATCAAAGTTTAGTGGCTCTTATGCAATTGTGCTATTAATACTCGGTTAAGAACCTAAATCAGACGTCTTGCCGCGACGCAAACAAACAAATGGCGGCAAAATCCCCCAAACCCGCAGTTCAGTCTCCCGCAAGCTTCCTTCATTTCTCAAAGAAAAAATTGTAATTCAAATGCTTTCGCCCCGCTCCCTTCAAAAAATTCCAATTCGAATTCCCTACCGCCATTACTGTTCCATTACCCTCCTCCTATAAAATCCCCAATCTCCCTCCACCACTCTCTGCAATCAAATTTCGAATTTCCCCTTCTTCCCCTTCTCCAAAACCCTAAAAAATTCTCCCAAAGATGCCGTCCTTCCCAGAAGAGCCTCTCCTGGCGCCAAACCCTGACCGCTTCTGTATGTTCCCGATCGAGTACCCACAGATCTGGGAGATGTACAAGAAGGCCGAGGCTTCCTTTTGGACCGCGGAAGAAGTCGACCTCTCTCAGGACACCCGCCACTGGGAAGCTCTCTCCCCCGACGAGCGCCACTTCATCACCCACGTCCTCGCCTTCTTCGCCGCCTCCGACGGAATCGTCCTCGAGAATCTCGCCGGCCGGTTCATGAAGGAAGTGCAAGTCGCCGAAGCAAGAGCCTTCTACGGGTTCCAGATCGCGATCGAGAACATCCACTCCGAGATGTACAGCCTCCTTCTCGAGACCTACATCAAGGACTCCGACGAGAAGAGCCGACTCTTCCGCGCCATCGAGACGGTGCCCTGTGTGGCCAAGAAGGCCCAGTGGGCCTTGAAGTGGATCGATGGCGGGGAGTCGTTCGCCGAGAGGTTGATTGCGTTTGCCTGTGTGGAAGGGATTTTCTTCTCCGGGAGCTTCTGCGCGATATTTTGGCTGAAGAAGCGTGGGCTGATGCCTGGATTGACGTTCTCCAACGAGCTGATCTCGCGAGATGAAGGGCTTCATTGTGATTTTGCCTGCTTGCTGTATGGGTTGATGAAGGTGAAGCCCAGTGAGGAGCGGGTGAAGGGGATTGTTAAAGATGCGGTGGATATCGAGAGGGAGTTTGTTTGTGATGCCTTGCCGTGCGCGCTGGTAGGGATGAATGGAGCGTTGATGGGCCAGTATATTGAGTTCGTTGCTGATAGGTTGCTGGACTGCCTTGGGTGTGGGAAGATTTACAATGTGACGAATCCTTTTGATTGGATGGAGCTGATTTCGTTGCAGGGCAAGACGAATTTCTTTGAGAAGAGGGTTGGGGAATACCAGAAGGCTTCTGTTATGAATAGCCTTAATGGTGGCAGTGGTGGAAGCCATGAGTTTAAGATGGACGAAGACTTCTAAAAGACCTTTTGCAATATCCTGTTATTCTGTAACATTTGATGCGCTGTTATTCTCTTAATAGCTGTTCTTACTTCTTAGCTTACAGTTCTTTTGCGAGTAGTGTTTAGTTTATGGTTTGGAAAATGGTTTCATATAAAATTGAGTTATTAATTATAATCGCTTTCGTAATTTACTCTCTTGGTTTCCATGGATATGGCTTCTTTGCGTGGTTCTGGCTTTTTCATTTGCTCTGTGATTTCTGCGGAATGGAGGAAGTGAAATGACCGAAATATCCTTCGGCTATTCTCCATCGCGAATCATTCCATCACGAGATCTTTTGTCTCCTTTGGTTCTTTTCATTTTCGTCTCTCCTTTTCTTGGGTTGCGCCGTTTCTGTTGAAGCTCTGATTCTACACGTTCGCGGCTGTGGAGAATAAGTTGAGGTGATTTTAATTTCTTGGTTTGCTAGGTTTTCGTCGTCTGAGCCTTGAAGCTTCAATGCATGGAATCAAACCCTATGTTTCTTTTTTTGGGTACTTTCAATTTGTGTCTGAAATGAAGGATTTTAACAGAAAGGAAGCTGCTTTTTCTGCATCGCATTGATGGCTGGTCTGCAATTGCAAAGTTCAGGGATGCTGTCAAGGGAGCAGTTGGTTTATCTGTTTGATCGATTCTCTGAGCTCACTGCCCAGCCAGGTAAGTCCCTTTTCGGCTCTTCTCTTTTGCTCCTTTATCTTGTTTCTTCTGGTTGTTGATTCGTTGGTTTTTTAGATGTAAAGAGAAGAATTGCAGATGCTGTGGACGATAAACAGGTGAATTAATTTGGCTCTTATGCTCTCGGAAATGAATTCAGTGTTGTTTCTTTTACTTTAACATCGAACTAAGCAAGTGTGGAAATGTATGTTCAACATTGAATGTGGCAATGCAGGAAGCTGTAGCTGTTACTACGGCACTTCAAGAGGGCATCTTTTTGGAGATGGAAGTTGGTATGGTTTAACATGTGTACCGTTTGTGTATGTTGGTTAGCTGTTAGGGGGTTTGTGATTCAAAGTAAGATCCGTGGATGGCTGTATGTATGATGAATTTGTGTTAATAAAGTCTTGCTTCTTTGCAGATCCTAGCTTTGGCATTTCTTGCTTGGGTAAAGTGAATACAATTTATGAGAATGACCGAGATTTGATGATTCAGTTTTACAAGTTCGTGGCAAGGTAGACTAAGAATTCTGATGACCTTGGTCATGAACATTCTATTCTGGTGAACAGCATGAAGAACTAGACACAGCCTTGTTTGTTTTTCCCTTCTTGCTGTCTGTTTGATGATGGTGCCTATTTCTGGTATGCTGCTGAACAGTCAAAGCTGTTTTAGTCTAGAGATAACACTGTTGAATACGCCTACCATGTTCCACCTTATGTCCCCATTTTATGTTGGACTAAGTTCTGTTTTCCCAGAATTTGTTTGAAAAACAATGAAGTGTGCTACACTGCAGTTAATTTGACATGTTAGTTGGGTGTTGTATTGGTGTGGAAGTTTGGAGTTGTCTGTTTTAGGAATGAAGATCCAATTGTGAAGAAAAATCTTTGATAAACAGGCAATATAGTGTCAGAGAAACAATTTCCTTCTTTCTTGCATCCAATGTTTCACACAATTCATTGATTGGCAGTGAAGAGATGGCTTGTGATGAGGCTGAACTTGGAACAGAAGAATATGCAAAGAAAATGCATAATCAACAAATGCTTCAGGGGAAGGCGAGTCCTTTTTGGAAAACTTCTTTTGTTTCACTCTTTCTGTGGTTTATCATTGGAGATGGCTATTGCAAAATATGATAAGTAAATGGCTCTTTGGTTTGGCAGCAACTGGAGATGCTGAAGTACATGCGCAAATTCCACCTGGATGACCAATCTGCTATTCTTGATAAGGTGCATTATTATACATTGAATCTGTACCTTTTGCCTACAGGCTACATGAAACTGGCTTGGTTTCTGTGTGTCTATGCAGTTGCGCCAAAACCTGGAGAATGCGAATTTCGACGAAGAGGCATCGGTATTGCCACCAGACCAGATTCAAGAAACTGTGCGTAGGAGGGTGTCTCCATTATTCATGCCAGCCAACTAGGCTTAGGGGATACTTGCTTCTTCATCCTGCACTCTATATGGTGTGTCTGTATCTCTTGTAATTGTTTCTCCAAAACGTTTATTATGTATAATGTATTGAATATTGATGCTCTTAATGCAAGTTGTGTCAGCCAAACTACAGCGTGAAATGTAGGGCGTTTCAATAGACTAATGCTGAAATGAACATCCGTTGGACTAATCTTCTTTATTTCATTACTATCTGCTTGATATGGGTAGATAATCGTCCATTTTGTAATATATGTTCTAACTGTTGTACTTTCATCCTATGTATTAGGCCTGGGGAATGATTTGACAACAAAGTTGAGATGGCCGAGTTGGTCTAAGGCGCCAGATTAAGGTTCTGGTCCGAAAGGGCGTGGGTTCAAATCCCACTCTCAACATAATTTTTTGTTCTTTTTTCTATTGTGTTTGGCACTTCTGAAACAATGTCATGGGCGTTTGACTTCTATTTGTTTTGTTGTTTTGGGATCTTATGGCCTAAATCATGAGCTAGATTTAGGATTATCAAACATGTCAATGTGTTGGTAAGGGGATTTTTTGTTCTTTTTTCTATTGTGTTTGGCACTTCTGAAACAATGTCATGGGCGTTTTGCTTCTATTTGTTTTGTTGTTTTGGGATCTTATGGGCCTAAATCATGAGCTAGATTTAGGATTATCAAACATGTCAATGTGTTGGTAAGGGGATTATATAGATTTCCATGCAAAAGCTTAAATGTGAGGGGTTTTCCCTTTATTTTTGCCAAATTAAATTTGAGCTTTGAAGTATGGCTATATGATTAGTAATGCATTCGTTGCGTTGGGATATATTTTTCCGAGAATGGTGCTCAATTATATATGGCTCGTTAGTCGTCACTAAACAATACGAAAATAGAATTTAATATGTCATATTTAATGACATTGTCTGTAAATGACATACAAAAGGTCATACTTGATCAAACCAATGCCATCCAAATGCATGATATGTATTGAACAATACTCAAATCATCAAAATGATGACATGGTCATTTAAGATTGCGACCACCCAATATTATACGGCAATAAAATAATCATTGTAGTTTTGGTTCTGAAACACATATTCCTCGTAAGAAATGGTAGGCAAGAGCTCAACCAATGTTATTGCTATTCTTCTCATGTAGTAAATGTGCTTGTATAGAACAATCATAAACAAAAAGTGAGTTTAAGAGGAAGACTTTCTATACAAAGTACTACATTGTTGTTTCTTCTCTCAATAGACCAACAAACTTCACATTCAAATTAAATAACTCATCCATTCCCCCCAACTTCCTCTCTAACTAACAAAAACTAGTGAAGTTTCCATTGCCAACAAAAGAAGGTATCTCAAAATGCCAAAGCCTCCCCACAGCTTTCACCAAGTACTTTTTACACAGAAACTCCTCAGCGTATACCCTCTCCACCCTCCTGTTCACATCATGCAAGAACACGTGTGTCACCCCGTGGTGCGTCCTCCCACGCGCCATCACCGCCGCCGTGTATATCGCCGCCATCCGCCCCGGTGCATCGGGAAAGTACCCTCTCGGCGCGTCTATCATGATCACATCCCACTCATCCTCGTACACCTCACTAGGCAATGTACTCAGTGCCAATTTACACCGCGCATTACCTTTGAGGTGCGCAAGCCCATGAGATCCACCGAGAAGGCAGTCGGGCTCGTCTTTGTAGGACGAGAGAAGCGAGTCGGCCTGATGGAGGCGCGTGGGGTATCTGACGACGCGCGAGCGCAACAAATTGGGGAAACGACGGAGGATGGAGTGGACCCAGCGTGGGTCCTCCTCAAGGAATAGGGTGGTGCCGCGTGGGTTGAGCCCGGTCCACATGAGCGAGTCGTGGCCCAGCCCAAAGACGAGGAACCGGCACGGGCCCAACGACCGGAGGACGGCTGCGGAGACCGAGATCTCCGCCAGGGATTGCTGCGGGACGGTCCGGGAGGTGGCGTAGTGGAGGATTGCTTCCATCTGCGGCGGCGTCGGGTCTTTGCTTTTGCCGTCGTCGCTTCCACCGACGGCAGAGGTGGAACAGAGGAAGGGGGAGTTCGGTGAGAGAGAAGTGAACGAACCGGCGATTAGTAGCAGCGTGGCGGCGAAGGCGGCTGCGAGGAGGCCGGCGAACAATCTGGGCTTCTCCGCCGAGAAACTCCGGCTGAACTTCATCTTCTCCATGGCGATGATCAATCGGTCGGGAAAGTTGGCGAATTTGACGGAAGTAATGAAATGGGTTGGATTTAAAGTGGGAAGAGAGTAATGGGTCGCCGTCGAATTTCTTGAGAGGGATTATGTGAATGTAGAGTGTGTGATCAATGGGGCGAAGCTAGATGGGAAGCTTTTGTTGAAGGAGATGGAACTTGGCAATCTGGTGCGGTGTGCGTATTATAATATTTGTGAGGGAAAGTTGTGTTGCAACGGCAGACATTATTATTGTGGTTAATATATATAAATATTACACGATGCATGAGTCTATTTCTTTGTTCTCAAATGAAGAAAGGTACAATGATTCTAATTGATTCATGCTACTATACTTCATTGACAAGATTTATTATGACTCAAAATCATGACCATTCATCCTTGTTATCCGATAACATACGAATTTATAAAGAAGACTTATTAATTATATCACAAGCCATTTAAACTAATTTTGATACTATGTTAAATTGAAACACTTTTAAATAAGAGGTGAACCATGTAATTATATCACTCATATGCCAATATTGGCATATGAATATTGCACCTATCATTCACACACAATTAATTTGGTATTCTAATTTTAAAAAAGTTACGTACATATTAATGTTCGCATCATCCCACACATCCTCAAATGTTGGTATGACTTTTGGTTTAAGTATATTTGGCATCAAATCAAGATATATTTGGGTGGAAGGTGAGAAGAGTTAATTGATTAGTTTAGGGGTAATGGGAATTGTTAATCACTTAAGAATGGGAATGCAAATTACAAATTAAGATGTGCTGTCTTCTTCACTTAAGAGAGCATCTCTTGAAGGAACCCTCCTTGCTCTTTCGGCTTTCCTTGAAGTTGGCATGTTATGGGATTAGTGAAGCTATAATTTAGATGCTCCATGTGACATTGTTGTCGGCGTCAAAATCTGAAGGCTAGGAAATAAGCAAATGTTTTTTTTCATACAATGTTAATTAGTACGTACCTCTAGTATTTTAATGAGTGACAATGACACGATGGGAAAATGTTTTTGTTTCTTTATGAACAATAAATTATATTATTAAGGGTTGATGGATTTTTGTTTGTAATTGATGGTGATTATTTCTATTTGCAACGTACGTAGTTGTTGAACTTTGTTTTGAAGTGGAAAATTTTACTTGAAGTCTTTCTTTATGGATGAAAAAAATTCCAAATCGAGCCAATTAATTATGAATATCCACTGGTGCATGTATTTTCTACTCAAGCATGTTTGATTCATTTGTGACGTAGTTTTCAACCTAAATGGTACTTTTTGGATAGTTTGAATTTTCTAGTGAAATTAACCCAATAAAATTCTCAATACAAGAGTCTATATACAAAAATATAGATAACCATGAGAACAAGAGGGCATATCATATACACATTGGAGACAACATTATTTGTAAATTAGATGACCCATGTTGTGACTCTTTTGTTTATGGGCTTAGCCTTAACAATAAATAACGTTAGGGTATGCATATGGTGACTTGCAACTCACCGTAACTTGGAGAAAATGGTCGACCTATTCCATTAAGTGGTCGACTACTTTTAAAGAAAATGGTCGAGTTCTTCCAACAAGTGATCTACCACTTGAGTCAAACGGTCTATCACTTCCAAAAATGGGTTGACACACTTAACTTAAAATGGTCGACCTCTTCTACCAAGTGGTCTATCACTTGAGGCAACCGCTCTACTGCTTCCGAAAATTGGTCGACCTGATGACACAATTACCTTTAAGTGGTCGACCATTTTCCATGAAAATGGTTTACCACTTCCACCAGGCTGTTTAGCACTTGAGGCAACCAGTCTACCGTTTCTGGCAAGTGACTTACTTACCTTCAACTTTCACCTGCTTGTTGGAGGAGGTTGACCGCTTCCGCCAAAACAACCTACCAATTTCGCAAAATGGTTTACGAACCTCTTTCGGCGAACGATCTCCGCTTTCGATGTACGGTCGATCAGATGACACAGTTACCTTACACTTACATTAGGAAACTAATGGACAATTGGAAACCAACAATATTTTTTTTTGTAGTAACGCAACATCCTATCACATGTGGGCGACCAAATACCTATGCAGATAATAGGCAAGACAAAAAAAACCACTCTTTTTTAACACTTCTGGATAAACAATCCACAAAATCGATATTATCAAATTTATGGAAGTTCAAGATGACACGCTTGTATAACAAATAAACTCTACTTTTTGAGCATATTCATAACAACAATAGCAAAAAAGTTAATCCATCACAAGACAACTGTAGGATATAAACAAACAAACTTATAATTTGAATGAAAGATGAAAGTCTCTGTAAAGAAAGTCAAATATCATAAATAAATATGCGGAACATTTTTTAAATCTACGGGAGAACAATCATTCGAGAAACTTGTCATCTATGCTTGCAGGCTTTGTACTAATTCTAAATCTCTTACTAGCAAGTATATATATTATTATTGGACTCTAATTATATATGATGATATCACTAGCAATGGTTGATCGGGTGGACCAATTATTGAAAACGGTGGACCGCTTAGGGAAAGAGGTAAACCACTTGATTGAAGTGGTAGACCATTTTTTTGTATAGCATACGACCTTTTAGTGGAAGAGGTCGGGCGCTTGTTGAACATATCAAAATGGAAAATAGTACATCTGGTCGACCATTTTAACAATGAGGTCGACCGTTTTGTCCAAATAGGTCGGCCATATTAGTGAAGAGGTCGACCATTTTGTCCAAATTATAGTGATCGAGTTAGTAACTTGTAAATCACCGTAGCAAAGTCCGTTCTAAATATTATTTTAATGTAAGGGTTGATGAATTTTTGTATTTTTTATTATTTCAATTTTTATATAAACCGCATGGAGCTTTGTTTGAAGTGGAAACTTCTTTTTGAAGTCTTTCTTTATTTACGTGGAAACTCCAAAGCAACCCAACCAATATCCATTGGTGCTTGTAGTGTCCAATCAGGCAAGGAGAATGGAATGTGGAAAAGAAGAAGATATGGGGAAAAAGTTGTAAAATCTCATAAGGATATATTTGGTTTTGTAAGTTTCATTAGCTAGAATCGTGAGGGTGTACACGAATTAAGTTTATCAAAACCAAATTATATATAGTTATAATTAGGGTAATAATTCAAACCCTTTTAAGTTTATTTTATATTATCCAAACCTATTAAAATGCTATTAATTAGTCAAATCTTTTGTACTATATCAAAATATTAGAAATTTTTATGTTATCGTTAATAATTTTGCAACTCTTTTCCAAGTGAGTATCATGTTGTCAAGTCAATATTACTAACAAAATTGTTAACTAAAAAGTTAACATTTGGCTAATTATTAGTATTTTGATAGGTTTGGCTAATTAAAACGAATTCGGAAAGTTTTGGCTAATAAATAGTCATTACCCTTATAAGTAAGATTGAAATAGAAATAAGGGGGCAATGTAATGGAAAGAATCGAAACAAAGCAATAGACGGATCACTTATGAGTTATACCATATACAAATCATATGACTACAATAGGATTGAATTAGTACAATATCAACATCATCATCTATGCTCAAACGCAAATATACAAACCCGATATATGCAACTCAAATATGAGAGATTGTTTGCCCAAAAGTCCCAAATCCAATGACACATTATTGTTTCATATGGCTTACTTGTTCTTAATGTAAGAGTTTATATACAAAATTATAGATAACCATGAGAACAAGGTGGCTTATACACATTCGAGAGACAACATTTATTTGTAAAAACTAGTACCATCCTTACTAGTTACTACTAGTATCAATACAAACTCCTCCCATCTCCTTCATTGATAGCATCCTTAAACCCGCCACCACTCGGTATCATAGGCAAAACATGCTCCTGATGAGGCACAATCACATCAAGCAAGTATGGTCCTTCACTCTCCAACATCTTCTTCATCTCCTCCTTCAAATCCCCCAACTTCGTCACTCTAGCGGCCGGGATCCCACACGCTTCAGCAAACTGCAACATGTTGGGGAAAATCTCCTCTTCATTCGCCGGGTTCCCCAGAAAAGTATGCGCCCTGTTGGCCTTGTAGAACCTGTCCTCCCACTGAACCACCATCCCCAAATGCTGATTGTTCAGCACCATGATCTTCACGGGCAGATTCTCCACCCGAATCGTCGCCAGTTCCTGCACATTCATCATGAAGCTGCCGTCCCCATCGATGTCGACCACGGTCCTACCTGGGTTCGCCACTGCAGCTCCAACAGCGGCTGGCAGGCCGAACCCCATGGCGCCCAGGCCCGCCGAAGTGAGCCACTGCCGAGGGTTTTTGTACTTGTAGTACTGTGCTGACCACATCTGGTGCTGACCCACCCCTGTGCTCACTATCGCGTTTCCTTGAGTCATTTCGTCGAGCAGTTGGATGGCGTGCTGTGGAGGGATCATGTCGCCGAATGTTTTGTACTTCAATGGGAATCTCTGCTTCTGATCGGCGACTTCTTCTCTCCAGGAGGTGAAATCGAGGTTGAATTGGGATCCTCTCTTCTCCAGGATCGAATTCAGGCCCTCCAAGGCGGGTTTCAAATCGGCGCACATCGCGACGTGCGGCTGCTTGTTCTTCCCGATTTCGGCCGAGTCGATGTGGACGATTGTAGCTCTGCTGGCGAACGTTTCGACCTTCCCGGTGACACGGTCGTCGAATCTGACTCCGAACGCGAGGAGGAGATCGGCGTTATCGATGGCGTAATTGGCATACATGGTCCCGTGCATTCCGAGCATTTGGAGGGAGAGATCGTGGTCGCAGGGGAAGCTCCCGAGCCCCATGATCGTGCTGGCAACGGGAATTCCCGTGAGGTCGACGAATCGACGGAGCTCCTCGCTGGAATTCAAAGATCCGCCGCCGACGTAGAGAATCGGCTTCTTCGATTGGTAGATCAATCGAACGATCTGTTCCAATTGGGAAGTCTCCGGCGATTTCGGGAGCCGGGCGGTGTAACCCGGCAGATTGACGGTTCGGGTCCAGGTCGGGACGGCGAGCTGCTGCTGGACGTCTTTGGGGATGTCGATGAGGACCGGGCCAGGTCGCCCCGTTGACGCGATGTAGAAGGCTTCCCGTACGATTCTAGGGATTTCGTCGACGTCGGTGACGAGGTAATTGTGCTTGGTGATCGATTTGGTTACCTCGACGATTGGGGTTTCCTGAAACGCGTCGGTGCCAATCATGCGGCGGGGGACCTGGCCGGTGATGGCGACGAGGGGGACGCTGTCGAGCATGGCGTCGGCGAGGCCGCTGACGAGGTTGGTGGCTCCCGGGCCGGAAGTGGCGATGCATACGCCGACTCGACCGGAGGAGCGGGCGTACCCCTCGGCGGCGAACACGCCGCCTTGCTCGTGGCGGGGGAGGGTGTTCTTGATGAGCTTTGATCGGGTCAGGGCCTGGTGGATCTCGAGGGACGCGCCGCCGGGGTAGGCGAAGACGTGGCGGACGCCTTCGCGCTCCAGGGCTTCGATCAGGACGTCGGCGCCCTTTCTGGGCTGGTCGTCGGCGAATCGGGAGGTGGTTGTGGTGGTGGTGTCGACGATGGCGGCGGCGGGGGCGGCGGAAGGAGGGGGAATTTGGGGTTTGTTCTTGTTGGGGTCGTTGGAGTGGTGGAGAGGGGAGGAGGAGGCGGCGGTGGTGGTGAAGCGGAGGGTGTGGCGGCGGATGTGGTGGTGATCGGAGGGTGGGAGTGGAGACGGTTGTTTGAAGGGGAAGGAGAGATTCGGAGCGGTGGAAGTGTACGCCATTGTCGGAATTTCTTTTCTTCCGCCGGGAAGAGACTAGAGAGGGAGGAAAGAACGAGTCAACTCAAGGAGACATTGCCGGGTTTTAATTTGGAGTTTCCTTTGGCTGAGTTATATATAACGCCTTCCGTTTCCCTCACTATTGAATTGAAGGGTTTTGAATTTTGATGGCTCCACAATGACAGGAAATGGAAAGCCGTTAACAGTAGTGAGTGGGGAATAATGATGGTGCACAAACTCAAAAAACAACATAGAAGAGAAGTGGAGGGTGGATATTGGATAACAATATTGGTAGTTGGGAAAGAAGACAACTAATGTTAGTAGGTGAAACTTTGTAACGTGCAAAACGCTGTGTACTGTTCACCCCAAGCCATGGCAGCTGAGCACATTACTGTACATAATAGAACCATCTATGACCGGGCCTCGCAATGTCTTGTAGATGGGCCAATATGCAGGCTGGAAACTCCCATGAGCCAAGCCCATGTTCATCATCTTTGCTCTAAGCCCAAGCCCAACCTAAAGCCCATTCCAAAACGACCCGATACTTTCACCGTCACACGTGCGCGCTGGGCCCCCCTTCATCCGAAGATAAGCTCTGGATTTCCGAAAACGTTAGCTCCTTCTACCTTCTTCTCCATTTTGGTGAACTATCAGCTCTGAGCTAGCCATGGCGGCCACCGCAACCTTCAATCTGATAGGCTCCTTCAAGGGCCTCTCACTCTCATCCAGCTCTTCCTCGTCGTCTTATTCTGCTTTCTTCAATGGCGGATTCGCTGGCCTGGGGCCTCAGAACTCCGTGTCCCTGCCGCGAAAGGGCGCGTTCCAATTGACGATTGAAATGGCTCACAAGAAGGGAGCGGGGAGCACCAAGAACGGCCGAGATTCTCCCGGCCAGCGCCTCGGCGTCAAAATCTTCGGCGACCAGCTCGCCAAGCCTGGCGCAATCATCATCCGCCAGCGCGGGACCAAGGTTAGACTCGATTCAAGTTTTTTAGCTAGCCAATTTTATCTGAACAATACTAAATTATAGGGATTTGAATTTGGTAGGATTTCTGGTGAATTATAGTTTAGTACTTTGGATAGAAAATTCATACCGTTTTATACAAATGAAACTCCTCATGAGGTAAGGCAAGCCAGGTAATGGATGTTTTCATGATCTACTAAGGGCAACCATGTCAATATTGTGATCTAATAATGGAAATCGGCTTCAATTGAATGATGGTTTCATTGTTGAACTACAGTAGGAATGTAGGATTGAGTTGGATAGGTAGAGCAGAAAGTGTTCATGGGTTTATTCATCTAACAAAGAACTTGTACGATTCCTGGGGTATCCGGGTTGGTTTGTAGTCAGCTGGAGTTGCAGAATTCCAGCAGATTTCAGCTCTTGTGACTCATATTTATGCAGATGGCCATTTGGTCTTATTCCTCTAGCTTCATCTTTCAGTTCCATCCAGGAAACAATGTGGGAATGGGGAAGGATCATACCATCTTCGCGCTGATCGATGGCCTCGTCAAGTTCGAGAAGTACGGTCCTGACAGGAAGAAGGTAATCAATCAAGTTTCTCAAATCCCTCCCGATTTTTTTGGTTTGTTTGAAGTAGTGTTGACATTGGCGTTGTCGGCTCTTCAGGTGAGTGTGTACCCACGAGAAATTGTGCCGGAGAACCCCAACAGCTATCGAGCAAGGAAGCGAGAGCAGTTCAGGCTGCAGCGCGAGAAGAAGAAGGCCAAGAAGGAAGGCAGAACCTTTGCACGGCCGGAGCCACAATTGGTTCTTGCTTCCAATGTTGATGCGGCAGAAGACAACCCTGTCTGCTGATCAAGTTGTACCGTCCAATGTCAATTGTGTGAATGTAAACAGCTCAGTCAACACTTTTGTTATTGCTTTTGATCGTTTGTAATTTAACTGTTTCGTTGATTCAATTGGGAGTACACAGTTTTACTGCATTCTATTTCTATGTAATGTGACGTACTTGTTTGGCTGATTCGCTTTGGAGAATACACAGTTTTACAGCTCAGCCAACACTTTTGTTATTGCTTTTGATCCTATGTAATCTAACTGTTTCGCTGATTCAATTGGGAGTACACAGATTTATTGCATCCTATGTTACGTAATTGTTTGGCTGATTCGCTTGGGAGAATACACAGATTTACTGCGCTTTTACTGTAATGAAATTGATTGGCTGATCGGCAGATTTACTGTGCTTAAACAAAAAGAAATAGCTAGATAGGTACTCAAATGGTGAGATTAATTCCAAGAGAAAAGTAATTCTACATCAAAGCATAAATTCAAGTCTGACAAATCTTAAACATGTTGAACAATAACTGAAGAGTACATTCAAAACTATCTCGTTTACTTTTCCTAAACTTTTGAGTCGTTCTCATCTCTAGGATGCTGCAGCCAGTATACAGAGGAATGACCAGACAAACCAACCACTTCTCAAGCAACTGCTCCATGCCTCCCAACACCACCTGCACAAATTATGTGTTTCAATCAATCTATTAATCTGAAAGCGCTGATTTAAGAAGAAATTTGTTCAACAACAAATAGCAGTTTGATTGAACTTGCAGAAGTGGATAGGGGAAAACTAATGAAGGCAATTCACATGCATCCGTAACCAAAGAGAAACAAGATTATCGCCCAGCACAATTCATTTCCTCCAGTTACCACCAACCATTGGGAATGGGTATTGGAGCAGAATTGAGCTAAACTCTTGGAAGAAAGGCTGAGAACTACAGCCTAACTTTAAGCTAGTAGCCAAATCAAACCAGATCCGACCATGATGGTATCGATGCGGATATAACCTAATCCGAAATCTAAACACCCCAATTGATCACTAAGTCACAGCAGTGTTTGGCAGAACTAGCCAAAGAGGGGGAGGAAATACAAACAAACACAATGCCCCATGCATCCATCCAAACCCAAAGACAACAACAAACAAGAAAATGCAACCTTGATGGTATTAATGCGGATATTCCCTAATCCGAAATCTAAAACCCCAATTGATCTGCAATCGCAGCAGTGTTTGGCTGAAGTAGCCAAAGAGGGGGAGGAAATGTTGGACTGAATCTCCACTGTCAACAAATCCTAGCTGCACAAGGATTGGAGGGGCGCCAAGAATTAAGTAAGGTTAAATTAAGTGAGTCTGTGAAATAAGGGAAACTGTGTCGTTTGCAGGATTACCAAGTCAGTACCTTATGTTTGAGTAATTGTCAGTCTAAGAGTAGTAATTAGCAGTTTGGTAATCTGTGTGTCGAGTTGATGTTTAGCAGTTCATGAATCCTCAGTTTCAGGGTAGTGGGGAATGGTAGCAGCCAACTGTCGTGGCTTGCACCTCATGTATATATTTAGCAGTTGCTCATTCAATAAGAACTGTCAGATTGCAGCATAGAGGTAGTTTACATTTGGTATCAGAGCCTTTGCAAGCTGTAACCAACGAAAAAGTGAGTAACTGAGTGAAACTGAGTGATTAAGATTGCAGGATCTGGGTTAGGGAAACACGAGAGAATACTGGTGAGGAAATCAACACAGGGTGAGTGGTGATTACAGGTCTGAGGGTTATTGCTTGATAACTGCAGAACCATGAGTGATAATGCAGGGTTCTCGCAGGTGGGGCTTCCAAAATTTGATGGTGATTATGACCATTGGAGCCTACTGATGGAAAATCTTCTTAGATCAAAGGAGTACTGGGGAGTGGTCAGTGATGGCATTCAGGAACCAGCAACAGGTGCAGTGATGTCTGCTGCAGAATCAAAGAGCCTGGATGATCTCAGACTCAAAGACTTGAAGGCAAAGAACTACTTGTTCAACTCCATTGACAAGACAATTCTCAAGACCATCACTACCAAAGCTACTGCCAAGCAGTTATGGGATGCTATGAAGGTCAAGTACCAGGGAAGTGCTCGTGTTCAGAAAGCCCAGTTGCAGGCTCTCAGAAGAACCTATGAGGTTCTTGAGATGAAAGAAGGTGAGACTATCACTGCCTACTTCAGTAGGGTAATGATTGTAGCCAATGATATGCGAAACTGTGGTGAGGATATGCCTGATGTTAAGATTGTGGAAAAGATCTTAAGGACATTGACAGAGAGGTTCAATTATGTTGTCTGTTCAATTGAAGAGTCTAAGGACATAGAAACTCTATCTGTTGATGCACTTCAGAGCTCATTACTAGTGCATGAGCAAAAGTTCCACAAGAAATCTGTTACTGAAGAGGATCAAGCATTAAGAATCTCACATGAGTTTGCTGGAAGGGGAGGAAGAGGTTTTGGTTTCAGAGGTGGCTATCAAGGGTATCAAGGTAGAGGAAGAGGAAGAGGTGGCAGAGGCTGGAATAAAGGAAACATTGAGTGTTTCAAATGTCATAAATTAGGGCACTATCGAAGTGAATGCCCTGAGTGGTATAATAACCAGCAAGCTCACTATTCCAGCACTCAGAATGAGATGAATGATGATATCCTGCTGATGGCTTTTCTAGAGGACAGTAAGATGAAGAACAAGTCAACCTGCTGGTTTTTGGACTCAGGTTGCAGTAACCACATGAGTGGTGAGAAGAAGTGGTTTGAGAGCATTGATACTGAATCAACTGGAAAGATCAGACTGGGAGATGACAGCAGACTTGATGTGGCTGGAAAAGGAACAGTAAGACTGCAACTTGGGAAACTATCTTTGGTAATACAGGATGTATTCTTTGTTCCAGGGCTCAAGACTAATCTGTTGAGCATGGGGCAACTACAAGAAAAGGGACTGGAGTTTCTGGTCAAGAGAAATGTTTGTAGGATCTTTCATGAAGACAAAGGTTTCTTAATGGAAACCAAGATGGAATCTAACAGAATGTTCATACTGCAGTCTGAAACAGAAGTTCTGGAAACACCTAACAGAACAGAAATTCAATGCCTTCAAACAAACAAAACCAAGGAAGCAACCCTGAACCTCTGGCATAGAAGGTTTGGTCACTTGAATCCTCAAGGACTGCTGCAGGCTCAGAAGAAGAAACTGATACAAGGTATCCCTGACTTAAAAGGGGAAGTAGGCATTTGCTCTACTTGTCAACTTGGAAAACAGACCAGACAACCATTTCCCAAGAAAAGCACCTGGAGAGCTACTGAAAGGTTACAATTAGTGCATGCTGATCTATGTGGACCAATCACCCCAACCTCCAATGGAGGTAAAAGGTACATTTTCACCTTGATAGATGATTACAGCAGGAAACTGTGGGTACATTTTCTTAGAACCAAGTCTGAAACATTAGAATGGTTTAGAAAGTTTGTGGTTCAAGTAGAGAAGGAAACTGGAAACTCACTTCTCTGTCTCAGAACTGATAGAGGAGGGGAGTTTCTGCTAAATGAGTTCAAATCCATGTGTGATGAAGTTGGTATGAAAAGGCAGTTAACAGCTGCTCTTACTCCACAGCAAAATGGAGTAGCTGAGAGGAAAAATAGAACCACTATGAACATGGTTAGATGTATGTTGAAAGACACTTCAGTACCTGCAGGTTTTTGGCCAGAGGCTGTCAACTGGACCACACATGTTCTGAACAGATCTCCTACAGCTGCAAACCTATTGGCTTAAAATGGCTCTACAAGACCAAGCTGAAAGAAGATGGGACACTGGATAAGAAGAAAGCAAGACTGGTAGCCAAGGGATATGCTCAGAGGGCAGGTATTGACTACACTGAAGTCTTTGCCCCCGTAGCCAGGTGGGATACAATCAGAACTCTCCTGGCACTTGCTGCCTATCATGGTCTGACTGTGTGGCAGTTAGATGTTAAAAGTGCCTTTCTTCATGGAGAGTTAACTGAAGATGTCTATGTTGAGCAACCACAAGGGTTTGTGGTTGCTGGGGAGGAAACAAAAGTCTATAAGTTGAAGAAAGCACTCTATGGATTGAAACAGGCCCCAAGAGCCTGGTACAGCAGGGTGGAAAGTTACTTTCTTAGTACAGGTTTTGAGAAATGTCAACATGAAGCAACACTGTTCATCAAAAGAACTGAGAAAGGGGTTCTGATAGTGAGCTTATATGTGGATGATGTTATGTACCTCAGTACAAACAATGAACTGGTGCAAGAGTTCAAACAGTCAATGGAGAATGAGTTTGAGATGACTGACCTGGGGAAGATGAGATATTTTCTGGGAGTAGAAGTAATACAAAGTGAGAATGGCATCTTTATTTGCCAACAGAAGTATGCAGGAGAAGTGTTGGACAAGTTTAAATTAAAGGAATGCAATCCTGTGCATGTTCCTATTGCACCTGGTACAAAATTGACCAAGGCTGGAGATGGATACCTAGTAGATACTACTGAATACAAGAGGCTGATTGGGAGTCTTCTGTACCTCACTGCAACCAGACCTGATCTCATGTTTGCAGTTTGCTTGCTGAGCAGGTTTATGGAGACACCAACTCGTCAGCATATGCTAGCAGGGAAGAGAGTGTTGAGGTATTTGAAAGGAACTCTGAAGCATGGTATTATGTATCACAGGAACACTGGGGAGGACTGTTTGTATGGCTACACAGATAGTGATTATGCTGGGGACATTGATAGCAGGAAAAGCACAAGTGGGTATCTGTTCTTTATGGCTGGAGGAGCTGTCTCTTGGGCATCTAAAAAGCAGCCTGTGGTGACTTTGTCAACCACTGAGGCAGAATTTGTTGCAGCAGCCTATTGTGCAACTCAATGTGTGTGGCTGAGAAGAGTAATAAGTGATCTGGGTTGGCAGGAGTGTGTTAATGGGACCACAGTCATACTGTGTGATAATAGCTCAACTATCAAACTGTCTAAGAACCCTGTGTTCCATGGTCGAAGCAAACACATAGATGTTAGGTTTCATTTTCTCAGGGATCTGACAAAAGATGGTATTGTGGAGTTGAGGTACTGTGGAACTCATGACCAAGTGGCTGATATTATGACAAAGGCATTGAAGATAGAGACATTTCTCAAGCTAAGGAACAAACTGGGGATCTGTGATTTGGATGAAGCAGTGTAGCTGTGAGAAGCAAAGAAGGCTGAAATGAACTGAAGCCAAAACCATATGGGCTTCAGTTCAGGGGAGGATATGTTGGACTGAATCTCCACTGTCAACAAATCCTAGCTGCACAAGGATTGGAGGGGCGCCAAGAATTAAGTAAGGTTAAATTAAGTGAGTCTGTGAAATAAGGGAAACTGTGTCGTTTGCAGGATTACCAAGTCAGTACCTTATGTTTGAGTAATTGTCAGTCTAAGAGTAGTAATTAGCAGTTTGGTAATCTGTGTGTCGAGTTGATGTTTAGCAGTTCATGAATCCTCAGTTTCAGGGTAGTGGGGAATGGTAGCAGCCAACTGTCGTGGCTTGCACCTCATGTATATATTTAGCAGTTGCTCATTCAATAAGAACTGTCAGATTGCAGCATAGAGGTAGTTTACAGGAAATACAAACAAACACAATGCCCCATGCATCCATCCAAACCCAAAGACAGCAAACAAGAAAATGCACTTACATATGCCAAATTCCCAGCACGATTCAATTTCTTTCAAGTTATTGACCATGGGATGCTCAGCATCATTGTATCAGGTATTAGAGCTAAATTAAGCTTAGCTGGAGCGAAGCCTGGAACTCCAAGCTTACCCTTCAGCTCATAGGCGAACTACCAGACAGGCCAACGATGCTAATGATTGTCATCATTCATATATTCAACATGCATAATGATAAAAAGAATTTCAGCATAAGTTTTGTACTGAATGCATGTATTCTGCACTACCTCAATTCCCTAAGGCACCAGTCACTAGATCTACTAGAGCTGAATTGCAGTAAACAGGAACGAACTGTAAGCCAGGGGAATCGAAGCTTACCTTAGCTGAATCTAACCAGATCCGACGATGATGTTATTGATCGGGATGAAGATGAGCTTGACGAAGAACCCTACGAATCCCATCACCACGAAACCAATCGCCGTTCGCACTGCCACCTTCGAGAATTCTGCGACCACCAAAAACGAAATCGGTAAATAAATCGGGCCATGGCGATAGGTGTCCGCCGCCGGCTCCAGATCTCGTCAAAAGTGACAGTTTGGAAAAGGAAGAATTGGGGAAAGATTTCTTTTACCTTTCCTATCGGGCTTGTGGCAACGCTTCACGAGTCGGACGCTGTCCTTGGCGAACTCCCTCAAAGGATCGAAGACGTTGTCAATGGCGTCCATCTCTGATTTTTCTCGATCTACTCTCTCGCTCTCTCTATTTCTCACGCGACGACGGGAAGACTAGTTGAGCTGATATGTTCGCTCTGGGACGCGTATTTATCAAGAGGTCATCACACAAATGGTCACTAAATTTTGTACTCTCTAAACAACTGATCACTGAACTCTTTACTTCTAACAAATTTGTCGCTACAGCCTACAAAGTACAATATGAATTCTCTAATATAACTCATATTTTTATTTATGTTAGCCTAATCATCTAACTTATAAAATATATTACCTAATAGCTTAACAAACCAATCAAACGAATAACAAATGACTAACATAAATATATAATACGAATTGAGCTTACGTGAATGTCTCAATTAAACTTAAATTTGATAAAAATTAAACTTGTTTCTCGATCCAATTTTAAGATGCATTGTCCAACTCCAATTTGTTCCTTTTCATGTCAAATGTATATTACCCCTAGCTTGGCTATGGGTGGATTGCAAAGTCATCCGGCTCCGCAAGGGGATGCTGGTCTTGTCTGTCGGTGGAATGGGGCGACGAAATCAGGCTCCCACTCTGCGGGGGCATGGTGCTCAGTTCAGAGGGTGGGGTCCTGAGGGCTGCAGGGGTTCAGTTCTCAGTTATTGATGATCCGGTGATTGGTGAAGTCCTGGCGCTTCGGGAGGCTGTGAAGTGGTGTTTAGCTCAAGGGTTTAGTATGATTCGCTTTGAGGGGGATGCCAAGGTAATTATCGATAAAATTCGGCGGAGGGAAGTAAATGATAGTAGGATGGGGGCTGTTCTTAGCGAGGTAGTGCAAATTTGTGCCCTCCATCCTGGTTTGAGTATTCGATTTGTAGGTCGGCGTAGTAATAGGGTAGCCCACTTGGTGGCTAGAAAGGCCTTTTTGATGTACCCGACTGCTTGTCGTGCTGTTGATTTTCGGGCCTGGCTGAGTTTCAGGATGTAACTATCTTTTTCTTTTGATTAATATATATCTTTTGTTAAAAAAAAAGTATATTACAAAGCCTATATAACCTTTCTTTAGTCTTTAATTTGGGTAAGTTGACACCTTGGCTTGACCCACTCGTCCAAAAAAACTTGATTATATCATTATAAACTTCCGTAGCTAATTTGTTAGAGACTCAAACTTTAGTGACCATTTATGTAGCAGATCTTTTTATTCATTTGCTTTCCGTTCCCATTCGGATACTAGTGCCATTCAAGTTTGAGCAACCACGTCATCTGATAAGACATTAGCATCCTTCTTCAGTATAAAGAATTACAAAACGTGCCAGTTGCCACAGTGTAGTGGTGAATTAATAAGCTCAATACAACAAGGAGATAGCAGAGAGTTCAGCCAGTGGCGCAGTGTGGGAAAGGAATGAAAGCTTTAATGAAGCTATGCCCATGTAATACTAATACGATATGAGCTACTACCCATCATAAGGTTGTATGAACCACAAAATGCTGGGAGACCCTCTATGGTGGTGGGGTTGAATCCTCCGGCTTCTTGGTATTGCGCTGATGAACAGATCGAGGGACGAATGTGAGTCCACGAGGGTTGCGTCGACCAAATGATACTGAAGAAGGGGTGGAACCGGTGGTCAGGTTGGAGAGTGCTGAAGTTAGGCTGTCGACGCTGGCTTCACCTTCCACGTCCATTTTTTGACTCGTCGTTCCTTCCTCCTCTTCCTCAGTCTCCTCGCGTCTATCTGTCGTAGCAGCTTGTTTGCGGTGGATCTTCTTCTCCCTAGCTTTCTTGGACGGGTGATGAGCTGCCTTGTTCTTGAAGAAGTCGTATGAAGTTGGGAAGTTATGCTTGTCGACCAAATGCCGCTGCCTGCTCTTGTAGCTCTTGAACTTCAACCCACAGCCTTCCACCAAGCATTCATACTGTGGCAGAAAACCACAATGATATCAAACATTGAACAGCAATGTAAGCAAATATCAGACCCATTATGGCCAGCACGAAGATACGCATTTAAGCTAGGAATGCTCAGGCAAGGAGAGATAGATCTACCATGGGATAACCACGAGCAACTTTAGCCTGGAAGAAGGAATCATGTGCTTCGGATATATGTATGCTGAGTAGGCGAGAAGTTGGGTAGACTTTGTAGCATACTGAACAGGCTGCAGCGTGCTGCGAGTTATAGTGGTTTTCAAAGTTCTCCAGAGATGTCAAACGTGCCCGACAGCCAACAATGGGACAGAAAAGATCCCTGCTCAGAAGCAGATTTTGAGTTTAAAGAAGATGTTAGCACCAAACACAGACACACCATCAATCTACACTTGAAATTTGACACATATGAAAGATAAGGCAGTGCTTTTGGGAACTCTCGGGTTCAGGCATGTCGAAACAGCTTAATCGATTCATTGCATTACAAAAATTCAAAGCATCAGAAGGTCTGTTTCGGCCAGCCTAAGAAAGAACCACATTCATCGTTACAACATCAGCGACTGTAATGTATCAGCAAACCTAAGAGATTAACATATCCATCTGCGAATCAAAGCCATCCGATTATCCCTAATTAAGAAATCGCTATAAGGATCTTTTTTCAAAACTACCAGAACAACAGGAAATGGATCACATCTCTTAATTAGGGCACATACTTGCAGTCTTCATCCAGCAGACGCCATAGTTGATGCTTCTCTTCCTCACCTAAATCCAGCGCAATCTGCAAAAATGGAAGGACACAGCTGAAAGCTCAACCATAGCCTCAATCCCAAACTCAAAATCAATTCCATATCCACCGCAGAAAACACGATTTCCCTCCATTGCATGAGATACAAAAACAGCCAGATCAATTGAACAGAAACTTCGATCATTTTCCAAAATGTGCCACTATCTTAACGAAATCACACAGTAAAAAATTCCGAACCCTTTCAATTTGCGCCTAGAATGATCCATGAACAAAGAAAATCCGAGAAGATTTGTGTGTTGCGAACCTGTTTGGCGAGAAGCTCGCGCTCAATGTTGCCAGATTCGAAGAAAGGAGACTCCGGCGCGAAGCGACGGCGGACTGGATTCCAGCACGGGAAGCCAGAGTCGGCCTTCGGATCAACGTCGAGTACCATCATGGCCATGGCGAATGTCCTCTCCGGCAGTCAATAGAAATATGGGGAAGAATGGATCGTCGTCGGATTCTTTTGCAGCTCCGTAGATGGAATTTCAAACGGGACGATGAGCGAATTCTTCTGGATTTGTGTTGTCTTGGGTGATGACTGATGAGAAGAAGAAAAAAACTGCATTTGTTATTCTTCTACGACCTGTTAACTTTACCGTTACTACGTCCCTTTTTTGGGCCTGACTTTTGGGCCTAAAGGCCCTAAACCCATATGAATTTTGCGCTGGAAATATTGATGAGTAATCGCTCAATGGATTATATTATATGAAAAAAGAAGTTATTGGACTGTCCTATCTGAAATGGAATAGATGTAACTATGTACTGACATCTTGCTCTAGAGTAGAGGTGTTTGTTTTAGGCTGTAGGGTTCCCTTCCCATTCATGACTCATAAAATATGGTACAAATGGAAAACAAAGATTGATTTGAGAAGGCCTGTTGCACATGTGAATCTGTTACATATTGCCAACTAGGGATAGCTTTTGAGCAAGTATATTGATGCAAGGATGAATGCACTGAACATGGATTCTTTGTGGAACACAAGTGTCAAATTTTGTTGGGTAAATACAATATATTAGCCATAACTATTAAGTGACGGGGAATTATAGCCACAACTATCGAAATACAAATTATTAGCCATAACTATTGTTGCGGGTCAAGATTTGGCTAACAGTCGTTACTGTTTTCAAATTTTTAACGGAGAAGGCCATGTCAGCATTAGTAAAAAATATTATATGATGACTGCCACGTGGGAGCCAGCTCAGCATCGTAAAAATTTAGTCATCATTACTAACAGAACTGTTAACGAAAAGTTAGCGGTTGGCTAATAATTTGTATTTCGATAGTTGTGGCTATAATTCCCCGCTGCTTAATAGTTATGGCTAATATATTGTCTTTGCCCAATTTTGTTTAAGAGTAGGTAAGGGTATTGATTCTCACTAAACATTTTTTTTTTGCTTCAAATATGTTTTTTTTATGTGAACCTGACCGAATATCATTAAGCAACTTCAAACTGGATCATTTATGCCATATTAACTAGTTGAAGTCGATTATATTTAACAGTATAACAGACGGATATAAGTTTGAAATTCGGCAAGGGAGTGGACAATCTACTTCGCTCGTTTAGAGGAAAATGACCAAAACACAACTAGATCTTAAATGTTTCATGTGTTGTCTGCTTCATCTGTCGTTCTCATTAATTACTTTTTGTTCATAGAGGATCCCTAATGTCAATCTGAGCAGATTTCTTTTTCTTCATCATTGGAATTATAAACGTACAATCATTATCGATTATTAAAGAAGGAATCCACGATCCAATGTTTCCTTGATACCATAGCAAATCACTCAAGCTTCTTCTTCCTCTGTTAGGAAGATAACAAAGACAAAAAATGTTATACTCTATAGAAAGGAAACTAGTATGGTGCAACCAGATTCCAACATATGTAACGTGTTGGTTGTTAATGTATCCTTAACTAGTGAAGAATTTTCTGATTGTTTCATGTACTTTCAAAGTTGTGACTTTTGGGGTTAGTTATTTGGTCGTTGTCATTTGTATGTCACAAGCAAACCAATTGGCAGGGTGGTGACATTATTCCAAACCTAATCTCATCTAGAAAAATAGTAAAATACCAACAAATGAAGAAGAAAAAGAGCTTATTAAATAAAAAACAATACAAAATGCCAAAATGGCTTAGGGAATTTGACTTGTAATAAATAAACCTACCCTAGCTAAAAACAAGATCACTCGGCTCTATTACATTAATAGTCACATTTCCTTTCTGTTTCTATTTTTCTTTCTTATAACATCTTAATTTTTATTAGTTATGGCTCATTTTAATCTAGCCACATGGCTCTCAATGCACAGCCCAGAAGATTTTTTTGTCATTTCTTTTTTGCCTGTGGGAAGTTGCTTGAAGATATCGAGGAGACTATCAGAACTTGGATCTGAATGGATTCCATATGTTCCAAATTGGTGATCTCTTAATTCATTAATGGGGGAAATTGCTTACTGGAGGGGACAAAGGTCACAATTCACAAACATAATTAAATAATGAAAAAAAGTATAAGGATGGTCACCACTTAATATTCATTTTCATGATAATTAGGATGAATGTGGCTCCATATAATCGCATTCTTAATCTTTAGTAGTTGATTGAAAAAAATTATAATTAATCAGTGTAGCATATGTTTATCAACCAGACAACCATGAAACTTTTATAAATAACTTAAACTTATTTTTATGTTGGTCTTGTGTTAGTGTGCTCCTTTCAACAATTGCGTATAATGTTTTCTTCTGAATTCTTGACTATTTACAATAAGCAAATGACAATTCTCTATTTGTAGGATTATTCCTTTCATTAAAAAATAAGTAAATTCCAACATCCATTTAGATTTAGTAAGGAAAAAGTACATTTTATAACTTTTTATTTGCTTCTCTTCTTTCTGTACTACAATTTCTCATCTCCATGGTTTATTAATTTTTTTTTTATCATCTCTATGGGGGAAAAGAACCCATTATCAAAGGCAAGTGGGGAAAATGGAGGCTGATTAGCCAAGCCAGACCTAGTCACCATATTAATCCTTCTTTTAATTTCCCCTCTCCCTCCATTTCATCTATATATATGTCTACTCTCTAGATGACCATTGGAAACCAAAAGGAAAGAAGAAGAAGAAGAAGAAGAAGAAGCGTCCCGAAGGAACAAGCAGTCAAAGTCCAGAATGGGATATTCAAGAAGTACTTCCTTCAATGGTAACAGTACGACGGCGCCGGCCAGCATTACGATGATCGCTGTGCTGATCATCGCCGTCGGCATATCATCGGCGGCGGGACAAGGACTGCTGAGGGAGAACTTCTACGCCGGGAGCTGCCCGAACGTGGAGGCCATCGTTCAGCAGGCGGTGGCGACCAAAGCCAGCCAGCAGTTCACCACCATCCCCGCCACTCTCCGCCTCTTCTTCCATGACTGCTTCGTCACCGTAAGTGTTTTGTCAAAGACAAGTCTATGCATGTTGTTGTATTGTTGTTTATTGAGACGAAAAGACTATTTTTTAACTTAACGACAGCTAGCCTGCCTAAATATATAGCTAGTCTGGAGAAGGTTAGCAAAATGGCTATTTTTCAGTCTTCATTTCAGAACTTATATCGGAATTCATTATTAGCTAGTAGTTTTTTTTTTTTTTTTTTTTGTGATGATTAGCATGTGCATACAAATTCGAAATTACATTGAGTTATTAAGTTATTTTGACAAATATGGACTCAATATGATGGAATATCTTAATGTTAAAATGAATTACAGATCAATTGCAGGTAGTTTGAGCAAAGTTTTAGTCTTGGATTCAATAATTGTTAATTGGTGAAACATAGGCATCATTTTGGAATTCCAATGGCAAGAACAATAGGGATTTATTTGATTGGTGTTGGAACTTGGAATGGTCCACCCTTGAACCCAATTGGGGATCTTAAGAACTTGATAAGGTTGTTGACTTGAGAACCTTGATTAGGTCCAAAACAGATCACCTAATTCAATAACTATGATGCAATCTAACTGGTCATAGCAAAAATTAAGGTCCAGAACCGTGATAAATATATAATCAAATCATACATTCTTGTTTCTTATTTCCTATATGATTAAATAGATACGACCAACCAATCTGATTTTACCAACATGGCCATAACTCATTTACTTAGCAGCTTATATTTTGGGGTTGTTGTAAATTGTAATGGCTTATTAATTAACTAATCCCCTTTGGTTCACAGGGCTGCGATGCGTCAGTAATGGTGGCGTCACCAAATGGAGATGCGGAGAAAGATGCTTCCGACAACCTTTCCCTCGCCGGTGATGGTTTCGACACAATTGTAAGATCAAAAACTGCTGTAGAAGCCATATGTCCCGGAGTTGTCTCTTGTGCAGACATCATGGCCATTGCCGCTCGTGACGTTGTAGCATTGGTAAATTGCCCTTTCACTTCTCTTTTATACTTCTACGCAGACTCAAATCTTTGAACTACACCAACTTTAACAAAGAAGAACACTTTCAGGCTGGAGGCCCATCATTTGCAGTGGAACTGGGGCGAAGGGATGGCATGGTTTCCAATGCATCCCTCGTGGCCGGAAACCTGCCGGAGCCCAACATGACCTTGCCTGAGCTCAATGCCATCTTCGCCAGGCACAATCTCACCCAACTCGACATGATCGCGCTGTCCGGTGCTCACACGCTCGGCTTCTCCCACTGCGACCGCTTTGCCAACCGCCTCTACTCATTTTCCAAAACATCCACCGTGGATCCTTCCTTGAACGCAACTTATGCTCGGCAGCTTATGAACGCATGCCCTCAAAACGTGGATCCTAGCATTGCCATCGACATGGATCCCACCACGCCACGGGCGTTCGACAATGTCTACTACCAGAATCTGGTTGAAGGCATGGGTTTGTTCACTTCGGACGAGGTGTTGTACTCTAATCCGAGGTCTCAGCCAACTGTGCTGGATTTTGCGAGGAATGCTGGCGATTTCAATGGAGCTTTTTCATTTGCGATGAGGAAGTTGGGTCGAGTCGGGGTGAAGACCGGGAGCCAAGGGAGTATTAGGAGTGACTGCACAAACATAAACTCTTGAGAAGTAGAACAAAGTGCTTCTCCAAATGGTGCAATAAGAAAGAGGAAAATTCATGATTGTTAGATTTCTCTCATGGAGAGATGTATAGAGATTTATAGATATATATACACATACATCGAAACAATCAAATTATGGAATAAGAAGACAATAAATTACTGACTTGTTATTGCCAATCTGCTTGAAGTACACTAAAAAAAGGGAGAACAAATTAATGCAAGGCACTCTACCCCTAACAAAAGAAAGAAGTTGCTTTTTTTTTACAATGAGAATTTGGATTACTTAACCACCCATCAAAATAAATATAAATTGATGAGACATGAGTAAATGTGCATCAAATTTGACATTATGCAGGAAAAAATTACAAAGTGGCTGCTGTAGAAATACGAAAAAGTTTGAATGAAGGGCATAGCTCGAAGATCACAGCTTTTACTTGAGAATATCTCTTGAAAGATTTCATCTTTTCTCCTAGAACATGCATCTTCATATTTCCTGGAACTCCTTTGCTCCAAGTATACTTACACTGCATTTCTGATATTGAATAAGTCCATAAAGAGTATTCAGGCCTAATTTATGTCCTGGAATTTTCGTAGAGATGTCAGTAGACGTCCTTGGCACAATACACAAGGATAAAGTTTAAGATAGTTGCAATGACATTGAATTCTGACATGACCATGCAAGTGAGGAAGTAGTACAGAGAGCTTTCACACATGCAAGTGAGGATAAAATAATTATACTAGGGGTTAAGGAACACTTGATTTAATTATACTAGGTGTCATATTTGCTTATCATTATCATAACCGTAGTATAATTAAGGAGACAGGCCTTGAGTCTATTGGGCTTCACCCGCATAATCTCTAAGGTTCGGCTCCCCGGCGCATCATTTTAACGGGCCTATTTTGTTGGATTTTCCCGGCCTAATATATTGTGTGGCGGCCCAAATAAAAAACCCCGTCAGATCCCATCGAACGATCCAGAACGAACCCAAATCTCCCGCCATATATAAATCCCTAACCTTCTGCCATTCTGCCGTCACGCCGCTGCCGCCACCGAACAGCTGCGATACCAATCGACACAAAGAACCGAGAAATCCCATCCGCCCGAAGAGAGCTCGCCGGAGAGATGGATCCAGATACAGTGGCGAAGGCGTTCGTCGAACACTACTACTCGACCTTCGACACGAATCGGGCCGGGCTCGTCGGGTTGTACCAGGATGGTTCCATGTTGACGTTCGAGGGGCAGAAGATTCAGGGGGCGCAGAACATCGCCGCCAAGCTCACAAGCCTTCCTTTCGAGCAGTGCAAGCACTCCATCACCACCGTCGATTGCCAGCCTTCGGGACCCGCTGGCGGGATGGTCGTGTTTGTCAGCGGGAATCTGCAATTGGCAGGAGAGCAGCACCCGCTCAAGTTCAGTCAGGTAGTCTGAGTCTCTCGTCGAACTGCTTGCCTGCTCCTAATTGAAGCCTCGTTTTTTCCTTTTTCTCATTTGGGATTGTTTGTTCTTCGAATCGCTGCTTGTATTGGACTATTAGTATGGTTGCTTGTATGATCTGGCAGTGCTGTTAACAGTATAGAGTCTGAGAATAACCAAGATACCTAACTTATTTCAGCAAGTGCGATTTGGTTTATTAGATGGAAAGAATGGAACTTTCACCCTTAGAGCTCTAGTTTCCCTTCCAGAAGAAAAGGGTCGATTCCTCAATGGTTGCATCATGGGGGAATGCGGCTACTTTGGACATAGTGGTATACTTGAGAGAAAAATGCTGAAGATTTGGAGTACTGATCTCAATGGATTCAAAGTAGGGAAGTGGAAGCTTTTGAATATGTTTGCTAGGATATTCCTAGATGAGCTGGTCTGTTCATTAGAGATTTATGACAGCTGATCAATTGCTGGTCAGTGATGGCCACATTATGCATAGCCTCTATGCACGCTGCATTGCATATGTCTACTTGATTCTGGAGCGTGGTGGTGGTACAATGTTAAGATTGTAAAGATTGAGCACTAATAAGTAGACTAGGCTATTTCTAGTTATGAACAACTCTCACATAACCTACTTTTCTTGCCTGTTTATAAAATTATCCTATGGGTGAGAAGCTATGATTATCTTGAACAAAATGTAACATCTGGTTAACAAACTATGATTATCTCGGGAGCATGATAGCTACAAGATAGAAAGGTGATGTATGCTTTAGTCTCATAGAACCTCTGGCAGTTTGTCATTACTTCATTGGCATTCTGCAAATTGCTACATTCTTTTTGACGTCGATTTCAATGGAACTGCTTAGTATGACTCATGTATATGCAATTGGATCGAATAATGTGGCTATTGTTTTCCCATTTCTTGTTCGAAGTTGGAACATGAAACATCCTACCAGAGTTCCTGCTTTATTTCCATCTGTTAACTGTTTGTGAACGTGTCCTGCTGCAGATGTTTCACTTGATGCCAACTCAAGGAAGTTTCTTTGTGTTCAACGATATCTTCCGATTGAACTACGCATGAAGACAATGAAGATCCCTTTTTGGAGAAACCAAAGACTAGATTCCTGTTATTATGGATTGTGGTCATCTTTTGCTTTGAAGACAAGAGAATGGTGTATTTTGCTTCCGTTTCTGCCTTCAAATGTTGTTTTTGTTTAATTTTCAATCCACCATGGAACTCTAGCTGGATTGGATTTTGGTATGCAGATTTGATGATAGAATTGTAAAATCCATTGAACTACCCCCTCTGAAACGGTTGGCTTTTAAGCGGGAAGAGTAGATGTACGTGGAATCTTGTTTTCTTCTTGTTCTACTTGTGGAGAGTGGCTGAATGGGTTTCTTTATTCTCCCTTTTGTCTTCCCTTGTGTAATTGTCCAATCCATGTTCCTAATTTAAAATACTTTTTGTGTGAATATTTTGCAGCAATGATGGTAGATGGCATGCATACAAGCAATGCATATCAAGAGTTACGAATATAATGATTAGCCATGACATTTGTATAACGAGTCAAGATCATTTGAGTGTCAAATTTACTATAAATTATGTGACTCGAGTTTGTATTCCTGCTTTGTTATATATGTGACTCGAGTTTGATCTCCGACAATAATAAATTATGTTTTTTATACAAAATAACTATAATTATACAAACTGATAACCGAACTCTAAAACAGAGAAGAAATTCATACTCACTTTTTGCTACGGAGGTGGAGTAATCATGGAGATGATCTAGAGATGGAGGAATGGTACAATAGGATTTTCATGTCATAAGCAAAGAGAAAGAAAAGATACTTTGATTGCTCCTTTCTACAGACTGCCAACGACAAAGGAAACAGTTCCACAAATTTTCCTTTTCCCTATCCTATCTCATTCTCCATCTTTTTTCTTAAAGCAAGGGGTGATTCATTAATAACATTGGTTGGAACACAAGATAATCATGTAATTAGTAAAATATAAAAACTGAGCATGCAACCAAAAGGAAGATTGAGATGCAATTGATGAAAGGTCTAGTCAAGTTTTCTCTTTGATTTATATTTCATTTTTAGTATCATTGTTGTCCGCAACTGTTTTAAATACCTTCGGATTACAAATCTTTTCGATAAAACAACATCCTCCTTCCCTTTTTACTCTTCTATCTTTATCAGCATTTCATTAACATTATGAAGTTTGGACCCATAGTAGTGCATGTGCTTTTGAGCATTTCATAAGGTGGTACAGAAAAAAAGTATGAAACACAATTGCTTGATGCCCTCACCTTTCTTTCCTCTTTTCCCCTTTCCCTAACCTTCAATCTTTGTCTCGTCTCTTATGAGTCTCATCATCATCCTCTAATAAATCAAACTTTCTCAGCCCATTTATAAACCCCCACATAACTTCATCCTAGAGAAAGTGAACAGAGGGCAACTCAATACCAGAAGAAGAAGGAAACAAGAAAATTCTACAAAAGGAAAGGCAAAGGGAATGGAAAAAATGATAGACTGGGGGCCAGTGTTCATTGCAGTGATGCTGTTCATAATCCTAACACCAGGCTTGCTGGTCCAGCTCCCCGGCAATGCCAGATATGTGGAGTTCAGCAACTTCCAAACCAGTGGGGCTTCAGTTCTGGTTCATGCCATTCTTTACTTCTGTTTTATGTGCATTTTCTTGCTGGCAGCTAGTATCCATATGTATGTAGGAGCTTGATCATTTGGTTAAGCTAAGCACTTCCCATTAATGTTGGTTTTGGTATTGTTTTGGCTTCCTTCATTACAGATTGGTATGGGGAAAGAATGAGAACCCCTTTCTCTCAATTGGTATTTTCTAATGTGTTTTCTTTTCGTTTGGTGCAAGTTAAACTTTTTGTTTGTATACAAGAATTTAGAGTTGTAAGGTAAAAAGAATGATGCTCTTGATTGTAACTCTTGAATTTAGTGTGAAGTGTGTACATTTGGTGGTTGTGAAGGTAATTGTTTCAATCTTTGCCTATTATGGTATCAATTCATTTCAATCCTATAGGATTTTATGCTAGATCGACATATGTTGTTGCCTATTATGGTGTCTATTCATTTCAATCCTACAGAGATTTTATAATAGGTTGCACTCCCACAAAGTAAGAAGGAGAAGACGAATATGATCAAGAAAAAGAACCAAATCCAGATCAATCAATGCTTGAATTCTAATTAAAAAGCTCCATGAATGATCATTTCATTTGAGCGTGTAAAAGCTTGTCAATTGTTCCATCAGTGGAACTCTGTGCTATATAAGTTAGAATTATGAGGATTGAACTTGGATCAAATTCTATTGAGAAACATAATTTTAAGAATTTATCCAGTACTGCTAGTCTACTAATCAAATCCGCAAAAGATTGTTCCGTTTGCTTGACAAGAGTTACAGGACATAAACCTACAAGGCATAAAGAGCATAGAAATAACACCAGTATAAGAATCCAAAATCATCCAACCAAATCAAGGGGAGTTGGAATTCTTCTTCTGTGAATTACTACTAACTTAGGCATAGAGGTGAGCATTGAGAACAGCGAGGAACAAGATGAGCAGCAGACCATAGATGAGCCAGTGAACAAACATGGAAGGGAAACTTGTCTTCATGTTCATGAAATCCACTGGCCTATGCTTCCCAGGGATCTGAAGCAGCAACCCAGGTTGTAGGAATGCAAACAAAGCTGCTGCTATAAGAGGTGCTGCCCAGTCATGCATCTTTTAAACCTCTGAAGAGTTGAAGAACCAATAGAAGAAAGAAGTATGGAAGTAGAAGAGAGGGCAAACTAAAGATGAAGAATGAAAGACTATAGACTTTACTTGTAAGGACTTGCCCTTTTATTGGGTTGGTGCTCTTTCCAAATAGAAGCACTGATTGAGGGCAACAAGCCAATAGAACCATAAGAAATTGGGGAATGGAATATGATTCCCCATGAAACAAGGGATTGAATTTGTTCCATTTTGACACTTTTTATCATGTGCTTAGAGGCAAAAGGGCATATTTCTCCCCAATTCTTTGATTTCCTAATTCATTTCCTAACCCATTCTTGGCCCCCTTGAGATAATCAATGTTAGGGAGACATCAGACATGCAATGTGTGTATCAATATGGCTGGTCAGTTTATACTGTAATGGCTACATCATCACCTTCCATTATTTCAATATCATTGAAGTCAAAAACTTTGCTATATTAGTAGGCCACCCAACTGCTGCTGCTTATGAGTGCTAAGCTGTGGTGGCATTCTTTCTATTTGTTGATTGTAGTATGCTGTTCTTTCATCCTTTGAATTACATTTGTTTAAAGACAGGTTTATCTGACACCTTTTTCCATAGTTTCAACTATTGCATCACCCAACAACACATCATCCAAATGTAATTTGAAAGATAATGTTGTGGCTGATCATTTGTCTCATTTTCTACAGATTTGGTTGACATATTTTCCTGATAATGAATCTGAGCAAATAATTTTAGCGTACTAGGATGCCTTTCCCTGTGTTTTGTAAGCATTAATTTAGGATGATCGTGTTGATTAATGATTATCTAACAAGATGGAAGGTTATTGGCAAATGGCAATATGACTTTACATTGCTCATTTACCTACTTAATGAACAACTTAACAAAAAAAAAAGAGGCAACCTCCATTGTGGGTTGGGTTTTATGGCGATTGGCGAGAAGAAGAAAGCTGCTGGCTTGGTCTCTTGTTGGTCTGTGGACCACTAACAATTTCTGGCCTGGAATTTCTACATGGCTTAGATGTAGGGCTGGGAATCCAGACCAAATCGTATGGGAAATCGCGGTCTAGACCGTATCGTATAGTTTGGTCTGGACCGTGAGATCAGAACTATGGTCTGGTCTGGTTTGCGGTCTCCTCCTTTAGTGCGTGGTCTGAAGTGGTCTGGACCGCGGTCTACCGCAGTAAACCGTAACAGACCGCGACACACTACCTACTACCTTGGAAAAAATAACACTAAATTGAACCTCCATATGTGTATTTGAAGAACAAAGTTAGTTGATTCTTCATCTAGTTGAGAGCCAACAAATTGCAAAATGGTCGCTTATATGTTATCTCCTTATCAAAGTACCACACAAAAATTAGAAAGACTCATAAATAATATTCACAGATAATGTCTAGACTATGGAGTCGATAAAAATTAAACACTACAAAAAAATTCGTTCACCTTGATGAGATAAGGAAAATCCTTGAGAGATATGCGACCATCTTAGTGGTTCGAAATTACTTCGACGTCATAAAAAAGGTTATCAACTGGGAGAACCTTCAGATCACTCGAGAGAGGAGAGAAGTCGTAGCACAAAGAGGAATAGGGAAATAAGGCTACTTGAAAATTGAAAAAACCCACTTCTATCCTCATATTTCTTCTCATTTAATACGATCACAATTTTTTTGTTTCACTAGCATATTGGTCACTAGATTTTTTTATAGATACCGGTGAAGGGTTGGAGGGCGAACAAGAGTTAATTTTTTAACATGGTCTGTCTGGTCCAGACCATACCGGACCGCACCGCACAAGTGTGGTCTGGTCTGGACCGTATAGTATATGGTCTGGTCCACGGTCTGTGTTCCAACCTCTCGATCTGGACCACAGACCGTATCTATGGTCTGATCTGGACCGGACCGCGCAGTTTCCCACCCCTACTTAGATGGGTTCCTCATCACTAGGGACTTTTGCTTTCAAGATGAGATAAAAACTACACCTACTTATCTCCCAATGGTCTTAGCCTGCTAACATTGAAATATCACACCCTATATGACGATTTGATTAGTAAATGCGTTAATATACAACAAGTTATACGCCGAATTCACTACTTTTATAATTTAGTTATTAAACTCAACTTTGATGACATATATAACATTTATGTTGGTAATTTGATGGTAGAAAGACTCCCGTCAGCCAAACAAATTTTTTTTTATACCTTCGTTAAATCAAAAGTAACGACATGATGAATTGTTTTTCTATATAAAAAGTATTTGGTAATTTAATTGTGCATAAATAAATCTAAGAGAACCCAATGTGACACATAAATATTTTAATGATAATTTTTTATATTTAAACCAGATCCTTTGCTTCATCTTTGCTATAATGAGAGCATAAGCAAGCTATTAAGCAAGTTAACCAATAATTAACCACAGTCCACAGAACAAATTTGGGGGGAAATCTCCTCGCTAGTGCTTCCACGACATATTCGCTTTTCTAGTGTCTAATTCAAAGGAATCCCCTTCTCATTTTTCTCCTGACTTCCATCCTTATCAACTGACAGTTACTCGCCGCTTCATTCTTAACTCCGAAGCTAAACCTCCTTTGCCTCTTCTTCTCTTTGCTGCATCAGTTCTTCCTCTATCTCCGTTTCATTCATTTCCAAGCCTTTTCCTTTCCTCTGCAATGACTGACTGGGGCCCGATCTTGATAGGAGTAGTCCTATTCGTGCTACTCACACCAGGGCTTCTCTTCCAGCTACCAGGAAACAACAGGCAGCTCGAGTTTGGGAGCATGAAGACCAATGGCAAATCGATCGCCGTTCACACTCTCATCTTCTTCACTCTGTATGCTATCTTTACCATGGCTGTTCATGTCCACATCTATACTGGTTGACACAAATCTGGCCATCTGGGGTTCTGGGTTTTGAGTAAAGATCTGTGCTTTCCTCTCTTTTTTGGGGTATGATTATTGATAAATTTGTTGGGGGTAGAAAAAAGTTGAAAAGGGTGCTGTCTTTAGTTTCTTCTTATGTTGTTTGTAACCTCTAATTTATGGATGGATCGATACTTGATGAGTTGAATAAAGCAAATATGATGCAGAGATCTTTCTCACAGTTGTTTCTCCTTTTTCAGTTTCTGTATCAGAGTGTGTTCCCTTCACTTGCTCTTCGGGGTTGACTAAGGCTGAAGTTGGGATCTTTGAGTTACTTGGAACTATCATTTTTTGAAGTCAGTTTAGTTCAATTCTTGAGGAGTTCTTTCTGTTTATGTGGGGACAAATATAGCATAGAGAGAGCAATACTGAATCTGCAGCTATTTGAGAATTAGAGCCAAAACTTTTGCAGGCATATAGAGTGAAACAAGCACAAATTAAGATCTCTTAGGTTACTTTTATGGGTCATGAGATATGAGATCTGCTAGTGCCAAGGGCCATTAGCACCAAACTAAGTTAAAATATGAACATCTTAGATCCACATAGACCCAAAAATTTGCCGAGTGGGTAAAAAAGGCTGAGCATTGTTAAGAGAGGCAGAGAGGGAGGAGGAGAGGTAGTTGACATTATTCTTATATTCCAATTGTGAGGCCTGCCTTGTGAAAAAAACAAAAGGAAACTCAAAAGCCTGTTGCTTTGGACAATTGCTGTTGTCTGTGATAACTTAGCAGAAGATGAAGGAAGAAGAAGCCCATAACAAGAAACTGAAGAAGTAATAAAACCTCTTGTTACAGAGCAAAAGAGAAGGTAACTTGTTTTTTCTTAATCAATTAATATGTACATGGATGCCAATGGCGACTACCAAGATGGTGATGATGCAGAAGTAAATGATGGCATGGACCAGAATGGCTATCCCGCTCGTGCTGAGGTTCCCAAACTCCACCACCCTTGTTCTTGCAGGTAGCTGGAACAGGAGCCCGGGCGATAGCAGGATGAACAAAGCCACCGCCACAATCACTGGTCCCCAATCCGCACCCCCCATGTTGGGGATCCCTAATATGCCCGTCGTTGCTTGCTTCTCAATCAACCTTGCAGAAGAATGCTGCCTGAACCCTTCTAGTATATCTCACTCTCTCTATCACTTTCAGGAAAGATAATAATGAAATGTTTAAGAGGCAATGCTGTTTGTGTCAAATATGTAGGGAACTGAGGAGATGAACAGAAGTAATGCGCCTTGCTTGGTGATTAAGGAGGCTGTGGAGGGGATGCGAAACTTAGTGTGAAAGCAGAGTGAAAAACAATGGAGGGGGAAGGTATATGTGTGTATGTAGAGAGATTTTGTAGTGGGATTCCTTTAAAGCAGCAAAAGAGAAAAAGGATGAAACTTTAGTGTCTCAATTACACCAGATATTGTTAATTTGAAGACTGGCTTTCCTTCTTTGCTTCTTTGTGATTGCTTTAGGAATTGATGGAGAAGGGTGGCTTTATTAAAGGGAATATGGCTACAAAGAAAGAAAGAAGCCAGCTTGTGAATTGTGCAGAGCAGCAGAGGTGTAAAGTTCATCGTCCTGGAAGGTGTGAGTTTCTGAATTTGCTTCATTGTCTGGAATTTTGTAGGGATTTCTCAGTTTCCTCTTTGAATTTTGAATCTTTTTTCTGTGAGCAGGCTTAAAAGTCTTTAGCTTTGAAGGGTTCTAGTTCTTTTTGTATATGAAGGAGCCTGTTCTGTACTCCACTCCAATCCAATTGCTTCTCATTTTCAAGTCAAAACTAGTCTGTATATGTCTTTCTGCCTGTATCATTTCTAGTGCGACACCTCTCTCTTGTGCCTGGCAAGGCCACGTCGATGATGCACCTCCGATTCGTGACATGCAATACACCATATTCGTTTGTAAATGGTTTACAAATGTTAATAATGTACTTGAAATTTAGGGTTAGGGTGTTGTATACACATACTCTCTGTTTAACGGAGGAAGCTCAAATGCGACTTCTGCAATAGCCCAAAAGAAGAAGAGCTGAACGCCAATTGTAGTGGTCTTGGGTAGAAGCTTATGGAACCATTATATTGGACTTGGGCAAGCTGAAGCGGGCCTTGATTCCTTCCAAGGCTCCATTTTAAATTCCGGGTTAGAAGTGTCAAAATGGGTTGGGCTTTCGTTGATCCACTAAGAACATAGTTTGCACTTTGCAGTTGTAGTGGTACTGTAGGAAGTAGGAGGCTAGGAGCATAGCTCCAGAAACCAAACCATAGCCATGTTTGGACTGATGAATGGAAACAAAGAGACAAAACCAGCAACCTCGGTTATGTCATTCTTAATAGACATCGTTACTTGCATTCACATCTCGGTATGAAAGCTGGGCTTCGTACTTGTCGCATGCCAATAGAATAGAATAACATCTCTGGATGTGTATGGGGGGAGTTCAAGACACAACAAGAATCAAGAAGGAACAAACAGAAAAACAGATAACCAAGTGAATCAAAACTCTCAAACCACTCACCCAGAAAAATTTGTTGCTCATGTTAACTCGTGTTCCGAATAGATCAGGACCGACTATGATGTTGGCCTGATGCTAATTCCGATAAACGACCGACCGCTAGAATCGTGATAACTCATATTTTATCTATGAAAGCAGACCACGGATAGTAAAATATCTCCTCAAATAGATGAAGCTACTATATATTAAAGAAATGAAGAAACAGAACACCCTAAGCTGCTAATCATATCTTGACTCGGCCAAAGAAAAACAAATTTGCCGTCCTTCCTCTAACCTGAGTGTTTGATGTTGCCTTGGAATGCATCGCCATTCCCATGTATATGCCCCCTTTTGGCTTTTGCAGGCTTCTCCCTTATTCTCCCACTATTTGTACCTCAGTAGACAACCCATTCTTCTTCCTCCTCCTCTGTCTCTCGCTCTCTGTCAATCCGACAGTACTACATTTCATTTTTACAGGTGGGGTTTTTTGATCATTTGAGTCGGTCGAGGAAGAAAGAGATGGCGGATTGGGGGCCGGTGCTAATCGCGACGATCCTGTTCGTCATACTGACGCCAGGGCTGCTCTGCCAGATCCCAGGGAATGGCAAGGTGATCGGCCTCTGCAACTTTCAGACCAGCCCAATATCCATTTTGGTCCACACCATCATCTACTTTGGTCTCATCACCATCTTCCTCATCGCGGTGGGAGTCCACATCTACACTGGTTGATCGAAGCTGGTCTCCAAAAGGTAGAACTCAGGATGGATTGCAGTCCATTATTATTGAGACCAATCACTTGAGATCCTGCTGCACTTACATTTTGGGGGGAAGAGATACTGATGTTATTGTTATGCCTCCTTGAATTTCCTGCTTGCATTTCTAGTAGTTGGGTTTGGCCTTTTTTTCCCCTTGTTGTCTCTCCCATCCCTCCCTAGTCCCTTCCATGGCTTGTATCCTTATTTGTATAAGTATGTTGTGGTGTCATTCATGTGATTTTAGTGGAGGTTATTAGTATTGTTATGAGTAATTATTTGCACAAGCAACTATGGCAGGACGTTAAAATGAGCAAAATTTAGATGGATGAAATTATTAATATTGTTGCTGCATTGAGGAAATTTAGACAACTATTTTGTGTTCGTTTTGTCCAGTCCATCCAACGATAGATTGACAAATCCACCACATTAAAAGAGGATTGAAATGTTGAAAATTGCATAACTCCATCAATTTTTTAAATTCTCTATTTTATTCCAAACATTAAAATCAATTAAATTTTTTCACTTGATGAACTTAAACACAATTCAGCCGCTTAAATTTGTTTGTCTGAACGACCCTAAACCATTCCACAACCATAAAATTGGAAATAGTGACCAAATTTCCTCTCTGGAGCAGATGACGCTTACTGGCTGAAACTGGGCCGACCTGCTAGCGATGGGCTCTTACATGTTTTGAGCCCAACAGTAAAGACTTAAGGCGGCAGGTGCATATAAATTCCGTCAATATAAATTATCCATTATATTCCAAACATTAAAATCAATTAGATGTTTTCACTTGATGAACTTAAACACAATTCGGCCGCTTAAATTTGTTTGTCTAAATGAACTTAAACTATTCCACAATCATAAAATTGGAAATAGTGACCAAACTTCCTATCTGGAGCAGATAAGTTGTTCCACAATCAATTAGATAACGCTTATTGGCTGAAATTGGGCCGACGTGCTAGCGATGGGCTCTTAGATGTTTTGAGCCCAACAGTAAAGACTTGAGGCGGCATTAAGCTATTATGGTTAGGCCACTCCTCGGGTCGTCGAGGATTGGTTTGTTTGGCGGGCTAAAGCCGGTTGGTTACAGCTTTTTCTAATTGATTTATACCAACTGCGGCCTCCGATGCATCGCTATTTAAACTACACTATCTACAATAAAAAACTTTTAATTGATCACATAACAACTTTATACACATGACATACACGATTTCCATTACATACATATATAACCAATGTAGTCAAAAGCGTGTTTCTTTGTTGAAGCGTTTTAGTGATCTGGAAGCGTAAAATTGTAAGTTTTTAAGCTTTAAAACGCGTTTTTAACTATATTAGCTATAAGAACTGTGATCTTACATAGAAGCGTTTCGATGACCTGAAAACATAAAAGAGTTAGTTTTTAAACTTTAAAACGCTATTTTGACTGCATTGCATATAACATTACCAAATACATCATATATTTTTAATACTTCAATAATAGTACACAGTTTTATTACAATTGAAAGCCACAATTGAAAGCCCACAGTTTTATTACAATTGGATAGCTCATAGCCACAAAAGTGATACGGTCACACTCGCAGAGCGTGAGTCAGAGGGGAATGGGCCATGGGCCAAATAGGCTAGGTACTGGAGTCTGTGTCACAGTGTCAGTCAGTAATGGATTAAAACTAAAAGGTTATTATTGGTCTTTAAACACCATTGTTTAGTACATGCTGGTTAAGTATAAATAGATAGCCAGGAATTGTCTGAACCAAATACAGATCAAATTAAATCGTTAAACAGTCACTTCTTTTAGAGCTTCTGAACTTCATATCGATTCGGTCGAGGTTAGTCCAAATGGCCCATCTCGAAAACACTCGAGTGGATGCTTCCATTTGAATGATATGATCGTTGTCCGAGACAATCCATCAACTCGTGCATGCATTTCAACGAAATTAATAAGCTACTACATGACATCATATATATAACGAGCTATAGCGTGGGTTCACGATCATCATGAGGCTTGATCGATGATCACGACTCGGTCCGGGTCGAGCCGCTCCAGCTTGAACCGCTCCTGAACGGCAGAGATATAAGTAGAAGCTTTGGTGTCTATTCTGCAATCCCCAACCACCCCAAAGAACTTGCTGGGACAATGATCAACCTGTTGCTGCTGCCGCCTTGGCAATTTCACTTCCACAGCCGCGGCCTGAAACGACACCGTGTTGTGAGGGAGTAGTACCGCCGATGAAGGAGAAATAGTTGTTGTTGTTGTTGTAGTGGACTGGCTGTAGTACTGCACGTTGTTTCTGGGGTTAGGCTGCTGGCTCGGCGGCGGATTCGCCGACGCCGGTGATTTGTAGAATGGCATCAATTTGTTCTTCATGAACCCTTTTCTCTTGCGGCCGTTAGTCTCCATTTGATGATAGTATTTAGTTTACCTTATCACTCAACTTTTGTTGGGAAGTACTTTTTCCCTTTTTTTGGTTATAAGTTGTGGAGTGTGTGTGGTTGTTTGTGTTGTTGGGAAGATAGGATCAACAGGGGATGCTGAGTGCCCTATATATACACGAGTATATGGCCGACGTACGTCGTAAATATCTAAAAAGCAATACGTCTAAGTTTAGTATAGAAGGGAGATGATGTGGATGGTTATAATATATTCCAATGTATAAAAAAGACATTTCTATAAGTGGTTTCGTAACATATTTGTCTATATATACAGTTATTTCGGATTCTTGATTTGAGTAATTAAGAGAAATTTAGAGCCGATCTTATATTAATCTATCATTATGTTGGATCAATATTTATTTTTGAGTTGATTTGAAACCTGCAACAATTTGAGTATTTCGTCAAATTTTTTCTTAACTCAGCTTGATATATGATCGAGCACCAAATCGGTTGAGGTAATCATCGTTTGAGAATAATTTCAAAAGTTTAAACACGTTAAGTTAATGCATGTCAAAATTCATTTGAAATTGACAAAGAAACATGTGCATCTTATCAAACGATCAGAACCCTTTCAAACTATAATGTTTGTCGACTTAACATGCAAATTACTCTGAACCAAAATTGTCATCGAAGTTGTGTTTTTTCAAAGTTGGTGTGCATTTTTTTTTTTACTTTTATTTCCAAGCGCAATACTAAACCACTGTTATAACCGTTGGAAATAGTGGATATATAAGAATATTGCACTTTTTCCTCACAAATGCTCTCTTTTTGTGCCAGTTGGTTGGGTCATGTAACTTATATATTTTGTCCAAACTTGTAATTAGTACATTTATTTACTTACAACACCCATATTTTGGTACAAACGAAATAGTGTTGAGGCTGCTAGGTGGTTTTACCCAATAATTCAAGCAGTCGGAAACATAGAATAGGTGCAAAAATGAATTTTATACAGTCTTTTTTTATATGTTTCTCTTATCAAATAAACCGAGCATGAGTTTGAATGAAAGGAGGGTGTAGTTGCATCCATTTAATAAATAAATAAAAATCGAGTATGAGTTTGAAGCTCCACACTGTAAAATTATACAATAACTCAATTGGTTAGAAACTTAGAATATGTGTAGAAATTAATTTTATACGATCTTGTACATACTTCTCGTATCAAAATCAATCGAGTATGAATTTGAAACTTCGCACGGTAAAAAATTGGGATGTTAACAGAACTATCGATACTATTCGTTTAAAATAAATCTTGTACCGATCATTGGTTATACACGTACACATAAATTAAACTACATCGAGCTAAATCACGATAACAAATTTTCAAAATACAAAGTAATATGAATACCTATGCAAATAGTATTCTTCAATAGAAGACGAAAACGAGAGAGATTCCAACCAAATTATCCTCGGCATCACTGCAAATGTAGTAAATTGGACAAAATATTCCACCTGTACGTCTCGTCCTATTCGAAACCACCACATGGTGTATTGTTTGTTTGTTTCTCTTTATTCCCTTTCAATTCCTATCCCATTCGCCTGAATTATTGTCCCTCCTCTTTTTCATACCCTTTATTTTCTACATATTCTATCTAGTAGTATCTACATTGATCCCTCTTGCTGGTGCGAGCATATCCTTCGAGCTACTTCCATTTTCTCCACATAATCTTATTAGTATGCTGAAATATGTTTTTTTATTTGATTTCATTAGTTTGTTATCATTCGTGATTCAAGCCAAATTAGCAAAAAAAGTTCGATAACTTATCTGACAGGCGACAAGTGAGAGTAAAGTATTTGATCATACATGTACAATGATGGCTTCTAATTTTATTCACAAATATAGCAAAAAATAATAATTATGGTTATTTATCTCATTTTATCAACTAATTAATTTATCTATGATTTTTCATTTCTTGTCACAAGATGTTTATAATTTAGTTACCCTAGTATAACGGTTGACCAAAAATAGCTAATGTTACCAATCTAACTAGAAGTAATGGTATTGATCTAGAATATCACATCTAATATAGATGTCACATCACATTAAATGCTTATCTATTCACAAAAGTTCTACAATCAGAGAGTTCGATCATCGTCAAAGGTATATATGTGACATCATTTGTACATTTTGCGTATTGCTTAAGACCATTCCACTTCCAACTAAGAACAAGATACATTCAAATTGCTTACTTTTGAAGTCCAAATCCCACTTCATATTGGTTAAGCTTCATCATCGAGGAGGCTAGCTAAGATCCTTTAAAGGAAGTTATTCGTTGAAGGTCTTTCCCCTTTTCTACCAAAGACAAACGGGAAGAGAAGTCTTTATGTTTGGGAAAATTCTGCTGACCCCATTTGGATACGTATCCACCAAAATGCCTGTCTCCAATTTTTGTCAAAGCTACTTTTTGTTGTTAACTTGTTATCGTGGGGATTCTTCTTGCATGAGACACCAATCTACGAATCTTTTCCCATTGGGACGAGGGACTTGAAAAAACAAGGAAGAGAGAATAAAAAAGGGAAAACTTTGAAGAGAATTGGATTTCCAATTCCACACTACCAATGCCTTCAAGTAGCTTTTTATCTTGCATCTGCATGGTTGCCTCACTCCTACAATCATGTTATCTTATGTGAAGGGTGAAGGGTGAAGGCCGAAGGGTTTCATTTGTGACAGTGTGTTATACAAGGACTGAAGGAGCGTTTTTTATTTTACGTTGTTATGAATCACTTTGATACTATACCGATTTAATCAAAATTTGTTAATTTAAAGTATATCATGATGAAGTAATTTCAAATACACTAGTATTGAGCTATTTGAAAATTTTACTTCAGAATCATGAGTCTTCAATCAGATGTACATTACTCGTTGGTTTTCTAGGCAGAGAGGTGTCCGTAAAGAAGAAAGATAAGGTATATATAAAGCATATCAAGTTAACAACACTTCTTTTGATAAGCTCACTATAGAAATATGAAACTTCAGTTGGCTCTAGAATAATTGATGAATTTTTAGAGAAAGAGGTGTTCATGCAAAACAGTGATTACTACATATGTCGTGAATATCATGTAATATTTCTTTGTAATGAAGTAACCCAAAACAAACACAAAGTGAGAACTAAAAAGCACACATTATCTCTTTTTTTATATACTTATTCTAAAATAGTTCTGCATTCTAACGTTCCATATACAATATTTTACTACCGATACATCACCATAAATTAAATGAAATCGACAATCAAGATAAAAAAACACATATTTTTTAGATCGTATTTTCGGCCCAGCGAAACAAAACTGAGTCCATGCCCAAAGGCCCGACATGTCCGTTGTCTTCATTTTTGGCCCATCAGTGGACAAACCAATGAGGCTTCTGAATTTTGATCCGAAAGACCAACGGAAAGGGATTAGGGGGCATTTTTTTTTTTTTGACTAGGCAGTTTCTTCCCCAAGCTGCAAAATTCGTCTGCCTGCCAACAAAAACCTTCCGTAAAACCCTAGCTCTCTTCCACCATTGCCAATACTCAAGAGACCATTCGATCGGCTAGCGGCAAACCAGTGGTAGATAGTTTCTCTGAGGCGGGATTAACATGGGGTTGACTAATTTCATCCTCACTATCGCCGGCGTCAGCGCGGTGGTTCTCCTGCTGAGGAGCGACGTCAAGCAGTCCGCCGTCATTCTCCGCCGCAACGTCAAGCACATCCGCACCTGGCTCGAAGAAGAATCAGCCGCCGCTTCCAAGTAAGTCTATTTATTTTGCGGTGGGTAAAAGTTCTATTTCCCGCGTAATTTGTTTGAGCTTCGATTCTATTGACGAACAGAATCCAACTTCTGAATGTGAATCTCTTTTGCTTCCAGTTTCTCTCCTTGAGAAAATCGGTTTTGGTAAAGAGATAACGATAGTTCAATAAACGTGTAGCGGTTTGATTGGGTGGGTTCTGGACTGGTACAGATTTGGAAGAGCTTTGTTCTTAATCGCTTTTATGATTCGGAATTTCATGAAGATATGTGGTGGGGAGCTAGCAAGTAACATTTGGTGCTACCACTGTGCTGCTTTCTTCCTAGTTGAGAGTCGGATATGCATGTCTGCTTGTGAACTATAGTTGTTTGATAATTTACCTGGAGTTTGTGGTTACTGTAGTCAGTATATTCTCGATACTGGAGAACCCTTTTGCATAGTATAGGATGACCTTGTAGTTATGTTTCGTCTATGTTATGAACATATTTATGCTGCGGATTTTCCCTTTTCCCACTTTTTGGATTGCTGTTGTACGGTCTAGACCTCAGAGAAGATGGAAAAGAAGTAGGCATTTGTATTAAGGCAGTCTCTTGTGTTTTGCCCCCTTTTGCCGAGTTAGAAGTGGGTACATGACCTCACTTTTTCTTAGGTGATTTGGTACCCTTTTGAGGTCCAGCTTCCAAGTTATACCTTCCTGAAAATCACTTGCTCTGCGATTCTGGTTTCCTGGTGGTCAGGACAGAAGTGCCTTTGTTTTAGGGAAGAAATGGTGAGAACAGAAGGCATAATAGGGCTACTTAGTCACTCATACTTGAATGAGAAGGGAAGAATAGCAGTTTGAAAATCTGAAATATTTGTTCATTGCTTTGTAGTTTTTATTCCTCTTAATGCTTTGTGATTTGCGTATAGTCAATTACTCGTAACGACTCTCTAGTAGTGACTTCTACAAGCATAGTCCAAGTGCCTTTAAATACTCTACTCTTTTGGCGACCAAATGACTGGTTATCTAGCTTGTGCTATTTAATTTTGTTGTAATGAAGGTTCTTAACACACTTTTAGGCTGTTGTCGGTCTTATCAAAGCTTTAGGTAGTAAACCATCATGCAGCGAAACTCCAATAGATTACTTCGTCTGAACCTTTCGTATTTCTTATGCTACCTCCTACTGTTATGGTGTTGCTCACATGATTGTTTAATCCATAGGAATAGTACACATGGGGAGATCATATCTCTGCTTTGCTGTTCTTTTAGCTTGTCCAATCGATCATTTGGAGTATTGAGTCACTCAATTTGCAGTTCTTGATGTGATCTACTTATGATCCGAGAGGCTAATGGCATGGTATTTGCGTTATTTTCAGGACTGAGAAGGCAACACCAAAGGAAGTAGAAACAAAGGTTCCTCATAAAGAAACTCCCAAGGAAGAGAAGAAGTAAGCAACGGTGAGTTGCAACTGCAAGAAGGAAGCTTGCGATGTCTAGTTAGCCCTCCCAGGATTCTAGTTAAGCCACTGTTAAATAGTTCTTATTCCAAGTTTTATCGATTAATTGAGATAGCGTATATTAAATTCGTCAAATTTTGGTCTCATTTTTGCCTTGTAATGCTCACTCATTAGGTTATGTTCATGTTGATGCTCCAGCCAGAAAATAATTAATTATACTTTGTTGTTTGGTTAATAAATAAAAGTTTTGATGAGTTTCAAGTTGTAGAATTCGCAAATTAGTCACTTTGTGTAGTTATCGAAAGTACATATAAAGTTTATAACAAATTGGAGAGATATAATAGTTGTTACAATTACTTATCTTATGTCCAGATGTCGTCGTTTGGAGATTGGGATTTCAAGCGATGTATTTAGCCAATGCATGTAATGTCAAGATTAAGTCATTTTCCGGTTAAATTTGTGACAAAATACATGTATTACATTTTTCTGGGATTGTGACCAAGGGATTGTCTACCCTCTACTTTTTAATTTAGGGTTACTATTTTCGTATGGCTTGAACTTTGACCAAAATAAACATCCTGACAAATCTTTTCGATCTATAACATCCTGGCCCGAACTATACACCAAAATAAACAATTTGGCCAAACCCGATGTTTGACCATTAACTTGGACGGTCAAACGCGTTGACTAACGGTCAACGCGCCACGTCACTGCCAAGTTGGAAGATCTGATAAATATTTAATTTTTTCGTTTTTTTATTTTTGGTTTAACTAAGGTATTATATGATTTTTTTTAATTTATAATAATTTCAAATTAGGGAATGTGTGAAAATTGTGAATTATTTAAAATATTTTATGTTGACTTGGCAGTGACATGGTGCGTTGACTAACGGTCAATGCGTTTGACCGTCCAAGTTAACGGTCAAAAGTCGGATCTGGCCAAATTGTTTATTTTGGTGTATAGTTCGGGCCAGGATGTTTATTTTGGTCAAAGTTCAGGCCATACGAAAATATTAACCCTTTCATTTATAACAAAGCACAATGTAAACCTCCAATCAAGGTATTTTTCAAATTCATACATTTAATCAATACATCAAATTACAATACACAAATTGATTAAATACTTCAATTTGGAGAATCCCAACCTCCAAACAACCCTTTAGTTTCCAATAACTCTATTATATATGAGTTTATGATCACCACTTAACATCTGAGTTTTTTTTTTTTTTTTTTTTTGCCTACATGCCGATTAGCAACACATGTTGACATCTTTGGAGTACTCTCTCCAACGTTCCCTATTGTAGGAGCATATACCGTAACGATATTTTTTAGCAAATAATCCTACTTACTATGTATATGAGTCTATAGTCAGGGTATGCACATGGTGAACCAACAGTATAAGCGTGCACTGAATAATTGGAAATTTTAGTTGTTACTTACAAAGAAGTCTAGTTTCTCATAATAATATATTATGTGCATATGTGTTGCTACAATTGAGATTGCATTCGAGTTTGATGCAGACGTAGTACTCAACTTAACATGCAAGAACAATGCGACGGAGAAATTTTAATTTATGTTTATTACTTATTATAACTACAAAGGAAATCTAACGGTGGAAGAGATTGAGAGGATGATAAAAGAGACAGAACAGATGGCTGAGGAAGCCAATAAAATCAACGAGCGTGTTGAAGCGAAGAATTGATTAGACATATACACATTCGATGTCAAGGCCGCTCGCAACAAGTGATTATATTATTAATATCAATTGAGATTAACATGACAAGACTAGTGTGGAGATTGAACTGAGAGCAGCTTCATAATGGTTGGATAATTATGGGAATGATGCATCATCATCACCCTCTAAGGAAGAATATGAGAAGAGGATGCAGATGCTGGCAGATATATGGAAGGTGTATATATAGTGTTTAGATTGATGATAATCAGATAATGTCTCCAGTCTAGAAACTAATTATACTATGTTTTTTTTTTGTTAAGAAATAAAATAGACGAGGTATACTGAATTCAAATATTTTAAAAAGATTATAGATCCTATTCTTTACTATTTTCTTCTTACATATACTTAATCATTTACCCATTGTGATTATATGCAGATACATCAAAACATGTATATCCTAATAAACTACACACTAATCAATTTGGTCAAAATGAAAATAAAAGGGAGTTGTAAGCATAACTAATAAATATTGTGTTTAAATAATAATTTAAAGAAAATATATATCTTTATTGATTAATTAAAAAAGGAGTATATTCATAAAATAAAATAAAAATCAATTAAAAGGGAGTGTAGATTCGGATCTGGTTCAAGATGTGCTCAAAGTTATCGGTAGACCTCTCAATAGGGTGGTTGTGAGCGCCTTCATAAGTTGTGACCACTACTCCTTCATCAGTTAGCCTTTGAACAGGCTTTTTCACATTGCAGCCTTGATACGTACACCTGTAATAGCCCATGCACTCACGTTTAGTTCTATATATGTTATATGTCAATTGGGAACAAGATCACACAATGAGATCATATACACACATGTGCTAGGTAGCTAGTCCACTTCCTCCATGATTTTGTATTTGTTTCAGGAACAGAGTACCTTTGTATTTACATCGACAACAAGTTTAAGCAGTACAAAGATAGAAAATCCTTCACCCAGCATCACTGTCATGACCACCACCACAACAACTGTCACAGTTGTCCAGAGACGTATTTGCTTCACCACCATCACCGACAGAACCAACCCATGCCCATTCTTTCACCAGCATCAACACAGTCGTCCCCAGTGTATAAGAACGTCGACAAGAGTAAGAGTACATACGATACGAAAAACAATGGTACATACAATAGAAGAACAATGCTATAGAAGAGACAGTCTCTTGTTCTTTCATTCTTTGTATAGGAGGTTCTTCTTCAAGGAGGCCTCAGGTGAGCTCGAGTAGGTGAGCTCTATGTTCTTATGTAGATGGTACACAAGAACCAATTTTGTGTGTGATGCCGAACAGATGCCTATTCAGGATCTCGTATATTGATATGTCTATATGTTTATGGCATTAGTGGAGATTCGATTACTAGCTATTAACATACCAGCTTTATACTTTGTGCCTCATTATCAATGATATATACAGTGGTTAGTAGCAGTATATTTCAACATACCAGTTTTCTGTTGTCTATTGTTATGTTCATGACATATGTCGATAGCTAGCCAGAAGCAATAGTGAGTCTCAACTGCAAGAAGGAAACTTGCAATGTCTAGTTAGCCCTCTCGGGATTCTAGTTAAGCCACAATTAAATAATTCATGTTCGAAACTTTATCAATTAGTTGAGATAGCATTAGTATATACTTAGTTCATTGAATTTTGGTCTCACTTTTTCCTTGTAAATTGTAATGCTCAATCATTAGGTATATTCATTCTAATGCTCCAGCCAGAAATTAATGAATTATACTCTTTTGTTCGGTTAAGAAATAAAAGTTGTGTTGAGTTTCAAGTTGAACTTCGATTCATGCATTGGCGCTCTTCGAAAGTCAAATATACTCCAAACTTCTTCAAGCTCAACTTGTAGGCTTGTTCTGCATTTTTTCTTAGGCTTATTTGTTGGCTCTCCTCCAACCCCTTTTGAGTAATTTTATCAACTGGTTCAGCGTGAGGGATTATGAGTATGGACCTCTTCCTGGAGTGCATTTAAATGACGAAGATTTATAAGAATTTGATTCTATGAGGAACTTATTATAAATGTTAGTCTACTTGCTTAAAGGTTAGTTGAAAATTACTTTTCGAGTTAACCCACTATCCGCCACCCACCCTAATCCGCCATTGCCCACTACTAGGTTTATCCTTTCTGAATATGGATATGACTCTCATCTTATTTACAAACGTGTGTTTTCTTTTACAATATACATATTTATATATAATTATGATAAGTTGAGTTATTAAAACCAACTAGTTCTTGACACTCTCTTCGACTCTCTAACCTCATCTTCTCTTTTTCTTTTTGGTTTACTATGAAAAATGTTGTCTCCATTATAACTATTTTTAATAATTTTGAAGATTTTATAAAGATTAAGGGTGCACTTTTTTCCCATATACTTAAAATATACCCATTGTGATGATAGGCTGATACATAAAAAAAATATGTACATGGTATCAAATTACATAATAATTAATTGGTAAAAATGAAAAAAAGCTAGTTGTAGGTATAACTAATAAATATTATGTTATATAAAGATTTTATAAAGATTAATGGTGCACTTTTTTCCCATATACTTAATAATATACCCATTGTGATGATAGGCTGATACATAAAAAAAATATGTACATGGTATCAAATTACATAATAATTAATTGGTAAAATGAAAAAAAAGCTAGTTGTAGGTATAACTAATAAATATTATGTTTATATAATGATATAAAGAACATATGTCTATTGAGTGATTAATTAGAAAATTGAAGTGTATTGATAATAATAATCATCAATTAAAAGGGAGTGTAGATTTGCATTTGGTTCAAGATGTGCTCAAAGTTATCACTAGGCCTCTCAATGGGGTGGGTGTGAGCGCCTTCATAAGTTGTGACCACTACTCCTTCATCTTTGGTCAGCCTTTGAACTTGCTTCTTCACATTGCAGCCTTGGTACGTGCATCTGTAATAGCTCCTGCACCCACATTTATTTCATTATATGTTATATGTCAATTAGAACTTGATCATGCTATGCTATCATAGACACACACATGCTACCTAGCTAGCTAGTTCACTTTATCAATGATTTTGAATTGTATCAAGCATTTTTCTCGTGACTATAATGTGTTTATCGTAGTGGAGACAGATACTTGACATCATATAAGTACAATAATGTATGAAGTGTGCTTCATTTAGCTCAGATTAATATGGAATTCGCAAACTCGATCACTTTGTATTAGTGGCTCAGAAATACATTTGTATCAATAGCTATTGAGTCTTTGGTCCCCTCCCCAACCATTGTTCAAATCCATTGGGCTCAACTTTACAGCCCATTCACTCTCCATTGCTTTTGTATATATATGGATAGCGTCACAAAGCATATTTAATTGCTTGAAGACTTGAAAATCAACTTTAGATATCTAATATTTATCTTGTGTCACCAATAACTAATCAATTGTACATCATTTATCATCACCACTTAACATTGGAATTATCGGGATTCAAATATAAATCTTTTATTGAAGATAATTAATACCCGATTCTTAACAATAACTCACTTAATAATCTTGTTGGAACGTTTTACTTTGTTAGAACTCATATGTACTTGTATGTAGCTTAAACACTCACACATCAAAATGATCAATGCATGCATGTAAGTAGCCAATTTGCTGTCTTCTACAAAAGTAGGCTGGGAGGGAATCTTTATGTATTTTATATATGGGCTCATGTTTTTCATGATCCAACCACCCACCGATAGAGACTAATCACCCTCGACTGTCATTAATGATACTTAATCAATCATTAATTCCCATGTGAATTCTAGATCTTATACCCATGTTGATTAGTTTAGTTTAATTCCCCATCAACTTAACTTAATTCTCTAAATAAGATATATACAGAGTATCTAGCTATCCGCCCGCCAAATCTCTTGGGGTTACTATTAATTATCTGCTTAATAATATTTTACTATTACTAACCATTTGATACACTTACTACTTATAGCTAATTAATAGTGATCACAATAGAGCAAGTGTTCAATAAGATATACAATATATGAGAAAGAACAGATCTCTCAGTCTAACTAAGTGGCGTAGGAAGAGTTTGTCTTCGTTTGTTCTGCACCAACGACCCTTATAATCTCACTTAACAGTTGCATTGAACATTGACGCGAGAGTTGATCTGATTCCCTAAGTTGCTATTCATGAGAAGACTTTATATATTCATGAATTTTTTTATACGAATGAAAGATCGGGAAAATCAATATACAGATCAACTAAAAGTTTCTCATTTCAGGAATCTGAATGAGAAGAACTAATTTGAATCATGTTAGTTTTAGGAGAAGAAGGTAAGGTCTTACTTATTAGGCGACTACTCTACATTCTAAGTCTTATACGAATTTTACATGTAAGTTTACCTATACTTTCAATGTTGACGAGGGCTATCACCTCTCCTGATTTCAACCTAGCTTCACTAATGCTCATTGAAGACCGTTACTTATCACAAGAAACTGTGTTTCTTATCGTTATATGTTAGATCTTATCAAATTTAAATTAAATTGTGTCTCATATTTAATATTGTTTAAACCAATTAACTTAAGTTACGTTGAATAGTCCTCCAAATGAATAACTTCTCCATTCATGTGATTTCATCAAAGTCATAGATTGACTAAGGCTAAATTGCATTGAATAATTTCTGTGTTCTTATGATCTTATCAAGTTTCAGAATAAATTATAGCTACCTAGCTATAGATCAGTACTATGTTATAACTTATAATCGAAAGCCATGGATCGAGAAGTAAAACGTTACAAAGGAATTAAGACTAGTACCTTGGGAACTTGTTGTTCTTGACAGCTTTTTGGCCATACTTCCTCCATCGATAGCCATCGTCAAGGATATCGACTTGACTCCTCGTCTGGAAAGCATATCTAGGCTTCTTCACCTTCTTCTCTCCCTTCTTCTTCTTCCCTCCATCTCCTTGATCTGCTGCTCCAGGCCCCATGGCCACCGTAACAACCTGCTCCTGATGATGATCATCATCGTTATTAGTACTGATCTGATGATGATGGTAATCATGATCTGCTGCGCTCGACCCCATGGTCATCATAGATGGACCATCATTCATTGACGTGGATGATGGTGGTGACGACGATGATGATAAGAAGTTGATACTATTGTGATGATGATCATCATCGTAGTACTGATGGTGAGCTGAAGAAGAGGAGGAGGAGGAAGGGAACAACATCTGAAACTTTTCCATGAGGGAAATAAATTAAAGATGTTTGGGAGCTGAGAAAATGAAAGTAGAAGTGGGAAAACGAAGATGTGCGTGTGTGTAAATATATATAGTGGTGGGGGAATGGAATGGAAGGTGTCGTAAGCGGCTGGTAACTGAGGAATATTATAATCACACATGACATGTTATTCTCCTAATCAAATAGTCTTGTGATAAGGGAAAATGGCCTTGTTGCCTTCATCAGCGGATTGATTTTCTGGAGAGAGACGTGGAAGGTGAAAAAAGAGGCGGCTTCATGATTATGAATTTGACCGCTAGCTCTCGGGTTAAAAGAATATATATGGGCAAGAAAATGACAAAAACAAAAAACGACTAGTACTCCCATTGATTAGCCTCCTTGTTTTCATTGGAGACGATTAATCTGCCTAATTAAGATTAAGTAATACATTAATCAGTAATATGGGCAAGTCAATAGCACATGCCTAATTGTTGTATTATGTTCTTTCGTAAGATTAATACAATGCCACCACATTTATCTAATTGAGTTGGTTATTCACCATATCACCACATATTTGAATCGCACTATATTTTGTTCCTCTAAACAAATATAGAACAGAAAGCATGGAAGCATTACCACCAGGCAGCAATACAAAACCGGATGAATACTATTTGCCTTTACATTCCAATTCCAAGGCCTCCCCAACCAAACTTGTACATTTGAACTCAAAACAAAGTTGTTTGGGGACGTCAATCATCGTAGTCTACTAATATATAAGGTCCATCAATTACCCTTCATAATTAGACATGACCAACTCAATCTGAAAGAGTAAACATTCATTTAAAAATCACTTTCCGTTTGAGCAATTTCATAAATTATCATAGGATATTGATCCACTTTCTATAGATGTATTACATCTTTTTATATTTTCGCCCCAAAAGAAAAGCTGATCTTAGTTTAAATCAAGCCAGGACTAGCAACAGTTACCGTTATATATAGCTGGCCCCATTTTAATTAACATGAGATTAGTCTCATTGTATCATTTTAATATAGCTAGTCCATGTAAAATCACGTGCATGATTAATGTCTCTCTAATTCGATTCTAAGCGAGCTATTTTCCTCCCATTCCTTACTACCTACCTACTATTTTTCTTTGACCAATTTGGATTTGACTGATTGCTACTTATTCTTTCTCAATAGCATTATATAAAGGCAAAGCTTTTCCCTTTAATACGAACTGTGTTCTTTTGGTCTCCACATTTGGATTGGTAGTGTACTATTAGTAGTGCATGTCTGCGTCCGCATGACCACCCAGTCGCTCCTCGACGTTACTTCCTTGAAGTTGCATTCATATTCCACCTCGTGGTGCATGTATCTGCCCCTCTTGCTTTCCTTATTTTTATTATTATTATTATTATGAATCAGCGATATATCGATAGACTAATTTAATAACTAGGTTAGTGATGACAAATCAATCGATTGATTCAACCGTTAGATCATCCTCATTAATACAATTAACAGTTAATTTGTCTTCATTCTCATTCACTAAGAATTTTCATGTGAATAGATTTATATTTTTTAATTTATGAGAGTATATATCTTGTCAATAGATTTATCCTCATTTCATATCTTGTTTCATTAGGGTTTTCTACTAAGAAAGAAGTCTCGTTAGGGTTTTTTCTTTGCTTTCCTTAAAACTAGTACATTTCTACCAAGAGTTATCAAAACTTAAAATCTTCAACTATTGGATTCCCATATTGCCAAAGTATATGTTGTTGGACGAGCAACAAATTTGCCGATTAATTCTTGCTTCGTAAGTAACTTTGTCTTGCTAATGCTAAACAACATGTAAAATAAAATAGATGAAATCGATATCATGCACAATATCCCAAACATAAATTTGACTACACTGTTTATAGTCTAATCTTCATATTTCCTTCAATTAAAGAAATATCGAGTCTGGTTCCAAATGGGTGGATTTTGATCCGATTCGAGCTTAGATGGGACCGACTTTGTTTGGCCTATTCATAAGGATGATGTAGTATTTTCATGCATCTATATATATAGTACTCATACTAACCAACTTTTGTAGCATGTGTAGATACACCTGCATGTTCAAATTTTTTATGTGAATATTCGGTTTGAAAACTCTTCAAACATATCTATTTACACATACATGGAAACGTAGGTACCGAGGATTGATGAAGAAGGGTGGAAAGAGAGAGGACGACTTATGGAGTTATGGTCAATTGGTCATGGATGGATGTCTGTAGAAAAGGGTCAATAGTAAGATTAGGCGCCCGCTGGCTGGCCGCAGCCCCTGTTTCGTCCTGAGTTTGACTATAGCTAGATAGCTAGCTAAAATACCATCTCTTTCAAACACCTGCTGAAACTTCTTCTTCTTTAATCCCACCACTATGCCTAACTAATGCTCAAACAGGTGGCTACTTCACTGGCCACAGAGGACAGACACACACTCTGCTTGTACATGTTTTCCATTTAATTGCTTTCTAGTTTATACCCCACAACCTCTGCTAGCTAGCTGCTGGATTGTTGCTGTAGTTTAATGAGAATGAATAGGAGCCACAGAAAGGGTCTCTCAATGATAGACCTTCCACTGTCTGCAGACGGAATTGAGCCGTGCAACAGAGTGTTCTCACAGGCATCCTCCGAGGCAGAGCCTCCCTCTGAACAGAGTGTTCTCCTGTCATGCCAAGCTCGGTCGTTAGAGCTGTTTCTCGCCGACCAACGGCGTATTCATGATCGGGTGATGATTCATAGTGATAGTGGGTAAAGAGAATTACACCTCCGGGCCGGAACTAATTCCCCCAATCCGTCGCCGTTGCCGGAAGAAAAAACAGAGCCTACCTACTCAATGTTTGTTGGGTTCGTATAGAGATGCGTCATATTTATGCTGGAAATTAAAATTAGTTACCTTTCTCTCTACTCGACTCTCCCCTTTGTGATTCCTCTTCATTAGGCTTTGCTCAGTCAGTCAACAACAGCGAGCTGCTCTGCTTGTTTTCTGTTTTTTCCCGGTTATTTCCCGCCCCCTGTTTTTGCAGAGATGGTTCTCGATCAGGCCGAGTCAATATATCGCAAAAAAGTCAATATATCACCAAATTATCACGATATATTGTACCATATCGTATATCGTCAATTTCACTTTCTCGTCAATTTATCGCGTTTCGATTTTGGTTTTGAGGTCTCGAAACGTTTCGCGTTTCGACGTTTCGGGCACCCGTATTTCCCATTTTTCGCGCTTGTTCCCGCTGCTCCGTCGCTCGTTCTTGCGCCATTTGTCCTCTGGCGTACTCCTCTACCGGCTAGCAGCAGCGGCGGGGGCTGGTGATGGAGTTGGCCACCGGTTAAGGGGTTTTCCTCTACCTCCCAAACCGCCGCCGGAGCTCGCTGGCCTTTCCTTCCTTGCCCAGCCATAAATTCCCTGAGCCTCTGCAATTTCCTTTATCACACGACGGAGCGAGAGAGATCGGAAGAAAAATCCTTCCCCGACCAATTCTGATTCTTTTATCCGATAAAGATTAGTGGGTAATCGATTTACTTACTCGCCGAAGCTGCTGGAAACAGTATTATTTCATGATCCGAAGAAAATACTGGATTACCGGACACCGGACGGGGTTCCTCTCCGACGTCCGCCACAGTTGCTTCGTTTCCTCTGAAGAGAAAAACAGGGCACTCTGCTTATCCACACAACTAATAGAAAGGAAGGAGCTTCTTACCTTTGAATGATTGATTACTTGTCAACCGAAGAAACCGTATAGCCTAGAAGTGGATCCTGTTCCTAGTCCAACCCAATTGGAAAAACATCGTGAAGCTAGAAATATTATAGATTTGGAGTTTGAATTCCAACACAGTCGCAGCCTGCCATCGTTGAACAGAGATTAAGTAATTCTTTGTTATGTTTGTTCCAATGAATGATCTATTTATTTCTTTCTAGAACGAAATTTTATCATAACCACGTGTGCTTGATTGCTGCCTGCTGTGATGCAGCTAGTCGTGATCCATCGTTTCAAAGTAGTGACCTTTCAGCCCGAGCAAGCCATTGATTCAGCTACAGGTATGCAGATTTCTGCTTCTCATTGAACAAATTATCAGAATGTTGACCCTTTTACTTACAAATAACAGATTGAAGATAACATTACTACTCGTTCCTTTCTTTCCTTTTCTTCTTTTATCCTATGAAAGAATTTCAAGAGAAATTACTACTATAAGCCTTCTCCAAGCAATTTTGAACTACATGAAGGATCTCAGACGGGGCCTCGACAGGGACTGGCCTCCATCAACGAATATGGTTGTTCCGGTCATGTAACGAGAGCCGTCGCTGATTAGATACATGACAGTTGATGGTAGATCATTTTGGGCATCTAGCCATCTCTGGAGAGGTACTACTTCGCCAACAAGCTTCTCTGCTCTGTCTTTTCCTACTGATTTGGGGAACTCGTCCTGCAGATGCAGGCCTCGTGCAATCGCGTTGACTCGAATCTTGTGCTTCCCAATTTCCATGGCTGAATTCTGCAGACCAGAAAAGGTTCAATGAGAAGATGTGATGGGTGAGTAGAGGTTAACATCATGCTAGTTGGTTTGAAGTTGTTATATGATGTATAGTAACATTATTAACTCTTGAAAGTTGCAGTTGGTATCAGAGCCCCAATTCATATAACGCAATAGCACATGAAAAGAGATGCACAGATGAAGCCATTGCAGATCTTGAGGTATAGGATAACTGCTACAGCTTTGTCAATCAATCATTATATGATTCTCCTAGGGTGCAAGTATTTAGAGTTCCCTTAGATCTTCACTGTTTACAACTATATATTAGGGCAACAAAGAACTCAACCTTGGCACTTGAGACTGAATCCCGAATTCACATCAAGTACTAGCACCATGAAGAGATACACAAATGTATCCAATGCAGAACCTTCAGGTCTAAGTTAACAGGAAGACCTTAGTTAATGGACTATCCATGAAATAAGATCATCTTCCGAAGACATGAGAAGCGAACATCTCTACTTAAAAATTCACCAACCATGTGAAACATTATATATTAACTTACCCTAACTAATTGCTGAATTCCAGCAGAACATGAACCGTATGCTGCAGCTCCTGGATAGATTCCTCTTTCTGCACCATTTAGTGAGGTCAGGAAGATGACAGAACCTCCTGTGTTATGATCTCGCATTCTACTTCCAACAGCCTTTAGCAGAAACCATGGAGCCATGAAGTTTATCTTGACTGTCTTCTTGAACTCGCTCTCTGGGAACTGCAGAAGGTTCTGCATCTTTCCTGCAATTCATAGCCAGTCCAATTAGCAGCAGATTCCTCCATCCGAATCGTAACAGAGAATTTTAGAATTGAAAAGGTAGCTAGAAAGTGCATATTATGGACTCCAAACATTCATGTCTTAACAGAACGCTCCATACTGGGTCCCTATGAACAAGATCATGTAGCACTGATAAAATTCGATAGACAAACTTGGGATTTGTGTTCCTAGGTAAGACCGGTTCGCGATCATGGAATCCTTCATAGAGGTTGGTTTCCATCAACTTAAGAAAGAACTGAAGCTTGCCATTTTGAATGATTTCTGGGACCAACTAGGTTCTAGACATAGCAATTCAGGGAAGTATTGTTTTCATCTTCCAAGTAGTTACGGAAGCAAGGGTTTGGTACATGAGGGACCAACACAACTTGTCAAACAAGGCAAGAAGCAATAAATTCTGACTTTGATGCAATGCAAACATCTACAAGGACTAATAGCAGAGGCAATTTCTACCTAAAAAACCAAATGAAAGTCACTGTCTTTAGGAAATTTATCAAGAAAATACTGCAGACCCAGGTACTTCATTTGGAAAAGGCCCAAATGTATCCAACATGCCAGACACCATTAGTCAATTGCCATTACTGTTCCATCCCAGTCCAGGCCAAAATTTTGGTTGAATGGTCCTTTTGGGCTGTGATGGAAAATCCAGATTCTCCAGTCCCAATTTGAACTGCATCAATGGTTATCATTTCACACTGATTTTACTGTTTGGATTAAAAAGCTCTTTTAACGTTTGTTTTAGAGGAAAAAGTCCACTGCCCCTTTTTCCCACCACTTTCAATCCACATCAAAACAAGTACAAGAATAAGGTTCAAAATTTTATTATTACCTTCATAGAAATAGCAATGGACAAAAGCATCCAGATTCCCCAGAATCCCACAAGCCTTCCCCACAGCTTCTTTAAAAACTTCCTCTCTTTCATCTTCCATATCCATCCCCACCACTTCTACTATGGCAGCACCATTGATGGAGCTCATTATCTTCTCACTCACACGCCTTAGACAGCTCTCATCCCCCATCAAAACCAACCTAATCCATGATCAAACAAGCGATTAAAGAATGAAAGAATCAGAATCTCTAGCAAACAAGAGCCAACTGTAAAACTGCTGTTTATATTTTAATTCGGAAAAAGCTGAATCTTGGCAGAATCATTTCACTCTAACGCGGATTTGAAGTTAGAAGTTAGAACCCCACTCTTGTAATTGATAATTCTGTTCTGTCAAAACGGTCCTTTCAAATGCCTAGTCCATTTCAAACACCCATATGCTTTACCTGCAACCATGTTTAGCTAACTGGAAGGCGATACTCTGGGAAACCTCGTCGCCATTGGAAGTCAGCAGTACTTTCTTCACTGCAACTGGACTCCCCATTCCTTCTCGCTGCAATCAACAAACTGCAGGGTCAAGCACAACAAACATCAGAACCAATCAATCCTCCGAAATAGATGAAGAAGGAAAACCAAACAAACCCAATTTTGATACCTCTGAATCAGGAAGTCGCAAAATTGGTGCACTTTACTCGAAAATCAGAAGCTTCCCAGGTTGGGTAACGAAGAAATGAGAAATGGGTAGCTCAGAGGAATTCCGACGAGTCGCAACTGGAAACAGATTTTCTTTCCTTCGTCGCCGAGCGCCCCACTGCTGCTGATTGTTCTTGTTTGTTAAAAATGATGGCGAGGAATTGGGCTTTTCTCGCCTGGTGAAGGGTAACGTAGAGGTCCGGAGCTCCACCGCGTTAACTGTGGTAGCGAAAGTGTATTGGTCTGTAACCGTCAGACTTTCCAAGGAACTGCAATGGGGCGAAATATATATAGGATGGTGGTCGTCGTAACCATGTGAGTGTCGGCATAAGGCTGTGTTTGTAATTTGTATGTTTCATTATCAAAGTGAATATAGAGCCCATGAAAAAGAAAAGGAAACTGTGTTTGGTATTTTTATCTTTTTTTGGACAAGTGTTTGGTATTGCCAAAAAGTGTTTGGTAATTATGGATAGTTTCAATTCATTAGTGAATTTGGGGAAAATGGATATTTAGACAAATTTTAATACATATTGCTTTTTTCTCCAAATGAATTTTTTGGAAATGAGATGATTTAGTGAGTTCCATAATTTGTGGTAAACAAAAAATTGATCTACCATTAATAATTGTTCAAAAGAATTTGTTTGGAAAATTAATGTTGTTCCATGATATAATCGCTAACTAGATATTATAATCCGAGGCATTATCTTGTTGTTTCATGATTATCCTCTATTAATGATATCTTTTATCATTGATGATTATCAATTTCTCATCTATTTAGGGTGCATTCAGTGGCATGAGTCATTTTATTCTTAGATACAACAACTCAGGGATCGTTTGGTTTTGGTGATACTTAAATTAATATATTGTAATATACATGCAATTAAGGAAAATGATGTAATGTACTTTGCATTGTTTGGTTTTGGTGATAGTTCTTTTACTTTTTGTGAGAAATATCACTTTTGCCCTTACTTTTATCAGAACATATATATAACTAGGGGGTATAATTGAACAAAAAAGAAATCAACACAATCCCCTCAAAACTATCTCGACAATCTCAAGTTTTAGTAGAGATATTACTTTTGAGTGATAGTTTCCATCACATCAAGTAAACAATGCATGTATTGTTTGTCCAGAAAATTCAAAAAAACAATACATTATGGACAATGCATGCATTGTAACTATCCCAACTAAACAATCACCAAAACCAAACCAGCTAAATGTCTAATCTCACGGTTTTTACGAAACACATATCAAAATGAGAATCTATATGATGATTGAGATATTTTAGCTTTCTGCCGATCCATTATGTCTTATCTTGCACTTTCCCAAAGAAAATGATGAATGAGAGATGGTGGTCGGAAGAGGGAACTTGTGGGTGGCGGGGTCTCGGGCTTGTCTTGTGTCTGGCTGCTCTTTGAATTTCCCCACCACATATGGATCCACCTTTAATAGGAGTGGGCATTTGGTTGGTTTGGTTTCGATCGAACCGAAATTATAAATAGTGGGTCTCCGAATTCTCCCAAACCTCAAATCAAATTCGAACTGAATTATAATTCGGTTCGGTAGATTTAATCAGAATTATAATTCGGTTCGGTTTTGCACACAAAACCGAATTTGATAGACTACTTGTACCTTCTCACTTTTAAATTATTTTTCACCCCTAATATAAACCATAAATATGCAATTATATGCATCATCAATGATAAAATCAAAGTTTTCAACACATGAGTCATAAAATATTTCAAATATTTAAATATAAAAACAACTACAAACAAAAAAATCTACCATTTGGAGCTTGCAATTATAGTATTTCGGTTTTTCGGTTGGAATTTTGGTTCGGTTGAAAGAATCCTGGTTTCCGAAATATCCATATTTTCCTTCCGAATTCCGAACCGAATAGCATTAATTTGGTTTTTGTTCGGTTTAATTTGATTTTGGTTCGGTTCGGGTTTACCAAACCGGTTGCCCACCCCTAACCTTTAGTGATGACAAGAGGGTGGGCGGGTACCTTAATACCCATGGCCTGTCTCATGGTATTGTGGGTCGGGCCGAATAAAACCAGCGTGGCTATAGGATGGGGTGGTGCCAGTCAACCCACTTTCATATGTTATCTGGAAAAAATACATGCAAATTTTACTTTTTACGATAAAACGAAAGGAAAAATACTAATTAATGAAAAATAGTGATAATAAAATGGATAATTGAGTCTAACAAGTTAAAAGATCGACTCTAACTAATTAAAGAAAAGTTAAAATAGGAGAAATATGTATAAATACGGTAAGAAATTGGGATAAAATGGGCCAAGAACGGGGCGGGATAGAGCAGGATGGATCGGAAGTAGATACTCATACCTCGTCCCACGCTACCGCAGGTCGAGTAATACCCGCCCCATTATAAGTCAGGTCGAATAATACCCACAGGACGTGTTTAATTTGTCTTTTCACTATCCACCTTTGAAACGCCGGAGGCAGTGGGAAATTGCATGCAACTTTTCTCAGCAAATGCTTTCGTTCTCTTTTATTTTTTTCTATGGGAAAGACAAGAGCGGATCATTACTCATTAGCCATCATGCTGAGAAATATTTAATTTTGTACGACCTATTTGAAGAAAATTAATCTTTACTCTTATTTGTTACGAGTATTATGGAAAAATGAATTTATGGTTCAATTAGAGGAGAGAATTGAAACCGGGAGATTTGAATTAAACTTCTCATGCATATGAGATTTTAGTACGAAATGAGAAAATTGAACAAAACAATTCGAATTTCACAAAATATGAAAATTTTGAACCAAAATCTCAACTTTCACGTTTCAATTCCCACATATTTAGATAAGGAAAACACGAGTGTTTAACTTAATGATACATAGAAGGAAACCAAATAAACCACACATTGAAAATGGACATTCAAACAATTAAAATATTTGTTTCGGTAATTGGTTTGCATATATGAACCTTTTTGTGTCGTATAAGTAACCCTTTTGGGTGAACAACCAAAAAATGTAACTAGGTTCATAACTTCATTCACCACACGCGACTGCATTGTTCTTGTTATAGTTTCGTCATATCCTATGATTGTCGATGTATATATTAAAAAAATATTATGACTTCATTAAATGCCCTGCTATCTAGATTCTTGTATCTTTTTACTAAGAAGATCTCACAACTTATAAATAACATAATATATTTGTTGATATGATTTGAATTAGACTATTGGGCGACGACTGGAAGTTACGGGTCTCGCTGACCTTAATTATTCTTTACTAGATATATTGGATTAGAGTTGGACCACATGGAGAAGTACTATAAATACTTCTCAGTCTCATTTGTAATCTGTATCTCCTCAAAATACAGTGAAACTGGCTCTCTCTTACTCGTGAACTAGTCAAAACACATTGTGTTAGTAAACCACGTAAATCCGTGTATCTTGTTTCGTTTCTTGCTTTCATTTTCTTACTCTGTCGATCCTCCGATTCTCCGACCCGTAGAAACACTCACAATAATATTCTAATATTCGGCAACAATATAATCATCGTCTTGCATAAACAATTGGTCTTTAATTACTATAGTAAAAAAATTCAAAATATATATCACCATTCGGCCTTCAAATTTTACATTTTCAGTGGCCATTATCTGCACTTTCCACCACTCTAAATAATGTCGTTTATGCTTACTCGTCCCATGTCATTGTCCTTATTCTATAAGAGTCAAAATAGGAATGCAAAGTATTTTTGGATTATACGTGTAGTCAATCAATCCGTGTATTGAAGAATCTGGATACGGAGCAACTGATTAAAGTCAATAATTTATTTATCATCAATTAGTTTTGAGTCAAAGAGAACCGCATGGTCCTCTTACACGCTACTAATTAACATTAGTTTTTAGCCACGACATTATATATGTTTTAACCACCAAAACACAAAAAAGGAGTAAGTAAACGGCATGTGTACGCCTTGTATCGTATGACAAAAAATGATAAGGATAGGTAGAGTCAACTAACCTGATATTATTTTCCAATGTTTGTGATGTCTTTGTCCAAAATATCGATGAGTTCATTGATCTTTTATTTGAATTATGTATTTGAGTATTTTATTGTCAAATTACCCCATTATCAATAACTAATGGATATATAATTGTGTATCTAGCTAGAACTAGCTAGAAAATGTTACTATGCATAATGGTATGTCTTCTTTGAAAAAAACAACTTTTATTTGCCTATGATCCAAGTTTGAAGTTGTTGTCTTTCAACCACGGGATAGTCGTCATCCGAACAATAGGTTACTTGATCAACTTTGATAGTAATGAATGCTAACTTTAATGTGTATACCAAGATGACATGGGGTATAGTATGATACAAAGGTGCACTGTAGAACATCCAAACTAGGTTATTTAATGAATTTCGATCGCAATGAATACTAACTCAATCACGATGAGAAGATGTACAAGACACACTGACCCACCATACACACTTCATTATCCACGTACAATAACAACAATAAGAATACAGACCAACCGAAATTTCAACAATATTTGACTATATCACCATGTATACATGAATCATGAAACATGAATATAGCCAAATGTGCCAAAACATCACCACCAGACATTGTCATGTATGTGATGTGATCAAACGATCACTAGCTCACTCTTTGGTCTAATGCCAACAAGCAACATGAACACTGTAAATTATAGAAAACAAAAACGATCCGACCATTCCCAATCAATATTATAAGTACTACACTAGTCATTAGATTATATTATTGTTCAATCGTCGGTCAAGAGGAAGAGAAGTTAATTAAGAACTTACGAGGAACCCCATTACATAACTACCATGCAATTGAGGAAGAAGTTTCACTCTCCTCATTGACCATACATTTGACTCTTGCTTAAATACCGCGAAAGTAGAACCTGTTGAATAGCTAGGAATGGCGAAAGAAGAACCGGTGGGCACCTAATCGAACTCGATCCAATTTATCTAGAAAATCTTATCAATATGATTTTAGGATGAACTTTCATGAACTCAACAAACAAAGTAATTTTGATGCCGAATTGGTATTTTAAGTATTCGCATACTGTATTATATAATTCAGACAACCTCTAGGCTTAGTGATTTCACAATTTTGGTAATTTAGATCTCTCATTCTCTCTGGAATTATATTTATCTATTGAAACTGAAAATTTTTTTCTCATTCCTCTCTTCTCCAAATCACATTAAAAATTTCCTAATGATATCGAAATATTAAGAAGCTTTTTATAATATATTAAGAATTTAAAACATGATTGTCCGTATGATGGTGGTGATTTTTTTTTTTCAAATAACATTTAAGCTGGTTTTAATATGTCATATTTACGGTGACTTAGATAGCTAGATTAGAAGGATGAGTACTGGTCATTTTGAAAATCATGATCCAAATATGATATATATGAACACTGGATAAAAAAGTGATGTAAAATATAATTAATATTCTATCGATAGCTTAATCTATTGAACCAAACAATTCATAACACACCATTCACATCCAAACCCTTTTTATATATCCCTACTGCATGTACGTTGACCACACACAAATTAGAAACCTGCGGTACTCTTGCGAAGAAATAAAAATTAATTGAGTCTTTCACTTTATATGTAGTAAGTATGAACTTGAGGAGTCAAATAGTCAAACCCAATATAGTAACCTTCTGAATTCAGACTGCAGGCTTATTCAAAGGTAGTGTTCATGTGCGCCCTAGCGTTGGGTTAATCACTTAGCTTATATAATTAGTTAAGTGGATTAGCCATGCAGGAACCACCATTTTGTCCACACTAGCCCGTTAATAATAGTCGAGTAGGTCCAAGTTAATGGTGGTTGTTTCTTGTTTCTTCTTCTATGTTTCCTCGACCAACTCCTTTCCATCGGCACTAGCGTTTCTAGAGCAAGCATGTATCATGGTCAAATTAATTGCAGTTTCTAACAACGAAGCATGCATGTCATTTCCTCGTAATTGAATAGTTGCCGTCTCTCTACCTGAGAATATGGAAATAGTATTATTAGCATGTGCAATGTAGTGGGTGATTGCAAGACAGAAAATATAGGGGAAAGAAGAGTGTAGGCAGACAGATAATGATGGTTTGGTAGGTCATTTGATATGATGTATGGGTAACGGAAAAAATAGAGGTAAAAAAAAAAAAAAAGCTCAAGGCATAAAAAAAAGCTTGATGAATATGTGAAACTGAATATCCTACAGCTTGTATCGAATTAGGCACGACATTTTAAATTTTACATTAAAATAATATAATCCTCTTTTAAATTATATTTATAAAACTGCGAATAATTGCTTAATCAAATAGTATTATAACTGGTCTTCAACCTTAATATTTTATTTTCGAATCCTTTAAATAATACTAACAATTTAAAAATTCTATATTACCATTATAAAAATAACCTACACTTCCAAAACATTGGATTAATAGCCTAAAGTAAACCAAATATAAGAAAAAAAGTCGGTCAATGGAAATTATCATCCCCACTCTAATAAAAAAATCTCTAAAATTCTAATGGTTGGGCTTTCTCCAGTTCGAATTGGGCCATACTACTTCAGGCCCATGTTTTTTAAATGTGGTTATCATTTGATTTTGCAAATCCTATTCCACTGGTGAAGCTACTCGCGTTTGCTTTGTTCAAATTGTGTTTTCTCGAATCGGCAGCAGATTGAACTTCCCGCCGCACGGAAAAATGGCGGCCACTTCCACTTCAACACTCCCCAGCTTCCTCGGCATCGGATCGATCCTGTCGCAGTCACCAATCTCTCGCCGCCGGGGGTAAGCCAGCCTTAGTTTCTTCACCTTTACTTTCTCAATGCAAAGTCGTTCACTCTCGTTATCTCGATTCTCACTCGGTGAGAATTTGCTCCGCAGAAGCCTGAATTTCCGCAGAATCGGAAGAGTTTCAAGCAGTGTTTCCTGCGACTACTCTTGCTTCGAAGTGAGCTTCTCATACTTCTTTTTTCTTTCAATTCTGGAGAGCTCCGTGGGCTCAATTTCGCTCATTCCGTTCTCGTTCCAGGTTAGAAATGTTAGGTATAGACCTCCCGGAACGGAGGTCGACCTTCTGAACGATGTCAGTTTTTCTCTCCCAGAAAAGAGGTACTACTGATGAGTTTATTTTCAATTTCTGGACTTGATCCTGTTCTGGTTTACCTGCTGGTAGAGAAATTTTGGTTTCATTTTGTTTATTTCGCAGCTTTGGCTTGATTTTTGGGCAGAGCGGCAGCGGGAAAACTACTCTTCTGCAGGTAATAAATGATGCGGTTCCTAATCTTGGAGAAATGTTTCATCAATGTCTCTAAAATTTGTGATTGTATAAGTGATTTTGGGGGTTTTCTGGTGGCAGCTTCTTGCCGGATTGAACAAGCCTACTTCTGGTACCATTGGCATCCAAAGGTACAGAGGCGATGGCAGCCGCAGTAGTGACTCTCCAGAGCCTCTTCCTCCAGAAAGAGTTGGTATAGTCTTCCAGTTTCCTGAGAGGTATTGGGTGAGATAGGATTTAGGTGTTGTATCTTGTTGAGTATTCCTATTGTATGTTAGATGTATGCCTGTCTGTTTACTCTGTGAGATCAAGATTTCTACTGTCAAATTGGAGCAGTTATGAGAATCCTTCTTGTTGCTACTAGGTATTTCGTGGCTGATACTATCCTAGAGGAAGTTACATTTGGATGGCCGAGGCAAAAAAGCAGTCTTCAAGTGAGGGAGCAGCTTGTTTCACAACTTCAGACGGCTATTAATTGGGTAAATGAATGGTTTTGGTTGTGATTTTGAGCAGTGTTTCTCTCTTTCTGTTTTGCTGATCTTGCTTTGAATAATTGGAACCTTAGGTTGGTCTGAATGGAATTTCCTTAGATAAAGATCCTCACTCGCTGAGTGGTGGATACAAGCGCCGGCTTGCCCTAGCTATTCAATTAGTGAGTATAGAGGAATTTAATTCCTGATGTATTTGGTCATGGAAATGGTATGACTTTGTCATGATTATCAATTTTTTATGTTCAGGTGCAAGTACCAGATCTACTGATACTGGATGAGCCTCTTGCTGGTCTTGGTAATGTATTCATTATGCAAAAACTATAACTGTTTTACTTGCTTTGTGATAATGAATAATCAAGCATACGTGAATATTGCTGTATTCCACTGTTACACTGTCATCTAGGATGTGGGTTCCATGGGCGCTTTTCAGTGATTTTCTACATTTTGCTTCATAAACACAGTGCCATGTATCATTTGACTGGTCATTGGCTCCTATTTATTGACCTCTGAACCTCTCTTTTTGGAAAGGAAGAGGTAGATCACTGCCGAGGCAGTTTAGTCACTTCAATCAACTTTAACTTGGGGTTCTTAAATGATCATGGTCAACAACCTTAATTACTGCAATCGTAAGCCACAATTCGCCTGTTGTTTGTCAGAAATTAATTTTCCACCATGATTAATCAAAGGGGCATGCAAGTAGTTGTACGAAGAATTGAATGTTTGGTCCGTGAGTTATTCTCATGTCATTTATATGTCTCTCAAATGCTCTGCTGCCTTTCCTGTGAATTTTTCCTTTGCACCAGATTGGAAGGCACGTGCAGATGTTGTAAAGCTGTTGAAACATCTGAAGAAAGAGTTAACTGTATTGGTAGTCAGTCATGACCTCAAGTGAGTGGCAAAATTTTCTTTTCTGTTATGCACTGAGGGACAGTATTGCTTATATACTTCTCAGTCCTTCCTCATTGTTACTTGGGTGATTCAGTATTTCTTGTTCATGACTTCTCATTCTATATGAGCATTTAAGAGAGCTGTTTGTCAAATAATAATCATATATGTTTTCATTCTGACATAACCTTATTCTTAGTCGTTAACTTATATTTTGTGGGGGTTGAGAGAGGAGGTTGGGCTGGTTGTACAGTGCTGAAATACACGGCATAGTTTCTTGAATTCTATAGCTTGCACTTTTTGCACTGTTTTAGTAAATTCGGCCTGTTCTTGATGGGATTATGTTCTGCTGGTTTCTCTAAATAGTGTTACATAGGTTGCGAGCTAAGCTCCCCTAGCAGATCATTGCATTCCCTTCATTATTCTTCTTTTTACAAGCATATACTTGCTTAAGGAATCTTTGACTTTTCATTCTTTATTCTTCCAGAGAGTTCACCTCGCTTGTTGATCATTCTTGGAGGATGCAGATGGGAGGGTTTCTCCAAAAGGAGCTTCTTCCAGTATAAGTTAGGAAGCCTCCCGTTCTTCACTAAGTATCAAGCTGACATGCTTCGAGGTTCGAATACTTGACATTTCTTTCCTTTATGTTTAGGAAATGTAATAAGTGCAATCAATTGGCATCAATGTCCTTTGACAATGCATTGGCTTGAATTGGTAGTACATGGGCAACCTCAAATCTTGTGATTTAGACTGTGCATCCCATTCAATACTTAAATTTTTATTGAACTGGGTATCAATCGAGAAGGCAGTGTATTAAAAGAGCGTGTGTAGGTTGTATTTAGGGCTGATTGATGAACTGGTCTGACTGGATCCTGATCCTGGCTCTATAAGGATAAATAGTGAAGATTCTGAAAGAGCTTCACAGTTCACATGCCTCAACCACCACACAACACATTCTATATTGTAACCCTGTATTTTCATTTGTGATCCCCAAAAAATTCCTTGCGGCGCATTATTATTATTGTTATTTAGGTGAACCGATCCATGATTTTGTTGCTCGTGGGGTTCTTTATCTCTTTTCCTCCATGGTGTCGCTTTAGTTCAATCTCTTTTGACTTACAAAAAGAAAAAAAGAAAAAATTCAAATAGTTTTTTTGTTTCAGTTCGGTTATATTATGGAATTCCCATAATTCTTTCTTGATTAACATTTAAAAGGGAGTTTGATGGTAGTACCCATGGTTTCCTCACATTAGCACAGTAAATGTATATCCTTTGCCAGGGCTGTGTTGTACCAATTGTTTGAATTAGGAATGTGCTTGGCATCTGAGTTTTATTTTGTTTGGTGGGGGTACTTATCTGTTAGAAAAAAATGAGGATCAAAAGTTTCGAATGGAACTTGCAGTTAGCAAAGCATTGTTCTGAATCACACCTGACAATTGCTTTTCATATAAACTTGAGATTAACATCTTTATTTTACAATATAAAGAGGAAGGATGTCCTTTCTCTCGTCTTCCCATTCACTTTAGTACAGTACATCACAGCTCAATCACTTGCAAATGCTTAATAAACACAAATGAAAACAAATATGCAACCCAACCCGATACATCTTGATGATCTTAGTTCCTTTGCTCAAGCTCCAGCACCAAGTCTGCAGTTGCAAAATCAAAATGTTCATCAGTACTAATGGCTATATGTTATAACCCAAAAAAAAAAAAAAAAGAGCATGTAAAATTTTCCCTATTCTAGTGAGTTGTGAAGTTGATACATTGACTGTGATTGTAACTTTTGAATATTGCAAAACGTTTATTGAATGCTCATGATCTTATGTATGGGTGAAAAATAATATCATTTTCAGTACTTGACTGCACCTAAGAATGTTATGCTTTTCATTCCTGAGCTATGATTAGCTAGCACTCACAGTCAGCATCAGTTCTAATCCAGTGCTCTGTATTTCCGCTAGACTGGCTGCTACTGAGACCAAACTGGGGCTCTTTCAAGCCGTTCTCGTAATTGGCGGTCTTTTGAATTGAACTGCACTTCAGGGTAGTGTCATGCCTGGCCTTTAGTCGCTCCACCCAGGATGTGGTTGAGTGTTTTGCATCCGTAGAGTCCTCAGGGTGCACTTTTCGACAGAACATGTTAAGCACCTGAATGCCAAACATGGAGAAATTTGAAAATTTGGATGGAAACATAATAGATAAATTAGTCAGCTAGATATTCTGCATTTCATGATGAGCTCATGCCTTCTGAAGTACTGGTTCATCTCTGTAAACCTCAATCTTTTCTCCTTCTCCATGAACACAAAATTCTAGTTGTTTGATACCCAGTGGTATTGTCTGCTCATTTCGCATGTGTTCTCTAACTTTCAATTAAAAGTAAGGCAATACGATATGGTGAATGCACAACTATGTTATGATCTTTCTGAACATGTAAGTGGAAAGACAACCAACAAAATGAATTTTCAAATATAAGCATCTGTTTTTATGACACTCATATATTTGCAACCTAAATATTCTGCTTGATGCCCTTTGTCTTGGTTGTTCGTGCAATATCCTTGAGTAAACAACATCCATATGCCTAGTTCTTTCCAATTCAATGCTATCAGTCTGATGGTTAATTGTTTTTTCCCACTAGCACTTTGTCTTATATTTCAGGCAAGAGTACACACCTTGTTAGTATTTTTCTTGGTGGGGATAGTTTTGTCAGCATCATCCTGAGAAGTTTTCTTTCCTGGAGGAGCATGAAGCTTCTTCAGTATCTTTTTGAGCAGGAGTTTGACAGATTTTTTGTCTTGCTTGGGAGGCATCTCAATTGGAGTGTCGTCATCAGTAAGTTTCGTCCTGCGGAAGATCTCTCCAAGTGATAACTTTTCCTTCTTTTTTTCTGCTCTTGTTTCTGGCAATTCAATGGACGACCCAAATAGATAACCTTGGAGAGGACTTACTATTGACTTTTCATGGCCTCCAGCTTCCTCTACTTGCATGCCATTGAGTGTGATAATGCTAACATAACTGCTTCTAGCCAATGCATCATCAGTGCCTTGTACTTCTTCTGCCTCAGCCTCTAGAAATTTTTCTAGCTCATCTCTTATGAGATTCAGGTCGTTCTCTGTCACTTCTAAATTTTCTTCTGCAAGGTTATCCTCCTCCAAAGATGCGGGAAATGTCGGTGTTGCAGGGCTGCCGGTGATTTGTTCTGAACCAAGAGTTCCAATGGCTAAAAAGCCATGGAAAAGGTCAGAGCTGAGAAAAGCAGTGTCACCTTCGTTGGTGACACCAATACCTGCAATTTCAGTCCCACAGGAATAGGCTTCGAGTCTCTGGGTATGCTCACTCAAAGTGTTGTACCTGATTCTGGATTCAGAACTTGGTCGTACAGGGGAGAACTGGTCATCGAATGATGATGGTGCTGAAAGGCAAGTACAACAGTTTCCTGACGATGAAGTATTGGAAAAAATTAACAGAATCTGGAACATGGTATGTATTTGTCTTAAGTTCACTGATAGGATACAAGTACGTCCATCTATTAGCTAAAGCATTCTTTGAGGTGTTAATTAGACATTGGAATTCTATTTGATGCACACAAAGCCTAATATTGAATATCACAGAAGCTCATACACGTACTCACATGCACAAACATCCTGTTCTAGGATATATTTTGGGGTTGTCTTGATGGTAAAGCACATGAACCATGATGGCTAGAAAATAAACAGTAGTAAAAGGAAAGTTTTTTTTACCTATTGGAAAATCCTTGAAATGCTCAGCTTTCGTTCGCCGAAGTTTATCGTGCATCCAACCAAGGAACTGCAACAAGTAAATGAAACCTAAGTGCTAGGATCAATCATGTTTTGATATACCAAGAACAGAGATAAAAGTATACTTACCCTCATTTTGCTCTTTCACCTATGGATCTGTCCTTAGATTGTTTTCTTGGTCATATGGACAGATGAATATATATGTCTGTTATGCTGGAGAAAATTGAGATGCTGTAGAGACATGGATAGCCAAGACCAGCATACGAGGATCTTTTCAATAACGACTCTTCTATGATTGCGTATTCAGTTGGTGCTTGAAGGGTCCGACACAGACATAGGCAGAGAAAAACATATAGATGCATACAAGTTTTTGGTTGGCTGTTTTTTGTCAGTATCAAATCAAGTAGAAGAATTAAGGAGTAGTTGGGAGTACTGCAAGTTGTGTGGTATTGCTGTGCATGTGATATGGTTTTCAGTCAAAGTAATCCTAGTCGATGTAGTAAATTGTGGTGTTGCATTTGGTTTTGTTTTGCGGAGTACATTTTGCTTAGGAACACGATATGTGAATGAGGTGAATAATGATAACATAATCACATATTTGTGCTCATTTATTTGCAACAAGTACACTTGTGCTGTCATAGAAACTGGAAATCATGCATTTGGTTGCAGACTTTTAAGTTACTTCACTGAATCTTCAGTTGGAAAGTCTTAAGTTTATTGAACTTCAACCCTTAAGTCTAGGAGGATTTATCAGTATTTAGTATACTTTTTCTCATTTATTTAAACTAATTATCCCCTTTATGATATCCCTGATGGTCATCAATTTAAGAAAAGAATAAATAAAAAGAGAAACAGGTTTCCTGTGGTAGCTGTGACGACATGTTCCTTTGAAACCTAGATTAAGACTCATATTTCAAGGATATATAACTTCAGTAGGGCTTGTTTTTGGAGTTCTTATTAGGAGCCTAAATTTTAAAATGGTTTAAACCTTGGGTTGATTGGATCTTATTAGCAAGTTTTGACATGGGTGTGAATGAACAGGCTCTGTAGAAGTGTTGGTTTTTCCCCTCAAAAGAAACCAGTTTGAAGTGGCAAGTTTAGTTTACCCCCATGCTAACAGATATTTTCTGTTCAGTACTCATTATTACTGCGTTATACATTCATTTGTTTGGGGACACCATAGAGTGTAAAAGATGAGTTATCTGAGCCTTTTTGGCAAGTCATGCTTCTGTTCACGTACTTCTAACTGCAACATTGTTTTTTATCTGCACTTTGTGTCTCTTGCATGAAATAACTCTGTTTCTATTGTGAAAATGTTGAGAGTCGGACCGTTTCAAGTGGGAACTGACTATCTTCTGTTGTTGTATACCCTCATGATTATCATCATTTTCCCAGTGCTCAATATCCTTCCCTGTCGTCCTTACCTTTTTTTCCTTATGTCGTGACTCATTGGGTCTTTTTCTTCACTTTTGCCTGAGGTGTACATAGGATTGAACACGTCCATGTCATCTGTAATGGTCTTTGTTGTCTCGATGCTTGCGGGTATTTGTTCACGGGACACCTGTTCTAACATGATCATGTTCTCCCTGTCAGGTAAACTAATTTTCAGGAAGGTCCAGTACTCCAAAGGATGGGCCTAATTAGTGAGTTTTCTTTCTTTCCTTTGTCTGATGTCTTGTACAACTCTCCCATGTTCCTTTCCCTTTTGGCAACTAAAAGTGCCTTTCCCCATTGTTTCCATTTCCTTAGAAATGTAGCTGGTGCTTTTCATGGATTCACAAGGTTGATTACTCGTAAGTCTGTCTTGTAGTGCCATAGCTAAAGTCTTGAATTATCAGGTGCCCTCCTTTCCCTTTCCTCACATGTAATCGAAAGGCAGCCCCCCATGAAAACAGGTGTATGCTCGTCGTATTTGCTGGACAGACCATAGCCCTCTGAGCTGCCATGTACTGAAGTGGCAAAAACTGTCTATCCTAAGTTTGCTGGGAAACACCATGTCCCATTTGAACAATGGAGAGCATTAACTAGCATGATAATTGTTAAGCTTAGTTTTCTATTTAGTTTTTTGTGCCCCCTTATTAGAATCTATACTCTCCATGATTATCAAATTTGCTTCATGATGGCAATGACCAACGGATGTTTGTCTGCTACTTTCTTGCAGGAACCGTAACCTTTTCTGCCGAGAGATAGTCTAAGGTAAACACAAATTGCTTACAGTAACTTGCTACACATTGCTTTGATATCTGCTCTGCATTCACAGTTCCCTTGTGGATCAATAGACCACTGCCAGAAAACAACATCATTGAATCAGTTTATAGAGTTTCAAGAATCTGCTAGGAAAATATTGCTTCTGGAGCAGTTCCAGGTTGCATAGAGAAGTTAAATGAGTCTAAAAAATCTGCTATCGAGTTGCAGTGCCTTAGAGGGTAGTTTCGAGAGAATGAACATGAGAACCCTACCAGTCCCATTAGGAAAAATATGGTTACGCGGGAACTAATCGTACTGTATAATACGGCATTGATTTGATGGGTAGTTAAGTGAAGCAACGTAACCATGGAACTGCATTATTGCAAAAATACATTATGATGGAGAGACAACCTTGACTACAAACTGTCACAACCTAACCTTGTCGATGAGGAAAAGAACTGGGAGCTAGAGAACGAAGGAGTTTTGCCACGTTTTGAATGGCTCTTTTAGGCGCACCACTAAACTACAAAGGGATAGTGGCTATGGCTTGGGGCTGTATATAATAGGTGGTCGACTGGTTAAATAGAGAAATGTAGGTTGTATAGTAAACAATGATGAATGGTCAATATAGACTGGAAGTAGACATGTAACTTTCAAAGTTTGTGTACCTGCAGGTGCAGGAGACATAACTAGAAGTGGGGTGGCAAATAGCTAAGGGCCTTCAATAACCTTCTGGTATATTTTGAGAATGCATGTATTTCGGTTTCCAGGTAATATGACATACAGTTGTTTGTTTTTTTTGTCATACTTTTTTTTGTTATTTAGTTTCCCCCTTCATTCATCTCAATGCTACCCTTTGTCATTTAGACGATGTTCTCATTTCAAATGCATGTATTTCCCTTCATTTATCTCAATGCTGGAATTTTCAGCCTGATTTAGACAGTTTTCTCATTTCAAATACATGCATTTTTACGCTAGGAAAACACACCCACAATGATTATGATCCCCATTACCTAGTGATATATATCAAGGGAAATGTAGTATTAGTCTATGCATTACTTCTCCAGCACAACAGTCACCAAACCAAGCCAAACACAAAGCGTCCAAACTTGCGAGTCATGTAGGTAAGGGCTGATGTCTGAATAAGCTCGAATGTTTTCTGTGTGGAATGACTTTAACGGTGTTGATTGATTGAGTAGAGTCCATGTGGAACCCTCGTGCGAATACCTAAGATCACGGCGGGTTCTTCTGCCCATTCCTTATTGGCACACGCCTTGAATTTGCTCTTCGGAGTAGAGACAGGAGTTCCTGTTTGTGGTCACATCAACAATCACTAGTTTCTAAATTCTAACCCACTTAGGATTTATTTTTTATTGACGTTTCAAGCAATGCATTCCCATATGGTGGTTAGCACTTAGCACTGAATGGTAGTCGTCGTAGCAAATGGTCACAAGTGTCATTGACGGAGGGTCTACCTATCTTGGCTGAACCATCAAGATACATGGCAGCCTTAAATTAAGTTCATCTTCTTGCCAATTATTGATATGATTGTGTTCTTAAAATATAAGTTGTTGTACAAAATCTTAGGATTAGGCCTTTGAGACCATTCGAGAACTAGCATAGGATATGATACTGATATTGGAAAAGTATATATAGAATTCTCCTTGAGTTTTAATTAGTTTCCTGATTGAACCAAAAGAAAATTTCCAGTTAACTTTATGCTCGATTCCATCACATCACATGATAAATTGTGGTATCATATATTCAGTATGGACGTTAGAATTGAATTCTCCATGGTACTAACCTATTTGCAAGGTACTTTATAGTTCAGTGGCGTTTTTTCCTTGTTATAAAGAGTTAAGTGAGTTGGAGAAAGATGCATCCGAAAGTCGTTTAGTGACTTGGATAAGGTTGATTTTTGGTTATGCAACATCTTTATTATTAGTTTTAGCATTTTGAAAGTTTTGACCAACAACTCAAACGTGAATCATGCCAAATAGAGGATTACACCTTGAGGTGTTCCCATTGGGAACCTGCTCTAACAACTCCCCTACAGGCTATAGCACAAGCGAGCAGGAAATAAAAAACAAGAATCTTTAGTGCCATACTCTTTGGTATAAGGACATAGAACACCATCCACCCGCAAATGCACAACTACCATGCAAGTTGAAGGATTGTATTTCTGCCCATTGCCTAGTTACTTCCTCCATGATAGATAATGCATTTTTTATGTGCTGAGGAATTGGTAGTATAGTTGAATGTTTAAGACGGTTCTCTTTGTGGTCAAATCAGGATAAATATTACTGAAAGTGAACGTCCTGCATGGTGCGTTTGAAGATGTAAGCTGCCAACAATGAGATCAATGTATAACCCCACCGTCAAGAGACAAAGGTAAGCAATCAACTATCTTACATATTGTAGTCACTTACAAACTGTTGGTAAATCATAACAGAAACACACCAGCACCTCTCACGTCTGTCGCAAGGGAAACCGTGGCTGAACTTGCATGGCTATGCGCACCACGTTGGGCCGGTTTATAGGACATGGATCGTTTATGGCTCTCTTTATATGCTGGGCTGAAGGCCCAAGCTTACCATTCTCGAGGGACGTGATCCCGTTTACGTTCCCGAGGGGTTCGCTGATGCCAGGGCCGCCCAGAATTGACGAAATAGCTTTGGGCCTTTGAAACATGACACTCCAGTGAACTATAAATATCCTCACAAAATAAAATTGTAGGAGGATAACGGTCGCGGCTCACGTCACGGTCGCTAAATCCATGGCCCATGCATGAATGCGAAAAAATCCCCGTCAACACACTCCCATGCGTAAATTAATTGACCATCCTTTTGGCATGTTCTATGAAATCGTACCGTATTCACGGTTTAACCACAAATTATTAATATCAGAGGCTAAATTAATAGGTGATATTTAACGGTCTAACGGTTGAACTACGATTAAATCACGGTTTTATCATAAAATATTATATTGCTAACTTTTCTAGTATGATATTCGATATGGTTTCATGGACCATGCCTTTTAGCCGGAATTGCAGACGTTACGGAGCAGGCTCTCCTAATTACCTACTGCTTTCTCTCTCAATTGACGGCTCAGCTCTCAGTCTCTCACCACGAGTCGGATGCTCAGTTGCGGGATATTGCTCAACATCTAATCCAAACCCAATGGAATCCCTTTTCTTCCTCCTCCTTTGCACATCTCTCGTTTTGTCTCTAAATCTGAATCTTCCCGAAGAAAAAAAGGAACCACCTCCGCCGTGTCAAGAACCAGTTGATCCAATAACTCAAGTTGTTGGGAGAGGTTCAATCGTGGATCATATACCACAACACTAACACGCCCCCTCAAACGAAAGCCACTCACAAGGGCTTGAAGTTTGCACAGGTCTGAAGACAAGAATACCATGTGCTTAACAAATGGAGTCATCGGGAATCGAACACAAGACCTCTCGGTCATAGAAGGCTCTGATACCATGTCAAGAACTAGTTGCTCCCAATAACTCGAGTTGTTGGGAGAGGTTCAATCGTGGATCATATACCACAACACTAACACGCCCCCTCAAACGAAAGCCACTCACAAGGGCTTGAAGTTTGCACAGGTCTGAAGACAAGAATACCATGTGCTTAACAAATGGGGGTCACCGGGAGTCGAACACAAGACCTTTCGGTCACAGAAGGCTTTGATACCATGTCAAGAACCAGTTGATCCCAATAACTCGAGTTGTTGGGAGAGGTTCAATCGTGGATCATATACCACAACACTAACACGCCGCCATTAACCGAGATATCCGAATCCCTGCTCCTGGACTCCGCCGGCGCCGTCCCGGTAGAGCGGGTGCCGGAGTGGAAGGAGCAGATCACGGTCCGGGCCCTTGTCGTGAGCGCGTTGATGGGCGGACTGTTCTGCGTCATCACGCACAAGCTCAACCTCACGGTCGGAATCATCCCCTCGCTGAACGTCGCCGCCGGCCTACTCGGCTTCTTCTTTGTCAAGTCCTGGACTGGAGTTATGTCCAAATTAGGGTTCAGCGTTGCTCCGTTCACCAAGCAGGAGAACACGGTGATCCAGACTTGCGTTGTCGCAATCTACGGCCTCGCCGTCAGCGGTAATGCGGTATATAGCTTCTTCGTGTTTGCCTGCTTCCTGACTTTGAAATTTGGTTTTCATAGTGTTACTTGTTGATGTTGTTGATCATTGTTGGTAGGTGGATTTGGTTCCTACTTGATTGCTCTGGATGAGAAGACGTATGAATTGATTGGGAAGGATTATCCTGGGAATCGGCCGCAAGATGTTATGAACCCTGGACTAGGATGGATGATTGGGTTTATGTTCGTGGTCAGCTTTCTCGGGCTCTTTAGCCTGGTTCCACTCCGCAAGGTAGCTCATTTATCCATTTCGAACACTGTCATCATTGAATGTTTGCTAATATATGCGTTGTGCGGAGAAGTTGAAGTTCCCAATTCAGCATACAATTCGAGGATAAAGTGTGAATGTGGTTATTGATGAAAGGATTCAATGTTTTGGTCATTTTGTACCTTGTGTTCTCTGTTTTTACTCTGTTCTATCTGTAGTGATTAGATTCAATTGGAAGATGACTAAATGGCTAAATTGTTCGTTTGGATGCTAAATGTTTACTGTGTCACTTGTTATGGTCTGCATGGCACCGAATTATGGTTGGGTTGATGGTCGGCTTCTTCTCTTACGTATTTCAAATCTGGTTCTTATTTTGATGATAGGTTATGGTAATGGATTACAAGCTTACTTATCCAAGTGGGACTGCTACGGCAATGTTGATTAATTGGTTTAGGTTGAAGAAGGTAGAGAAGAAAAATGTAAACTACGAAAGACCGATGATAATCCTTCCCTTGATTTTACTTGACTAACCCCACTAAGATATACTTTTTTATATAATAAATACTACGAGATACTTGTTGGAAGAAAAATATAGAGAACAAGTTCCTGAATGACCTCCTCTGTACACCATTAAATGAATAGCTTCCCTTTTACCAATATATATTTTCTCTATACACTGGTGTTTAACTCATTCCTTTCTTTCTGTTTGCTTTCATGGGGATTCTCAACTCTTGATCCGCCGGATGATTGGAGGTGATATGCATCATGTTCGGGGTGGCGCTATTTTGGAAGACGTTAGGAGCTTGGCATCTTCCTTCCTCGATGTTTCTTTCGTTTTTGTTTCTCGACAACTTAATAGGGCTGCCCATCATGTGGCACAACAGGCCCTTTCATCGGGAGTTCGGCTATTTGTCGACTCCCGCGCTTTACTTTCTTCTGGCTTCTGACTTTGGTTTCCTTATCTGACTTTGCCAAAAAAAAAAATCTTCCTATAAACGTAACATGTATTGTTGTAAAATAAGTCGTCTTTAGTCTATTTGAGAGCCTATACACGTGTAGAAGTGTGTGCTAAGTTAAATATATGAGAGGCAGAAATATTGTTGGAAAAAATAAAATTAAAAGAGGATAGTGGTAGTGGTTCACATCTAAGGATGGTTATTTGAAACCCTGTCATCCGCGATGGGGCGGGTATTACCTGAGCCACAGTAACATGGGGCGGGACATGGGTAGCTACTTCCGACTTGTCTCATTTTTAGCCTATTATATCTCAATTCCTTACAATATCTATTCATATTTCTCATATTTAGACTTTTCTTTAACAAGTTAGATTTGATCTTTGAACTAGTTAGACTCAATTACCTATTATATTATCACTATTTTCATCCTTAAAGTGTTTTCTCTCAATTTTATCAGAAAAAAGTAAAATTTACATATATTTTTTTCAAATAATAAATAGAAAGAGTTGGTCGCCCCGCCCCATACCCGCATGATATTACCCTCTGCAACTCATTATAATGTGGGACAAGACATGAATATTGAGGTAGCCGTCTCACTTCTTCCCATTTCCATCACTACTCACATCACCGTCGCTAAAATCCATCGCTGATGTTCCTCTCAAAAATCACACTCCCCAACGCATAAACTAGTTGATCATCCTTTTGGCGGTAATCGCATTCGTAACGGAACAGCCTCTCCATAACTACCTGTCGCTTTCTCACTCGATCCGACGGCCCAGATCTCACCACGTGTCGGATCCTCACTCGTTCGACCGCTAGCCTCCACTTCGGCAAAAATATATTGCGGGAAAATGTTCAACACCTACTCCACACCCAATCGAATCCCTTTTCTTCCTCTTCTCCAGATCTCTCGTTCTGTCTCTGGATCTGAATCTTAGCGGCTAAAAGGGAGTGTCCTCCGCCGCCGTTTCGGCAATGGGGACCGAGATATCCGAATCCCTGCTCCTGGACTCTGGCGAGGCGACCAAGGTCGCCGGCGGTGACATCCCAACCGAGCAGGTACCGGAATGGAAGGAGCAGATCACCATCCGAGGCCTGGTCGTGAGCGCGCTGCTGGGTGGACTGTTCTGCGTCATCACGCACAAGCTCAACCTCACGGTCGGAATCATCCCCTCGCTGAACGTCGCCGCCGGGCTACTCGGCTTCTTCTTTGTCAAGTCCTGGACTGGAGTAATGTCCAAATTAGGGTTCACCGTTGTTCCGTTCACCAAGCAGGAGAACACGGTGATCCAGACTTGTGTTGTCGCTACTTACGGCCTCGCCTTCAGTGGTATATAGCTTCGTGATTGCCTGCTTCCTGGATTTGAATTTTGGTTTTCCTTGTCTTAATTGGTGAAGTTGTTGATAATGGTTGGTAGGTGGATTTGGATCCTACTTGATTGCTCTGGACGAGAAGACTTATGAACTGATTGGTAAGGACTATCCTGGAAACCGGGCGCAAGATGTAATGAACCCTGGATTAGGATGGATGATTGGGTTTATGTTTGTGGTCAGCTTTCTCGGGCTCTTTAGCCTGGTTCCACTCCGCAAGGTAGCTCCTTTATCCATTTCAAACACTGTCATCATTGAATGTTTGCTAATATGTGTTATGCGGAGAAGTTGAAGTTCCCAGTTTATCATACAATTCGAGCTTAAACTGTGAATGTGTGTATTGATGAAAGCATTCAATGTTTTGCCCATTTGTAACCTTATGTAGTCTGTTTCTCCTCTGTTCTCTGATTATTTGGTGAATTAGCGTCAAAAGGGATATGACTAAATGGATAAATTAATGGTTTGGAGGCTACATGTTTACTGTATAATCTGTTGTGGCCTGCATGGCACTGTATTGCTACAAATTATGGATAGATAGATGGTCGGCTTTAAATCTGGTTCTTATTTTGATGATAGGTTATGGTTATGGATTACAAGCTTACTTATCCAAGTGGGACTGCTACAGCGATGTTGATCAATAGTTTCCATACAGATACTGGAGCAGAGCTAGCTGGGTGAGTTTGTAATACTATTCATTCAGTCCTCTTAGTTTGTAGCCTTCTGGATGGTGAAAGATAGAGCTATAGGTTTGTTTGCATACATGAGAAATCAAGGTTTCATTACCTTGTAACTCTGTCTTCTTTTTGACGTTTCGTTGATTTACAGTAAGCAAGTCAAGTGTCTTGGGAAGTACTTGAGCATGAGTTTTGTCTGGAGCTGCTTCAAGTGGTTCTTCAGTGGTGTTGGAGACTCGTGTGGATTTGACAACTTCCCTAGTCTTGGTCTGACACTTTTCAAGAACTCGTAAGTTGCTTGGACTTTTTCCTAATTTTGGCTGGACTATATAGTTTGTCTATTTTGGCATTAGCATTCTTACTTTGACTTTAACCCTTGCAGGTTTTACTTCGACTTTAGTCCTACTTATGTTGGATGCGGTCTTATTTGTCCACACATAGTTAACGTCTCCTGTCTTTTGGGAGCTATCATCTCTTGGGGCTTCCTGTGGCCCTTCATCTCTGAGAAAGCTGGTGACTGGTATCCAGCTGACCTCGGTAGCAATGATTTCAAGGGCCTTTATGGATATAAGGTACGATAGTAAACAGCTTGAGTCTCTTGTCTCGTTCTACATTTCTCAGTCTTCATGAACAGAGATTCTATACATTGTTAAGACACGAGTGGTTTCTAGAAGACCCAACTTACCCTTTTCAGCAGTGTATTCTTTGTCATGAAATCATTTCTGGAATGAGATGTTCATTCGTGCTTTGTTTTTGTTTGCAGGTCTTCATATCTATTGCTATTATTCTCGGGGATGGACTCTATAATCTAGTTAAAATCATTTATGTTAGTACCAAGGAATTGCTGAACAAAAGCACCAAAGAGCACAAGCTTCCTGTCATCACCGAGATTCAAGGTAAGGTTTCTGATTGTCTCTAAAAAGCTACTTAGTTACTTAGTAGCAGGCCTGATCTTTTGATCTGAAGGAAATATTGTGTCTATCTTTTATTTCCCAGATGACGAGACTTCAAAAGTGCTACTAGAGCAAAAACAGCGAGACACTGTATTTCTAAAAGACAGAATCCCCTCCTGGTTCGCTGCATCAGGGTATGTCTGCTTAGCAGCAATCTCAATCGCAACAATGCCGCTCATATTCCCACCTCTCAAATGGTACCTCGTCCTTGCATGCTACATCCTCGCACCAGCTCTCGCCTTCTGCAACTCGTACGGCACAGGCCTAACCGACTGGAGTCTGACCTCCACCTATGGCAAGATCGGCCTCTTTGTTGTCGCCTCGATTATTGGCCCTAACGGTGGAGTTGTTGGCGGACTAGCTGCCTGTGGTGTCATGATGTCGATTGTCTCGACTGCTGCTGACCTAATGCAGGTAAGGGCGGCTATCCTGTTTGGTTCTGGTTCTCGATTTCAGGTTACCTTAACGGTCATCACCGAAATAATGGCTCTGGCTAACTACCTTTGTTTGCGCAGGACTTCAAAACGGGCTACCTCACTTTATCCTCCGCCAAATCCATGTTCGTCAGCCAGCTGATCGGAACAGCCATGGGATGCGTCATTGCTCCATTGACCTTCTTTATGTTTTGGTCGGCTTTCGATGTAGGTTCTCCGGACGGACCCTACAAGGCGCCCTACGCAGTCATATTCAGAGAAATGGCGATACTGGGTGTGGAAGGGCTGTCGGAGCTCCCCAGGAACTGTTTAGCCATATGCTATTTCTCCTTCGCAGCTGCATTGGTTATAAACCTTCTCAAAGACATCACTCCTAAGAAGATCTCCCAGTTCATTCCCATTCCTATGGCCATGGCGATCCCATTCTACATCGGAGCTTACTTTGCAGTGGACATGTTTGTGGGAACGGTGATACTGTTCGTGTGGGAGCGAGTGAACCGGAAGGATTCGGAGGACTATGCAGGGGCTGTTGCCTCCGGGTTGATATGTGGCGACGGGATATGGACTATACCATCGGCTGTTCTTTCGCTGTTGAGGGTTAACCCGCCGATTTGTATGTCTTTCGGTCCTGCTTTGAGTCGCTGAGATTTGACAAAGATGAAGGGTTATCAAACTGCTCTCTGGAATTTACAGTCCATCATGTGTTGTAAGCTCATTTGGTAGGGAAGAAGCAGTCTCTGGTCTCTTTGAGAGCCTGTACATGTGTAGAAGTGACTGTAAATATCATGCAAAGCCTAGGGAAACAACAGATCCTTTGTTGTATCGTAGTTTTTTTTTTCCCCACTTTTCAGTACATGTCTCTGGTTTATCTCATTATGTTGAATCGTTGTTAGGGCCACGATGCTTCGATTGATTTGATCTTAGGTTTTGATTTGGGTTTTTATTGAGTGTGGCTTTCCGTAGGTGTGGATGAAACCAAATCGAGGATTGCCGCTGTTGCTCAAGTTAGTATAGGGTGTAATGCTTGGTCTACAGTTAGAAAGACAAGAACAAATACGTATTTTGTTGTAGAAAAGGGAATCGATTGCTTGGAGGGTTGATTAATACGCAAGTCACTGATACATAATACATATAATAAACTTGTAATGCAATACGGATCAATTCCAACCCTTTCATATCTAGATATGACATACCAATTAAGATTCCTTGAAAGAAAAGGAAATCTCTATTGAAAAATTCTTACTTGATGTGTTGTTATGAATTGCATTTGCTTATTGACACATCAAGCACGTGGTTTTGCTTATTGACACATCTAGTTGCCAATTTCATCAACGAAAATGATAAGCTAGCTAGGGTTAGCCGCTAAACCTATGCCACCATTTCCCTCTTTGCGTTATCTCTTCAGTTTTGTTTGCATATTGTTTGCCAAAACTCTATCGCCTCATTGGTGATTTGATTTCTCATTGCCCATTGGGTCATCATCAAACACTAATACTCCAACAAAGCTTGATTTGGAAAGAAGAAAGAAAAAAACAAAGCTTGCTTGATTTGTTATTGAGTTGTCCATTTGTCACTTGGAATCTTTTGTCAAATTTGTTTTTCTATAGTTTTATCATAAATTCAATCTTGTGGGTTGATCAAATAATATATATTTTTCTATACATTTTAAACATTTATATATTCTTCATTTGCCTAATGTTGAGTAAGCATTGTAGTTTTTTATATGTACAACACAAAATTATAATTTTTAATCTTTCGTTGGCTAGAATTTGATATTGAACTTTATATTGTTGGTTTATGTTGTTTTGTCTTAACGAAATTCCAGTCATTATGTTACCGTATAGAAGTTCCTATTTCTGAATACATAATGCTTATATATTAAATTTACACATACTCTATCATATTAGAATGCCATTGTATATCCCCGTACAGAAGATAAATTTAATCTGTACGAACAAACCAACTGCAATAAAAGAAAAATATTTGAGATCTAAATATACATCACAATTTATGGAGGATAAGATAAACAATATATTCTTCTTATTATTATTTTCCCTTTCGAAAGTAGATTACTTAAATGAGAAACCCAAAACTTGCTTAGCCATTGTAAATCATGTTAGCGTGTGGTATAAGATCTATTACTGAACTTCTCTCAACAACTCGAGTTATTGAAATCAACTGGTTCTTGACATGATATCAGAGTCTTCTGTGGCAGAAAGGATTTGTGTTCGAATTCCGATAAACCCCATTTGTGAAGCACATAATATTCTTGTAATTGCTGATTCTTCTTTTCATTTTTATGGTAACGTGAGAATATGTGACATGCAAGAGAATGATGAGAAGAAAACACCGAGAACAGGGAAAATGGGGTAAAGTCGAAATCAAGTGAAAGCGAAAGATAATCTCCATCATTTATGTGCACTACACACCACATTTCAAATCTACGCACAAAGGAGATAGATAATGGATGAGGTGTCCATATATATTCTGTCATCATTTGATAAATATAGTCATTTTGCATTTCTATTCAAACAGGATTTTTGGCCTGGGCCTATTGAAATTTCAAATTTCTCACCAATTGGGGGCCTTGTAGAATATTCCTTCCCCCATCTTTTTTTGTTTAACTTGCCAATTTATTTCACTCAACTTTGATTTTCGACGAGCTCATCATTAAATATTCAAATAACATAATTTCTTTGAAAAAAAAAGAGAGAACAACTTGCATTTTATCCATTTTCATCTAGCATTACACTTTCAAGTTAGTGTACTTATTATAACTCTCAAAATTACTATTTTTTTACAATAGTGATTTAATTAAAATAAAGGAAAAGAGTCCGAGTACTGATAAAATATATTGCATAGACCATCCTATGGCTCATATATATTGGATTAGATGAAGGGGTTGGGATGGATTCTGATTCTACGTATGAGTTAAACGAGGTGGAATAATAATGATATTTGTTTAGATTGATCGAGTTTGAGTTAAAAACTTAAAATTAATCGTACGTGATAACGAATAAACGGTTACTATAATCTAAGTGATCTTCCATTATTTGAATGAGTTGAGACACTAATTTGGATAATTCCAATGACAAATCTAATGAAGGTGAATGGATCATCGATGACATTAGTTTTTTCAAATTTTATTATTGAGCCTAAAGATTAAATTTTAGTGCCCAATTTATTAATAACCTCAATGTATCACCATTTATAAAATAGCCGTATGTAATAATATACAACAATATATCCCCCAACTTATAACGTCCAACTACCAATAAATTGATCGGTTGTGACCTTTCGTCCTTGTTATATGGTGTTGTTAGTCGATTGGGGTTTTCCCTTCTAATTCTATTCTGGCTATTTGACTTCTTGTCACGGCCCAACCATCTAGCTAGTAATGGCTTTTCGACCTATCTAATCGAACCTTTTGTCTACTTGTGGAAATGGATCATCATCCTCCCAAGCATAAACAGCTAGCAGCCACAAATTTCAGAAACTGTAATGAGTCTAGAGCAACACAAATGGAAATTGATAATGCTTTTTAGCTACCAAAATTTATGCTGCATGGGTAAGATCGGAACTCAGAGTTAGCTAGTATGGAATTTGTGAATCCAATATTATGTAGCACCTACTACATTAAAACATTATTGGAATTGGAATGTCGTACAATAACTAATAATCAATGTAGAAAAGAGTTTGGGTTGATTCAAGAAACAAAAATTCATAAAAGGAACTATGACATATCATGAATATGATATTGCGTATCATCCTAGTACGTTAAAGTATTGTTGGAATAGGACATGGAGATATTGACATACAATAACAAGTAATTGATAATAAAAAATTTGATCGTTACAAAACATGAATGTTCATAAGAGAAGGTGTACATTCGATCTTAAAAAGGTGATCCACTCCGTAATGAGATTCTAAGTTGTTGTTATGCTGCTATTGTCTCGACAGGGATAACACTCGGCCTTTACAATGATTTTGACACTCGCTGCCAAATCCGTAGAACACACGTACACCTCCATGAACGCAAGTTGTAGCTAGAAAGGCTAGCTCTTCGAGCTGATCGACATAGACTATTGAACTGCCCTAGTTTCATAGTGAAGGCATGTTGGAAGCTGGATAGTCTTAATAATGTTCATATGTAAGTTCCATATACATATATCGAAGTAGAATGATGCATGCCACGTAAACTCCAAATGTTAACTAATACTTCACATTATTTATTGTGCCACATGACATGTGGTCATTAATATAGATTACATATATTAATGTAGGAAAACAACAAGAGACAACATAGTTGATTGCGTTGGCAGGCTGGGAATTAGCTAGCTAGATGGGTTGGCCGAAAACGAATGCAACTTTTGAAAAAGGAAGAAAGATCCAAAGTTTATCTCTTTACCGGGATGGGAAGTAGTGTTTGAAAACCTTGGCTCGATAATACAAAAGCATAACATCTGACCACCACATCATCAAATTGATTATTCTCTTCTATTAGAACATATTCATTATCTATAATTTTGTTGTTCAATAAATAACATTATCAGTATAATATTTTTCTTCAAACTTTCAACATGTTAAATACAAAGTGGACATGTATATTGAAACAACCTGTTGAAGTTCATCATGTATTGGTTTGTAGTTAATCAGACTATGATAATTTGTTATGAATCATTTAGTCTCCATAATTTGATTTGTTGGAACGTACATGTTCAATTATGACTGCCAATCGTGTTCGAATATTCAATGGTTTTTATTTTAGCTATTCTTTTCTCCTCCAATATTCAATGCATTTGAAGTTGAAATTTTCAAAATTATGTTTATATTGGAAGGAGATGATTCATCATACTCTCAAACAGCTGGATTGCAGAATGAGAGAAAAATGGTCCTACTATATTGTCTCCACCATAGGAAGCACCCAAACAATGAATAGTAATTAATGAAAATCACTTACACACAAATACAGTAAACCCCACTTTAATTTCCCCTCCTCTCTCCACCACCATCATTCATTAGCAATCCCCTTTAAACAAAAAAAGGGAAATGTCCCCCAGAAGATTAGATTTAGGTAAGTAAGTGGGTAGATTTTACATTAATTATCTCATTGAGTTAGACTTGTAGTGCTGGGGATGATGCATATATATTATAACATTTTAATCCATATGAGTTATTCAACTATTGGTGGAATTCGGTTTCTTAATGCAAACAAAATCTCATGCACAATATGAAATATTTGTACTTTACAATAGATGAAATAAGAGATAGATTGACAACTTAAGTTAAACATGTTCTTGCAACAAGAACTAAATTATTAATATCAAAACTTATAGTTAAATGCCATGAATAAACTAATCGAGGAGTCATTTACCCTTTGATATGCAAATTACCAAAAACATTAAGAAAGGAATATCTATCCTTCCAATGGGTATCCTTAGTTCATGGGTGATTAGTATTTAGTTGCTTGTTATTCACGTTGGGTGCAAGACAATGATAAAAGGGGCTGAAAATTTGGATTGATAGGAAATCAAATCTATTCCCATTATGGTGACCAAGAGCTGCATGAAAGTTCCATGCATTAGATGTAAAAATAAAAATTAAAAATTACATCCCTAAAAACAAATTGAAGAAGAAGAAAAAAGATCCTAAATTTTCTTTTATCACCAATTTTAGAGGTAGAAGCTTGAAAGTGTGTCTTTGTCATGGGACAGTGATTTTTCTCTTCTACTTATGACTTGATGAAGGAATCCTTCTCAACCCTTATCTTTTATCTATCCACATCCACTCCCTCTCTTTATTGCATATTTATAGTTCTTTTTTCTCCTTCCTTCAGATTCTTCAACAACAAGAAAAAAAAGGGAAAACAGCTTTCATACCAACTTGCAAATATTTGAAAATTTTGTTGAATTTTAAAACCATTTTGGATGTGTAATTGAGAAAATGAAGTCAAGATTGGTATCATTTTCTCATTCATTGATAAAAAAAATATTTAGGGTATTTTTTAAATTTGTTACAATTTTTGACTGTATTATGGACTAGGCTAATGGTTTATGAGTTCAAATGCTTCTAGAACTAGGTAAGATGAAGTGAATAAGAAACTAAAATCGACCGATCATTCACAGATAAAAATTTGGTTGATCAATTACCATTTTTTAAATTTTTCATAAAACTTTCCTGAGAATATCAATTAGTGAGCCAAATAGAACAAAAGTTGAAGCAATTACATAGCTTTCATTGGTAGTCTATTTCATTATTTCTACAATATTTTATTATACATACTTTTGTCATTCATTTGTGACCAGAGTTTTACTAGTTTAAAACACAGAGTTGATGAAAATGTTAGCAACCCTTCAATTATGGAACATATATAACAAATCTTACAAAAGCATCTTAGGTGGTTGTTACCTCCCTAGCTTAGCAATAATATATACAACTAGTAAACAATTATTTACTCAAATCCCCATTTGCTTTGGTGGTGTTTGTATAGATATGTTCATTGTTGTTTGGTGGAGATGAATTGATGATTATAAAAATACATTTGATTAGATTGTGGATTAAGACAAACCACAATATCACTTTCATGCCCTATCTATTGAGATTTGGGTTCTCTTTCCTTTCCACAATCATAATTATAATTTAATTATTTTGGTTAACACGTTAAGTGAATATAATAATGGAGGCATCTTTGTCATCGGAGAAACTCAAGGAACTTCCTGTCCTTTTCCTCAGCTTAGAAATTGGCATCCAAACTCATATTACAATAACTCATCTACTATTGACAAGTGTATACCCCCTCCTATTTCCCTCCACATTTTCGAATCCATCCAAGTTTTTTTTTTCCCATTAGTTTTACTAAAGAGTTAAATGAAGAGAGATTATATTAGTTGATTAATAGTGGAGACATATGTGATTACCTTCTTTTTCAAATGATGGTTAGCACCCCAAACCCATAATAAATCTCAATGCCAATTGGTTGCGGGTTTCGGCATATTGGCAATAGTGGATCCCTATCTTGTGGAGTTGGTGCTAAATTGAGATGAGTTTCTTGTGATTTTCAGCTTCGATTTATAAAATGTGATACTCGAAGATGATTTAGAAGTGGTGATTTGTCAACTTGCTCTTGGATTTGTGAGATTCGGTTAGCAGTCTCAATGCTAAGAAAATTGTCTTTGGATGATGTTAGTTCTAGAAGTAAGTTATTTAGAGTTTAATATGGTCGCTAGAAATGCTAATTGGGTTACCATAGGATGACACACAAAATTATTTCTTTGTCTTGTTTGAAGTTGTTTTCGTTTGATTCATATCGTGGTTGGGAAGAGGAGTGTAAAATAATTGATATATCTAAAAAAATGTCAATTCTCTTTATCGGTTGACAACTCAAAATGATATATGTAATTTCGAAACACTAACAACATTAAGTTCATCTTCAAGTACAATTATAGCTTGAACATAATGGCTCATATTTATCACTAAAATATTTGTTTATATGTCATATAAGTAATCTTTAAAAGAACAAACATGAATGTCATATTTGACAATACATATAAAGGTTGTACTTTTGTTCTCATAGGAGGCTAAATTATTTATTGTGAGCGCTTATGGTTTAGTGGCACAAAATTAGGTTAACATATAATTTGATCTCTCTCAGATTTTGTTTCTAGAAACATACAGCTCACACACTAATTACGTTGAACTTAATTAACACTTATATTAGCTGGGTTTTGCTTTATCTGATCAGAATATTTCTTTCAGTTTCCATCATTATCTTTGTTAGCACTACATAATTATGCCATCCATGTTTTATTTGACTGTAAGCTCTATCTTTATAAAAAAAAAAGACTGTAAGCTCTATCTATGATTATTTCAAGCACTATTGTCTAAAAAAAAACAAATCTGTTCATATATATATCAAAACCCTAGAATAAGTAATCCTTTTTTTGTTTGTTTTCTGGAATACGCAATCAAGTAATCATCAACTTTCTTAATTGCAGAGTCTTATCTCTTTTGTTCATGGAAATTAACTAAATTATCATGGAGCAATAACCTTAATAAATAAACTAATAAATCAGAAATAAACAGACTTTGATCGAGTTAAGAATGATGCATTTGAATTCACTGATTTCGCAATTTGAACTCACATCTTGACACTACAACCTTTAATTTGATTAGATTATCAGACTAATATTCATATAGACTATATCCATATACTTGAATATCATCTCTCATTTTTTTATTTGAAGAAAATAAAGACTTAATTCACAGTTAATCTTGGCATCAACCAGGTGGCCAGGCAATGTACAGTTTTCCTTCTTTGGAAAATCATATAAAAACCCTCTGGAAATAAATACTTAAATAAGAGAAAGAAAAAATAAAAAGCAATGGGAATTTGACAAATATTTTTAGTACACTAGTACTACAGTTGCAACAAAGATGGTTGAAAAGAAAAGCAAGACAAAGACCAAAAGTACTGTCAGGATATTTACCCTAAAAAACAAAAGGAAATCTGATAAGAAAAATGTAAAGGAAAAAAGAAAAGAGGTAAAGTGTTAAGAGGAACCCAATTCATGATAATGAACTCATGCACTAATTACACATAAACAATCAATTTGTAAGCCACCCTAACCATGTTCCATGCCACCCTTTATCACTCCTCAGGCTCTTGAGTGATTGATCTTATAGTTAATTATTGTTTTGCTTTACTTATCTTCCATTTAAAATTGCTATGGATATTATTAAATGAATTGTTCTGGTTTACTTATCTTCGATTTAGAGTTGTTATGGAAATTATTATACGAGAACAATAAGATTTATAATTAATTCCTTCTAACAATTTAAACTATTGAGAAAATTTGTATTAATTTTTTTTTATGGATACTATTATATGGTAACGTTAAGATTTATCATGAATTCCTTCTAACAATTTAAACTAAGTATTGAAAACATTCATATTTAATTTTTTTTAAAACAATTCAAGTTTAAAACCAACTTATTATGGACAATTATTTGATGTAAGATTGTAAGTTATTTAGTTCAAGAGTATATATAAAGCAATTACTCATTCTTCAAAACACAATAATTCCTAATAGGATATAGTAGTGACTTGTAAATTATGGCCAAGTCTATCAAAATATAATCGTTTAATAATATAGAAAGGAATGTTCAGTATCTAATCACAAGTGTCCACGTAGGCAGGTGCATGTCACAAGGGAGAAGCCAAGCATCTCACTTGGGTTTTCTTTTCTTTTCTTTTCCCCAATTGGAATTGGAATTGGGTGAGTGTGAGTCCCACTCCCTTCCCTTGTAAGACAGGGCAACATGAATGCCCTTTTGTTTCAATTATGGCATGCAATGCCATGCCTCATGAGATAAATAATAATACTAATTACTTAATGAATAAATAAGTAAATGGAACCAATCTGAGAATCCACATGCAATGGAGAATGCAATGCATGAGAGAATTATAACTTGAAGAAAAGCCCAAGAATGCATTGCATAATTGAACTAACCGCAGATAGTGTAGGTTGAAACACATATGGGTTAACTATCTACTTTGATTCATTTACGACTACATCTTTAGTCTCTGGCAGTTCTATTTTCCCCCTCCCCCAAAAACAGTGACAAAGGAGAAGTCATGAAAACAGAGGACTTTCTCTCTCCCAGCTCACCTCCTAGTTCTAAACATCCAAGCAAACAGAGACAGAGAGAGTGGGAAACAGAGGATAGAAGCAGAGAGAGAACTATCCCAAAAGGAAAAAATCCTCCTTTCCCCTCAAATAGAATAAAAATCGAGTCTTTATTTCTTTATCTTAATCTCAGCCCACCAATCTTCTCTCATGGATCCCAAAACCTCCTCCAACTCAAAACACCACCACCTCCTCCACCCTTCTTCGTCCTCTTCTACATCATCTCATGAACTGCAACACCTCCTAGCCAACAACAGCAGAACCATGGGAGAGATGAACACCACCACCAGCAGCAACAAGCCAGCTGAAATCAAGGACTTCCAAATAGTAATAGCAGCAGAATCAAACCCAAAGCAAAACCCACCACCACAACCATCCAAGAAGCAGACCCAACCCCAAATTCAGACCCAGAACCAGACCCAGCAGTTAGCTCCCAAGCGAAGCTCAAACAAGGACAGGCACACGAAAGTTGAAGGCCGAGGGAGGAGGATAAGGATGCCAGCTCTATGTGCAGCAAGGATTTTCCAGTTGACCAGAGAATTAGGTCATAAATCCGATGGAGAAACCATCCAGTGGCTTCTCCAGCAGGCTGAGCCTTCCATTATAGCTGCCACCGGTACTGGGACCATCCCGGCCTCTGCCTTGGCTTCAGCTGGTCCTCTCCCCATTTCTTCTTCTACTTCTCATTTCCCTTCTTCTGGGGTTCATTCTGATTTGGGGCCCAGCTCCAGTAGGCCCACCAATTGGCCACCAGCAGGAGTAGGGATTTGGCCGTACGCTTCTGCCCTTGCTGAGAATAGTAATCCTAACAATTACTTGCAGAAAATTGGGTTTCCAGCTGGGTTCGACTTGAGTGGTGGAAATCTGGGACATATGAGCTTTGCATCAATTTTGGGAGGGGGGAACGGTAATAGTAGTCATCATCAGCAGCAATTGCCTGGTTTGGAGCTTGGGTTGTCACAGGATGGGCATATTGGAGTGATAAATCCACAGGCTTTGAGTCAAATTTATCAGCAGATGGGTCAAGGGAGAGTGAATCAGCACCACCATTTACAGCAGCAGAATAGTCAGAATCATGATCAGAATCAGAGTCAGCAGCAGCAGCAAGGTGGGAAGGATGATTCGCAAGGGTCGGGAGGGCAGTCAGAGAAAAATGATTACAGTTGAGCCAGTTTGCTCACTTTTGGGACGATCAGTCAGTGTGTTGATGCTGTTGGATTGCACCGATGGTGTTATAGGGATTAGAGATTTGTTTGTTTGTTGATATATAGGGAGGGAGAAAAGAGAGGGAATTTGTGGATTTGGGGTTCATGGTTTGTTTGTCATAATAGGGATTGGATTGGATTTGAGGATTTTGCTTCCCTCTCTTTGTAAATGGGTAAAACCAACAAGTTTCTTCAAACTAAAGGTGATTACTTTACTCGAGTTTCCATCTTCCATATCTATTTTCGCCCAAAAACTTAACTTGTGAGTGATATTAATGTCTGTTTGTTGTTCCCTTTTGGGGTTGTGGGACTTTTGATGCAGGTGGGAGTTGTGCACATCCAGAAATAGGTGAATTTTATTCAACAGAAAGGTTTGTTGGATAATAGTGTGAGGTATCTTTGTTTTCTCTTTTCCTTTTCACAAATTATTTGGTTCCTTCTCCAGGTTCTGAATGGAGGGATTGATAGATGAAGATGATCTGTTTTTATTCTCCTGGGTTATTGAATATAGAAAATTGAAGTATGCTCTTTATATTGCTATACAGATAGTAGCAATAGAATCTATTGGGTACTTTGCCGCTATTATGTTAAAACATGGGCAGTTAGTATACTAATTCTTCAGTCTTGGTTAGTAATTTTATTTTCTTCCTCCCTTCTGCATAATTCTTAAGAGTTCAGGATGTCATTTTCCATAGAGCATCAAGCAGTCCATCACAAGTTTCTTCAGCAACTCAAATTATTTTGACAAGAATAGGTTCTCAACATATAAAATGTTTGTCAACCGAAAGGTTGTCTGGTTGTGTGTGTGTCAGACAGAATCGAAGTATCGAAGTAACCCTTCTCAACACCATTAGTGATTTGAGCATAAGGTATAACACATATGCATGCGAAATTTCAAGCCATTGTGTTCATTTTCGTGCGAGGACGCATGTAATTGTGCAATGAATGATGTATGACCTCATTCTTGCACCTCGCTCAATCACTCCTAAGTTATTAAGATGAATTGGCTCTCGATAATTTGATATGGTACTTTGGCTCTTTCTGCTTGGAATGCTTCATGAGTTTTCTAATTCCTTCTGATAAAAATCACAGCACAGAGATGCTCTACAATTCTGTGCCTGCAGGTTTTAGCTCTGACCTTCAGCTTATATTAGATCAGTTGAACAATTGGCAGATTCTTTTGTTGCTACATACTGCTGTTTTGACCCATTTTTCCCACTTGTATCACTGCCATTCCTTTTGGTTCTAGTTGGAGTCTTTACTATCTCATACATGTATTGATCGAATTCGTTGTTATATGAAGTTCTCTGCTACGGAAGTGACACTTTCCCCTGCATCCCTTCAGAAACTATACAAGACCTCACATGGAACATGATATATTTATATTAAAGTATTGTCGTTACTTGGAAAGGAAGAAAAAGACAGAAAATTGTTCCGATGAAGCATGACGTACCCACTTCACTTCCCTTTCCGGAGGGTTCTGGAGAAGAACACTAACTTCCTATGGCTTCTACATTCATGAAACATCCAATCCATAAGATACAGAGTCCCCCTTGGCCCTTTCTCTACTATATAAGCCCGCCAAACCACTGACGGATCACATAAACAAGAAGATCCCACCTTACCAAAACAGAACAAAGAGTCTCTTGCTACTACAGCACAAGAAGCCATGGCTTTCAGATCAACAGTAAGCCACCTTTGAATCAACCTTCCGTTCAGATCAACCAAGCATAATACTTGATCAATCAGCCTAATAATCTATTAACCTTCCCTTTTGCAGGGTCTTTGGAAACGCTCGCTGAATCCTCTCATAGGCGGCAAAAACAACACCAACACAAACACCTTCGCCACATCAACTCTGCCCAAGACCAAACCATACTCCCCAGCGGCGGATCATCATCAATTCGCGAGGAAGTCGTCGTCGTCGTCGTGGTGGCCGCCGAGGGGAGAGTACGCGCCGGTGTACGTGGCGCTGGGGTTCATCGTGCTGTCGGCGTCGATGGGGCTGCACACGGTGGCGCACCAGATGCTGTACAGCCCGTCGGTGCGGGTGAAGAAGAGGCTGAGGGAGACTTTGCCGGAGGTGGTGGAGCCGGAGAAGGTGGTGGACGAGTCGACCAGGTTTTTGGGCCACTCGTGGTTCAGGAAAGTGGCCCATGTCCAGGAGTTCAAGAGCGGGATTCAGACCTTGCCTCGCCCTACTGCTGAGACCGGCGATGTTTATGCCCGCCCGCCCGCGCGCGCTGAGACACTCGAGTCCGTCGGAGTCGATCCACGGCGGCCCTGAATTTTTTTTTTTTTTTTTGCTCCGACGGAAACTTGATCAAATTAGGAGTTCTAATGTTGTATGTTGTTTGTTTCCCTAAGACGCTCTACTCTGTAAGTCTACTTCTCGAGCTGAATGTAATTTCCAATTTAAAGCCTGCCCGCTCCGGTGACGGCGGCAACCAGCCTTCTCACCACTATCACCATTTTAATTCCCAAACCGTACCATATCAGCGGTGGAACGAACCGCCATTGAAAGAAAGAATGACAAGGTCATGGGTCCTTGGTGGGCCAAATGAGCGTTAATTGTATGGGCTTGAGACGAATTAAGCCCATGGGTCATCACATAATATTATGGTAAGGTCTTTGGATCTCGAAGTCATTATCATAAGTGAAGTGGGCTTTTCCATAACGGATGGGGGAATCGGATACCAAAGGGACAATCAATCATCAATTATCCACCATATTGTACGTTGTGGAATGTATAGGAAGAGGAGAAGAAGTGAACAACTCTAACCCAATGAAAGGAAGTTCGCTTTTTCTTCAAGCTGAGGTGAGCAAAGCTTTTGTTGGATTGATACCCCTTTGGACAAGTATATACTCACATTGTAGACTTGGCCAAAAATAGTCAAAACTGGTTCAATAAGGTTATAGAGGATTACACATCAAACCCAATTAATATCGAATAGATCACAAAATAGACCATGTATCATATACTACATTCATATTTCGACTAGTAAAGTTCAACATAAAACCAAAAAAATTCGCTAATAGCTACAATTTTTTTTATAATATTGTTATTCTCTAAAGCATCCCAAAACATATATGGAGTATCATTTCCCTCGATCACACTTCTATCTAACTACAACTAGTTTAATCCATCGTTAAGAAGCGCTTTAAAATTCTTAATGAAACACAGTTGAATGTGAAAGACTCACAAAAACCTCCTCCAACCAAATTACCACTAGTTTAATAAATTTGGTAGCAAATAAATCCACGGGCCCACTTTGATGTTTTCTAAACAAAGGTAGATGCTTTGCTGAGATTCTCATTTCATTTGGAAGCTATACTATATAGTCAAGATTTTAATCAATTTTCTAATAATTGTGAGACCAAGCAAACCTTTGGTGCCCTTTGTTTCTTGGCAAATAAGTATAATGATAACAATTAGAGTGTCAATTAATTCTTCCTTTTGGAGTCTCTTGCTAAGTCCACCAAACTACTTCGTGTTTTCCTGAGGCACACAGACTCATATATCACCCCCCACCAATAATGGAGAGTCAAACAAAACAAGAAACCAAATAATTATTGTCAGGGTTAATTGTATGGTTGGTCACTGATATTAAAAAAACGTTCATGTTTGGTCACTGAAAATATTTAAATCCAATCTTGGTCACTCAAATTAGTTAAATGGATCAAGTTTGGTCACTCTCCGTCCAACTTCGTTAAATATGTCTGATGTGGCAGTCAACCCTCAAAGTTGACCGTTAACTCAGTGACGTGGCAATTAAAAAATAATAAATAAAATAAATTTTAATCTTCTACCATTTTCAACTCATTTTCACGATAAAGTAAAATAAAAAAAAATCACAAATTGAAAGAGTAGCAAAGTTCAATCGCTGCAATTTGTGGAAGCAGGCAAAACCAAAACAATCAAACTAAGCCGAGAGAGAACAGAAAAACGAACGTGTAAGTGAGCAGTAGGGATGGCAAAAATATCCGTAACCGTGGATATCCACCCGAACCAGGCCTAATAGGGTAGGGTAAAACCCGAACCCGAAGGACATTTAGTGGGTACGGGTAAAACCCGAACCCGAATATTGCGGGTAATGGGTGGGCATGGGTTTCTCAGTATCCAACCCGAACCCGCCCGATTATACACATACATATGTATTTTGTCTAGAAATAGTCATTATTTTTCTCTAAAATATTTTATATTTAGCATATAAATATAATATTTTCATGAAATTGTGTTGTTTTAATTAATTTTCTTCATTCTAGTGAATTATTGTCATACTTTTCCTCTTGCGTAATGTGAGAATACGTGTGAATGTAAACATATTAGTTGGAGTTATGAAGAGAAATCATTACCCATGGATAACCGTGGATACCCGAAACCCGAACAGGTATGGTCATGGTTTTAATTTTCTACCCGTTTTATATGTGGGTATGGGTATGGGTAAAACCCGAACTACTTTGGGTAGGGTAACGGATATGCACTATCCGTCCCCGGCCCGACCCATTGCCATCCCTAGTGAGCAGCTTCGTATTCAAAGGGTTCTTCACTCTCAGTGTAGTGTAAGCTCCGAGGTCCCCTTTTCGGCTCTTCATAGTTTCAACCGGCCGGTCCACTGACCCGAACAGTTGAATCGAATTAGCCAGCCGAGGCGCCCATATCACGGTGTCCGCCGCCGGTCAGTGAGCGCCTGCCAAACAGTTTAGCTGTCGGTTCCGCTTCCGCCGACGGCGGCCTCTTCCGCGTCGTCTTCATCGGTCGAGGAACTGGCCAATCTAGAGTTTGCGCTGGTCGGGACGGGGATGAATTTGATGCTCCGCCATCGAATCCAGCTCCGGCAGTAGAGATGAATTCGATGCTCTTGACACGGGAAGCATCGCGGAGGAGCCTAGAATTGAAGAGCTGTTGAGGCGTAGTTGTGTTGGACGACAGAGCATCGACATGGTGCAGCTGAACGGAGAAAATGGAGTCTGCAGATTCCGGATCTCCGCCGCTGGGCGATGAAGTTAAGGGCTGGGATTCTTCGTCTGCGTCGGACCAGGAGAGGGATTGAGGAGGGGAAGGGAGGCGATTGAGGACTAGGGTTTGAGATTGGAGGGGTGGGGCCGGCTGGGATGAAGAGAGGGAGAGGAAGAAGGTGAAGAAGAGGAAAGGGTGGGTCCGCCGATTCATCGATCTGCCGGACAAGAAATCTGAACCGCCGCTGATTCCTCCTCCGTCGGGGAACCCAGAAACCATTTTTTATCCTTTTTTTCTCTCTGTTTCCGGAGGGGATTGCGGAAAGGGATGTGGTGGCGGAGGAGGAAGCTACTCTTTCAATTTGTGATTATAATAATTTTTTTATTTTATTTTTTATTTTACTTTATTGTGAAAATGAGTTGGAAATGGTAGAAGATTAAAATTTTATTTTATTTATTATTTTTTAATTGCCACGTCACCGAGTTAACAGTCAACTTTGAGGGTTGACTGCCACATCAGACATATTTAACGGAGTTGGACGGAGAGTGACCAAACTTGAACCATTTAACTAATTTGAGTGACCAAGATTGAATTTAAATATTTTCAGTGACCAAACATGAACGTTTTTTGTAATCTCAGTGACCAACCATGCAATTAACCCATTATTGTCATCATAATTTGAATTACGAAGATTCAAAGACACAATAAAAGTAAACGTACTGCCCAATGTAATTGGACCATCCTATGCCTAGTTTCCTACTCAAATGGGTAAGCAAAGAGACACACCAATGATTTTATGAAGGCATAGCACAAACTAGATTCTTCCTCTATGAATAGTTGTCTTTTCATAAATAAAAACAATACATCGCTTAACATGTCATCTTAAGGTCGTTTGGAAGTTGTGATTGTTAAAGTTGTGCTTGTTGAATACATGTAATGTGCACTGTGCACAATACAATGTTTGGAAGTGTCAAAGCGTAAAACAATGCATTGTTTTACGTAGGTCCCACCAACAATCACAAAAAATGATGTTTTATACAATCTCAACTAAAATCTCAACTAAAAGTTGTGATTGTTGTGATTGTTGTTTTTAGATTTGTGTCAACTTTTTCTTTCCATTTATATCCCTAATAGTGTTTGTCTTATTCTAAAAGTTGAGAGTAAATGTGAGATTTACCCATAAAAGTAACTTTATGTAAATCAATGCATAAAATAGAATCTCAACAACCAAACACTGTATTGTTAAAATGCGTCCATTGTACAATACATGCATTTATATTATAGTGATTCATTACAATGCAACGATTTAACATTCGCAACTTCCAAACAACCCCTTAGAAATCACTACACCAAAATCATACGCGTACTATAATTTATATGCGAGACCCATATTATGGTTGCTCAAAAAAATACAAATCTAAGCTAGCAGATTGTTGGCTAGTTTTAGTGGCTAGAAAATCAGGCACAATGCGGAGTTGTCCTCACACTAGACATGTCATGACTGAATGTGGAGTCACTCTACAAATCATATTTGTGATGATATAGGTTTTGAGTGATATTTCAGATAACTGGTTAAGTTCGACAATCATTCACTGAAAAAATCTCCAAACCAAATATTTTAATAAACATATACATCGTCTATAAAAACTACTCATCTTACCGAGATAACATTTGTAATATGAATGTAACATAAATTTTGCAAATGATTGTTTAAAGCATACAATGACAAACTTTTCCTACAAAATATATTTACAAATACACATACGGTACATAATTAAGCACTAACGAGTTACTCGATAATGCTAGATAAAAATTATCAATCAACAATCAATACATGTAACACCATATATATCAAGAGTGGGCCAAGAAATCATTGTCTTCAACTAGCTATAGTCCCAATATTACAAGTGTGCGATCCAGATTCCAGGTTATCCATTAACATCGGCAATAGATAGATACTCGATATTTCTCCATCTTTCCATGGAGCTTCCCCATGCCAAGTTAAGGATCAAATCAAATCTTCAAAATTAAATTCCCACTTTGATTCAGTTCCCACTTCACACTTGCCAATTGACATTATTCTCCAATTAGTCTTATGGACCCACGATTTTAATAATGTTCAGTAACCAATATTGACATATGAATCACGATGGAATATAACATTATTTCTTTTGCTAAAACACTTTCAAATTCAGCCATGATTTTTTATTTCCTTTTGGATCTTTTGTTTAGGCCATGGAAAGTGCTTGGCAGAACATTCGTGTTTGTTGGCTATGGTATCGCTATCGCTTAACCCTACATATTTGTTGACCTGATACACTTGTTATAGCTTGTAATCAACATCGCGGAGTAAAATCATGAATGATTTATAATTGATTTTTTGAGTGAATACATAGAGAGAACTAAAGGCATATACAAGACAGAAATGAGCAACCATGCTTGCTTGGTAGTATCTATTGTATTATCATATACTTAAACGTAACTAAAATCATAAAATCAGCACATAAACCATCTCTTTTGATTTTGCATGAAAACTCCTTATAAGTTGTAATATTGTTGGTGCATTTTATTTGATTGTAACGGTGTACCGCGAGAGGGAACACTATTCTTAGTTGTACAATTAAATCATATTAAATGTACTAGTGATATTAACTCACGAAACAATTGAATGATAGAATGAGTGGTGGCACTCGAAACTTCTGTAATGTGTATAATTAACTTTGTTATGCTTAAGGGAACATTTGGGTTGGCTAGCTAGTGGCTAGTATGTACCCACTAGCTCGGGTTGATTGATCAAGTGTTACTAGATATTAAGTATTACCAAATAAGTAACTCAAAATAAAAACATCAACTATGCCACAAGCTTGAGTGCTATACTTATTTGAATATTCTTTTGGCTGATTCATACCTATCCAATTATCCCAAATGGACCTTTATTATATTGGGGCGGCTCTCTTTATTTTAGTTGTTTCTATCATTTTCTTTGTCTCAAAATTCCAAAGGCATTCTTCGCGAGGGGTTGCCTTGTTACTTTTGAAGGCGGCGGCTTATTCTTTATTCTCCCACCAAACACGTTGAAAGACTTGACACAAAACCATTAAGCACTCGGAATAGTTGGAGAAGGGTTGTTTTAGAGGCCTAAAAGGAAGAAGATTCTTACATAATTCGACAACAAAATGGTTTGAAAATTTAGATAAAGAGATGTGAAGTTTTAGTCATTCAGCACTGTTGAAGTCCATCCGAAATATTGAAGCAAATAAACTTATAGATATTATAGATTTATTTTTGTTTTCACAATTAACTCGGCTAATTCATCATTTTTTGTTAATCCATAAAAACTCATTATTTTTTATTTTTTTCGTTGAATAACTCATTATTCTTTAACACAATGATAATAATTTTCAAAATTCCGTAGAAGAAAAGAATCAGAAAGATGACCATACTCTTCAGTCTTCATAATAAAATCCTAGTTAGAATATGGTGGGGATAAGGGGTAGGTCGTGGCTTTAATTTAGACTTCGGGAAAAATTGAGAATAAGGGCTACATGTTTATGATAAAATTACATCAACAAATGGTGTAGTCAAATAGAAAGATGTTTTCTAATAACCATTGTGTTATAGATTCGAATCGCATATACTATCATTTTTTCCTTACTCAAACTACTATAAGGTTTCATTAATTTTTCTCCCAAATCTATGGGTGTCTCGACACACCCTAACCCTCCACTTGAGTCCACCCATGGCATGAGATCGGATCGAGATGCCTATGATGGAGCCTATGATGGAGCCTCGATTGGAGGTAAATGGTTATGACCTTCAAGGGTGCTATATATTGAAATGTTGAAGGGACAATTTATTCTAAAATGCCTCACGACTTGCTCGCATCCATAAATGACAATTATTTTTATTTTTTTAATTGATATGGTCATATGGGTTTGTTTTTGTTTAAGGAAAATGACAATTAGTGCACATATATAGTATAACATGATGATAGGAGTGCCAAAATGACAACTTTGGACACATATAAGAAAGGTATGGTTCCAATTGATTAGCCATTGGAAGTATGTGTACTTATAATCATATAATACGTCCATACGAGGGAAGTGCAGTGTGTATAATACTCCACGTTTATAGCTTCTGTATCACTCACCCCCAATCAATTAAAAAATAAAATATACCCTTTTAATTATCCATTCCAAATTTCAAACCACCTTCATGAATGGACATAATTTGTCTCTTGGTGTGTAGCTAAATGGATAACAAAGTTCTGGTGCCATCTTGTGAGGAAGCAAATTAATGCAAGCTTCTTCCCATTGGACAAGCCCGGATTAGTACAAAAGATCATAGTTAGCTGGTATTTGATTGAAAGGTTTGGATTCTAACCTCCCATTTCCAATCTTTCTTTTTCAAGGAGTAGAAAGTTCAATTTATCTGATCCAAATGTTGTTGATATGATCATATTTAATATTTAGTAGGAGATATTGAACGGATTGTTTGTTTAATTTTAAAATGATTAATAATTATATTAAATATCAATCTTATTTAAACGGATCCATACAAGTGGAATTAGCCATGCAATTGTTCATCGGGAAGGTTGATCAATAACTACTATCTACATATAACAATCACATGATTATAATAAAAAGTAATTAATTAAGATCTTCCATCAATATTATATAAGCTGATATATTCGCAATCCATTCGACAATCAATTCTGTGTAGTATCTGATATCTCTTCGCTTGCGCAAACCTTTTTCTTAAAGACATGCTCGCTAGCTCTCACCATATAGTCACAAGTTAACCTTCTTTGCCATTTCGATCGGCTCCCTTTTGGGCCACTAAGTAGGGTTAGATGAGCATCCTTAATCAACCGGTAATTCCGCTTAAAGGATGGAGTTTGTTGGAGTGACGTGCCGACAAACAATCAACATTTAAGTTTTAGCCACCACCTCCACTTAACTTTCCATAATTATGGCGTACCCCCGCTATTAACAAACAGAGAAAAAACTTATACAAGCTAAGCTAGTGTCCCGCTGGTAATTTGCCGCCAAAAATACCGGCCAGAAAAGTTAGCTTTCCCTCTCCCGTTCCGCCACGTGTCATGTCCCCGTCGTACGGGCGGAACGCTCCCTCCCCTTCCGACCAAAACCAAACTGCCCCCCATAATTTTCCTTTTTTACTAAATCCCACCCACTTTTAGGTAGACTATCATACCAACCGATTTTATTGATTTAATATTTTAATTATATCTATGTCTATCCTTTATTTGCCTACAATGTAATGCATTATTTATCATTAGATTGTGACTTACATATTAAACTATTGACCCAATCCATTTAAAATAGACATGTCGAATTAGTACGAAATTAGTAATTTTGTTTGGCATGATGAGATCCATGTAATAGCAATTTTTTATACCAAGAGACAGATGTGAAAGTTATAAGAACGACTACTTCTAAATGAGAACATAAAAACATGACTTTAGCAATGACTCAACATAACTAGAGCACACAAATAATGAGTCATTTTGTAGTCAACCATAATATCGTAGAGTTATAAATTTATGAGTATAAAACGAGAAAGGAAAATTCATGGGTATGCACAATATGATATAGATTCTTAAATTTCAAACATATAATTCTGTTTTGAAGATCATTGACTTTAAGTCTAACACGTAATATTTATGTACATAATTCATTATTTTAACTAGGTAATTCTTTTGTTGATTTTCCAAATGATTGGTTTTAAAAAATCACTTTATCTGGATTCACAATCACACATTTTAAGTGAATTATCATCACAATTGGTAAATTTATAACTTAAAATTTCTATTTTTTATTTTAATGGGAAAAATTCACTTCTTAATACACTCATTAATAAGAATCACAAAATTTCCACACAAAGTGGAAACTCTCTTTCCATCGAACCATTTCCCCGGTCCCGCCGGCGCCCGCCGGTTGTGCGGGAAAAAACAGTTACCCGCCGCCATCCAGTGGGAACCCGCCACGTCGCTCAAACAGTGCGCGGGGGCGGCGGCGGCAGCGGCGCTATCGGGACAATGTCTGGCGGAGGAGAACGAAAAGGGCAGTTTCTTTCATTTATTTGACTATTTCCAGTATGTAAAATAAATTAAACTAATGGTGATGGAATAATAATAATCAAATTGGAGTATAATAAATAACCGTTCTTCCCATTTCCCTTGGAATTTCTCTCCTTTTCTTTCTATACACGGCTGAGGTCCCATCTCTGCGCCTTTTCATCTCTCTCGCTCCTTCCCCTGCTTTTTTGCCAGTTTGTTCATATTTCCGTTCCTTCGCCCTTCTTTCCTCGGATCTTGGAAGCCAGCCCATCACTGAAACAATTGTTCTTCTTTGGTCTCAACTTTTTCACTCTTTCGATTATCACGGCTTTTCTTGTTTGTTGGAGGAATTCAGAGGAGAAACAATGGATGATGAGTACGCCAAGCTTATCAGGAGGATGAACCCTCCAAGGTAGTAGCTTTTCCTGTTTAATTGATTGGGTTGTGGCTTTAGATTTGTGGGTTTTTGTTGTTTGTTTCTGGGTTTTGGAGTGTATGGTATGATCTTAGTTAGGGTTAGTAAGTGAGAAGAAAGTGAATTTCAGAAGGAAGGAATTGGACCCTTTGAGGCTCTTCAGTTTTGATTCCAAAAAGCCCTATTGGTTTCTCTGTTTTGTGTTTGAATTATGGTCTTGGAGTAGGAGTTTTAGTTATCAAATCACAAATTGGTCATCAAGGTTCACGTTTTATGAGACAGGTTTATTTTCAACTTTGTTTCATGGTCGTCACTGTTTTCCCCAGCCTAAAGAGTCAAATATGGTGGGGAAATATTATACTCATACTCGGACTATGTCTTGTTCGAGTGTTTGTCTTTGCTTCTATGATAAGTCAAGTTTTCTTGTTGGTGTTAAATTGTTATTTGGTTTCGCAGAGTTGTGATTGACAATGATGCTAGTGAAGATGCAACTATCATCCAGGTAGAAAGCTGATAGTTCTCTTTTTGATTCCTATTTTCTCCACCTAAGATTGCAAATTAGAGTGAATGATAATTTTGGTTTTGACCAGGTTGACAGTGTAAACAAGCATGGAATACTTCTGGAAGTTGTGCAAGTTCTCACAGACATGAACCTTGTGATAACCAAAGCATACATCTCATCTGATGGAGGATGGTTTATGGATGGTAAACACTTCAATATCTCTTTCATTTCCTATGCGAAGCTTAGCTGGTTTCCCTGGAATCCTAAGTTTGGTTTCTCTCTTTGGCAGTGTTCAATGTCACTGATCAAGATGGGAACAAGATAATCGATGAGGAAGCTATCGACTACATCCAACAAGTAAACTAACCTTACTGTGCACAATGAAAACTTATGGTTGGTTGACTTGAGATGCTAACTTCTTCATGTCTTCTGACTTGCAGAGACTTGAAAATGACGCAATCTTTTACCCCTCATTGACCGGTTCAGTTGGAGTGATGCCATCAGAAGAGCACACCTCGATCGAGCTCACTGGCACAGATCGGCCAGGCTTGCTCTCTGAAGTATCTGCAGTTCTAGCAGATTTGGGCTGCAACGTTGTGAATGCAGAGATATGGACTCATAACGCTAGGGCAGCTGCAGTAGTTCATGTCATTGATGACTCCACTGGAGCTGCAATTAAAGATCCCAAACGACTCTCTACAATTAAAGATTTGTTATGCAATGTGCTGAAAGGGTTTAACGATTTGAATAATGCAAAGACGAGTGTTTCACCACCAGGTCTGCTGAGCAAAGAGAGGAGATTGCATCAGATCATGTTTGCCGATAGGGACTACGAGAGGATAGAAAGGGCAAGTCATCTCGAGGATGATAGCAACTCGAGGCCTCATGTTACTGTTCTGAATATTGAGAAGGATTACTCGGTGATCACGATGAGATCAAAGGATCGGCCTAAGCTTCTGTTTGACATTGTCTGCACTCTTACTGACATGGAATATGTGGTATATCATGGAATGGTCTGCGCTCGTGGGAAGGAAGCTTATCAGGTAAACATAGCATACTCAAAATTATTTGATTCTAAACCTGCTTTTCGGCTTCTGTGTAGAATCTATTACCTGACTACCTTGCCTTTTGCAGGAGTTCTACATCCGCCACATCGATGGGTTCCCCATAAGTTCAGAAGCTGAGCGCGAGCGAGTCATACAATGCCTTGAAGCAGCCATCGAGAGGCGAGCACACGAGGGGCTAGAGCTCGAGCTATGCACAGAGGACCGAGCTGGTCTCCTGTCAGACATCACGAGGATATTCAGGGAGAACAGCTTGTGCATCAAGAGGGCAGAGATCTCGACTAAAGGAGGGAAAGCCAAAGACAGATTCTACGTCACTGATGTAACTGGGAATCCGGTTGAGCCAAGGATTGTTGACTCAATTTGCAGGCAGATTGGACAGACAAAGCTTCATGTGAAGCATAGCTCTTTTCTCCCACCATCAAGCGGTAGTAGAGATCCTCCACAGGAAACTACAATGGGGTATTTTTTCGGAAACCTGTTCAAGGCGCGGACTTTCCAGAACTTCAAGGGCATCATCTCATACTCCTGAGGAATGATGGTTGCGTTCACTGTATAGAAATGGTGTCTCCTCTCTGCAAATAGTTTGGCTGGTGAAATGGGAATTTGTACAGAAGGTTGTAGATTTTTGTAGATAGCTAGATAGTTACAGTTGGGGGATGTAGTTGAGCAGTAAAAATGGAGATAGATCACTTGTGAATATGATGATCTCACAGCATAAAGGTTAGCAAGGTTAGCCACAATGGATTTGTACAGATATGCTTTAGTTTGTAAAGATTTATGCTTCCTTCAGATGAAACTACAAAGAAAGAGTGGAGATTATGAATGTGAATATTACTCAGTGAAGTCTTCTGTTTGGCCTTGTGATTGTAGTTGCTATACCCTACAATTTTCGCTCTTGCCATTATGTTGATGTCTTAGCGTTGTTGAGCTTCCAAACGGCGCCGGAGGCCCGAATTCGTTTCAATCTGTTGGGGATTCGGAAACCTATTTGGCGGGTACTTCCCAGTTTCCACCAGTTACCAGGCGACAGTCTCTTTCTTCCCGACCTTCAGCACCTCTTAGCAGTCGTAAAATGAGACCGGTGACCGAGTTAGCTAGCTGGATCAGCCGATCTCTGATCTCGGCCTCGACGACGGCGGTGAACTCACATGCTCGGCCATGGACTCCATTACTGGAGCAAACGCTTCACGGGCTCGGCTGCCGCGACTCACTTACTCCATCACTAGTGGCTCGCGTAATCGACCCGCATCTGCTGAGTCACCACTCGCTGGCGCTGGGGTTCTTCAATTGGGCAGCTCAGCAGCCCGGGTTTGCTCATGATTCGGCTTCCTACCGATCGATATTCAAGTCCCTGTCCACTTCTCGCCAGTCCATTGCCTCCGTCGTCGAATCCTTGTTGAGGCAGGTTAAAGCTCAGAGCTTGGCGCTCGATTCGCTGACTTTTGGCTTCGTCATCAAGACTTTATTGCAGGGCAAGATGATCCGGAAGGCGGTTTTGGTTTTTGACGAGATGATGAAATCGGGGGGTTCGTCTATCGAGCCAGATGTATGTAACTCGCTCTTGGCTGCTTTGTGTTCCGAAGGTTCTTTGGAGAATGCACTGAAAGTGTTTGAGAAAATGGCTGAGAGGAAAGTTGGGTTTAGTAGTGTTGGGTTCGGAGTGTTTATATGGCGGCTTTGCAGAGATTATGAGTTGGGGAAAGTGTTGAGCTTGTTGGATAGGGTGAAAAGTGATGGTCAATCTTCAATTGATGGATCAATTATAGCTCTCCTCGTTGTTCATGGGTTCTGCCAGGTTTCCAGAGTTGAAGAAGCTTTGTGGGCATTGACTGAGTTGAGAATTAGGCACTGCAAACCTGATTTCATGGCATATAGAATAGTCGCTGAGGCATTTAGAACAACAGGAAGTGTGGTCGACGTGAACATAGTTCTGAAGATGAAGAGGAAGCTAGGAGTAGCACCGAGGAGTGATGACTATCGAGAGTTCATTTTTGGGTTAATAGCTGAGAGACGGATAATGGAAGCCAAAGAACTAGGTGAAGTGATTATGCATGGCAATTTCTCTATTAAAGATGATGTCTTGAATGCACTGATTGGATCGGTGTCATCAATCGATCCTTGTTCTTCGATTATGTTCTTCGATTTCATGGTGGGAAAAGGTGTGCTCCCTGCTCTGTTAACATTGAGTAACTTGAGTAGGAATCTCTGCAGGCATGGAAAGATTGAGGAGTTATTAAATGTATACAATCAACTATCTGAAAATGATTATTTTTCTGATATGGAGAGTTACAAAGTTATGTTTTCATTCCTATGCAAGGCTGGGAGAGCGAGAGAAGCTTATGGATCTCTCCAGGAGATGAAGAAGAAAGGGTTGGAGCCTGATATCTCAATGTATAATCTCCTGATGGAGACATGTTGCAGGCTTGATCTCGTGCGTCCTGCTAAGAAGCTTTGGGATGAGATGTTTGTGACTGGATGTGGAGTGAATCTGAGAAGTTACAATATCTTGATTGGGAAGTTATCAGATACTGGTGAAGTTAAAGAGGCTGTGAGTCTATTTGATCGCATGTTGGATAGAGGAGTGGCGCCAGATGCTGCAACCTACGATTTTGTGCTTGATGGGCTCTGTCGAGAAGCTGAATTCGATGATGCTGTTGTAGTGTTTAACAAGTGTGTGGAGAATCAGGATGCGGTGCTTGCACGAAATGTGCTGAGGAATTTCATTCTCAAGCTCTGTGGAAAAGGTATGGTTTCTTGCGAATAGTCTCTATGGTGATGCTCTCATTCTTAAGCATTTAACAACGGTAGCTATCTGAGTTCTGTGGAGAAGGTATGGTTTTCTTATATATGTTACGAAAGGATTATTCTCTTTTCCCATGCAGGTGAATTCCTTCTAAGCTCTAAGCTGCTCCGTGGCCTCACATACGATGTAGCACATCCCGACTCTCATGTACTCTTGCTGAAATGTTTAGCTGAGGCTAAAGAGTCTAGAATTGCTGGTGAGCATGTGAAATGGATTCGGGAAACGTCACCCTCAATGTCCCGTACAGTTACCTCTCAGATTTCAGCCTCTCCCTTGTCTTCCGCAGAGCCAGACTTGCTTCAGCAATTCGCCTGGGCAATGCCAGCTGACCAATGTCAGGGATAGAGGCAACATTTGCTCGATGTAACTCAAACACTGCCACCATTGTCAGAGTTGGAATGTGAAAGGTTGAGAGTAGTCATGGATGAATGAAGGGCAAGCGCTGGAATTGAAAGGGGTCTCAAGTAAAAGGAAAGCCAGTCAATGGCAGAGACTAGTGGCTCAATATGATGCTAAACTTGTGAGTATTTTGCCCATGCTTCACAAAGAATGAAAAGCTTCAAGACATAATGATGCTGGGTGTGTACAGTGTACTTATATACTGTACAGAAACGGCCATAAAGGCCAGTAAAAGTCGAACTATAGATTCTATGCAAAATGGATCACACAACAGGAGTTACAGTTCGTCAATTGTATGATCATTAACAAATGGTTAGTTCCTCTAAATGTACATTGAATCCCTGGTAATTACAAGTCAACTGGCTACTATCTGGAGTCAACCAAGTCAGAAAATATTCCATTCACCTTCAGTAAGGGAAGGAATTTACTTCTCTACTTTCAGTCTACAAGAGAATTTTCCTATGAGGCTAAAACAAGAGCAACGAGGGCAGGCGCCAGCTCAATGGACCCAAGTACAAAGATGATGGATGGCTCTAAAAAGCACCATGTTCCCTTTTCTCTGTACAACATTCATACAATGTTACCTATATATATATATATATATATATATATATATATATATATATATGTGCAGAGAATTTTTACAGGCTCTAATTAGCCATCAATCGTCCAGGTGCTGGATTTCACCCATCATGATGCGATTGCTGGTGACTTTAAACCCGAGGAGAGCAGGATCAATCTGCCTTCCCTTCTTCCCTTTCTTCTTCCCAATCCGTCCACCTTGCGAATTGTCATACGACTCTAACCCACTTAATTGAGCCGCATCCAGTTCATGCGCAACTGGTTTCTTCAGCACGTCAATGAATGATGCCTCTGATGACACTGCAGCATCGGCGTAAGAGGAGGTCCTCCTAACTTCCACTGGTTTCGCTGTTGTTGCCACAAGAACCCTCCCCGCTGTAGGGTTGTTATGTCTCCTTTCTGGGAAGAAAACCAATTCCCACAAGGTCAAACATTGGGTCAACTATCCAAAAATAGAAAATCAACACACAGATCAAGGGACAACATTTACATACCAAGGGGTGTTGTTGGTAAGTTGATCGAGCTTTTCTGCTTCATGCTTGGACCAGGAGAAGCCAAGTCTGATGAAGCTACTGGTTTAGGGGAAGGATTGTCGGATACCTTGGGGAGAAGTGTCGGCGCCCTGTTGATTATAACAAGAGACATCAAGAACATCAAACATAGAAGGTTATATATGCAAGCGAGATAACGAAAATTAGAAGAACACCCAAGTCTGCAGAATATCAAGTTGATCTAATAACCGACTTTTCCATCAGATACAATCTTCCGACTTCCAACTTCTACCTCTAAAAATATAAGTTTAAGTTGATGGGCATCCAATTTTACTTCACTTTTGAACATTTTCAATTCCACCCTTTCTCTTCTATAGAACTCCATAAGCTTGTGGACTCATTCAACGCAGCTCACATTACAGTAACTTCAACTCTAAGAAGAACAAGTTGTAGACTCACTGAATCGTTTCACAATCATTCACGTATTTCGATAATTTTCTGAGACATTTTTACTTCTATCATTTGCTACTGTTCACAACTTCTCATAGATCACGTACACATTGAATTAAATTAACCTTGAAATTTGAGTGAAACCTCATACCTGGGGTTAGTAATCTCTTCTCTAACTGTTCTATCTAATCCTGTTTCATAGCCGCTCAAGCTTCCATTGCCACCTGCATAATATGTAACTCCTCCTCTTAGAGTCCATCTGACCATAGAAAATAAAACAGAAGAACAAAACAGAAAATAAAATAAGGAGGTTTACCGGTGCTACTCAGCGAGCTATGTCTACTACTGTGTCTACTATTGACATTACTTGGCAGCTCGGCCAAATCTCTGGCAGGCTCACCGTGATCAACTGAAATTTGTGCATTAAAGCTTCTAGACCCGAGTATCTTCTCCTTCCCTACCCGCTCTCTTAACTCTTTATGGTCACCAGATGAGTTGCTGCTCAACCTAGCATCGATAGCATGTGAAGGATCTCCACTGCTCGATAAGAATCTCTGTTCCTCTACTTGTAATCCAGCTTTAGGCCCCAGAGAGAATCTTTCATTTCCCAACTGGTTGGATTGGCCACTCATTGATGCATTTACTATATCCTCCAGGGTAGGTGCACCTAAACTTGAAGTAGATGACTTGGTGTTCTGCCAATGGTTATCACTAGGAGTTGAATCTTTTGTATAATCATTCTCTGGTGCCTGAATAGACCTAAGACCGGCTGATGTTTCGTGGAGCTCCATCAATGCTTGCTTT